GTCAAGTTCGATATGCGAATCAATGAGAGGGGGAGGCAAGAAAGTAGATTTGATTGACGGGTATCTTGACTCGAAGCTCCTGGCAGCGGGAACCAGAAAAGCGCAGCTACTATTACTTCTTGTTGTTCAGACCCGGGGGGGGGACTCGCCGTCATGTATTAGTCTATCATAATTCGAATTCGACAGAGAAACTAGACAAATGCAGTTCCTCGCCATACTGTAACCTGCTGTTCGTCAGATGCCAAAAGCAAAGGAAGCCTTGATAGCCCTAAATCGTCCCCTTGGCACACATGGCAGATACAAATTTCTATTGGGGATATTGCTTCAATCGTTCCTCGATAAAGGCCAGGTAGCTTCAAGAGAAGCGGCCTCGGCAATGAAACCAATTCAGTACGGTTTCCATCACGGAGACTTGCCGAACGATCTTCATCTTGAGATTGTTTGCCTGCGACAGCACCACGAAACTTATCCAGCACCTCTCATTTGGTGAACAAAATGCAACCCCCCTTGTCGCATTAGATGGAAAATCTCATACTTTTTGCCCTTTCTTTCTTTCTTTCTCCTCCCAAGTTTAATGATTCTGCCAGCTGCTAAAATACGGGTCTGGGAAACCCTGTTCATTACAATTTTTTCTTTTATTGTCCTTCTAATTACCTGATACGGAGTACTCGTACGTAGGTAAGGTAGGGATGTGCCTGTAATAGTCTGTCGAGTTTTGGTTTGGCTTTACTCTCTCTCACATCGGAGATACTGGCCGGGTCGGGCCTCGTATCAGGGCGTGGCTCGTATGAAGACGCATGGCAGAGTGAAGTAATTGTAGGAATACAAGTTTTGCAGAGGGATTGAGAGAGATGAGAGATGAGCACTGCGTGGTTGAAAATCACCATTGAAGATAAGGCAAGGGCTGATGTGTAGGTAATACAGCACTCCAGCGAAGCGGTACTATGAGCGTGTAGGAGTAAGCTCATACTTTACGCTCTCGTATGTACTTACTACCGAGTGGCTTGATGAGAAAGGGGGTCGCCTCGCATCGCATCACATCGAAGCGCATCGAAGCAGCAGCAGCAGCAGCAGCAGCACCTGCGTCGCATCCATACGCTATCACGCACCTGCAGCTGCAGCGCATCAGATGGAACTGAGAGGGAAGGGAAAAAGCGCCTCACAAGAAAAGATGGCAAACAATAGCGCAACAAAACCCGTGAGCTTCCTCTCCCTGCCTGCCCCTCACATACTTGGCGCTAGGGCGTCACATGGCCCGGATGACAACAACGTGGTGGTGCAAGCTAAGAAGAAGAGAAAAAAGAGGCTGGCTAAGAATGGGTGTGAAGGCGTCAGAGAAGGTGTCTTTCGGTCTGTTTGTTATCTTGTCTAGTCTGGCCGTGGAATGCGTGTGCGTGATGCCCATTGGGTGCCGTTGTTCGTGCAGGTGAGAAACGACGGCCGGGACAAGGCTCGACAGAGGAAGGACATGAGGCTTCACACCATCACCAACAACCAGCCCCAAGTTGGTTGCAAGTGACCTGCTGAATGGGCCCCTTGTCCCATGCATGTAAAGTATGTACATGCACCTTTCGTGCGTCCAATCTCGCCATCAGAAGCCAGAGTCAAATATCAAGTAAGGTACAACAACAGTATGGAGGCATCTCTTGTCTTTGATCGTTTTGGTTCTTCCATTTCAATCTCAAACCGGGATCCCCCTCTCGCAGGTACTTAAACATCACAGTCTCCGTATTTGTACATGAGAAGGGGGCAAAAGGGATCCAACGCGCCACTTTTGTGCAGCCAAGTGCCATCTCGGTACTTGAAGCCCAGGCCGCTGCTTCTGGTTGGTCCAGTTTCCCCGGCAGGGCGTCAAGGTACAGGTACAGGCACAGGTACAGGTACAGATACAAGAACTCCATAATAAGGCACCTTACCTGTCACATCACGGGCATTGCAATGCAAAAGGCCATGGAGGAGAGAACAGGCAGGCAGATGCTCGTGTTGCTGGCACCACGGAAGCACTGATGCCACCTCCCTCTCCAGCACATCTACCTACCTAACCTGGCACTAGAAGCTGTAGCAGAACAACAACAGTGAGGAGAAACCATCGAGACGTTCAGGTTCTCGTCAGATCGCTGCATCTCGCAGAAAAGAAAGCCAAGCAGCGGAGGCCAGACATTGAGGACAAGGCCGCTCCCTCATCCCGCATTGCTCCATCCGGCCGCTGCAGCAGCATTCTCCCGGATGGCTATAAATCGACTCCGTACATACGTGAGAGACCCGATCGTGGCAATAGTCGCAGTTATTATAGATGCGAGCACGTACAGCTACCTACACAAAACCCTCCGTATGGCTCGAATCGAGAGCCTCCCTCCAATCAAGCCTGCGCCCGAGTTTCACCGCCTCTCATCAGGGCGGCTTTCTTCCTGTTGCAGGAGAATCAGGAGGTCGAGAGACGGCGCCCCCCTTTGATTGATGGGCAAGACTCGCCTCTGCTGCTGTCACTCTCCTTCCTGCGGCCACCCCTGGCCACACCCCTGTCTGCCCTATCTCTTTTTTTTTCTCCTGCTGCTCACTTCTGCGACGTCGACGTCGGTACTAGCCCGTAAACTCGAACAGTGGTACCATTTTTGCTTGACCGTGATCCACCATCGAAAGAGAAAGAAAATACCACAAGCAGTAATACGTACATAGAGCGTTTCTGCCCTTCAAACTGTCATGCGGTTCGCGCCACGGCCAAGACCAGTTTGGCGCAACACTAGATGGACTAAAAAGTCAAGACTTGAGACCAACTGTTTCTCCGTGCACACTCATCGTCGCATCAAAGAAAAAAAAAAAAAAAACTTCAGGAAAAAAACAGAACCCTTGAAGCCGGCGAGGGATCGACATGGCAGTTGGACGGACGGTTGCCCGCAAGGTGCAGTTGCCGCGATTTACCCGGCGCGAATGACACATGGCAAGGGGACAGTGCTCGACACTGGGCTGGCGCTTGTACCTCCTGTATCGCGGTAGAATGAACAACCTTGGAAAACACGATGCTTGAGATGAACGAAATGGCTGGACCGCAGGGTTTTCCTTCATTTTGGCAGTCAACGAGATAGGAGACGGCGAGAACCGAGTGATTGAGTTTGCAAGTCTGATTCATTTACCTTTTTTCTTTATTTCTCGCCTACCTTACCTTCATGCTCATCGTCGCTCTCTCTTTTTCCCACCGCGTGCAGATCGCTGTTTGCTGCTAATTACGCGTACCGGCTCATGGACCTGGATTTCCCGTCTTCATCAACTTGAACGGCCTCGAGAATGAGCAATACGATAACTTACCACGCCGCACCGCGAGCCGACATTCGCAATCCCGGCCGCCCGTCCACTTTTCCCACCAAGGAGTAATGAAGCAAATCAATGCGCACTACTCGTACCTTCGTATGTACCCGGCTCGGTCTGCCGTGTATCTCGAACAAGAAGCCCGGCGTGTAGTTTCAGGCGTCGGGCGAAAAGGGGGGGCGCCTAAGGTAATCTCGATGTCCATGTACGCAAGTACTTGCTTGCATTGCCCAGAAACAGACGCCGAACCATCACCATTGCTTTGTGTGGCTGCTCTATATGTTTTCATGTCTGGTACTACTGGCAGAACCAGATGCTGGTGTGGACGGAGCCATAGTACCAAGTCGGCAGCCCTTACATATCAGACTCTGCTCCAACTGCTCGAACCAGCGCTGCTACTAGACAACCACTAGCCGCCAGAGGGCATCACCAGACGGATGGCCTCCCGTATCACCTTGGAGATGCGCAGCTGCAGCAGGCGAAGATGGATCGTGGGGCAGGCAAGATAATCTAAGATGGCCCATTCATGCACACAGACGTCCAAGGGTTCACGGCGATCCCCATGTCGAGCAATAGCTTCCACGAGACAGGTTCGAGCTTCCACCTTACTTTGCCCTCGCGGGATGCTTCGTGCTTGCTGTCCATGTAAGGTACGCGGATTCACGACTCGGTTCCCCGTGCTCAGACCCTCGTTATTGTTCCTTTTTTGCCCTGCCAGTCTTATCGGCCGGCCCAAGGCCCCAGGCGGGACAAAGGAACAAAGGAGAAAAGGGCTGTCTATCCTGTTTAAAATGAGAAGTGGAGGAGGCTGGGAGTCATTTCACCACGACGACGAGCCAGACAAGCACACGAGAGAGACGGCCGTGCGAGAAGCGGCACCAGCAGCACGGCCTGCAAGTACCTGGCCCGTTCGGGGCAGACCCGCCGCGAGCCCTGGCGCCTGGGTGGCTGCCGAACATTTCTGCCCGCCCACTAGCGCAGGCCGGTCGCGGGTCTGCAATTTCAGGCCCACTCGCTTAAAGCCCGCACGGACCAGCTGCGGCCCACTGCAGCCACTGCAACCACTGCGACCCTCCCCTCCTCCCCCCCCAAGACGCCCCCAAGCACAGCGAGTCTCAGGGCATTCACGCACTGGAGCGCTAGCGGGCCTTGACACCAGACAGCGAGCCACTGGCTGGCCCACCGCGAGCTTCTCCCGCCGTGGCGTCACTGGCGATAGTAGTTGTACAGTAGACTAGAGACAAGACAGACGACACGACACACGCACGACAACGGGCAGGTCGAGCCACTCACGCTGCAGCCGCATGTGCTCAGCTGTCCTGTCTGTCTGTCTGTCTCTGTCGATTCATCGGTCCAGGGCCTCGAAAGGGTCTGCAGGGTTGATTCCAGGCCTTCTGCCCACTGGTCACACAGGCCAAGCTCGCCATTTCCCTCCCACCACCCCCTGGCCGCTTTTATTTTTTCCCACCCGACCTTCAGTCCTCCTCGCCGGCAAAGCAAATAAGTAGCCCTGGCCACCCCCTTCTGCTACCGACTCTTCTTCCTCTTCCTCCTCCCACTTTCTTTCTTCACTACACGCTTCACCAGCGCCATTCCACCATCCGAAAGGCTTTTTTCTGGATCCTTCTTTTTTTAATACCCCCCCTTTGTTTGTTGTGATACCCCCGCGCTTTAAGATACCCTTTTTTCTATCCAGAATGGCTGAGGAACAGAAGCCCGTTGAGGTCGCCGCCCCGGTGATCAAGGAGGAGACCGCCGCCCCCGTCGTCGTTGAGGAGGCGCCCGCTGTTGAGGCTGCCCCCGTTGCTGTCGTCGAGGACAAGCCCGCGGAGGAGGCTAAGCCGGCCGAGGGTGAGGAGGCCGAGCCTGCCAAGGAGGAGGACAAGAAGGAGGAGGAGGCCAAGCCCATCGAGGAGGGCTTCCTGGGACACAAGGCCCAGGGCGCCAGCTTCCCCAAGTGAGTTTAGCGAGAAGCAACTGAGCGCTTGGTCTGGGAGAATCACGAGTTTGCTGACCAGAGTCGCCCAACAGGAACCTGATCGCCAGCAAGACTTTCCTCTTCTTCGGCAACGAGGCCGTCGAGGCCGAGGTGCTCGCCGCCTACAAGAAGGCCGAGAAGCACGTCGAGACTGCCCAGCACAACATCGCCTGGGCTGCGCACACTGGCAAGGGTCTTCTGTTCATTGGTGACAAGAAGGCCCCCCATGGCGTCATCAACCTGGTAGGTTTCCGTCTGGAACTGTCTCTATGAGTCCTGTAACTAACCCTGATATTCTACAGGCTGATGCCACCGAGCCTGAGACCGACGGCTCTCACAAGTTCCACTTCTCTGCCAAGGGCAACAAGCACACCTTCAAGGCCAACTCCGCCGCCGAGCGCGACAACTGGGTTGCCCAGCTGAAGGCCAAGATCGCCGAGGCCAAGGAGCTCGCCGCCACCGTCACTGAGTCCGAGGTCTACAAGCAGACCATTGAGAGCCTCAAGCCCGCTGCCAAGGAGGAGAAGGCCGAGCCCGCCAAGGACGAGGCCGCACCCGCTGAGGAGGCTGCTGCCAAGGCCGACGAGCCTGCTGCTGAGGAGGAGGCCGCCGCCGCCCCCAAGGAGGAGACCAAGGACGAGCTCAAGGTCGAGGAGCCTAAGCGCCGCTCCGCTAGCCGCAAGCGTGCTTCTTTCTTCGGCTTTGGCAAGAAGGAGGAGAAGAAGGACGAGGCCAAGACCGAGGAGGCCGCCGCCACTGAGACTCCCGTCGTTGTTGAGCCCGTCCCCGAGGCTGAGGCTCCTGCTGCTGAGGAGGTCCCCGTTGTTGCTGAGCCCGCTGCTGAGGGCGAGACCAAGCCCGCCGAGGAGGCTGCTCAGCCCGAGTCCCCCAAGGAGAAGCCCGCTGTCAACAAGCGCACCAGCTTCTTCGGCAACGTCTTCTCCAAGAAGGAGAAGAAGGCCGCCGAGGCCAAGCCCGAGGCTGAGTCTCCCAAGGAGGAGGACGAGGCTGCCGCCACCACCGAGGCTGCCCCCGTCATCCCTCCCGTCGAGGCCACCACTCCCCTGGCCGTCGACGTCAGCAGCCCTGCCACCGTCCCCACCGAGACCACTGAGGCTGCTGTGACCAACGGCGAGACCAAGAAGGACAAGGAGAAGCGCAAGTCTTCCCTGCCCTTCACCTTTGGCAAGCGCGACAAGTCTCCCGGCCCCGGCTCCGAGGGCGAGGAGAAGTCCGGCAAGGGCGCGTTCTCCAAGCTCCGTGCTACCATCAAGGGCAAGGGCGCCGCCAAGCCTGAGGACAAGCCTGCCGAGGAGTCCAAGGAGGAGGACGCCATCAAGGAGGAGGAGGAGACTCCCGCCGCCGCCGCCACCGAGGAGGCCCCCAAGGAGGAGGCTGCCAAGGAGGAGGAGGTCCCCAAGCCTGAGGAGGCCGAGACCAAGCCCGAGGCTGCCGCTCCCGCCGCCCCCGTCGTCACTGCCGCCGCTTAGAGAACTACTCCTCGACAGTGACAGCTTTACGACTTCAAGAAGACACACTTTGCAAAACTTTCCTTTGATATAATTGTCACCAAAAAAACACGCATGAGAGGACTGGGAATGGAAGGATCTGCATTTCTTCACAAGATACCAAGATACCCTGTCGAGACTGCTTTCACTGATACCACTTTCCATTTTGTTGTTTTTTTGCACGTCGATTTGGACGAAATTACAAAGAAAAAAAATACCTCTTAATTTTTGAGAGACAAAAAATCTTGATGTTGCTAGTATACAGCATTCGCGTTTCTGCTTTGTTTCGATACCCGAGAGGAGGAAGATAATTAATACCTAATATAAAGATGATGTGTGTCTAAACATTTGTCCATTTTGCATTGTGAATGTCTTGTTTTCCTCTCTCATCTCTACTATTTCGCCCCTTTTTTCCTTAATCTCTTTTGATATTGAGTCCAGTTAACTACCTACTTTAAAGAGCCAATGAACATATTTCATCTCATGAACAGCTCCGCTCACTCTACCTCTCGTTCTTTTCTTCAAGTAAGATAGAAAGTCCCTTGTTCTTGTTCTATGTACGTTGAGAAACTGAGAAGAGCGAAACAGACGAAGAAAAGTAAAAGGTAGAAAACTCCACGCTCTCCACTATTTACGCTTATTTACAAGAATAAGAGGTAAACCGGCCCAACTCCTCCACAGGTTCGCCCTTTTTTCTACGCGTATGCATGGATAGACTTCATTCGTACCATGACCTACCTTAAAACCTTGGGCATTCAGATCACAGCCTCGTCCCATCATCTCGCAAAACCTCAGCGCTGAGGATACAGACCGCACAACTAACTCGACACAACAGATCTTGCAAAATGGTGAAAATCCGTGTTTGTATTTCTTTCGGACTCTTAACATTATCTCCTTTCCGCCTCACCAACTTTTTGATTGTTGTACCAAATCTCGTCCTGAGTCGACCCGTCCATGCATTCATATATCGCTCTGTGTCAACACCATGTTCTAGTGTATATCGTGTGTTGCCGGCGCTTTGCGCTTATCCCAAATATCCTCCCATATCGTGTATGCAATAAGACTTTGTATCAAAGAAAATGAATAGACAGAAAAAAAAAAGACAAAACAAGACTTTGGTATCAGAGGTCAACAGCCTCGTATATGCTGACGAGATCGAACACACACATAGAGAAAAAAGAAAAGATAAGAAAAAAAGTTCAAATCCCCGGCCGGCTGTTTTCGTATCCGAGTCCGCCTGCTGATAGTATTCCCAAGAATGTGAATGAAATGATGACGAAGGCCTCCCTCAAATAGAGTCAAAAGGAAACCAAAAACGCCCGGCTCAGAAATGACACGCTGGGCTCCCACATGTATGTGAATCTAACGAAAAAGAGTATAGAAGTAAAAGAATAAAGATTCAACAGATGTCGCTTCCGCAAAAGCAGCAGATGGCAGGCGGGACAAATGAATCACATCGTATTGACTTTGGCGACTGCTCCGTTCAAAAGGGGGGAGGCTATTGACCGGTGGCCCCCTTTCACGCGTCTCTCGACACAGAAAGGCTCTGGTACTTGCCCACTAGCTCCTCGATTTTGGGGAGTAGCTCGGGAATGCGAAATGGTTTGGAGATAACATCATCCTATACACAAATCAGCGGTTAGCGACATGTCTTCATGACGTGGGGGATGAGGGGGCAAAGACTCACAATTCCTGCGGCCTTTGCATTTTCAATCTGCTCAGGCCGTGCGTATGCCGTAACCGCAATGATGGGGATATGCTTGATGATGGTCCCTTCCTTCTCGAGCTGGCGAATCTTTCTCGCGCAAGTCATGCCGTCCATGACGGGCATCTCCAAGTCCATCAGGATAACGGAAATGTCGACGCCCTCTTCTTCTTGGCCTGCCCAGAATCTCGATCTCTCCAGCGTTTGCAGCGCCTCTCGGCCATGGTTGGCCACAAACGTGTTGTTGCCGTAATTACGCAGCTGTCGCTGCAAAACCTTCTGGTTCACAATATTGTCTTCGACAATGAGCACGTCGAATAGGGGGCTGCGACCTGCATCCGACTGGCATCGCGACGCGGGGCCGCTCGCGGGGGGCTGGCTGTTGGTAGATGTTGTCTGGATCTTGCGCTCGAGCTTGAACGGCGTGATGTGCTCATATTGGGATGGAGGGTTCAGGCACTTCCGGCTCTGGACGTAGAAGCTGAACTTGCTCCCAGCGTCTTTTTGGGAGGAAACGCCAATCTGACCGCCTTGCATTTCGGTCAAGATCCTCGAGATGAATAGCCCCAAGCCAGAGCCGCCGTACTGCACATGCGTCCGAGGCGAGGCCTGCTGGAACCGTTGGAACAAAACCTTCATCTCCTCATCGCCCAAGCCGGCACCGGTGTCTTCCACTGAGCAGTGGATGTTGAAACGCTCACCGGCCCCCCACTCGTCTTCGTTGTCAATATCCATACCTACAGTCCGCTGTATGTCGTTTCGTTCAAAGTAAAACGTCCCCTGGCTGGTAACCTCCGAGATGTCCTTGGACGCGCACATGCTAACGGTGATGGCCCGCTTCTCTCGGCCCTGGGTGAATTTGATGGCGTTGGTCATGAGGTTGATGAGTACTTGCCTCAGTCTGGATGGATCCAGCTTGGCCCAGGTCACCCCGTATGTCTCGAAGCTCTTGTCGACGCGAAACTCAAAGTCGATGTCGTGGGCAAGCAATTCCGACTCGAACATCTTGAGCGTCCGGTGAACGACCTTGATCGGCTGTTCATCGACGGGAGTGACAGCCAGCAGGTTGGAGTCGAGCTTCGACAAAGTCAAGATGTCATCGACGATGCGCTTCTGGTGGCTGGCGCACAGGTTGATGGTGTTAGCAGCATCGAGGCAAGACTCCAGAAGGGCGTCCACCTCTATCCTGTCGGTATGGGCGTTGAACGAGGCTATGCTGTTGGCGATCTGATCCACGCACTGAAGGATGGCCGACAAGGGGTTCCTCATTTCGTGGCTCGTGATGTCGATGAAGTTTTCCTGCTGCCGCTTGAGCTCCACAGCCTCCTCGCGCCTCTCGTTTTGCACCTTTTCCGCCCACTTTTGGGAGGAAATGTCTGTGATACAGCCGAATATGGATGCCAGGCTGCCATCGGCGTCTTTCTCGGGAAACGCGCTCATCAGGACCCAGGTGTCGACGGTGTGATCTCCGCACGGCTGACTGCAGTTGAATCGAAACTCGACCGAAATGGTCACCTTTTCCTCCAGAAGCCTTGTCCAAGCGGTGTCCAACCCCGGCCTGTCTTCGACTCGTACGCTGTCCATCCAGGAAGTGCCTATCTGTTCGGATCGAGAGTGCCGAGAAATCTGCCACCACATATCGTTGCAGTAGTTGATGTGACCCTTCTCGTCAGCAATGAACATTCCAACGGGCGCGAACTCGGCCATGCGCGTAAACTTCGTCTCTAGCTCATTGGCTTCTTGCGTACGTTGCAAAAGCTGCTCTGAGAGTTCCTGACGGTCCAAAGCAGCCAGGTGAGCTGCTCGCTGTCCGCGCCGAATCTCCTCCTCAAACAAGAGAACCGAGGCCATGGAAGTAGCCAGCTGCCGCGACAAGAGGTGGATGAAGAGTTTGTAGTCGTCATCATACGGCCGTCGGGGATTCACGCCGAGCACAATGAAGCCCGTCACAGCATCGCCAGTAGTGGTGGGGATGACTGGGAAGACGACGATTGTCCTGCAAGGGTCACCGAAGCCCCGCCACTCAAATCCTTCTATGAGATGCTTTGGCAAGGTGCCGTCCTCCTCAGAGAGCACAACCGGAGCTCCACCCCCTGCCAACGACTGCCGCACGTAAGGCGCAAACCCTTCTTCTGACGTACGTAGGTCCAGAGTCGGGGGGGCCGCCACATGACCCTCTGGGACACCGGGAGATCCTTCGAGAACGAGTTGAGGAGAGTGAACATGACTGCCTGAGTGAAGCGATGATACCTCACTTTCGGCATCGTCTTTGACGGAGTAGATCATGCTGAATGGGATGTCGTACTCGTTGAACGCCAGACCTTTCCTTACCTGTGGCCAGAACTCGCTGACCGAAGCTGCCGATGCCGTCCGCTCCCCAATCTCTCGTAGGGTGAGCATTCGTCGCTCGTTGATCCTCCGTCGAGTATTCTCAAAACTGGGATTGAATAGACCGACGACCTCGCCATCTTCGCCGAGGAGTGGAATTATCGACCATGAAAAGAAGGTTTCTTCCAGGAAGCCATGTCGGTTGATAAAGAGCTGGTCGTCATGCTTCATGGTCGCTTGGCCAGACTCCCAAGCAGACTGGAAGATGGGGGCAAAGTCTTCATAGAGCTCGAACCAGCCCTCCGAAAACCGCTTGCCCATGAGGGATGGATGCTTGCTTCCCGCCAATGCCACATATGCGGCATTGTAGATGCTGACATACTCGGGGCCCCAGTACATGGCGGCCGGGTTGGGGCTTCCCATGACCAGGTTCGCCATGGCCCTCAGGTTGTATCCCCATTCGCTTATGGGGCCAAGAGGCGTTGAAGCCCAATCCACCGATTTTGCCAATTTGATGTGTTCGGGCAAGCTGTCGCTGTACGGGATCCTGGTCCAGTCGAAAGTCGACCTTACAGGCTGCGACTGCAGTACCTCGTTGGTGAAGTCATCGGGATGTCGCCGGTTGATGTCGTACATCGGCTTGATGGTGCCGGTTGCGGGAGTCGTGTCGGCTGTGTCCATGGGCTCACTGGTGCTCTTGTCGGTAGCGGCGCCAAAGTAGTCGGGCGGCTCGGGAATATCGCCAGCGGGTGTAGCTGGAGTCGATATGCAACCGCCACTGTCGTCCTGCCCTAGCATGGGTGCATCCCCCTCCCCATCCTCCTCCTCCTCTTCCATCATGACGGGCATTGGCGAGGCTGCGTGAGCGGTGGGTTGGCAGGTAATGTTTCCGCTGATGAATCGAAACCGACGCCTCAAAGTTGTGGCCACCCACGTAATCCCCCCGTATTCGTATGTTGATGAAGGAACATTGGGCGAGTCTGCACCAGTGGCCATCACCCAGGCCTTGAACTCGTTGAACTCGTCTGAAGGCTCCGGACTGGCAGGGTTGTCTCGGTCGGGGTTCAGAAGACCGTGGATAGACTCAGCCGCTCGCAGAGAGGAATTGTGGTACACCGTAGGTAAGCCCGGGCGATGGGCGTTTGCCGGGTTTGCTAGGTCTATCAAGAACGTGGGCCTGTCATCATGCTCGAGAAGTTCGAGAACGCCAACACCCTGAAGCATTTGCAAGCCAGGGGGCAGGCTGCGCATATCAGGGCTTAGTGAGGGTGCCGACATGTCCATGGACGACGGCGTGCTGCCAGAGAGGGCGGCGCTCGTGGAGCTGACGCTCGCTCTCGGGAGCTTCAGCGTCGTGACCACGCCCGAGGTTTCGTCGCGGGCATGTGCCAGGATGGCGGAGGCCACGTCCGAGACAGGGACGCTGTGAGGGCGATTAAAGTGCCTCGCAGGGGCGTGAGAAAAGAAGAGAGGCGAGACGGCATCGTCGCGATTCAGCTGGAGTGAGCCCACGGAGGATAGGGGGAAGGAGGCGTCGCCCAGCATCTCGAGTCTCCGAGGAGGCGAGGCTCCGGTGCGAGCCTTCTTGAGCGGTGCCGATCCCATTGCTTGGTCGTCCTTGACCTTGCGCGACTGGCGCTTTCCGATGCTGTCCGCAGACGAGAGACTGGCAGCCACGGCCTGGTTGAGGCTGGGGAAGCTCCTGTGCGATGGCAGGGCTGCGATGGGAGACCTTGGAGACCTTGGAGACGTAGGGGGTGGCGAGCCAACTCGGGATATGTGGTTATTGTCGGCATGCCATGGCGTCGGCAAGCCTGCCGAATGGTGTCTCGAGTGGTCCAGGCGGCCCTGCGAAAGGTGAGAAGCGGTGCTGCGGAAGGGTGAGGTGACCCTCTCCAGCGCGGCGGCGAGAGGTCGCGGAGAGGTCGCAGCAGTTTCCTCACCAGCAGAGACGGCGGCGGGATTCGGCAGCCCGGAATCAAACGCGCCGGAAGCCCGATTCGACGGCGATGCTGACGACGCCTGTGAGATGGCAGCAGAAGAAAGGGTGGAGGCTGAGGTTGAGGCTGGAGCAGAGGCGAAATCAGAGTCAGAGACGGGCGCGGAGGCAGAGGCGGAGGCAGAGGCGAAGCCAAGGCAGTCTGCGGAGCTGTCGACCTGATCCTGCATCAAGGCGCCGGAGGGGGGATTAAACGAGGGCGAAGATGCCAGAAGGCAAAAAGAGAAACGGCTGCCGGTTCGATGCGATTCGAAAAAACCTGGCACGGCACCAGAACACGAACACGGCAGGCCGATGAAGACCAAGACCCAAGATTCGGCCTGCACTGACGGACAGCGGGGTTATGGAGAGATGCCGCGCTACCAGAGCGTTCGAGCCTTGCAAGGACTGGCCGGAATAGCGCACTGTTAGGGACCTGGGAAAGCTAGGCCCAGTAGGGGGTCGAGATCGAGATGGCCCGGCGAGCGAGGGTTTGGGTGGATGATGGATGGGGTGGATAGCGGAGCGTTGATCCTCGCTGGAGACAGAGCCGCACCTCCAACGGCCGCGGGGGGGCGTCAACGGATGCGAACGAGCGAGACAGCGGGCAGCAGACGGCTGGAGATGGGTTGACGGAGAGATGTGGCGTGTGTAGACGAGACGGCAGTGTCAGGAGGAGGATGGGGGAGGAGGTGCTGTGTCTTGTCTCGGGGGGGAAGAGAAGAGGTGAGGCGAAGCAAAAGGCGATGGAATCCAATGACCAAGAACCGTCTGTATCCTGCTTCTGCTTATCGAGGAATTCTCAGAGACGATCGATCCGGCAGGGCTTATCAGCGCGAGTGATGACGAGACCGCGCGGAATTCCGTGCTATACAGGATGAGAGAGCAAAAGGGGGATCAGACGGCAATCAAACAGCACACAGCTTTGATGAGCGAGCGAGAGGCGACCAGGGCCGAGCCATATACAGGTATAGCACGGGCACAGCAACAGGTACAGGCACAGGCACAGGCACAGTTACGTACAGGCAACAGCTGCAGAGATGCGTTTTGACCGAGTCGGATCGCAAACCTGCACGTCGTCGCAAGTCCGTGACGAGCTTGGCTTTTGCTTGGCCGTTGATCCAGGGCCGCCGTAGGTCGAGGAGCTCGGAGTCTAAAGGTCTAGAGCCAGGGGAAGGTTGACAGTCCCGACAATAAGGGTCGCCTGGTGGTGGGACTGCTGATCTGATCAGCACCGACTCTGGCTGTGGAGATGCAGCAGTCAATCGCGAGCACAGCGCTGATCACCAGCAAAATCATCGATGCCAGCAGCGCGAACTAGACGCTCCAGAGCGCTGCGATGCCATGCCGGCACCTGGACCGCAGATGCATGCTAGCAGTGCACGCCACGCCGAGCTCTCCTGCTAGCAGCTGGGCGGGTGCCACGACGCGGACGAGGTACCGTGCTAACAGCCCGGCGATGGCCATTGGACGCTTCGCGCGAGCAACGCAGGGAGAAGACGGGGGGCAACAGCGCTGTCTCGGTGGGGGATGCAGAAGGGCCCCATCCGCTCCAAGGTCTGCTCATCACGGGTCCTGCTATTTGCCGTCCGTTTTTTTGTCTTCCAACTTTTTGCTTTAAACTCAGCCTGCCTGCTTCCAACATCCCGAGGGACACACCGTAAGCACATGGTGATATGGGTGCTCCCCGCTGCGGACACTGTGCGGTGCCCCAGCCCCAGGGCCTTTTCAGGGAGTCGGTCTTCGCTGTGGCATAGTGCATATCAAGACTATGCGCACCGTCGCGTCTCGACCAACTTTCTTACGCCTTGCGAGGTCGAGGATGGAGCTCCTCGGGTAATCCCCATCCTCCAAGGCCGCCTGCTAACAGGGATTCGCGTTCGAGATAGAGGACGTTCTCAAACTGTGGTGGACTCCAGCAGACGTACTCGTACGAGCATACAGAGATTTGCAACAAGTCGTTTGTCTTGTCCGTATTATGGAAGTTGACCGATGCTACACACAAGAGAGAGAGACAGACAGCACGCAAACCGCAACATCGATATCCATGTGTGAGGGTTATACAAGTACACACGCAGTTCTCGTCATACAGCTGTATGTAAGAAGTACAATTGTATCTTGCTCCATCCTTGCTGCTGAATGCAAAAAAAATCCTTTCTGATTTCTGAGCGCGAGGCAAATTCAGAGTCACGCTGGGCCTCGACTTGCACCATCGACCGGTCTAGAATTCTTTTGCGCCGCCGACTAAGGACAGGGGCCGGAGGATGAAAAAACTGGGTTTTTAGGGCGGCAAAAAGGGAAGAAAAAAGCGTTACGCGGAAGATTTAGTGAAGGAGAGGTCGAGGACACCGGCCAGTCCAGGCTGTTCCTTTGGTTGCATTTTCTTCTCTTAGTTGAAGACCCTGTTGGAGACTTCAAGAACACCCACTAACATGAACGTTCGCGCATTCACGAGCTTGCGCAGATCATGTACTTTTTGGTGGCATAAGGTTGGCATGGCTGTTCCCATTTGAAGAGAAGCTGGAGGGTCTAGATCCACCCCAACATCGCCCCCTCCACCCGGGGAAAAAATGGATATCAGGGAAAGGAAAAAAGGAAAGAAAAGAAAAGAAAGAAGAAATGTTCAGGAAAAAGAGGGTTCGCCTAAGACATCTCGGTAGAGCAAGATCTGGGCGTCTTGCTGCATGACATTTGTTGAGAGATACAAGTAGGAACATGGTTGAATTGGGGGAAATGACGGCATGTCGGCCTTTTCACACAGGCATGCATGCAATACGGAAAAAGCAAGAGTAGTCTTCATGCGTTGTCCTTATTGACAAAACTGCTTCTGCGCAATGCATTGCGCCTCTCCAGGTGATGGTTTCATTACATCAGTTGCTCCCGGCAGGTATTCGCCCTCTCAGAGTTGATGCGTCTCGTCATGCCCGGCGGTGATGACCTACTGCCTGTTAGGTATCATACCTCATGTATTTCATGTGGTAACGGAATACAGGTATGGCACCAAATTGCGTAGGAAAACCAGAGACTTCATGTTGACTGCAGACACGTGGTGGGTTCGCCTCCAAAACGCCTGGGAGCAATTTGTCCAGGTTGTCTCGAGGAAATAATAGAGATGACGTGCCTCTAGTACCTGAAGGCGAAAATATACCCGTTCTTGCCATTATCCCTCGTAGGCTTTGCTCCGACTACTCTCTATGTACTTTGCAGATCCTGCCATTTCATGAAATCCATATTGAATGACATCGCTGAACCGTTTTCCATCGCCGGAATGGCCTTCATCAAGTTAAAAGCATCTAGAAGCACGCATTGGCAATGCCCATCATACTATGAGAGTGCTACACCCTGAACAGGATAAGACCTTCTTGTCCATCTCATTTAACATACACGTTTGTTACAAGTCAAACGCAGATAGCAGCAGAACATGACGTTGCAGAGCTCTGATATCAATTAGTGCTAGTAGCCGAGTACTTCCGGCCTTACCCTCAGAAGGCTATCGCAAGAGTGTTTGAGTGTTCCTCGGCTCAAGAGTGGCTTCAAGATCGACAAACGTCGATAAAGGACCGCTCGTCCAATTGTTGCAACACTTCGTAATCAACGTATCTTCCAGTGCTCCGTCCAAACCCTAGAGGCTGTTCATCCGAAATTTCCTCCACAGCCAAGAGTACATGCATGGTGCTCTCTGCTGAGTGCGGTTCTCGCCTACACTCTTTGTCTCGTCTTGCCGCGCGAGATGGCCGGGTGCCATCCCGAGCGGAGAAACAGGTGGGGGCCGAAAAGACGAAGATGGCACAGCACCCTTGTAAGCCTGTCTCGAGGCCCTTATCACACAATTCCGTCTTGCAGCTTGTCTGCAGTTGATTAGTTGTTGCTACTACATAGTATTGGGGAAAGGCGTGGTGTTGGATTTGAGAAGCAAAATGCCACAGCGGAAGAGGCGTCGCCATCTCAAAGCCAAGAGGCAAGAGGTCAAGTCAGCTTACTCAGCCCTCTCTGGCTTCCACCGGGATGGCAGAGCAAAGTGTCTTGTCCACGCCACGCTACGAAGAAGGTTGATGCACAAGAACGGGAGGATTTGGGTCCCTTGCATGGCATGAGGTGCTTGTAGTATTGTATGGCGGCTTGAAAGACGGTAGTGATAGTGATGATAGTGCTATGGATGCATGTGTGAACCAACAACGAAGCTCCTCGCAGCTCGCATTTCCCCTCTTTAAAGCACCGCAAAGGATGGCTCCCAGACCGTAAGATTGGTGGCGCCCAGGCACCGCTTAAAGCCAGAGACAGGCCCAATGGCCAAGACGCACGCCGGCACACCAGTGGCGCCACCCATCTGGCCGTGTCACCGAATAGGAACTCGAGGGCGTTGATGCGCGAACCCATGGAACACGAAGAAGTGCTTGTGCTAACTCGTACTCCGTGGTACTACAACTCCGAACCAACATGTTGCGGATGGATGCCGAGCCGGGCGATAGCTGCTGCAAGAAACGTGCTCGGCATCACCAGCAGCAAGGGATCGGGCGCATAAACCACGAGCTCCTGCGGCCGAACTATCCATCTCATTTCGATATTCTCCTCGCTCCCAGTCAAAGACCTTGACGGAAAAAAAAGGCACTCAACCGCTGTCGCATTCGCCCATCACGGCCGTCCTCATTGGCCCGGCGCCGCCAATCGTGCCATGCATCTGCGATCGTGGGCGCTTAAAACAACTGGAGAGCCGCCGCTGCGATTGGCCCGGCCGGTTGCCTGTCACCCGCCAGCCGCCCAATCAGGGCCCGTGCAGCCCATCACAGGCTCAAGCGCCCGCACCCTGCAGAGACCAGCCCTAAGTGCTTCCCCACCTCCCCCCCCGGCGAGCAGCGCTGAGCTGCCGTCCAAGCAGTGCAAGCAGTGGCCTCAGTGGTTCGCTGAAAGGACCGAGTGGCAGCAGCCAAGAGGCGCCGGTTCCCTCTCACGGGCCCTTTAAACGGCCTGCATCCCCCCTTCAAAGCAGCGGAGGGATGGGGGATTCGATCTTGATCTGATTTGATTTGACAAGTTTGCGACGACTTCGACTGCAGGAGCTGAGCGTGTTTCCGCAGTGGCTTTGACGATTTCATCTTGGCAGAAGAAAAGAGACAGACAGCCTGGAGCTGAAGCACGGGCGTCATTTCTCTGCTGCATCTCGACGACAACTCAGAGACGAGCTGAGAGAGACCTTGGGCGCGGACGCAGCGGATCGATCGATCGGGTTCGGAGCGCGTCTGCAGACATGAGCCTCTGAGCCTGCCGCGAATCTGAGCTCCCTGCATACGATACATGCAACCAACGACCGGAGGATCCGATTTCGGACAGACCATTCAGTATCGCGAGCGACCCGAGTCGACCAGCAAGAGATAGGAACATTCTCCATCAACCGACGCAAGAGAGAAGAAGACGTATAGACCTTAAGACGACCAAAATGGGCATCCTGAGCAACACTCGCTCCCGGCCGTGGACCTATCACGTCCTCCATCGCAAATGGCCCCGAGTCCCGCGGCTGGCCATCCGCTGGCTGATGCTGGTGGAATTCATCGGCCTCGTGCCCATCCTCACCATCTTCGGCCTCTCCCAGCCGGACCTCTATCGAACCGCCATGTGGAAGATTGGCTGGGACCACCGCCTCAACTCGAACCCCGACGTCATCCTCTTCGCCTATGCCAACCATGTGCCTCAGCCAAAACTGCCTCTCATCTGGTCCAGAACGTCAGTTGTATCTGCGAAGAAAGAGGAATAAAAGCAAAGAAAATCCGTGTGCTGACTGCTCAACAGATTTACCGACTACAATGTCGCCATCTCCGTCATCTCGCTCTTCTTCCTCCTCACCAAGCTCATTGCCGTCATCATGCGGATTTGGTATCCCATCGTGTCCACTGTCGCCAGCATCGCCCTGGTTGCGCTCTACACCGTCAGCGTCTACGGCCAGGTCGGCCCCGACCACAGCGACCCGAGATATCCGGCGCCGGCAGCGTGGTACTTTCGATATGGCTGCGACATGGCCAAGCCGTATGGGCAGCTTACCAACTGCAAGATTGCGCAGGCCTCGCTCTTCATCACACTGTACATGCTGTACGTCGCCCAGTGTCCACCAGTGCATTTGCAATTTTCATGCTAACTTTCCTTCTCTCTCTCAGTACCGCTTACTTGATCATGCTCGGATTTTCGCTCTATGCCATGTGGCCCAACCCGCTCAACAACTTGGACACCGACGAAGATGAGGACGACGAGGCGGCGAGCATCAAGGATGGCAAGAGCGTGGAGATGAGCGGCCTCAAGACGCAGTGGGCATCGGGAGCCATGCCCTACACGCCCAGGACGCAGGCCTTTCACACGCTCGACCGCAAGCTCCCGCTAAGACAGGAGCACGAGGCCATGATGTACTCTTGAAAGCCATGCGCTTCTTCTTTGTACCTTCATACTTTCTTTTGTCCCCTTGATGTATGCCTGTTGATGAATGGGCGGGTTGGGCTCGCCCGATGGGAAAACCGGCGCAAGGCGTTCCATGCTTGCATGCATGCAAAACGGTGGTTAATGATGCAAAGGCCCTGGAGGCCGCGATGAGGCACACTTACAGAAACTGCCTGCCACCCCTTTCTTGATTATCTTGTCTCCTTTGTCCTGTACATATAACAGATCTATATACCCACATATGATGAACAATTCAGATCTAAATTGGCTGTTAATTCCATCCGGAGTCGGGAGGTGTAAGTAATCAAGTCGAGTCAAGACGGGCTCTTCCGTTCCGGCCCAGTTCCCGGAATCGCCTCAATCCAGACCGGCCCGGCCTCTGCACACAGGCAATAAACGGCCACAGAATGGAGATTCCCGCTGGAGGCACTCCAACTCCACCGGCTCAGGCCCTCTTTTAGAGATCGAACCCTGCAAATCGCAACCCTCGGCAATGTGTCCCCCCTCAAACCCCGCCTGCAACTGCTTGAATCATGGACGTCACCGGTTTGCGCATCGCCGTGTCACCCCGTTGGACGTCACAGCCTCTTGTTTTCCCCCGCCTCCAACCGCACTTCTCGAACCCGGGCCGGTCTTGTTTGAGGCGCGCCTATTCCTCCGCATTTCGCATTTCCAATCCACAGCAATTCGTCCACTCCAATTGCCCAGGCTGCCGGTTCCTGTCTGAGAAATCGTGAAGCCGAAATATATTAGCTTGACTCGTTCCTCCTTTTTTTTTGTTGGTCTTCTTCTCCCCTCTTTTTTTCCTGTCCCTCATGGCTTTGTTGCATAAACTTGCTTCTCCCTCGGCTCTTCGCTTCGCTCCCGGTATATCGTCACTCCTCGTCAGAAGAGCTTCCACCATGGCCCCCAAGGTGAGTTTGCGCAATTTGTCTACGGAACCAACTGCAACAAAAAAGACTAACCCAATGCTACAGCTCAGAGATCCGTCCCTGCTGAAGCAGAACGTCTGCTACGTCAATGGCGAGTGGGTAGCCGCCAAGTCGGGCAAGACGTTCAAGGTTCACGGTAAGCCGCCACCAACCGTCAGATGCCAAATTCCCATCGCTGTGTCTCTCTACCGCTACCAAAGCGAACGATGACTGACTGTTTGCCTGTCTTCCTCCATCGCCAGACCCTGCCACCGGCGAAGTGATCGGAACAGCCCCCGAGTTCACGCCCGCCGACACCGAGTCCGCCATCACCGCCGCCGCCGACGCCTTCAAGTCCTTCCGCACGCTGACCGGCCGCGAGCGCGCCAAACTGCTGCGCAAGTGGTACGACCTGGCGGTGGAAAACGCCGAGGACATTGCCCAGCTCATCACCTGGGAGAACGGAAAGCCGATTGCGGATGCCAGGGGCGAGGCTTCGTATGCCGCCAACTTCTTTGAGTGGTTCAGCGAGGAGGCGCCGCGCACATATGGCGATGTCATCCCTGCCACCGTGCCTGGAAACCGGGTGTGGACTATCAAGGAGCCTGTTGGTGTCTGCGGCTTGATTACTCCGTACGTGGACCAACCCGGCAACTCGCCTTTATGGGCATCATGTTTCTGTGTACCTGTTTTGCTAACGCAGTCCGAATGCAGATGGAACTTCCCCGCCGCCATGATCACGCGAAAGATTGGCCCAGCTCTGGCTGCTGGCTGCACCGTCGTCTGCAAGGCTCCCGGGGAGACGCCCTTCACGGCCCTGGCGCTGGCTGAGCTGGCTCACCGCGCGGGCATCCCCAAGGGCGTTGTCAACATCGTGACGACGCTGGACAACACCATTGCCATTGGCGAGCAGCTGACGACGCATCCCACCATCAAGAAGGTTTCCTTCACCGGCTCCACGACCGTCGGCAAGCTGTTGATGAAGCAGTCATCCGGCACGCTCAAGAAGTTGTCCTTGGAGCTCGGTGGAAACTCTCCCTTTATCGTCTTTGACGACGCAGACATTGACGTAGCCGTGACGGCGGCCATCACGTCCAAGTTCCGCTCCTCGGGCCAGACCTGCGTGTGCGCCAACCGAATCTACGTCCAGGAGGGCGTCTACGAGGCCTTTGTGAACAGGTTTGTCGAAAAGGTCAAGTCCTTCAAGGTCGGCAACGGTTTCGCCGAGGGCACCACCCACGGCCCGCTGATCCACGACCGCGCCGTCTCCAAGGTCGACGCCCACGTCCAGGACGCCATCAAGAAGGGCGCAAAGCTCCTCGTCGGCGGCCAGAAGCTGCCCGACATTGGCTCCAACTTCTTCGACCTCACCGTCCTGCGCGACATGACGGCGGACATGCAGCTCGCCTCTGAGGAGACGTTTGGCCCCGTTGCCGGTCTCTTCCCGTTCAAGACGGAGGCCGAGGTCGTTGCGCTGGCCAACAACTCCGAGGTCGGCCTCGCTGGCTACTTCTGCTCCCGCGACCTCGAGCGGGTACACCGAGTTGCCGAGGCTCTGGAGGTTGGCATGATTGGTGTCAACACGGGCATCATCTCCGACCCGGCGGCGCCGTTTGGTGGTGTCAAGGAGAGCGGCTTCGGCAGGGAGGGGTCAAAGTATGGTATTGCAGAGTACCAGGTCACCAAGATGATTACCTACGGCGGCATGGGCAAGCCTCTGCAGAGCTAAATGTGGGATGATTGTAAGAGTAGATTAGCGTTGTTTTTGACATGATGAAATCAAAATAATGAGACTGTACATATATACCTAGATGTTGACTTGAACCAGAATCTGGGTTGTATGATATGAGTCTTCTTCCCGCCATCATGATATACGTAGAGCGCCTTTCGGTTAAGACGGCGGTTTCAGTCCAGCGAATAGCAACCACGCTATACCAGAATGCCAAAAGGGCCAATACTCGGGATCACATCTTGCTCTGCCCAACTCAATCTCTGCCTACGCTCTCATTCACCCATACAGCAAAGACGGCATCTCAAAAAGGCTTCGAATTATTGCAAGCGACTACTAGGTAGTAGCTACTACAAAGGTCTATAGGCTTCTTTAGCAGACAAGCTCCACAATACCAGTCACACGACACAGACTATGTGGCGCAGTGGCTAGCGCAGTCGCCTTACATGCAATAACGCGAAAGGTCGCAGGTTCGAACCCTGCCATGGTCATTTCCTTCTTTTGCTGGAAAAGCATCTCTTTTTTTTTTTCTTTGTGCAGTTTCACTCATCTTGAAGCTTTTGGACTCTCCTCGTGTAAAGTTCTGAGAGCGAAGAGGACGGTCGCGGTGTAATTGATATCTATGTAACTGGCTGTGCGGTTTGCGGTTGCTCGAGAGAAGTATGGGCGGGGTTAGAAGAGAGCTTGTATGTAACTTGAACTTCATTCAGAATGTGCCACGGTCGAGGACATCTGTCTATTGTATGGCTAGAACCTAATTGGAGATCTGCTTCAGTGAGTATAGGAAGCATTTTGGGAATGATGATTGTATATATATCCGAAATAGACCTTATTCAAACTCCTCCAGGGAAGTCATTCGTTCCCCAAAGCTGTTTTGCCGTTGCTCTGGCTTGCACCAAGCATCGTTTTATCTTATCAGCCCACCAGGTACAGGTACGTCACCCCCACCTCCCGCATGGAAGCTTCTGCAAGCTCTTAACAGAAACGTACAAGCATCAACCACCCAAGACTCGACAACAACCCAATTCCACCCCAAACTCCATCACTCATCATGGCATTGCCTCGCTCCAGCAGCCTCATCAGCCATGGCATGCGCCTCATCGCGCAAGCGGAAGGGTAGAAACAACCATCTATAGCACCCCAATTGTCCCAAACTCACAAGATAGTACTAACATACATGGAAACAATCACAGCCGGCACCTCGCCAGCCTCTCTCCTCCGACGACCGCCTCATTGACGACCCTCACACGAATTTCTTCCACCCCATCCTCCGCCCGCTCATTCAACACCTCAGCAAGCCTCCTCAAAAAGCGCAAAATCGCCCCCGCGAGCAACAGCCCATCCCACTCCCACTCACCATCCTCCTCAACACCACCATCCTCCCCCAAGGCCGACAAGAGCAGCAACAACAACAGCCCGCAGCCTAACCCCGAAGACCCCCTCGACTTCTCCTCCGTCCTCGCCGCCTACGCCACCATAGACGCCCACTTCAAGGCCCAGCTTCAGGCCGTCCTCCACGGCGGCCGCTTCAACCCCGACGTCCTCGGCGCCCTCCCCGTGACGGTAAAGTCCCCCGACGACCCCGAGCACCACGCCAAGGCGACCTTCCCGCTGCGCGAGCTCGCCCAGATCGTGCCCCGCTCGGGGAGGATCATCTCCCTGCTCGTCAACGAGCGCGAGTACATCAAGCCCATCATGTCCGCCGTCCAGGCCAGCAAGGACTTCAACCAGCAGCCCCAGCGCTCCGAGGACAACGAGCTCGAGCTGCTGCTGCGCGTCGAGATGGAGCGCAAGGAGGACCTCGTGCGGCGCGTCAAGGAGGCCTGCCAGGCGTGGAGGGAGCGCGTGCGGCAGGCGCGCACCAAGCACGAGAAGGCCCTCAAGGAGTGGAAGAAGAACGGGACCGTGCTGCCGGACGTGGTGAGGAAGGCGGACAAGGAGCTGCAGAAGGTGCAGGATAAGAAGATGAAGGAGATCGATGGCGAGGAGGCGCAGGTGATCAAGCAGCTTGATCGAAGGTAGAGGACGAGTTTTCAAATTTGATATATGTGGTACTGCTTTTTCAGATACCATGTTGTTCACTTTGTATATAATGCATTTACTTAAATCTCAAATATCATAACGTTTTCCATATCAAACGAATCCGTATCTTTATACCATCCTTATTTTTTACTCGTACAAGATAATAACCCCCCCTTAAACCTCGCGTTTCCCAACCCCCTTTACGACGCCTTCGCCTGGCTCTTCACAGCCCCCTTCCCACCAACCGCCAACAACGACACCAGCTTCTTCTCAAACCTCTCCACATCCCGCTGCGTGTACGTCCCGGCCCGCAAATGCCACGCCCTCGCGATGCCCACCGGGTCCGTCGCAAACTTGGGCGCCTCGTGCTTGCCCTGCACCGCGTGATCCACGACGACCTTGCGCACGGCCTCCTCCGCGTCCCGGATGATGGGCTCGCGCGGCATCTCCTCCTCGGCCTTGCCCTCGGCGAGCAGCCTCTCCCGCCTCTGCTCCTGCAGGTACCGCTCCGCCGCCTCGCGCGCCTTGCCGTCGGCAAAGAAGCGCACCCCGCCGTTGCCCTCCACCTCGGCCGCGTAGCTCTTGGCCTGCAGGTTCTGCGGCACGCCGACGGGGTCCCCCCGCGCGCCGAGCACGGCCAGGTCCTCCATGACGGCCGCCAGCCGGGCCTCCGGCGTCGACGACGGCGCCGCCGGCACAAACGCCGCCAGGTCCTCCTTGCTCAGCGACGGCTTGTACTCGGTCCTCGTGCCGAACCGCGCCGCGTCGTCAAACTGCTGCTCCTGCGGATCCATCCTCTCAAACGGATCCTGCCGCTTGCCCCTCGGCCCCGCGGCGCCGGCCTTGCTGTCGCCGGCCTCGCCATCTGGCTTCTTCGTCGTCGCCGTTCTGCCCCGTCCGCCGCCGCCGCCCCCTCGGCCGCCGCCCTGCGCAGAGCCGCCCCGTCCCCTCGCGGCGCCCGCGAACCGATTCCCGCTCGGCGAAGCAGCACGAGGAGCACCACCTGCAGCAGCACCGCCTCGCCCTCGTCCTCGCAGCCCACCCCGCCCCCTCAGCATCCCTCCTCTGGGCAGACTCCGCACATCAATGACCCTGGGCTGCTGCGCCTGCGAGCCGTCCGCCGCATTCGTTGGTTTCCGTGACTCCTGAGCACTGCTGTTCCGGTCCTTGACGAGGGCATTGATCTCGCTGACCGCCGCCCGGGTCCGCTGTCGAGCCGTGGTAGGCCTGGCATTTCCGCTGCCGCTGCCGCTGCCGCTGTTGTTGGTCGGAGGGGAAGAAGAAGCCTCGTCGAGTTGCGATTGCGTCGTGGAGAAGTGGCGGAAGTAGCCTCTCAGGGCTTGTCCGGCCTGCGCCAGCTCTGGCCTCGCCCGGTACACCGAGCGGAGTGTCTGAGAGCTCATGGCTGGCTGTGTGGGTTTTGGTGGTGGTTTGGGAGTCTGTGTCGTTGTGGAAAAGTGGGATGATGGACGGGATGCGAAGAATCCAAATTTCTGTCGTGTGATGACTAAGCGCTCAAGGACGCTTCAAAGCCGCTCCCATTAATACAGCGAGGAGCACAAGTAATAAGGCGATTAAATAATATCAATAAGCATCTCAAATTCATATGGCATTGGAGTTGTTTTATCGCTACAGTCTTGATTGGCATAGACAAGACAACGTTCAGATATTACGATACTATATCGATGGAATAGAATCCCGAGCACCATCACAGGCTGAGTCACACGAGCGTCGTCACACATTTGGACCTTGTCTTCTCCATTCCCTTGTTTTTGTCGCTTTTCTTCCTTGAGGATATTCCCATAGAGCTTCTACTCCAAGCTAGCCTGAGTGGGAAGCACATCGTCCAACGCCGTAAATGATGCTGCGAAAGCTTCCAGCGCGAGCCCATCTTGTATGAGGCCGCAGTCAACGCTTCCCAGGTCCTGTGAATGTAGACCTCCAGACCTCCCTTGCTTACACGACTCATACACCAACCCATACACTATCCCATGTCTGTGGCGCCGATTTGTATTGAGAAGAAGACAAGAAGAGCAAGAAAACAAAAGAAGAAAGAATAACTGATAAGATGTTGATAACCGCCCGGCCATAGAGAGTGAGGCCCAATAACAAAGGCGCAGTGCCAAGATACCGTTCCAGGCCTTGGCTCAGACAATTACGTCTTGCTGCTCTGATAAAGCCAGTCAAACCGACTGCACGACACGGTTGTTACCCCGTGGCTGCGGCAGCCACATATGCTGTGTTGTCTCGCCATCCTTGATCACATGGGCACGTAGCCCCTCTCGAGATATCGTATAAGGATGGATGGCGCCGTCTGCTGGCAAATCTCAAGTCTTCTCTTTTCCAACTGTTTTTCTGCCATGAAAAAAGAAACAGAGACACGAAGAGAAGGAGACGCAGAGAGGGGAGAGTAAGGAAATGGAGAGATGGCCCGCGGGCGCAGTCTCTCGGAACTCGTGCGGTTAGACACTCTGTGGCATAACACTCGCAGGCTGTCCCAATCGTTAGCTAACAAGTCGACTTGACGGTTCAACAGCTCACTCACAGGACTGTTTAACATCTGCTGGCGTTTGCTGCGGCCCTTCTTGATGTGGCTCTTGAGAGCGCTGGAGTCGAGGGGCTTCAGAAGCTCGAAGCTGCATAGCAACTCGGACGACACGGACATGACGGCACCCCAATTGTCGAATTCACCACAATACTGCCGGCTGTTAGTCAGAAACGACAACGGCAGCAGAGGCCAGAGCGCATGCTCGAGACTTACATTTGGCGCACTGAAAACGGTCACCAGAACTCGGTCGTTGAAGAACTCGTAGCCGTCTTCCACCACCATGTGGGCGCGGCAGACCAGGTCAAAGTCGTGCGTGGCCAGGAAATCGGTAATGACCCGTTTTCCGAAGCAGTAACTCACACCTCGCTCGTTGGCTTCCCAATCTTGCTCCATATCGGCCGGGTCGGCCCAGAGAAGATCGTTGAGCAGCCCATAGTCGGGAACGTCGGTAGGGCGAGCAATGTTGCGAATGTCGTCCATGTGGCTCAGCGCGGGCGACAGGCCTCCGTGGACGCAAAAGATCTTGCCGGCAACAATGGCGGCGATGGGAAGCGTGTTGAAGCAGTCGATGAACGTCTTCCAGATCTTGATGTTGCACCGTCGCTTGCATTCGTCATAGAAGCCATAGACTCGGGTCACGTTGGCGCACTCGTGGTTGCCTCGCAGCAGGAAGAAGTTCTCGGGAAACTTGAGCTTGTAGCAGAGCAGCAGCAGAATCGTCTCGAGGGACTGCTTGCCTCTGTCGACGTAGTCTCCGAGGAAGAGGTAGTTGGACGTGGGGGGGAAGCCGCACATCTCGAACATGCGGATGAGGTCGGTATATTGGCCATGGACGTCGCCGACAATCTTGACCGGGGCGTCGAGCTCCAGCAGGGCGGGCTGGGCCAGGAACACCTCTCGCACCCGCGCACAGATGGCCATGATCTCCGCATTCTTAAGGCATACACTCTTGGTGACCTTGCCGGCGTATCCAGCGTCGAGGAGGCGCTTGATGTAATCGTCAAGGTCCATCTCCTTGATCTCGTCCATGCCCATGGTATCATTCTTTGGCTTCTTTGGCGGCTTCTTGACGGGGGCATCTTCGCGCTTCACCAGGATGGACTGGCCCGGGGACAGCAGATGCGTGTTGAGGCTGGCGTTGGCCGAGGGCGGCTGGTCGGAGACGTGGTCGACCTCGCCCGAGGCTTGCGCGGCGCTTACATCGTGGGTGCCGCTCTTGACCGATTCGGAGACGGGCGACGGCGGCGGTATCTGACCGTCCCCGTCCTCGTGCGAGGGCGGGTCCGACGACAGATCGACCGAGTTTCCCCTCAGCGGGATCGTATCGCTGCTGCGGCCGGAACGCGAGATGCTGGAGCGGCCACTCTTGCCCGAGCGAACGGAGGCGGCATCGGCCGCGTCGCCGTTGCCCACGATGGAGTTCCTCGGGCTGTCAGTCTTGCCGCTCCCCGGGATTTTAGACCGCAACCCGCGAAAAGACCGAGTCGAGTCCTTGGTGTCCGACTTGCTGAAGGAAGGGTACGACTGGAGAGCGTCTCCGGAGCCGGAGCCGTTCTTGGAAGAGGAGCCGCCCTCCTTGGAAGATTGGTTGCCCATTATGGGTTGTGAGCGGGAGCGTGAGGTGTAGAGAGCCCGCGGTGGGAGGGGCTTGTCGGCTGTGCTTGTCAGACAGCCAAGTGGGAGAAAAATAAAATCGGTAGAGAGAGGGAGAGTCGCGAGACTGGGGGGAAAGCTCGGGTCTGTGTGCCTCGCTGGCAGACCCCGGCGTCAGGTCGTCGTCAGAGGATTTGTTATCGTTTCGGCAGTTCGCGCGTCCCCGTGGCGAAAATTGGTCGTGTGGTCGTAGTGTCTAGGGGGAGGCGGGAAAGGTCAAGGTGTGAGTAACGGCAGTCCCAGCCCGTCTTAGGGAGGATGGAATCGTCGACCGAGGTCGGTAAAGAAAGAGGACCGCTGGCTCCTTGGAGCGTCCGTTTTGGTTGTCTTAGGCGAGCGCCTAGGAAGACAGGCCAGCTTGAGAGAGCTTACCGGAGCTCTGCGGATGACGTCGTGGTCGTGGCTCGTGACTCTGGGTCGAGACCGGCAGCTCTGGAAACTGCGCTCCGGCTCAGGAACAGCGAAAGGTCAGGCCGGGGGGTGATGCAAATGGTGGAGATGCGAAGGTGGTCTCGGCCGTACAAGGGGAGGAGAAGGCAAGGTGGAAAAAAATTCTGGACGGCGGGAGTCAGCGCGGCCGATCCGGAGCAAGCGTGGACTTGTATGCGTATGCGTGTGTGTGGGTGTTTCTGCTGCATCCGCAGAACTGCAGCAGGGCGCATGGGCGGGGTGTATTTCGATAGTACTACTAGTAGTAGTAGGAGCCAGAGGGTGCTGGGGATTGGGCAATGGGACGATGGCCAAGGACCTGGGCTAGGTACTTGTAGCCGGAGCCTTGATAGATAACAACCTGGACTGAAGCAGCACGGCTATGGCGGAACAGGCCAACAGCACAGCCCTGCGGCAGGTTGAGTCGCGGGCCAGGCAGAAGACGACGACAGGAACGAGGCAGCACGCTTTGATCAGTCGTCCGCCTGCTTGGTGACTCGCGAAAGGGCAGAAACAGAAATGAAAGGCAGAAGACGATGGAATTGGCAGGAAAGGGTACCTTGCAGATCCTGCGCCAGCTCGAGACAGGGCCTTACGTCCTCCAAGACATGGATCGGACGTGCGTAGGGGCAGCCAAGGTCTCGGGACGGCGGCAGACGATGTCTTGCTTGGAGTGCGACAAGATGGATGATGGATGGAGATGAGGAGATGGAGGGGAGAGAGGAAACAGAAGCTGCAACATACGTCAAATAGTTCGGAATGGGCACCTCAGCTTAGTACTCGTAGCAGCAGAGCAGGCAGATGTACGGGCCCGGGTGGCGATGCTCGCTCGGAGCTCCTATCTCGGCAAAAGCTGATGGCGGCGGCTGTAAATACGTGCTAACGCCGCCGGGCGTGAACTAGCTGGGCAGGACGAGAGCCGGGTTTATGGCGCCGTGAAGCAGACAATAGGCATCAACAGCCGATGATTTGTAGTGGTATTTCGTGGGCAGTTCTGTGCCTGCAGTATCGTATTGCAGTATTGCAGATAATATAGATGAGCAAGACGCTGGCCGTCGGGTGGGGGTAAACGCCTGTTTCGCCAACAAATCTTATGTAATTTTTTCTTCTTTCTCTGCAAGGCCTTTACGAGCTCTGCTTGTAGAAGGGAAGAATGAAAAGAATGAAAAGAAAAAGAACGAAGAGAAAAGCTCACGGCAGGAGGGGGAGAATCGACAGGATAGGATCAAAATGCTACCGTGCGTATCGGGCTCTGACTGGGCCGGTGGGGCGCGATCCGCTGATGGAGGGCTGGTGGAGGTTTGGCTCTTCGATCCGGATTTCTTGGCTTGAGCTTGTTCGCAGTCGATGGAGGAAGCGAATGCTACGGTGCTTGCACTGATGGCCGATATTTATAACAATGGCGACGTTCGAAGGGAGAAGAAGGGGAAAGGGGAAAGTCGGATTGGGTTCCAGCGAAAATTTTGAAGAGAAAACTTCACGACGAAAAAAAAGGGCTCTGAATAGCCGCGGGGTCGACGGTACATGGAGCTGGATGCGGAACCAGTCGCCAGCTCGGGTCCTTGTGACACAGCCGCCAGGGTAGGAAAAAAAAAAAAAAAAAGAAAAGAAAAGAAAAGACCCACGATTAAGGTTTCATCTTGGCTCGTCTCTCGGGTTTTTTTCTTTCTTTGGGGGTCGAAAGGCGGCAATTGAAGGGTCCAGATGCTGCTTGTCTGAGGGGCCTGATTCCGGAAGAGAGGCAACGAGGTTTTCGGGTGGGTGGGCTGGGCTGGATGCGGCGAGGCGGAGCCAGTTGCCTATCGGGCGCGGACAGACGACTGGGGAGCTGGCAACAGGAGATTTTGAACAGTTTGATGTAAAGGAACTCGATGCTTCCTTGCAGAGACGAATTCCAGAGCCAGAGCGCTTACTAGGTAGCTAGGTATGATAAACCAGAACAACGATACAAGAGCTCGAAAGTGGAATGTCTCCTACCAGGCAGAGATCGACAGGGCTTGGACGACATCTCTTACGACAACCAAACACCATCAAGACAAAACAAAAGCGCAGCAAGGCGATAGTACAATCTTCATGCCACCGAGCTCTCAGCTTCCGAGTTCCAGTCAAAGCAACCCCGGTCAGCCATTGGGCAGCTTGGGCGCTGACAGCCAGCCCAGCGCCCCCCAGCGCGCGCTGTAGCGTTCGCCCTAGTGGCCCTAAAACGGCTCCGGGGCCGCCTAATCCCAGTCCGGCCTGCCTGCGGTTGCGCTTTCGCAGACCGAGTCCAGCCCCCACGAGGCCCCGGGAGCCATGAGACGCCCAGCACCCATGCTTCCATTGCCATGCTGAACATTGAAGTCGGCCGGGCTCACTCAGCGCAACACGTGCCGGTGCCGCAGCGGGTTTCTGGCTCCATGTTGATGCAGAGCTTGAGGTATTGCCATCGAGTCTGGACCGGAGAATGGATGCCATTGACCAGGTGAGGAATTGCTGCATGGCTTGCTCACTGTTTTCTCGACGCACATCGCCAATGAAGGATATACATACAGCTCCTCAAAGGCGTGGCGAAATAAACTTCACCAACTCACGCTAGGCAGCTTCGCCGGCCATCCTCTGCCTAAAAGGTGCGGCTCAGAGTGACACCTTGCACGACATGCGGCTCATTGTTCGGCGCCAGGAACACGCAACACCAACCATCCAGCTTTTCCTGTCTCTCGGGCATCAAGTGACTCCGCTGCAGAGCACAAAAGAGTCACGTACGGAGCACAAGCTCACAAGGAACCTTGAATTGTCCGCTCATCACACAGGGGTGATACGAACATCGTGCTCCCCACTGAAATCAAACACCAGAAGACGTCTCATCTTTGATTGCCTTCACTCACCTCTTCTCATCGTCACTCTCATTGGCGGCCCATCGTTCCGGGTTGCCCAGCCGGGGAGCCCCTGTGGACTGTCTCATCCTTCGGAGGATGCTCGCGCCATGCTAGAGCTCCCGTTTCTCCCCGTCCGGCATCGAACAATCATCGTGAACTGCTGCCCGTGGGAGAAAATAGCCCCCAAGAAGAAATGTTGAGCAGCATCCGACGCCGACTCTTTCCACTGTATTCTGGCTGTGAATCAGAATCGCCTGTCGATGAATCATGTTGGCCAGCTGCGGTGCCAAGCCAGGATATACTTCTTCTCTCGGCTGTTATTCCGTCGCTCGGAATATTGATCACGAGTATCGATATCGATTAGTTGTCAGTTGAATGGGCCAACACCTCCCAACAGTAGGGTGCTTTCAAGAAGGCCGTATCGTGTTGATGTCTGGTGATCTCGAAAGCAGCGACTGAGGCGAGCGCTGCGCCGTGGCCAAGGGGCTTCGCAGTACCAAAGTAGGTATCACGCGGGCCGCATTTCGACCTTACTGCCAAGGCCTCAAGTCGACAATATTCCAACAGTCTTGGAGACTTGTTCCCCCAGAAAAGGCAATATGCAAGGGAAGATGGTAGAGCTGTATGCCTTCGAGTTCGGTTCTAGACCAGGATGAGTGGGACGAAGTATGCTTTCCTACAATGGAAGTCCGCGATATCGTCCGCTTTTCGCCCCATCGTTGAGAATGATTCTTTGCGGCGCAGACACGGCAAGGCGCTGAGTATTTTGATATGGCGTCCCAATATTAGAACGCCAGAGGCAGAGGGGCGTTGCCATGCATCAGGGCCAAAGAGGCTGCAATGCAGCAGAGGCTGGTGTCCACATCCAGCGTTGAATCATGTAAGTAATCGGCCATGATGTCAAGGCCTGGAGAGGAAGAGAACCCCAAATACTGAAACAGTAAGTAAATGGCGATATTAGAAGGCATGGAGAAAACTGACAGTTAGGAAGCTGTAACTGAGCACATTAAAGAGGGCACGTTTCAGGATCAAAGATCTCTGACTACCTAGTAACGAGGCAACTCCAAAGAGAAAGTCGACCTCACCAGATCAGGCAAGCAGGGAATCAATGCAAACAGTGCTCTCTCTTCCCCCGGCACTCGCATTCTTAGTCGAAGCTTGTGTTTGCTTGTCCGGTTGCTTATCAAATGGCAACCCCAAAATAAGCTATCCATGCCCAGTGGGCTGAGGCATTGCGCGTTTCTGCTTGACGCACGTCAGGCACAAGAAGAGTTGAGGGCGGTGATGCGCTAAATATAGAACGGATGGCTTCCCATTCGCCTCCCACAGCATGTCACTAGCGCCCCGACTAGTAGTAATCAGAGCTACTAAGGCTTTGGGCTGTGCACGCGATGGATGTTGTCTGCATACCCGACCTCGTCCTAGATGGAAACCATTGAGAGGAAACAATTGTACTTGTATGGCAGATGAGAATGTCTGGACGCGAGCTCGGTTTGCGAATAGACTACCAGCAAGGCACCTTTTCTCTACCCCCTTTTGTTCTACAGGTTCTGAATACTAAACATACTGTACAGCTCCTTGGCCACAGGCTGGATGGAGTCGTGCGCTGCTCTTCTCGGAAGCGATTTTCCGCGCACAGTCAGAAACTAGACCGTAGCTCGTGCTCGTTCTAAGCTTGGGTTTTCTGATCAGCGCCAGGAACCACTTCAACCGTCACCCGTTGTCGTCAGCAGCTCCAGTTATAAACCAACCGAAACAAGCCGGCACGATTCAGGGTTCACGCGGTTACATACTGTATGTACAAGCAAGACAGGTTATCTGGTGATAACCCATGCTTTGCGCAAGATTGGTTGATGAAGATCCAACAGCCACTCTTGCTACTCAACTACTATAGCGGAATTGATAAACGCCTTGTCTTCTCGCCAAGAAGCAGAGCTGAGATACCAGCCACCGCATTGCCGCGTGTACGTATATTGTCGAGCTATGACGCGGGGCTGGGGCTCAAAGCCTCCCAGATTTCTTGATCATAGCGGGGTACGGGCGAGAATGTACAGTATCATCGTGTACAAGCACCTGTCTGTGTACCTGACATTACGGAGTTATTCTGTTGGTTGGCTCGACCAGGGAAAGATCCTACGAGGTCTGGCAGGGTCGCACTCCGTAATAGCAGCAGTATTACTATCTCGTCGTCTTGGCGGCCAGTCACAGCCTCACTCAGTCTCCTCTCTGCTCTCGACGACTTCCCATACGGAACAAAGAGGTTCATGAACTCACCAAGCAGCCCTGCTCTGCCTGTTCGTCAGGGCCAAAATAGCACGGAAACGTCTTTTTCCTTTTCGCGTGCATCATCAGGTGCTGATCGGCAACTCATCATGGCCAACTATTCGTGGCACGACCAGGGAAGCCCAGCAATGGCCCCAGTCCGCACAACCAACCTCATCAGCACCAGCTCTTGTACGGAGTAGATACCCGAAGATAGCACCAACACCATCGCCAACCTGAACCAGCCTTGAGGGCACCCAGACGGCAACTATAGCTGCTGCTCTATTTATGGCGCCGAGCTCGTGCGCATTAGTCACAGCGCCTGCTTGCTGCGCATGTCTGCGCTGTGCCTGTGTCGACCAGCTAAGCTGCCTTACTTGAAGCTGTAAGCACCAAGATGCGGAAGTGCATGGATGTGTGAACCCTGCTAGCAGCTCCCACTGACCTCCTTGTCCCTGGAGTAGGTACTTTACAAGAAGAGCCATTTGGCTGTGGCTCAACTGCCCGCGATTGCGCCTTTTGAAAGGTCTGGGCATGTAGTTGTAGGTACTCGACACCACCTCAGTCAGCACCAGCTGGATCGTCCCCCGGAGCGCTGAATCTCGCACTGCCCACTGGGCGGGATCCACCCCACCCCCTCGCCCACAGCGCGTTTGTTGACTGGCACAGGCACCCAGTGACGGAACTGCGCCACCCACTCGCCGCAACGTGCAGCCCACTAACGACCACTAACAGCAAGTCCACTGCAAGTCCACATCGAAAGTCAGCAGCGACTTTTGTCTTCAGCCCGCCTCCCAGCGTTTTAAAACCACCTGGTGCCCAACTCTCTCCGCTTGTTTGTTTGTTTGTTTCCCATCGTCTCTTCCCGTCTCATCTTTCGTGTCTTGTATACGTTTCTTTTTGTGAGCGTGTCAACTTGACCTTCGTTTTGCGATCAGGTCGCTCGTTGCTCCAGAGACCTCGACCAGCCCCTCTCGTTCTATATCAGAGACGCACAACACCACCCCTCTCTGCCTGACCGAGTCGTTGTCGATAAACAAAGAACCCCATATAACGAAAAAAACGAGAACAAAAGGAAGAAGAGAAAAGGGACAGAAATCAGCACAGCAATGGGTGCCGGTCGGTTCTTGTGCGTGGCCCTGCCACTGCTCCTCACTATTGGCTCCATCGCCACGCTGCTCTACGCAGTCCTCGCCGGCGTCGCCCACGAGAACCTCAAGCTCATCCAGGTCGACCTGAGCGAGCTGAGCGTCAGCCCACTGAGCTTCAAGTCGCTCGTCTCGCGCGCCGAGTTCAGCATCAAGGAGACCCAGACGGACAACATCACCGCCGAGGCCCTCGGCCTGCACAAGTACTACGACTTGACGCTCTGGGGATCCTGCTCCTCCGACGACAAGAAGAAGTGGGATTGCTCCAAGGCGCAGTTCGACTGGGCCACCAAGCAGATCAACACCACCGACATCACCGAGGGCAGCACCACCATCCAGCTGCCCAAGGACGTCAAGGACTCCATCAAGGTCTTCCAGAAGCTCATCAAGTGGTCCGAGGTTGCCTTCATCGTCGCCCTCATCGGCCTCGGCTTGGAGCTGCTCATCGGCATCTTCTCCAACTTCTCCCGCGCCGTCTCGTGCCTGACATGGTTTGAGTCCCTCGTCACCACCATCCTCGTCATCATCGCTTGCTCCCTCTCCACCGCCACCGTCGCCATCATCGCCGGTGTCGTCCAGGGCTCCAAGACTCTCTACGGCGCCAAGGTCCACCTCGACGGCCGCTTCCTCGCCGTTATCTGGATTGGCGCCGCCTTCTGCATCGGCGCCAGCCTCTTCTGGATCTTCACCATCTGCTGCTGCAAGCCCGAGAAGCGCCAGAAGAGCAGCAAGCACTCCTCCATCAGCGATGGCGAGAAGCTGCTGCCCGGCGGCGGATTTGGATCCCGCGGTTATGCTCCTCTGGGCGAGAACACCGGCTACACCTCCTCCGCTCCCCGCTTCGCTGCTGGCTCCGGCCGCTCTGATCTTGCTTACGAGCCCTACTCTCACCGCGCCTAAGTGGATGGCGAGCCTGACACTTGGTGTGATCTACCGGAGTCAAACGAGGAAGCGGCCCTTTGCGGCTCGGCCTCATAACAATTTCCCGAATCATATGAATACATGGGTGACCTGAAGCGGTATTTGATACCTGACTTGAGATGTGTGCTGTCTTCATTTTACATTCTTTTGCATGGCGTTCTGGTTATAGGGGTCTAAGTACCTTATGAAGATGGGATGGATTTGGGGTGGCACAGTTTGTATCAAGGCGGTTGGCAGTTGGAATACCCAAGCTGGTGGGAACAATCTGTACCTGGACATAGAGTATTGAGGCTACCTTTATGAATGAACGATAAGAAACTATCTGTTTAAACATCATTTTTCCTGCTCCTTAATATCTTTAAAAGTGTTGCGTCGTGCTGCCGCTGCTGACTTGGTTTCCTGGCAGCTTTAATTTTACAAGTGCTAGCGGTGAGGTAGCCATTCAGACATTTTTCGCTGACGAGGTACATACTTTGTAGGCGCATGCACAAATTTTTTCCTGGCACCACAAATTTCAACTTGCTCGCAACACCACCGCCGGCTTGAAGTAAATATCCGCTCTTTCATCGCCAACACTGAATGTCTGTTTAGCACATATGTTTGACTGAGCCCTCGGCTCTCATATTGTTTAGAAATCTATCTGAAAGTACAATTTAATAGAGAGGACAGCACCATGGTTCATGTGAGTTGATATAACATAAACTGCCCCTCCTTCGACTCATCTCACTTCCAAGCACATGCTCCATCTTCATATCATACCATGATAAACTCATTCGTCATGAACACGAAACTATAGCTAATCAGCTTCTACAGACAACAAACGAAATCAGCTTAACAAGGGACCTCTCCCACGTCCCCATCACAGCCCTCGCCCTATCCCGCTCACCCTCCGGCCAGCTCCTCGTCCTCGCCGGCGAGGACTCGGACCTCGTCGTCTACGAAGCGCAAACCGGGCAGCTGAAAGATCGCCTGCTTTCTCGGACGAGCGTCTTTGTGGATCAGCCTATTCACGGGATCCATGTGCGGCATGGACGGGTTCTGGTCTGGGGGGGCTGCCATGTGGCTGTTCTGTCTCTTGAGCGTCTCATCACTGAGCAGCAGCAGCAGCATGATGGCGTCGATGGGGGTAGGAAGCGTGCGGTTGCCAAGGCGATGGCTCCCGACTGGATATTTCACGGCGCTTTTTCAGAGGGCGATGATTCAGTGGGTGCCCTCGCCACGGCTCACAACGAAGTCATACCCCTGAGATACTCCTCCGACACGGGCGACATCCACCTCGGCGCTGCCATTGCGCCTTCTAGGCCGATGCTCTACTCTGCGCATCTCACCTGGACGTCAGACGACACCGTCCTGGTCGCCGGCGGGACAGTCTTTGGGCACGTCGTCGTGTGGAAATGCCGTCTAGCAAAGGACAACGGCGAGGGAACAACATCAACGGAAACGCTATTCAACTTTGAGGGCCACGAAGGGTCAATCTTTGGCGTGGACATGTCTACAGTTGTTCTCTCCGACGGGAGTATGGCCCGGATACTTGCCAGCTGCAGCGACGACAGGACGATCCGCATATGGGACATCACTGAGCGTGACGATGGAGCTTCTCGCTCTCATGGCCCTCAGGCACCACAAATCATCGACACAGGCTTCGGCGGCAGTGACTTCAATACCACCGACGCCGACGCCAACCAAAATCCCAGCAGACAAAATGGCTCCGTCGCCGCCGCCATGGGCCACGCCTCGCGGATATGGGGCGTGAAGTTCGGCCCGTCGTGCGGACAGGACGCTCTGTCGGTGTACTCCTTTGGCGAGGATGCGACGACGCAGAGATGGCATCTCCATCTGAGCCATGTAGCAGCATCGTCTCAGGAGGCTGACCGCAGCTCGAGACATTTGATGGGGAAGCTGTCTCACAGCAAGACATTCTCTCTGCATAGCGGCAAGCATCTGTGGTCGAGGGCCGTGCTGCTCGAAGACAAGGCCGCGCTTGTTGCTACCGGTGGCGCCGATAGTCAGATTTGTCTCATTGACGAATCGAATCTTCTACTTGGTGAACGGTCAGATACTAGTCTTGGTAATGTATTGACATTAGATACCGTCGACATTCTCAGGGGTCTCCTCGATTCAGGTACCTCCAACACACCTGCGAAAGAGATAATCAGTCGCTACGATTTTCTCTCACATGATCACATTCTTGTCACGACCAGCCAGGGAAGGCTTCTTCTCGGCCACCTAAAGGAGCCTCATGTTGAACCGAAATGGGGGCAGATTGAGGTTCCCAACAACCTACGCGACGACGTCAAGCTTTGCTATGTCGTCAAGGCTATTGCCCCCACGGCAGTTCTTCTGGGCACGACGAGTGGGAATATCTATCATTTCCATCTCACCTCCCAACAGATAAAGCATATTGCCTCCGTGCCTGGCAAAATCATCGAAATGAACCGTCTATCGAGTAGGGATGGTGTGGCCGAGGTATTGATCTACCTTCACGGAAGGGCAGAGTCTCACTTCTTTGCAATTGATGTCTCAACGGGACATGTCCACCTCCAGGGACAAACCAAGGGGCTCGACCCCAGGTTTGTCCCAACAGCAGCTGGAAAATTGAATGACTTGCTCGTCGTCGGCTCTCGGCATGGCTTCCTGTCCGTCCTGGATCGACAAGAGGATGGATCGTACCACTCAATCCTAGACATCGCCACACGAAGCCGTGATACCATCACGGCCATTCTTCCACTGCCTCCCAAATCAGGCTCGCCACACGCCTCACGGTATATCCTCGTCACAAGCCGAGACGGAAAGTACAGGATATACGAACTGGATCGAAAATCAGGTTCCGTTCTCCTTCACCTGCGACACGAAACCTCGCCACCATTTGGACCTATGATCGCCGGCGCCTGGTTTACTCAAGACACCGTGCCTGAGCTTGTGTTATATGGCTTCAGAAGTAAAGACTTTGTCATTTGGAACGAGACACGGCGGGAAGAATTGGCAACCATTGAGTGCGGTGGCGCCCATCGGACGTTCCAGCTGACATATAGCGAAATAATACCTGGAAGATATCGTTTCGCCTTCACCAAGACCTCCAAGCTCTCCATTTCCTCATCGGATCGTTTGGCGCATGAGTGGGTGAAGGCTGGAATTCACGGCAGGGAGATTCGAAGCTTGAGTTCCAATGGTCGTTATATCGCCACAGGTGCCGAGGATACCACCATCCGCATTTGGGAGTATATACATGTCGCAGACGGCACACAATCGGAGCTGCGGTGCGTCGCAGCTATGAAGGCGCACATCACAGGTCTGCAAAAGCTTGTCTGGCTGGGCGACGAGTATCTCTTCAGCAGCGCTGGCAATGAGGAATTCTTCGTTTGGAAAGTGCAGAGCCTGGAGTCGGATTACACGGGGTTGGCGGTCATGTGTGAGGGTGTCTTCACAGATAAGAGCGCAGATGCAGATCTCCGCATCATGGATTTTGACGTCTGCCAGTCTGACGATTCAAGCGGCATGGTGGTGACCATGGGCTTTTCGAATTCGGTGATCAGGACGTATCGCTACACAAGCGACGATGGCCGATTTAAACTCCTTGCCAAGGGTAGATACACAGGAGCATGTCTCACCCAAACGCGCCATCTGATAATGCGCGATCAGCTACCACGACTGCTCACAGCATCCACGGATGGCCACCTTGCCTTGTGGCGGACCGAGCCACATGAGGGAACCTTGCGCGAGTATGTCCTGGAGCAAGCGGTGCCGTTGCACCAGAACAGCATCAAGAGCCTGGACATGATCGAATCAGGAGAAGGCTATCAAGTGTTCACTGGAGGCGACGACAACAGCGTCGGGGTAACGTGGCTCGGTGCGACCTCGGGCAGCACAGACGGTGCAAGCTGGGCGTTTTCGGGGCGAAGCATTGTGCGCAGAGCCCACGCTGCAGCCATCGCAGGCGTCCTACTGATTCGTCGGCGCACGGGAGTCGTAGGAATAAGCGTGAGCAACGATCAGCGAGTGAAGCTCTGGAGCGTCCCTAGCGACCAAGATGGAAATGTCGAGCTGATCAGGGGGGACTGCATCGGCGTGGCAGACGCGGGAGACATCGCAGCAGTCGGCGACCTAGACAATGGCATGGCGACCATAGTAATCGCAGGCGTAGGGCTCGAGGCCTGGAGCCTCAAGTAATAAGCTGTCCTGGTCCACAAGAAAGCAAATGTCAGGATATATATCACGGTTTGCAAGAAATGCCTTCATCGCGTAATGGGTAATACGGGCACTCCGTGCGAAGTACATACAAATCACGATGCGGCTTCTCGATGCTGGGAACTCGTACATCCTCGTACTCTGTAGTAGGAACTCGTACGAGTAATATTCCCTGATCCCCCGGCCATTCAGTCAGATAAGGAGCCCAACAACTGACAGGCCTCGGCCAAATGCTTCCGGGTCACTCCTTGGCTAACGCCGCGCTGAGAGGAAAAGGGCAGTGCCGTGTTGAACAGCTAAATGGCGTATGTGGGCTTTATATGGAGCTTTTGCGAGGACGAAGACCAGGGTCCCTGCTTAGGAGCTGTGACAGCAACGGCTGTGTCGTCATATTCAGGGTTCAGCCCAGGCGAAGAGGAACCACCAGGGACGTCCAGCGGGGGGTAAAGAGGCCGTTCAGCAGTCGACGAGAGATCCATTGCCCATTGCTGGTTCCAAGGCGCGAAGAGACGCTTGATGGACAGGAGTGAAACCAATTATCCCGAGGACGTGCTGACGCGACAAGGGCACGAGGCAGATGAAACGGCTGTGTCTCTCAGCAAGCGCAAGGGGGAGCTTTCTTTGTCTTTTGAAGAATGGAGGGAAGACGCAAAGAATGAGGACGTGGGGATTATTGGCAGTCGCTTCAGCTGCCAATTCACAGCCCGATCACTTGACCAAGAGTTGAGAGAAGAAGAACAAAGAAGGGCTTGGTAGTTTTTTTCCCCCTCTACTACTAGAGGTCCACTATCACGATATGTGTGAATAAGTACGATACGGCAGCTGCCATCGAGTAATCGCCCACCGCCCTGAACACCTGCCCTATTTGCTCGGCAGAATTTATTGGGCATTGGATGCCTCAGAAGGAAAATTGGCGAGAGTATTCAAGATTAAACATTGTCACCGCGAACTTGGTGATTCCACGCATGCAGCAGCACAAGCAGGCCTCCTGGAGTGTCTCTCATCACCGCCGCCCAGCACGATCCATCAAGCGAGGAGCAGAGAAACAGCCTGCATGACAAGGGTACAGGGACGGACTACTGAGGTAGTATTGCAACTACATTGCTCTGCCCACGCAGCCAGGGCAGCAAAGCCGCACGAGCAGGGGTCGCTCATCTGTCCCCAGCCGCAAGAGACAACTCGTATTCAGACGCACGCGGTAGCGCTTCTTGGCAGATTTCGCAGCTGTCGTGACGCAAAGGCTCATCGGGAAGTGGATTCACGATGGTATAAGGTATGAGGAGCTAATATGACGCCCTCTTTCCGCGGGTGCACAAAAGCGCCAGTTTGTCCTGCTTTAACGGCATCTCTGTCCAGATTCAACACTTCATCGCGTCACCTAGGTAGATAACTGTTTTGGTAACACCTACCTTACTCCGTCTGTACCTCGTATGCTCGGCACCGAATTCTTGTACCACCAAGGAGGAGCCAACGGCTGTTTGATACCGAGGACAGACAAGCACTACGGTAGGCAGCACATGGATCAAGAGTTACCAGAGGAGCTCAGATGCTGATATTGCAGGGTCTGGTTAGCGACTTGATGGATCTTGCCCGATAACGCACCAAATTCTTCTATGCGGTTGTAATATTACAGGGCCCTCCAGAAGCGGATATCCATTTAAGAGGGACTCTCGCAGATCTTCCAGGAACAAGGTGTGGCGTTCAGGGCCAGAGTTTCCTCCTGCCGCTTCCAAACGCCGACGACCCTTCCGTTGCGCGCAGTTCCTTACGAACCCTATTCGACTTTCCTCGACTCTTTACTGTTGAGGGACCAGCACGGCGCCATCCTACCTCTTCTCCAAATCCTCCACCTCAGTCTCCATCTTCGAAGGTCTCTCTCCTACGGGGACTCGGTCCTCATCTCTCCTCCAGCGTCGAAACTTGAAGCCATATATCCTCAAATCATTCCTTTTACGATCTACATCATGAAGTCGGTGCTTGTTTGGGCAGGCTTCGCCATTACGCAGGTCTTGCTCGCCGCTTCAGCACCTGTTGGTCCTTCTGGGCCGTGTCCAGACGTGAGAATCCGACGCCGCAGCTTCTATCGAGGTGTAAGCTACTGACATTCTTCCCAGGCTTTGGTTGATGCCATCCTCCGAGGTGATATGGACCCAGCAGCCTGCTGCTCCTACGGCCAATGCAAAGGAGACGTAGTCGTCTCTGTCGGATACTAAGATGCAGCGAATTACTTCTGGGGAGCACCGGGCATCGTTCGCGACGCGCGTAGCTTCCATGACTACAGTACATGACGGCCAACGATATGAGGCGACTCATGGAGATCATGGCGAAACGAAAAGCAAAGCATATTTTGGGATTGGCGTTTTGGAAGAATGAGGCACCGGCGTACATACGGAAAACAACGGGAGTCGGATGGTCAAGCGTTGTTTAAATTTTGGAACCCTCCCCTAGGCATTTACGGGTAGAGCTGGCCGAGTCTAATACAGAAAACCACTGGCCCAAACATGACTGCCTCATGGTCAAAATGTGCGTCTGTCGACTGAGAAGCTTCTGTCCCTTGTGATAAAAAAGGAGTTACCGCCAAATTCTGTACGCGGGAAAGGAGCTTGCAAGGGACGAAAACGGCAAAGAGACACGAGTTTGTCTGCCATGTCGTCTATGAGAGCAGTGCGGGGAAACGGGAGGGAACTGCAAGCTGGCATGACACGGAGTTCATGCAACCGGCAAGCAAACAATGAATTTTGTTCCCCTTGGCGCATGCAAAGTGCCGGCACACCATGACGTCCTCCAACCGGGTTTCTTTTTGGGCATCTCGATAAGGGGGGCAGGAATGGGATCGTGTCAGGGTTGCTGAATCTTGAGCGTGGATGCTTAATCTGCTTGGACACCGCGCTTATGATGGGGCCATACAGATGCATGAATCATGTCTTAAAATGAAGAGGCTATTTAGCTTCGAGGGTTGAGTGGTAGCTGATCAGATAAAATGTTTGCTTGGAAGACTACGGGGCAAGCATCTTGTTACCGAAACTTGAGCTCAACAAGTTAAGACACGATGCCGGGTAGGCCCATCGTAACTTGGGACGGCGCCTGAAGCACAGGTCTTTCTCAATGATAGCGGAACAGTAATCAACGAGAATTTCGGTGGATATGAATTTGAGGTTACACGCACAGGATCTCTATCAACGGTATCATGAGGGTTATCTTCGGAGTGGGCAAAGGATTTTACAAAGGATCATCGCATGGGCTCACTTTGGAATAGGGGGTAACAAGACGATAGCTAAAAGAAAGGGGTGGTAGGGATGAGGGCGGTCTCGCGTGCAGAGTTGCCTTGCAACATTGTGTGCCTTTGCTGTAATGAGGAGTGAATGGCTGTAAAGTACTTGGTGACGAGTTGCAACGCTCACCACTTGTTTCCTGTTTCATTTGTACTTCGAGTCAGCAACTCTTATCCCAGTGTTCCATTTTTACGCGTCTGGAGTTGTTCTGGTCAGTTTAGTAATGCGTGCGTGCGATTAGAGTCTGCGGAAATTTAAGCCTCATATACAAAACTATCGCACAAATTCCCAACAAGAACCAGCGTGAATGGTTTAGTGGTAAAATTCTCCGTTGCCATCCGAGCAACGTCGGGGAGCCCTGGGTTCGATTCCCAGTTCACGCACAGAATTTCCTTTTTGCTCTTTCTCAGTTCAAATCAGAGTTGCATTTTTTTCCTTTCTTTCTCATTTTATTTTCTCATTTGCATCTCCAGTCTCACGTTTTCATTTGTGATCAATCACCGAGAACCGATCGCTCATCCAGCAGTTCAAGACATCAGCTAATCGATCAATGCCTTGGGTAGGTAGTATCGGCAAAGCCCGGCAGCCCGGTCATCAAAGTTATAAAGAGTTACGCACCGACAACGGACCCTTGCCGAAACACCATGGCACCGAAAGGGAAATGCCATAAAAGAGTATTGAAAAAAAATCAAACATCCATGTGCAACTCGTGCCCATAGAAACATAGAAACAGTGGCCCTTCTGCTAAACAAAGCTGCATGTGAGCATGTTGGCAGATGCCGTGGTGATCCGTAGAAAAGGAACATGCCTAAAGTCAAGAACATGACCGTGGATCCACCGAGTATATATCCGTGCCAGTCACAGCTCGAGCTTCGAGATGGGGGCTTTTCGACGTCGGGACCGGTGTGGGGGAGAGGAGGAGACGAGAGAAAAAGGTGAATGACTGGTAGGAAGAATATGAAGCCGAGTAAGGAAACTCCAGATTAATCCCGAAGGCTTTTTGAAATCTGTAGCATAACTGATGTCATGCCAATCTGTTTAGTGAGTGCCTTGGTAGATTGTGAGGATGCATCATAGCCGCGGCGGGATAAACTGTATTTACAGCTCTTTGCATGTTTTGAAAGACTCAATTTCCTCTGAATGTAACTGGGCAACATCTCATCTCGTCAAGATAGAGCGGAAATGGTTGCCTGACCTGAATACCTCAAAAACTCTCGGTCCACACATTGTGGTGGCGGTTTCGATACGCTTGTTCCCCGTCGCCGTGATTGGCGCGGGTCAAAACCGGTCTCCGTCTAAACGGCCCCGGACGGCTGCGCTTGGGCTTTTCCGGGGCCAGTATCGCACCGGGTTGGGGATCAACAGAAGAAACAATTGGGCAACGAGCCACTTGTTTCGGACGGTACTTACAAAGTGTGAGGCACAGTCAAGCATTCAGCAGTCGGGGATGCTCGTAGCAGAGGCGGAAAATCGATAAAACCCCCACATCATCATCGCATGGGGATGGTGAGGGGACGGGGAGGGGACGTAGGAGCTTTTTGGAGGTGTACTCGGTAGCTGCCTTACCTTTTATAGCCGTCATTGCCATTCTGGACCCCAAAGAGACGGAGACAGACAACAGAAACAGGAAAAGAGAGCGTATATAATCTTTCGCACACTCCCTCTGCTCCGGTATCGTGGCTGTTTCCCAATTTTACCATCCTTTCAAGCCTCAAATCCCTTCGCCAGTCACCACACACTCACAGCTCGCCATGTCGCCTTCTGCGGTTGATGACGCTCCCAAGACCAAAGGGGCAGCCATCTCAGTCAAGCCCAACATTGGCGTCTTCACAAATCCCAAGCATGACCTCTGGATTAGCGAAGCTGAACCCAGCGCCGATGCCGTCAAATCGGGCGCCGATCTGAAGCCTGGCGAGGTGACTATCGCTGTCCGCAGCACTGGTATCTGCGGGTATGTATAAACGCTACTGTCTGCTAAGCGCAAGCGCAGAAGAGCAGCCTGCTGAACAAGTACAAACAGCTCAGACGTTCATTTCTGGCATGCCGGGTGCATTGGGCCCATGATCGTCGAGGGCGACCACATCCTCGGCCACGAATCTGCCGGTGAGGTCATCGCCGTCCACCCGACTGTCACTGGCCTCCAAGTCGGCGATCGGGTTGCCATCGAGCCCAACATCATCTGCAACGCATGCGAACCCTGCCTGACAGGTCGCTACAACGGTTGCGAAAAGGTTGAGTTCCTGTCGACACCGCCAGTGCCAGGACTGTTGCGACGCTATGTCAACCACCCGGCCGTTTGGTGCCACAAGATTGGCAACATGTCGTGGGAGAACGGCGCGCTACTGGAGCCCCTGAGCGTGGCTCTGGCCGGCATGCAGAGGGCCAAGGTCCAGCTCGGTGACCCCGTGTTGGTCTGCGGCGCTGGTCCGATCGGACTGGTTTCGATGCTGTGCGCTGCCGCCGCTGGTGCGTGTCCCCTCGTCATCACGGACATCTCAGAGAGCCGCCTGGCGTTTGCAAAGGAGATCTGCCCCCGCGTCACCACGCACCGCATTGAGATTGGCAAGTCGGCCGAGGAAACGGCCAAGGGCATTGTCAGCTCTTTTGGAGGCATCGAGCCGGCCGTGACACTGGAGTGCACCGGCGTCGAGAGCAGCATTGCGGCGGCCATCTGGGCCAGCAAGTTCGGAGGCAAGGTCTTTGTAATTGGCGTGGGCAAGAATGAGATCAACATCCCCTTCATGAGGGCGAGCGTACGAGAGGTCGACATCCAGCTGCAGTACCGCTACAGCAATACCTGGCCTCGTGCCATCCGCCTGATTGAGAACGGCGTCATCGATCTGTCCAAGTTCGTGACGCATCGCTTCCCGCTGGAGGAGGCCGTCAAGGCATTTGAGACGTCAGCAGACCCCAAGAGCGGCGCCATCAAGGTCATGATCCAGAGTCTGGATTGAGAGCGAGCTGCCAGTAGATGATAGAACGTTGAAGAGGGAAAGACTGCGGGCGCAAGGATTGGGTGATAGGGGACTGGCTGTAAAGGTTCGCAAAGCATTAGTGTTTCTTTCTGTTCAATAATCATATTTTTCCTTCTGATGTCTTCCAGGGCTGTTCTTCCCCTTTTCCCCTTCCCCTGATTCTTGCAGCTTCAAGCAATGACACGATGCGATCCAAGTGAGATGGCTGGGGAGGTGATTTTGAGTAGGTACTTATGAAGAAGTGGTGATGATACAGATGAAAGGGAGAATGAAGGAAAAGAGAGATTCTGAATAGAAGACATTGAAGTCTAGAAGACCTTGCATCGTGATATCCAGGCGCTCCTTCCTCTTCAACTCATATGAGGCCATGATGCCATAACGTCAAGAGGTAGCAGTACTAACGCATGTACGCCATCGGTGCTGATAGGAGGTATTTACTGGGTACCTGTACCTCCCGCCTATGGAAACTCAAACCTTGAAGCTGCAAGCGCTCGCCTCCGCCGTGCCTTCCAGCTTTCCCAATTCGGGCCAAGCCCCCACACATCACACCTTTCGGCTTTGCGACCTCACGAATTCTCCCGAGCTTTTTTTTCTCCCTCATACCAGAAAATCCAACTCCAGAAAATCCCAAAAAAATCCCGTCAATTGCGCTCCGGACAGCGATTCCGCCCTGCCTCCCCGAGACGAGCCTCGACGACACCCGCCGCTTCTCCCCAGAGCCGCCCCGGATCCCTCCTCCCGCCGCCTCACTCCTGCATCTCTCCAGCACCGCCGGTCCAGCCGCGAAAAAAAGACATCATGGCCCCCTCATCGCTCGCTCGCCCCATGCTCCGCTCGCCGGCTCTGCGCCAGCTTGCCTTCCGCCGCTTCGAGAGCTCGGCCGCCAACAAGGCCACTGAGGCCGCCAAAGATGCCGCCGGCAAGGCCAAGGAGTACCAGGCAAAGGCTGCGCAGGGCCTGTCGCGCGTCGCGGGTGCCGCTGGCCCAGCCATTGCCGGCGCCGCTCGTGGCCTGACCAGCGCGCTCAGCAAGGTCGGTGGACGCACCGGCAAGCTCGTCAGCTTCATTGAGAGTATGTCATGCCCGCTGCCCTGTTCCGGATACAACTTGTCGCGCATTGCTGACCCGCGCTTGAACGTCAATAGAGCAAACCCCCAAGGTCGTCTACTACGGCAAGGTCGCCCTCGAGACTGGCAAGATTGTCTTCCACGCCCAGAAGATGAGCCCTCCGTAAGCGATCTGCCTGTCCGTGTGCCAAAACCCCGTGACACTAACCAGCTCGTCTGTAGTTCCGTCGCCACCTTCCAGAGCTACTACCAGTCCCTGTGGCAGTCCATCCAGAGCGGCGCCATCCTCAGGTCTCCTCAGAACCTCATCCAGCAGGTCCGCAGCCTGACCCCTGGTCAGCTGGCTGCTGGCGGTGTCATCTTTGCTGAGTGCCTCGGCTTCTTCACCGTTGGTGAGATGATTGGCCGATTCAAGCTGGTTGGCTACCGCGGAGAGACCGCCTCGCACCACTAAGCGCGTCTGCGAATGTCGTATTCCATTTACCGTTTTCACGCAAAGCCAAGAGCATATCGGGCATCGACAGATTGGGCCTGACCTTGGCCAGGCTTGCTTGACGCTGCAGCATTGAAGATGTCCGTGGTAGAATACGAAAACTGGAGATGAAGCAGAAGAGGCGACGAACGCACACGCAACACTCACATACCATGTACGAAGAGAAAAGCAAAACAAAAAACGGCATGTACGGATAGACAAAGAGGAACGGAATAGACGAAAACATGGTCGGCGTGTCACCAGCCCCGACCGGTGAAGCGAGGGATATCTGGCGTGACCAGTTGGTAGGCAAGGACGAAAAGCAAGGAGAATGCGTGGCGGGCGAAAGGCCGGGAGGGACGAGGAAGGGGTTTTTTTTGGTCTTGGTTATTTGGGAGATCCCTCCCTGGCTCTCGTGTGTAGGTGTGAGCATCTGGTTTTGGACTTTTTATCTTTTTCCTTTGTCACGCATCCACAGGAACACACACACACACACACCCCTACATACCATGTACACCAGAGACTTACTTGATGCGATAATGGCAGCAACAGCAGCTACTTAATCCATGACGAACTCACTCTTCGGATGGTCAAGACCAACCTCTTTTCTATTCCCCCTCGTCCTCATGAAACCGGCTCCCGGCCCAGTCCAGCCGACGAGTCAACTACAATTCCCTGCCGCGTCTCTGTGTGACTTGACTCGTTACAAGCGTGGAACCCAGTGGCTTGATGGGCGCGAGCCGACTGGCCGGGAAGCATCGTCGTCCGTTGTTTGCTCTGTTGATGCCAACTGGGATATTGAACGCCCTTGCAGGTGCTCCGTAGCAGGTGGTGGTTCTTTCTTTTGACTATCCTGGTTTTGCGCGATCCCCTTGCTCGACATGTCATATTCCCTGCTCCCCTGCTCCCCGGACGAGGACCAACAAAGGACCAACTACCAGGTACGAGATATGTACATGCGCCTCATTGTCAAATAGGACACGCAGACACATGCAGGCATTGTATTCTGCTACTGTTACACAAAGACATACTGTAGTGTACGGTTCTGCTCCTCTTGTTAGTATTCCACCTTAGACAAACCAGTGTTCAGCCTTGTGAGCTCATCTTCGATTCAACCAAAGAACCGAGCTGTGCTGTTCGACCTCCAACAATATTAACCCCCCGCATGAATGGACTGCATGCAAGTCAAACAAATCCCCTCTTATTCAAAAGTATCTCGTTCGCCCCCCATCAAAAAACCCCCTTCTTGGTTGTTCCGGTTCTCTGTCTTGTTGCCCGGTCTGCTCACATACCCATCCCCTGTCTATTGCCCCCCAAACCCCAAGCGGACCTCTCTCCCGGGTTACATGGCGCTGTCCCCCCCATGCAGCGTTCCCAAGTGAACCCATGCAGGTAGTCTAACTGTACCACGCGGGGCCCTAAGGTTGATATATCTCCTAATTTTTGCTTTCTTTTTCTCCCTGGTAGTCTTTCGTGTGTATCACAATGGTGTGATTCCGGCGTCTTTTGGTCACGCCTACCAAGATGCCCCTGCTAGCAGTAGTTATAACCAACAACATAAGATAATCACAGCAGGAGCGACATCACCGGCCGGAAAAACGTCCAAAGAACCCAATCTATCCAATTCACAGCACACTAGTAGAGCCGTACACATTTACCCCAGAACGCCAGGCCCATTCGGTCTCGTATCGCCATCTCTTCATGTTCGTAACGGCCCAGTCCCAGGGCATTTTGGCCGACTTGTTTCTGTACATTTGTTTCCCCTTCGTCTAAGTCCCTACAGTGCCTTTAGCCATCCCGGCTTCCCCGTATTTCATAGAGAACAGCATATGATATGTCATGGAGAACAAGACAAGTAAAAGAAAAAAAGATAGTGGAAGAGAGGGAGTAGGTCCAAGCTCAAGAACGGTATTATCAAACGCTGGCTTTCGTCGGTAGCCATATCGTCGGTAGCATGAAGAACGGACTCGAGGTCATGTCTCTGCCCCATATCCCACCAGCAGTGCTTCAGATAGATGAGACAGGGCCCAAGGTTTATAGATCCCACATACTTATCGTTCGTGGACAGGCTTCGTCTATATCTGTATGCGAATGTTGGCAATGAATGCTTGACGTTTTGTGCGTCGGCGAGGATCATATATGAAGCGGTAGCTCAGATAGCGCGCTGAGCTCCTATAGTTTCGTAGATTTGACAAGCCGTAGAACGCTGGCTCTCGCACACCTGCCAATCATCATTTGTATTGTGTTGGACGCAAGGATGCTGTTTCTCCCCTCCGATCACTCGCTTGGCGAGCGCAGCGTCTTAAAAAAAGGCTTCCTTTCTTTTAGACGGTGGTAGCATCATATTCCTTTCTTTTAACGGTGGCAGCATCCGAGTCTCTTTCTTTAACGGTTTGGGGCTCATCTTCATCCGGTTTCCTGGCTGTCCAAATGTGTCTGCAAGCGTGGTTAGCTGCCACTCTGGCAAGTCCATCAGTGTCAGGGGCGGGCGGCTTACAGAGTGCAATAGGCGCGATAGCGCAGAATGCACATCTCCTTCTTGGCTCTGCTACAGAGGTCGACAATATCGTCCTTGGTCATGCCGAGTTTGTCAATCATGGGCATCATGCTCATGGCCTCGAGACCCAGGCTGAAGGCGAGGTTGAACCAACGGGCACACTCCCGCTCGTGGCGATCGGAGGACCACGGGTTTACGTAGCACCGGATCGTGGTTTCGGAGAAGTCGGTGAAGCCAGCCGCTTCCATTCTATGTCTCGTACCCTCGCATGATACCGTGACGCTTCGGTGATACCGATGCATGGCGCGTTGGAATAGCTGAGCCCACTCGCGAAGAGCCGAATGCCTGGGGACGTCCTCGTTTTCCCACCGTGGCATCCAGTCAATCTCTAGTTGCTCGATATAGCCGACGCCGGGGGCCAAGTGCCTGTATACGCACGTCAGATATGGAGCAGGTCGCCGGACACACACAAGTTACGCACTCAAAGACCTTGCGGTAGACATGGGGCCATTTGTCGTCCCTTATGCTGCCATACAGCAATCGCATATGGATCAATTCGCAATCCCGAAACAGCGGCTCCCATGACAGCTCTTCAATATCAAACTGCTTGATTGTTACGCCTCGAGGAATGCTATTGACAACACATTAGCGTTCTGCACCGAAAGGTCAAGCCTTTGGATGCCCACGACTTACAGGGCTGGTTGAATCCGATTGATATCAACGGCCATGATTTCGGCATCCTTGGCGTATCTAGAAAATGTGAGCATAATGGCGCAGTATGCTTGAACCAGCCTGTGTATGAGACATACTCTTCCACAACATTGAACGCCCAGATGCCCGTGCCTGTTCCAAGATCCATGATCTTCGGTTGTCCGGTTTTCCTCAGGGGAGTTGAAGTGACATTCTCGTCTCTCGCGACGAGGAAATATTTGTGAAAGACATCCAGTCTATTGAGCTCCTCCTGGGCAATGTTGTTAGTTGTCAGAACAGGCGCAGAGGATATTGATGTGACAAACCTTGTCAATGGGGAAAAGGTATTTCCCAGGCTTCCAGGAACCGTAAAAGCGACCGTGCTCCCAAAACCCATCCTGGAGAACTCTCTCCCCAGATTCAGTGGCCGGCTCGCTGACCGGTTCCCCAACAGTTAGTCGCAGACTTGTGGCGGGCGAAGGCGGAGCAGTAGCTTGGGAGGGTGGAACACACCCATTGGGAGCGTTTCGAGACATGGCGTTTATACCGAGGAATGGCGGAGGTTACGAGGGCCAATGGGAGCGGTGAGTCAATCCTTGGGAATGGAGGTGGCGGATGTTCCAGGAGGTTGTTCCAGAGTCCAGTGGCAAGCGGGTAGAGAAGGGGGGAGAATGGTTAGTATTTATAGTAAATGATCCCGAGCCGATCAATGGACGTGTGATATAACTATAACAAGTTGGTTAATAAAAGGCCATTCTTCAAATTGAGAACCGCATGTGATGGTATTATAACAAGAAGTGAAGCGAGACCCTGCTTGCTAAGCACAGTACAACGCATGAGGGTGTCTTGGGCTATGAAACAAGTGACACTTCTACCAAAATAGAAAGCAAGGGCGATAGTAGAAGGCGGACGAAGAAAAGGGGGAAAAGTGTAACAGCTCAGATTCGCGGGGAGATGCACGCTTGAAGGTAAGGAGAGGGAAACAAGACACATCCGCCGCAGGGATGACGATAATAAGAGAAGAGAAAGACAGTCCAGCATTGATAATTGGCTACCAAAGAGGAAGACGGTTGACTCGGCACAGCATTCATGTCCCGGCGGGACACAATGGCATGCATGGCGCCTTTCAACACGCATCATGGCAGTAAGACAAGGCGGGCAAATAAACCAAGGAGCAGATGGACCCGAGCATATGAGCGAGATGCTGTAGGGCAGCCAGACGTACGACAAAGCAGATAACAACTTACATGAAAATCCCAACTGCCCGAGATGCCAAGGAGGTGTCACAGATACAGATGTCTGTGGCACGAAGGGGGAGCCGCGCAGATGCCGTAGGTCGGAATAAGCGATGATTCGCGTTGGATTTGTGACCTGTCAAAGGCAGCTGCTGTATCGACTCTCACGAGGCTCCCTTGAATGAGGTTTGAAGCTCTCGACCCCGGTCACCTGAGCCGCCTGAGCAACCAATTCGCAGCACGAAATGTGGCGACAAGCAAGGGCGAAGCCAGAGGTGCGAGGCAAAGGGAAGATGCAATTGTCCTAGGCGGCAGCGTGGACAGCTCCGGTTGGAAGACGCAAGCGAGTGACGGCTGAGAGGGCGGAGAAGGGCGGTATAGAAATTATCACGACTCCCAGGGTTGAGGTTGAGACTGTCGTTCGGCGGACTGGGAGAGAGGGGGGGGGAAGGACGGCTAGCCCTTTAAGACTGGCGCGAAGCTCGGGTCCGGAGTGGACCAGCGGCTGGAGAGAAGAGGTCGACGGATGCCGAACTGAGAATCGACAGACGCCGGTTGAGAGTCGTTGGCTCAATGACAAGTGTCGCGAGCTTCTAGGGCTCTTTGGGGCTTGGTGGATTGACGCGAGCCCGGGATCAACGGCCTGCCTCCCCTACTAGCCAGCAACGAAGAGGCAAGGGCTCCAAGGTGGTGGAAGTTTGGGCCTTTGTCTTGTCCCCCTTCCAGCCTCTGTTTGGTACCCGAGTTCGACGGCCACCAAGTTTGGTGTAAAAGCTAATTGGAATGTTTGATGAATGGGAACCGGATTGAATTGTGTTGGACTGGTAAGCAAAGCGCAAGAGAAAGGAGCGATTGAGGCGAGCTGTTCTCCCGGTCTTGGGGGCGAAAAAAGCGAGACACGGCGCAGCGATGGGACGAGAGATGAGATGTGAGAAAGCAGAGGGAGCGGCGGCAGAGACGAAGCGGCAAGCGGTATCCCGAGAAGCTGGGACCAGCAGCAGCGGCCGGCAGAGGAGTGCGAATAACAAGCACGGCAGAGGCAAGGTAAGGCAAGGTATGAATGCTCTGCCTCGCCCAGACACCGATGATTTGCTGGCTGGTTTGGCGCTAGAGCAAATGAGCCCCGAAGCCTGAGCAGGTCAAGTGGAGGGAGAGTCGAGGCTAGCCGGACTGTAGCAGCAGACGAAGGAAGACGCGGCGGGCAGGCAGTGGAGGTTCGAAGCGGACCTCGAGGTCAGTCGCAGGTCGACGCTGGAGCCAGGCAGGGTTGTTTCGTCTTCTCCAGTCTTCCTTGGTCTTCCGCCCTGGCCTGTCTGTCGGCCTGGGTCTGCTCTCCCTCTGGCTCCCCGGTCGCGGGGATGCCTGTGGTTGCTGCCGTTCTGCTGTGTCCGTCCGGTTGTGCTGTGCTTGTGGCGCTGATTCGGGCTCGGGCCCAGGCTCAGGCTCTCTCCGGTGCTCTGGATCTGGTGTGCTACTGTCTGCGGGTCTGGCGATGCTGGCGGTTGAGCTCCAGCCCAGACGACACTGACACAGACACAATCACAGTGGCAATCAGAGCAGCCAAGGATGATGACGAGATGTGACGAGACGAAGCACAGCCGGGCAAGGCGAAGAAGAGCCATAAAGGTAGAGACAGGAGAAGAAAAAAATGTTCAGGACATGGGCAAGTCCCAGGCCAGCTTTTGGCACCGCAGTGTTACCAGGAAAAAGATTTGGGTGGTGTGGCGCGTGGATCCAGAAGCACCCAAGATGCAGGAGCTGCCGCCGCTTTTCGATTGGGGCTTTCTTTCTGGGCTTACAGGTACTACTACCTTAGGTAGTGCCTAGTAGGGGCTACCTGTGGCTGCGCTGCAGGCGTGTACTCGGTCCGCTTGGCCCAGGTAGCGATACGGCGGCTGATGCTGATCCAGGGGCGGCAAATGGTGCTGGCGGTGCCGCTGCAGAGTACTTCTGCAGGCATGAGGTACTGCAGTACGTGGCATCCCGGCGCCAAGGCGGTACCGCTACCTGGCCTCTGCTCCCTGCGCTAAGTCCGTCCCGTCAAGGTGCGGCCCTCCCAGTCCACTGGCCATCTCATCTTGCTCGGGCCGCTCTGCTACTAATACAGACACGTACAAGCAGTGCCTTACTCGTAATATTCGGGATGCAAACCCTCTTCTTTAATACCATCAATACCTTGCATGCCTACCGTCGGCCTTCATCCGCCCGCAGCGGCCGGGGAAATCCCCATGCGGCCGGCCTTGCTCCTGCCGGCACGATCACGGAGCTCTGCAGTCGCTCACCGTGGGCCCTGCCGGATGTCTCGCGCTTCGGGTAAGGTACCTTGAGACACAGTTGTCTTGACAGCCTCAAGCCCTGCTGCTCGTAATCCCTCGACCCCAAGTACGTGCACACACAGACAGACGAGACTCGATTCCCAACCCAGCACAGGCTAAGCCTGCATCGACGCTGGTGGCATCGACGGGGTGCGACGGCTCGTGCAAAGCAGCTTGTTGATGACCAACACCCAACAGCCCCAACGCCGGGCCCTCCATCCCCGGCCGCTCTGTTGGACGTCCTTGCATGGATTTGGGAGCAAATAACATTGAGACAAGCCACACTCTCGCTCGTACACCCTCACGACTTTGATTACATTCAGACAACTCGCCATAAGAGCTGTGCTGGGTGATGAGTAGTCCAGACCTTTTCCTGTCCTCGAATCAGCTAACACATGTGAAGTATATCAACCTCAACCGGGAGCCATCAGGCCTGACACGCATACATGTGCAACTACAGATAATACACGCTCGCATGCATGCGCATGCTCTCCTCGGTTTTCTACAGCCTCTCGTCCGTCTGGGTCGATTTGCCTCTCATTTCCAATGCTGATTCGTCCAGCGGCGCCTGCATCATGGGCTCCATAACTACGCATAGTCCTGCAGGTCCTTAGCCACTGCAACGCACCTCTGGGCCTCACCACACCCTTTCTTGGCCTTGTTCTTGTGTTTCATTTTACTTCATTTCATTTTACTTCAACCCAGAGTGCATTTCGTACCTTGGCCTTCGCATCCCAGTCCTCCATCCCACCACGGCTGGTCGTACTCCGTCCGTATAAGCCATGCTCACGCCTCAATCCTCATCCCAACAAGCCAGCCATCATTCCGCAGCACCGGCAGTCTCGAAGCCGCGGCTCTGGACTCTGACGACTGTTGGCCTGGCCCCACGCCTCCGTTCCCCACGCCCACAAGCTTCGGCCCACCCACCAGCATCTCTGCCGGGTACTCGTACTGACAACCATGCCCGTACTTGTACCTATCTTTAGCCCTAGACAGGCGTGGCTTGTTGTTGACCGGGTAAGTAGCGCTACCTTGTCTTCATGGGCCTCTGCGTACCATCCCTGGTCGAAGCCTGGGGATCCCTTCTTGTGCTTCCATGCCTCAACTGCGGCTGACCCTTAGTGCCCGCTGCTAGGGGGGAAGCGCTGGTTGGTATCAGATCAGTGCGCTGCTGCTGCTCAAGGGGGGCATGGACATGCCTCCCTGCCTCTCAGTGCTGTCTGTCATCAACGCCTGATGCTGGAGGGCCTTCGCGGCATCGTCCTCAGCTTTAACGAGAATTTAGTGCGAGATCGTCCGTCGCCCTGCTTGCTTCTACACCTGCTGGTTGAAGTGCCGGTGAGACTTGAGACAGGTGCTTGTGGTTTGCCTTGTAAGACCACACCCCTGGAAAGACACCATCTCACTTTTGCAACGGTTAGCCAGCCCACCCAAGTTTTCAATATCAGGGACCACCAGCACTCCTGCCTGAAAGTGGCTCAACGCTTCTGAGACACTTGTGCCGTCTGCTTGTCTGCAGGCCGCATCTCGTGCTTCCTCGGGTTTACATACATACAGCAACCAGGTATCGAAGTCTCCGTCTCTTCCAGGTTTCTTTGAGGGCCCACCCTGACGTTATGGCGCACGTACGTACATGCTACGACTACATAACACTCAAGCATGTTGACGCTGCCTGGAGATATTCCCCGCCAAAGGACGTCCATCCATGGACCAACAACGCGGACTAGTATGTCTGCAGCCCATGCCTGAATCCTCTCTCTGCTGTGCCGGGATCGATTGGACGGCCATCGGCGACCCTGCTCGGTAGGGCAAGTCGTCGTCTTGCCCTCGTTGCAAGGGCGGTCGATCCTACCTCGGGATTACATTCAAGGCTTCGTACTCTGTACGAAAAGAGCTTCATTTCCTACAATTGGTTCCCCTGGTCATCTCACGCAGGCCATCCACTACCGGAAGGCAGAAACGAATCCGCTTGCTTGAGCTGTATCCTGCGTGATATCCGGCGTCTTGGTTCTTGCGGAGTCCATTCACCGTCTCGTTGGCTTCCACACTTCAAGAACGTGTCCACATTCAAGGAATACTTGTGACGTACGACGTGGGACTGCCTATCCAGATGTCCATGGCGCTTTAGCATCTCCTGACCGTCGGTATTTATGATCCAGCCGAGGAGAGTTGGCGCATGAACAGAGAGGGAAAAGACGGGGTAGGTAGGTAGATAAAGGGTGGCTAGTCTTCAGCTTACAATGGAGCTTTGTGGATTTCCAGTTCGGTCGTTAGCCCGCCTTAATGCATCATCTGGCCCAGACCAGACTACCACCCTGAGGATATGGGCCGGTTCCGGGGGAATCGGAAAAGCAACTCGTGTCTCAGGGATGAGGCCCGTGTATACGGAGTGCCTGCGTGTATGTAAGTATTATGAGATACCAGCACGGCGGAGAAGGCCACAACGAGTGCCTGAGGGCTACGAGATATCACCGCTTTCTCAGTGTATGACTCTGGGGCCGGACAAGCAAGCACAGACTCCTGGCGAAACTGCATGTACACTGATAGTATCGTACGTCGTGCTGGCGGATATTCCGCCCGGTTACAATGTCTTCTCCTCTTGTCCTTTGGAGAACAAGCTCACCAGACCATGCCCCCGGCGCGACCCGCCCATAGTCCCACTCGAGATGGCAAACGTGTAAGTCGACCAACAGCAAGTTCTGAGCACCAAGCAGAGACGGTCGACAATGTATTGACCTTTGAAACCGCTGACATGTGGCTCTGCCAGTCCTCAGGTGACTCGTATACGTTATATCATCGGCGATATATGTGACTTCATGTCTCCTGTTAACGAGGCACTAAATCAAAATGACCATGGGACAACGACGGCTCCTGGGTTCACGTGGCCTGTTCTACGACCGTGAGACGATGTAGTACTACATGTAACGCTCTCTCCAATGCTGGCTTGACATCATCTGCTGTACAAGGGCTAAAGGTCTTAGCAGTTTTCCGTTGCATTGATCGGATTACCCATGGCTGCGGCCTTCCGCATTGCAGGACCTACCTAATCCTGACCTCAACTATATGTACATACAAAGTTTTTCGTTTTTACCTATCCATAGATGACGGTTTGCGTAGTCCTGCATAGCGATGATGAATCATGGATATGTTGGATCTATAGAACGGCATTTGTGAGGTGGGACGACAGGAAGCTGTACGGTAGATAGAGGTTATACGGAGACACCGTGTGTTAGCACCCGTTATACTTCAATGCGCCTACATCGAAGCTGTAGCAGAAAGCTCCAGATCAACGCCGCAATGTGCATCCCACAATCTCTTTACAACAGACTCGAGTCCACTCTTCAATTTCACAACACAGCATGCGGCATCTCACTCTAATATAACGGCAGATTGGACTGCGCTTATCTGGAGCATGTATGACGCTGCCTGTGTACATGTAGGCACTCTCGGTGCTTCTCACATTGTCGCGATGTTATATAAGGTGGTGCCTAGAAAGACCCCTGGTATGCAAGCCTCTACTAATATAACGTGAAAGTTCTTGCAAAATGGCAAATGATCTACGGGCAATCGCACACCCTCCTATGTAACGGGTGAAAGATCAAGTCATCTACTAGTCATTCCACTGCACGTTTCAATCGGCGCGGGCAAGGTCCAGACGATGGCTGGAGGCGTGCTGAATAAACGCATACCTCACTCCCCCAAAGGTACCTGAACTCGAGCAATACTGCCAGACCTACTACCGCTCTGGGTAAGCGGTCACGCCTCGTCAATGCTTGGACGCACCTTCCCTTCCAGCTCGCCAGTGGAATTCAAGTTTTCGCATCTCCTCCGCTTCACATTTCTGCTTCTTTTCATCCTCAGCTTCTTCCATGACCGCTGGTGCTGCTGCGGCCTTGCACGATGCGACTGTAACCCCGCGCCGTATGTACTCGTACTGCAAGCAACCGAGCACCTGCTTCGCAAAACACATTCGTTTCAGTTCCAACACGCGAGGACGCCGCAACGGCCATGCGAGCCTTGCAAAGTCCGCCACCTCAAGCCATGGCCTCGGAATCCTTGAACCAACAACTCCACGGCGGTCGAGCCTACCTGTACATGTGAATGGCTAGGCCTCTCTGCAAGTGGTGCTTGCGGGGCTGGTTGAGAGATACGATGTAACAGCGCCCAGAATGCATATTGGGACTCAGCTTCCGCAAATGTTGCTGTACGTGTAAGTCATCAGCTTGACGAGTTCTGGGAGCTACATTGCAGTCTGCTCACCATCTCAGCAGCGCCTCAGCAAGTTCATCAATGATCTGCTTGCATCGTCGCCCTCTTACTGATGAGGCTCTGCCCGGGGTACTCCGTGTTGTGGGCAGCGCTGTCGGGAGGCTCGCAAGGTCCAGCTGGGGTTCCCTGACCATGGATCGGCTAATCGCATGACAACCCGCCCCATGCCATGATACCTCCAAGCCTCAACCATCTGTGGCAGTAATCACGCCTGGTTAAAAGGCTGATTTTGAGAAGGGGCTCCAGAAAGTGACTTCTCTCGGGGTCCTTGTCGACTTGGAAAATCTTTGGCAACTCCCAACGTCGTATCGCGCAAAGGAGGGGGCCACAGGACGCTCCATCGGAGGGCCGAGCTAGCACCCTTTGGCCAAACGCATAAACTCGAAGAACCAACAACACACCATTTCGACGACGACTTCGCCGAACCGAAAGATGCTCTCTCGGCCTTCGTTTGTTTGTCTTCATGCCGCAGACCTGTCTCCGTATTTTACATGTCACATCCTCGCCCTCTCCCTCGCCACCCCCTCTGCAGCGTCCTCCTGGGGAGTGAATCGCAAGCAACCATGGCGTTTTTGACTTCTAGTACTCCGCCAATGCCGGGACGACTGGATACTTCAACTGCCGACTAGTATTATGGTCACATCCCGCACTGGCTTGCGCCGCCTGCAGATTGATTTGCCCAAATCCCCAGACTCTGGAAGTGGGATGTATCAGCGATTGAGAAGATTGGCTTTCTTGAAGCCTTCTCCCTATTCAGATGTGTACACACAAGTACCTCTGGCCACGCTGGTGCTAATTAAGCATCCTTGAACCCTGTCGAGATGTTTCATTCGCCGCACTAAGAATGCTGCAGAATCGACCCTGTGCAGGGGACTCTACGCCCCGTATCACCTGTACTGTATGTACATCCACATCGCGGCTGATTGTCGCGGCGGAAGCGAATAGGTGTCGAGAGCCTTCTTCATACGGGCATCTTCAGATACAACAGGCCGTGGCACACCAAGGAGAAGGAAGAACTCGCTACGCATCATACCATCATCTACGACATCATGATGCTGGTAATTATGACCGCCTACCGACGGTTTGGTTACTGGTCGGTAATTATATTGCCGAGCGGGACAAGATTAGGGTGACGTCCGCTGCGACGGCGATGTGCTGAGTGGGTGCGCATCGACCGGGATTGCGTCCTTCACTCCCGCTTCATGTACTTCGTATCTCCCAACGAAGCACGGTAGACGGCACTGGCACCGACATCATCATGGTCATTCAAATACAAGAAGAGCTGCACAGGGTTCTACGTCACATCGGCATGCTGGTACATAGGTAATGCTTTTCTCCGCAGTGAGCGTTTCCACTACTGCAAGAGTGCGTCTCATGAGTACATCAAGTGATGGCGCTCAACCTCCAGTCTTGGCAAACCAACCCCATTACCCATGCCGGAAAATCAGCGGCAGTCAGCGCATGCATGCACAGATCCGTGGTAGCAATGTGGCGTTATTTGTCTGTCATTTGGAACCCAATGAGTCTTGGTGAAGACGACCAGTGAACGGGAAGAGTCAACCTCCATCAAGGGTCTAGGTGAGTTGGGAATTTCCACTAATCCCTACTCTCTTGCGGAAACAGCTGCTCGTCCGAAGCAATGTTTTGAGCGTTTTCGAGCACACTGCGTACGGAACACAGGAAACTCCTTCATGCGGAGTCCGTCCAGATCGTACAACACCGACATGGCAAGTGCGAAGCGTGCCCTCGCCAACACATGCAATACTAGCCCTTGTCTGAATCGTGGTCTCCTGGGTCCCAACGGTGTCGTCTTTCTGTGGCCTCCTACTGGTGGTCCGGCGTGTACTTCACACGCTAGCGGAACGCAGATCACATTCGCTCGTGAACGATAGGCCCAGATTCAACCTTGCAAACGCGACAAGGTATAGACGAAGCCATCCAGTTCCACCTGGCAACTCCTTCATCCCCTGTCGTGCTAAACATCTGCACGGCGTCCCGCTAGTCGTTAGCGCCGCTCGGTGAACCAGACTGTCGGGTCGAACGAGTAGGGGTTCGAAATTGCGGTAAACGCTCTGGGAGTCACAGGATCGTAAGCTGGAGTCTTACGCGCAGAGAGCCGCTCACACAGCACGGTCATCTGGCAACTGAGTTGGACCGCATCCTCCGATCAATGTCTTACTCGTGAAAGCTTCTTGATGCGCGGAAGTTGCCGTTTCGTTTACCTGTACTCGGAGGAGAGCTCCAAGAGATCCCAGAGAGTATGGGATATGGAGATGGCTGGCCAACCCCGCGCACCTTCAACTATCCGAAGGTATGGTATGCTCTTCATTAATCCCTACCTACTAGTACTAGGCTCTCAAACCGTACCGGCCCCAAGACCTCAGCTCTGCCAAGTTGGACCTCCGACACTTCGTACTCAGAAGCGGGGCTTTTGCTCCTGACTCTCGTCCCTCTCTTGTCTTCTCGCTATCGCCAGCGTGGGCAGCTCGGCATCAGCAAAGGGGTCGGCGACAGCGAAAGGATTCAGGTCCTCGACGCCACACAAACGCGCGGAAGCGGATCCGCCGCAAGCGATCGTTTACTCAGGCTATTTTCTTTCTAATGTTGCCGTCATCTACATGGACTGCTATGTAATACAAAGACGCTTTCCGGCGACTCCCCGCCCCTTGGCTTGGTAAATGCCTCAATTGGCCTTTTGCCGCAGTCCAGAAGGCCCCCCCGTGCTGTCTTGCTCTTGGAAAGGCATGGTGTGGACGGCCAGCTGTGGCCGGCGGTCTGAGATGGCCTGTGAGCCAAATACTATCTCAATCCGGCAGGCCGGAAAGACGGAGCGGCTCGTCCTGCTCTGTTTAACGCCGAGGCGGAAGTCCCAGTCGGTCCAGCTATGACGGGTCTATTGTTTGGACTACGGAGCGCTACTGCTTTGTAGCTATCATAACCGGCAATGACCTAGGACAGGTGGCTCCCTGACATTGCCTCGTCGTCCGTTGTGCGTGCACATCGTCTGGGCTTCTTGGCTCATTGGCCTCTGGCCAACGTCATACGGAACTGCATTTTGTCTCTGCCTTGAAGAAAGAAGTATACATACATATCTGCAGAGCACTCTTTTGGTCCGTACTGACCTCGTTGTGCTATGATCTTGAAATTAATTACGGGAAAACAGAGAGAGAGAGAGAGCCAATCCGAACTGGAAAAATAACGTCAAATGTCCATTCTTAAAGAAAAAGAACCCCTTCCTTGCCAGCGACCACTCCGTGTCTCTGCAACAGCAAAAGCTCCCCTTGACCATGGGAATTACACTGTGTTGTTTCCTGTTCTGTATTGAGACTTTTTATTTCTCCTTCATTTTCTGGAGAGGAGATGAAAACGCAAAAATGATCTGAGGATAATATGAGTGAGAAATTGCGAGCAACAAGCCCGAGTAGGTAGGGCATGTAGAGGTATAAAATCACCAAATAAGCAGAAAACGATTATGCCGGCACCGAGAGGGTCGAGCCCAAAACCCCGAGCTCGATCCCGTGCCTGAGCTGAAAGCTGTGGCTCGTATCAAGCCGTTTTACGAGCGATGCTGCCGCGGAGCAACAAGCACTGATGAGCTCATCTTCCTCCTTCCCCCACCCTTTCGTAGATTCACTACCATTCGTATTCACCGGTTGCTTTGTTGAAAACGTACTCTTTGCCGTTCACGGTGAGGACGCCGTCCTTGAGAGTGCACTTCCTGTTGCAAAGTCAGTAAGCAAGAAGATAACAAATGGCATGGGCTCCCATGTTTTGTCTCTTGCAGACAAGCCTGAGAGACTTTTTTCATTCACTCACCACTTGTTCTTGACGCGCTGGACCTTGTCGTACATGCAGAGCATGATGTGACCGAGGCCTTCGTCATCAACCTCATCGTCATCACGATCCTCATCGGGATCATCTAGATCGGAGTTGATGGCGTCCTCATCAATCTCGTCGTCGTCGTCTCCGCCGTCATAGGCACCCACGCCGCGGCGAGCCTTTCCTTTGCTTCTCAGTTTCTGGGCGGACTGGTTTTTTGTGGCCTCTTTCAGAGACAGCATCAAGCCACCTCCCTCCATGCTTTTGGCTTTGGCAGCCATCTGCTCGTGGAGGATGCGGTCGATGTCAACTCTGCCGAGCTCTTCGGGCTTGCCGTTGACGCCATGCCGTAGAAGGACGCCTTCGAAGCTTTCTTGTTCATCATCCTCGTCCGACTCGTCCACCATGGCATCTCCGGCGCCATCAACCTGAGCGTTGCCCAGGTTCTGCTGCTGTTGCTCCGATGGGTGAGGCTGCTGCTGCTGCTGCGGTAACACAGGTGTCGAAGCCTGGCCCTGCTGCTGTGACTGCATCTGAGGCTGCTGCCCCATGCGGTCCTGTATCGCATTGATGGAGCCAGCCGCTCGCACCCCGTACTGAGCTTGAAGCTGCTGGGCAGCCCTGTTGGCGGCAACGCTGTTCTTGTTCTCCATGTTGTTATAGTTGGGGTAGGGCATGCCCGGCTGCTGAGTGCCGGGCTCCTGCTTGATGCCGGGCTCTGTCTTCACATAAGGCTCCTGCTTGATGCCATTTTGAGACGGGCCGCTCGGAGGGCTCGCTGTCGGCAACGACAATGGCGTGGAGAATTGACCTTGCGTCTGCACAGGCGTTGCTGTATTGTTGTTAGGAGGGGGGGCAGATGTGGCTGGCGGGGGAGGTTCCGGCTTGGGATCCCACGGAAAGCGAGCCACGTCGAGCTGAGAGAGCTTCTGCTGCCATCCCTGTGAGAATCAGTCAGTATAGCTCAGTATATAGATGACCGACTGAAGGGGTGAGTAAATGGCTGGTGAGAGGTGTAGAGCCTTGGTCACACGTGATGTGAGAGGGAAAAGAGGACCGCAAGGGAATTGGAGAGGGTGGCTATTGGCGGTCCAATCAGACAGCGCCGCCGCCCGCTGTCCTGCCTGAAGTCACTGGACTTGTCGCCGTTGGCGCGGCCAGGGGGGGCCTCTGGACTTAAAAAGGGCCCCAAATAGTGCTGTGTCGCCCCCCCGATCCCCCCGATCCCAACCCGCCACTCCTCTCCACCCCAGGTTTCTGCTTCCCCTCTCAGGCAGCTTGCGAGGCGTTTCGCAGAGCACGTCGCCGTTGCGGGCGGGAACTGATGGGATTTTTGTATCTTTTTTTTTTCTTTTTTTTTCTCTCGTCGAAGATGCTGCCAGGCAGATGCGGGCGTCGCTTGGGATCGCTTGTCGGACGGGGTCGTAACGATAGCGGGTGATGAAGGGGGCAGCAAAAGGCGACTCGCAAAAGTCGGGAACAAAGAACAGAATCTGACTTGACTTACCAATCGCAGCTCCTCCAGCACGGCCTCTTCAACGCCGCTCTCTTCGAAGTCGACTCGCGAGCTGTTGATCACCTCCTCGATAATCGTCTGGTAGAGGCTTCCCACGGCCTGGTTTGACATGGTGGGCAACACTTCTTCGGCTCTTCACCGACGTCGTTGCTGCTGGGTGATTTTTCGGCTTTGCGTTGCTTTGCAGCCTTTGCGATGCCGCAACAGAGATCCAAGAAACGATCAAAACCACTTCGGTGATCTCGTTCACCAGCCTCGCAAGAACAGCGGGCAAGGGAGATTTCGCACCGTAGCCGAATGGCGGCAGTCGAAGTCTCAGCAACCGACTGTCGAAGAGACGGGAGGATGTGGTGTTTGCTTGTGCAATCGTCCCAGCGACGCGTGTGTCCTTCCCTCCAGCCTTTCTTTCTTTTTTTCTTCTCTATCGAGTAATCGAACGAGTGCGCAGCCTATCACGAGGCGGTCGTGGTGGTCGACAGACGTACAGAAGTCGGTGGGTAACCGCCTCTCGCAGGCAGCCAAGCACTGAGCTGGACTGGTACCTGTGACTGTCGCCGCAGCCCGCTTCAGCAGAGCGAAGGGGGAACGAAGAAGGAGACAGAGCGTCCAGTAGGCACCGATTGCAGTGAGATGCCCAGTAGAGCAATCCGTAGAGGTCGCAGTAAATTCCCCGAGTGCGCGCCTTGATGCAGCGTCAACGGTGGGCGAGTTTAGTAGGTGACGATTTTGGCGTATGTCGGTCCAGCTGCAAAAGGTAGGTATGCAATGGTCAGAGTTGGCAGCGCCCGGTAGATGTGCACTTCTAGAGGGCTCGGCCGCTTAGTCATCCCCAGCCCAGCGGCTGAGGGATCCGCCCACCAGCGCCAGCTTTAGCGATGCGTTAGCGGGCTCGCAGCGCTGAAGCTGAACATAAAACACCAAGACTCGCTGTCTGTGGGACGCTCATGATAGTTGGCGATATTATGATTTCACAAATGGAAGGCAAATCACTTCAAAGTAGGATCGAAGTGAGGCTATCAAAAGTCACGGGAATGCAAGATATTTGAAACAAACGTTCCATTGTAAGCTATCTACTCAAGCAAACCTCCAAAGAGGTCAAATCAAAACCACCCGTAACGCCTCCAACGCCCATCATGTTCCCTTCCTTTGAAATCAATATCGCTGGCAACTTTTCCACGTATGCAGCAGCTAAAAACTGTTACATCAAGCAATATACCCTAATCCATTCATGTATTTCTCTGTCGTGCGTTTGTCTCAGACATCCCATCATTCATAGTCATAGCTCGTGTCAGTTGGTTTGACCCATTCCCATGTGTCCGTCCGTGGAGAAGCACTTTCATTCCACGTGCCCGTTTTCCCCCAACGCCGATTCAAAAGCAGACCTCGCCCAAAAATAAGAGAGTAGATGCCGCTGATGAGGCTGTACTCTGGCGGTTCCGATGACCAGGAAACCGCCAACCAAGTGCCAACTAGCGAATCGTCATGTGCTTGGCATGGTCGGCCTTCCTAGAGGCCGCTGCAGCCGCAGCACTGGGTCCCGCCCTCTTCTCGAAGATCTTCCAGAACTTCAAGCTTTCGTCAGCGGCGGCAGTGGCAAGCATCTGGCCGTCGGGGCTGAGGCAGCTGTGCAGGACACGGCTCTCGTGTGCTGGAAACTCGATGTTGCGGACCAGCGTGGGATAGCTCCAGACGCTCAGAGTGTTGTCTGGGAAACCACTCGAGCTCACAATCTCGCGGTGGTGAGGGCTCCAGCGCAGCGAGGTGACTTGCGAGCCAGTATCAATGCTGTTGACGCGAGCACCGGTAGTCGAGTTCCAGAAGTGAATGTGACGGTCGTAGGAGCCGCCGCCAGTGGCAAGCAGGTTTGTGTTCCAGGGGCACCAGGCAAGCGCCTTGACGGCCGCCTTGTGGTTGGCCTTGGTGAACTTGGGCACCGTCAGAGAGCGGGCGTCCCAGATGGAGACCAGGTTGTCGTTGCCGCCCGTGGCAAGCTGGGCGCCATCAGCCCGCCATTCGAGGCCGCAGACCTCGGAAGTGTGAGAGACGAGCTCGGCAATCTTGTGCTTGGCGATGCGGACATCGTGGTTGAAGACAAGGCCACTTCGGGAACCGGTGGAGAGGAGATGTTTGCTCCATCCCATGACGCCGACGCGGGTGTCGTGTCCAAACATGCTCCGGATCTTCTGGCTCTCGGTCACGTCCCAGATCTGGACTTCGCCCGTGCCGAGGCCAATGCCAACGTAGGCACCATCCTCAGACCACTTGACACTGCTGACATAGGTGTCGGGAGTGGTCTCCATGAGGCAGTTGACGCTGCCCTCATCTGCGGACCAGACGTAGACGCTGCGCTCCAAACCGATGGCAACTTGGTTGCCGGAGCTCCAGTCCAGCAAGTTGAGATAATAGTCATCAATCAGACCAGGTGCGTCCAAGACACGCTCAGGAGCGGTAGCGATGCGTCGGCGAGCCTGGCCGGAGCTGGCAGTTCGCAAGGGTCGGTTGTATTGCTGGCGCAGATCCACAGGCTTGGATGACTCGGGGGGAGCAGGCTTGAACTCCAGAATGCGAGTCTTGAGGCTCACACCGCAGACATCGGCAAGTGAGTCCTGGTAAGCCACGGTATTGGGCGAGGGACGAGAGTAGTTGTCGTCCTCATCATCGAGGATGCTCAAGCCCTCAAAAGCAGCCGAGGCGTCTTCATTCTCTGGAGAGGCGGGTGCCATCGGTCCCTCTGAAATGCTCGGGTTGGATCGCTTCTTCTTCTTCTTATCGGGAAGATTGGCCTTGCTGGATCCCGTGTTGGCAATGGCGGAACTGGCAGCCCGGTTGGGGATGAAGCGGTCACCGCCCTGGTTGACTGTCGTCTTGGACGTCTTCTGTCGAAGCGAGGGCTTCTTGGTCTTGAAATTGAGCGCCTTAATCGGCGAAGGAGTGAGCGGGATTCGCCCACCCGCCGCGAGGCCCTTGGGCGTCTTGACGGGAGTTGAAACCGCCGCAGTAGACATGGTGTTTGATATTCGTATGATATATCAAATGATCATATGTTTGTGTGAACAGAGGATATTGAGTGAGCCGTAAGTGAATTCGTGAGTCGCAGTAAAGCTGTGAGCAGTAGCAAAGTCGTAAACAGTAGAGTAATCGTGAGCAGTAAAGGTAGACAGAAGGTGTGTGTGCTTGTAGGACTGCAGAAACGGTGAAGATGTCGGCCGATGGTATATATGGGAATCTTATTTACTAGCTCCACCGCCTTTGTTGTCCGGGCAACGCACGAACAACGAAGTAGCGCGGATTTACTCACCTTCCGCAGATCCGACCTTGATTACCGCCCGGATAACCGCCGCGCGGCTAACCGCGTCTGGCTAGGCGTGGCGCGGCTACGACGAGAGGCGGAAGTGTAAAAAAAATTCAAACGTCAAGAGGTACGTACCCAGTCGGTGTGGGCATCAACACGAACGTCTTTCGTCTCAGCTCCGCAAATCTGCGACCCTCATCTCACATGCGCCGTCCAGACGCTTAACCTACATCATCCGTCGCTGAATCCACCGCCGAGTCTCGTCACTGTTGGCGCGTGCTGAAGCTGAAGCCAGCTGTTGTTGCTTCCATCGGCGTCCTTCGCTTTCTGTTGACTTCAGGTTGTTGACGTCGCTGTTCTCGGCCTCGCGCCTCCTTTTGCCTTTGAACTACCAAGCCATCGATTTGCGTTTGTTCATACTTTACGCGAGCGGTTCACGCTTGAGATGGTCTTGAGTTTGTGACGCGGCCAGCTTCACCATGGCGCAACCGTCAACCCCCGGCCCAGCCTCGTCGTCCGTCAGCCTGTTTGGTCAAACCCCGGCAGCCCATGCGGGTGGGACGCCGCAGCCCGGCATGACCAGCCAGACGTCGTCGGAAACCCTGAGTAACGCTCAGACGCCAGCCTCGGCTTCCGCCTCCAGCAACACCTACATCATGCCAAACTCTCCCCTCAAGGCCCGCCCGTTGGCCGATGGCTATCGACCGAAAGTGACACGCACGCTGGGACAGCGGCCTGCGTGCCTCGTCAATGCCTCAGTGACCTACTGCGGCAACAACCAGATTTACGCTTTCGGTGGCTTCGACCAGTACACGGACGAAGTATACAACCATGTCCTACGCTTGGACCTGACGAGTCACCAATGGAGCTTGGTCGATAACTATGGCGATATCCCAGGAGTGCGCATGGGTAGGTCTCGTTCGACGTGCTATGAATTTACCGTATGCGATTCCAAGACGAGTCACTAATCAGCATCTCTCGTGTAGGCCACACGGCGACCCTGTACAAAGGCGACAAACTACTGGTCTTTGGCGGCGAGAACGAGCATCGAACATACCTATCCGACCTCATCATATTCGACCTGAAAACTGCACATTGGACACAGCCTCTGGTATCTGGCCCGATCCCCAAGGGCAGAGCAAGACACGCCGCTGTGCTCCACGAAGACAAGCTGTTCATCATTGGTGGCATCACGGGTCAGAACAATTATGTGTTGGATGACATTTGCTACCTCGATCTCAAGACGTTTACGTGGTCCAAGGCATGGCGCTTTGTCGGCCGCTTCGATCACTCTGCCTACATCTGGGGCGACCGCGTCTGGGTCTTTGGTGGTCTAAGTGAAGATATGGACAAGATTAGCGATTTGTGGTGGCTTGACCTGAAGGGAAGCCCAGAGTTCGACTCCCGGCCTCATTTTGGCGTCTTGGATCGCCATTCGGCCGCTCACAGAACCAGTAGCTCTCCCAGGCCGCCTTACACCATGGCACCCAACCCCGTTGTCGGCACATCTGGCTATGCTGCCAACTCAAGGACTGCTCAAGTGAACCCTCCGTCGTTCCAAGTCAAGTCCTACGCACCCATGGCGCCGGGAACCATATCTGCCCTCAAGTTCGTTTCTGGCCCGACTGTGCCCTCCCAGGGTTCTGGTATCCATTTCCACACCTACTCCTCGGGGACCTTGCTGGACTTTGTGACTCCCGCGGCGACCATCACGCACAGAGAATGTTCCTTGTCGGCCTTGGATCTCAGTACCTTGAGGTGGCAGAAGCTGGCCGATGGCCGTGAGATCTACAAGACAGGATACAGGTGGCACTACTGCACTATGAATGAAGACGGAACCAAGGCGTGGCTCCTGGGCTGCCCAGTGGATCCTGCCGCAACTGATCTGGGACCGAATGGTTATGAGGAGTATTTGAGGTAAGATGAGACAGCAAAGCTTATTCCGTAACGCTTCATGACTGACATCGTCTGTAGTGACATCATGGAAGTCGACCTTCGGCGATATGGCTTCCTTGGGAACAACCTCGCGCCAGAATCGCTGGCCCAGTCTAGACCTTCGTTCACCACCAGGCTATCTGACCAACCCTCGAAAGGCTTGGGCGCGGATCTCGCCAAACTGTTCAACCAACCGCCCGAGACAGGAAGCGGCACGGACTTCATCATCACGGCCCTTGCAGACGACGCTGACAGCGATGAGACGCTCAGCTCCGGTCTGATCCGAGCCGACGATGCAAACAAAGACCAGAGCTGGCTCTCTGCCGATGCGCCCACCTCGATGCCCATCCACGTCCACAAGCTGATCCTGCAAGCGCGCTGGCCGCACTTTGCCCGCTTGTACAATGCCCAGATGGCGGAGTTCCACACCAAGAAGATGCACATCCCCGAGCCATACTCGGTCGTCAAGGCGTTCCTCCTGTACCTCTACACCGACAACATCCACGGCACGACGGAGGCGGACAGTGACGCCACCACGGACCTCTCCGACGTGGCCGGGCTTTTGGTCATGTCCAACATCTACAACATCCCGCATCTTCGCCTGCTGTGCGTAAACCGACTGGCCAAGGAGCTAGACGTCGAGCATGCCTGCGTCATCTGGTACTGCGCGGGGCTGGCGAGCGAGGAATGGCTTCGCAAGAGGGCGGCGACGTTTTGTATGACGCACTGGGGCCGTATTGTTCGCACTCAAGGCTTCCTCCGCCTCCCCCGCAACGCCCTGGTCGAACTGTCGCAGGAGATCGACATGGAAGGCCGAGTGGTAGCGGGCGACGAGCTCGAGTGGGGGAGCGTATCGGGCCGGTATAGCGATGGCACCGGTCATGGCACTCGTAAAGAGAGCATCAGCAGCAGCACGCAGATGCAGATCGTCGAGTCCGATGACGATGACGAGGACGTGGAGATCTCGTAGGCTAGGGGGAAATGAGGAGGAGTGATATGCTGGGCCAGCGTATATCTGGTCGCGCAGCGCGCCTTGCGAGTACAAAGCCTGTATGTCCCGTGGTTTGCCCCATGTTTCGGGTCATGATCACCGTGGGCCTTGGAACTGGGACGAGCTGAGCTTTTGTTCTGTTGCTTGTCAGAGAAGATGCATGGCCGATGTGAGGGCTTTTCTCCTGTGCATGCGGCTTTCGTCTTGGTGTTTTGGGGCTTTTGATTTACATTTTGTTGTTCGAGCATTTTCGGGAGTTGGGTGCTTGTCAGTTGTCTTGATGCTATACCTGCCTTTATGATGAAGTCTGTCTGTGACGCATTGCCTAGGTAGCCAGCTATTTCAATCCATATGTATCTATAGATGATCTATATAATCTTCTTGATATACTGCCAGTCTGCCTGCCTCTTTTGGTCTCGCCTCTCCGATCATCCTCTTGACATGGGACAATGAGGCTGCATGTCATGTCATGTGCCTTTGGCTCATTCAGCTAGTCAAGGGCTTGACTTGTATGGGAGCGACTTGTCGCACATACATGAAGAACCACATTGGAACCTTTGGCCGTTGTCCATGAACACCCAACAAGACAAGGGACGCGGTCAACCTTGTACACAAGCATGTGCTGTACGGGATGCCACGTACCTGGTAAGGTACGGACGGCTACAGTCGCGAGATCTACTATTAGCCGAGGCATCTCAACCCAATTCAATCCCAGCCATGACAAGAGCAACGCATCCCAACATATCACCATCACATCCAAACATATTATATCCATTCACTTAGGCAAAATGGCAAGATCAAGCCTTTTTTCTTTCAATGAATCATTTTCGTGTTTCGCTATAATAACAGCACACATAGCTCCATTTTCCCCCATTAGATGTCTCTCTATGGCCGTTCCTGTAAGACAGAAAGAAAATGCAGCAAAGAAAAACAACTTTTCTTGTATCCCCGTACCCTTTTTGTTGTTCACGTCCCATCGCCCAAACAGTAACTTTTTCTTTTTTTGTTTTATCCCCCCCCCAAAGCGCTTCTCAGTGACAACACACGACTGTGCCGTTTGCCTCGCTGCACCATTTTGGGGGTTGAGGAAAGAGAGCAGAGTGCTTTGCGAGAGAAGAGGAGTGAGGAAATCCAAATCGCATAAAAAGATCATCAAAATCAAAACGACCAGGCCGAAGAGCAAGGGAAGAAAACAAGACAAACACCTGTTTTTTTCGCGTCCAGTGCAGTACCCAGTCTCCCACAAGCATGTCATAAAGGACAACAACCGACACCGCCCATCGTACAGATTCGTAATGCAAAGCAACTCCAGTCTTTCCCTTTTTCTTGCAAAGGAAAAGGAAAATCTTCTTCAGTCCCTCGTTCCAGACTGAACCGCCTGGTTCCCCGTTCCCACACCCTTTCTTCAGGCGACTTGCAATTCTTTAGGGAATGAAAGCATCTTGTTCGCTGTGCCAACCGACAGTCTATAGAAAGCGTACTGCAACAGAAAAAGGAATCGTCATAGATAATTGAGTCGAGTGAAGAGACTTCTTCGGTGACATTCAGCAGATGAAATGTCCTTCCAGTTCCGGCAGTATGGCCGCGGTCACGTACATTGCCACTTCGGCCGTCTGATGACAGGAATGATCTGCTCGGCGCTGCGTATAGTGGGGTTGAAGCGGTAATCGCGCCATCAAATAGGAGAACCTCGATCGAGAGAAGAGGTAATGTATTGCGGCCGTTAACTCATGCTTCTCCAGGGAACCAGCCCGGGGGTGAACGCCGCCGCCATGCGCCGTACAATGTCAACACTGAAAGACTGCATGTACACGTAGAGCGAGCGTAGAGCACGAGAGCAAGCAGTCGATTCAAGGCAGGGCAGGGCGAGCGCGCTGATCACGACCCAAAGACGAGTCTCCCTCCCCACACGGATCAGCACAGCTAGGTAGAGAACCAAGCTATAACTGGCGAGTTCGTAACGTCGCTCGTCGCTCGGACCAACCCATGCCGCTCAGGTGCGACTCGCCGACGTATGCCGTGCGAATGGCTCACTGCAGCATTACATCCTCTCCGATGCCCGGCAGATTCAGACCGGCGGCGAGTGCCTGAAGCTTAAACTCAGGGTTGCAAGGAAGCGAGTGAGATTTGTGCTGTAGAATCGTCAGTATCGGAAGGGGGGAACTGGCGGACTGTGTAGACTTACGTATTTCAGGCCATTAAGATTCTTGTAACGCTTGCCGCATGTTTCGCAGTTGAAGGGCTTCTCCTTTTCCATACCCAAGGTACCTGGGTAAGGAGCGCTTGTCTCTGGGTTCACGATTGAGAATGTTCCGTCGCCATTTTCGTGTAGCTGCTGGGTTTGGTGACCGTGAGCCTTGTGGTACCTGTTGGTGAGCAGAGAGGTTAGCAAATCCGTCCTGAGTTCAAACAAAGCCGCGTGAGAACCGGTTAGCCTACTTGAGTCCATTCTGGTTCTTGTATGCCTTCTCGCAGCCGATGACGGGGCACTTGAACGGCTTGTGTTCCTCCGGCATCATCATGCTCTGCAGTCGAGCAAGCAGAACTTTGTTGGCCTCCGGGTCCGCAAACTGGCCGTGAGTCAAACCGAGCTGCGCAAGCTGTGCTTGTATGGATCGGTTGCCCTGAGGGAATGCGCCGTTGGGGCTGAAGAGGTGCTTGCCGGGGTCGTTGATGCAGAAGTTGGAGTCGTTGCCGTCGTTGTTGTTGCCGTTGCCAAACGTCATGTCACCGAGATCAGTGGCGTCGCCGCCCATGGGCATGCCAGGCAGATCCTCGTCCATCTCGCTCATGCCCTGCTGCTGAGCCTGCTGCTGCGGCATCTGCTGCTGGGTCGTGAGGGTAGGGGTATTGACGGATGAAACTGTAGGGTTGTTCTGGAATCCAAAGCTCTGGGCGGCGGGGGTGGGCGGCTGGGACGTCCGGAGACCCTGTGTGATACCAGAGGTGTTCATGTTGAGCTGTGGCCGCTGCTGCTGACCAAACAGCTGACGTGTCTGGTGCATCTTCTGGCTGTCATCCATGTCCATGGTACCGAGAGCATCGTCCATTTCCATGTCAGCAACAGCATCCATTTCGTCGTTCATGTTGTTTATTGAGGTGGACATCTGCAGCATGGAGGAGCCGAGTCGCTGAGACCCGCCCATCTGGAGACCAGGGCCGCCCATCTGGCGCTGCTGTCCCATCTGCTGCGAGCCGTTGCCAGGAGCCGGCGTCGACCTCGCATTGGGCATCTTGGGCGAGCCCTGAATGCCCAGGGCGCCGAACTGGTTGAAAGCACTGTTCCTGACAGCGCTGGGGCTGGCTTGTGTGTGGGCCTCCTCATAGTGCTGAAGCAGGTCATGAAGGTTGGGCAGAATCTTGCCGCAGCATGTGAAGTCACGCATGAAGTTGGCCTCGAGCTTTGGTAGGTACGATGATGAGTGGAATGACGGAGACTGATGTGCGCCTCCGGTAAACGGAGAGGTGCTTTGCATCATGATGCTGTGGCAAATTCCATGTTAGCAGTTGTTGACACAGGGGAGAATCGATGCTGCATCGTGCGAGTATGCTCTGTATGATAGCCATGGCATTGTGATGCAGCGTGGCATAGCAGGGGTTCGTTGTGGTGCGAACAGGAGGGGAAGAGGGGAATGGATAAGAAAAAAAAGTGATGATGTAGTGACTGCGTGTAGGGTTCAAATGCCTCTCACGCTAGCCCATCGTCCTCTCAGAGAAGAACTCGGCAGTGCAGGATGAAGCAATTGAACAAAGGCAATATTCCCTCTTTTTTCTTCTCTTTGACATGATGAGGACGGTGGTGATGCGGAGGATATGTGTTGTTGGGGCAGGCTTGGAGGAGTGCGGCGCCCCCCAGGATAACACAAGGCCGATAAGGATAAAAAGTGTAGAGCAGGATGCAGGGCGGGACAAGGTCACAAAAAAAAAAAGTATCCATGACTTACTCGTCCCTAACGAAGCTGCCAAAGGACATGCCTCCCCAGCTCATGCCTCCCATGAGGCTGCCGGCGAGGCTTTCGCGGCGATTTCTGTTGACATTGTCGCGGTTCTGGATGTTCATGGAAATGGGCTTGGGCCCGGCGCTGACAAACGAGTCCTGCCGCGGGCGGGCCATGCCAGGATCGAGGCCTGGGCCGGTAGTCATGGCGGCGTCGTCGCAATCGCTCAGGTCAATGTCGAGGTCGAGGTCTATATCGATGCCGGCGTCGAGTCGGGGGATGGCGAGGAGCTTGTTGGGCGGCGGGCTCTGCTTGGACTGGCGGAGGGCGGCGGTCCAGGAACACGTCGACGGGGAGGGCGACGGCGATGGTGCTGAGCCGTCTTTCTGTGTGCGCAGTGCGGGGAGGGACGAGAAGCCGGAGCTGTGTCGAGGCTGGGCGGGAGCAGCGGATAAGGATGCAGTCGCGAACGCAGACGCGGACGAGGCGGAGGGCGCTGATGCGAGAGGGAAGTCGGGAGGAGTCGCTGGCTGGGGCGAGGATGATTGAGACGACGAGTTGAGAGAAGCTGGCGGCGACATGGACTCGGACGAGGCGGCACAGGCAGCCAAGGACGGTCCGGCATTGGCCAGTGAGGCGCTGGTAGCGGTGCTGGTGCTGGTAGCGCTGCTGGTAGCGGTACCGGCCGGGGCGCGCGCAGTGGCAGTGGCGCTGGGGCCTGAGCTGGGACTGGTGGTACCGGTACCCGTCGTGGTACCCGCAGCCGTGCTGGCACTGGCACTGGCTCTGGCGTTTGCAGTGGCGCGGTTGTGGGCTGGCCGGGCGAGGGCATTGGGGCTAGCGCCGGTGGCCGTGGGGCCTGGCACTGGCCCAAGGTCCTTGTCGGGGCCCTGGAACCACCTGAGGGCGCTCTGCATCCTCCCGAGTTACAGGCACCGGACAGAGGGGCCCAGCCTGGAGCAGGGAAGGGGAGCGAGGTAGTTGTAGAGGGTGAGTCAAGCCGCCGAGCCGATCAGACAGCCCCGAGGCAGGACGAAATGGAAGGCAACGCAGACGGCGGAAATGGCACTGGACGGTACAAACCAGGACGCAGACAAGGCAAAGAAACGTGCAATCCTCCCAAGCAGTCAGTTCCGGTCGTCTAGGTCAGCCTGACTGCACGGTGACGCTGCAAAGGCGTGCCACGACTGGTTTCCTCCCGTCCTAATGTAGGCCGTGAAATGCGGAGTACTTGGTACGGACAGGGTACACCGTCCCTCAGCGGTCCAGCACCGTCGGCGCTACGGTGTAAGCGGGCGGGCTGTAGGCGTGCGGAAGTCGACTGGCTGTACTTGGTATCTTGGGAGGCAAGGCAAGGTATTGGTTTGACCAAGGCTCACGGCGCAGGGTTGGGGATGCAATGCAAAGTGAACACGTTGCCAACACTCGGAATCAGCATGCGGTCAGAGAGAGAGAGAGGATGTAGGTGAGAGACAAGGCCAGAGCCGGGGACACGACAGAAGGATGAATCAAGGTTCCGCCGACGCCGTGAGAGCTTAGGTGTGCCCGGGGTAGAGCGAGAGGGTGCTGAGTCTCGGTATGTCACCCGTCGCTGTATTTATTGCAATCTGGACCGCGCGAGTCGTGTAGCCCAAAGGCTCGGGAAGTCCTGACCAAATCGATGGGTACGAGGTCGAGGTAGCTAAGGTAAGGTAAGGTAGTGTCCCCCCAAGGAGAAGAGCGGTGCGGCTTGTATATGTTATTGTTGTCAGGCGACTGTTGATTGACGGCTCTGGGCTGCAGCAAACGGGCAGCGAATGGCGGCTGCAGGCACTCGGCGCAAGAGATACGAAGGGTGTAAGTCGGTTGGTTGGTCGGTTCTTGGTCGCTCAAACGGCGCGGTGCATGCACGGCTAAGGAAGATGGACAGAAAGTGGCTTGTCGAGGTGCATCAGTCACACACTATGTACTCTGCACGCGGTGATATGTATGGCACGCCGTTTGCTCGATTCGATGATGGCACCGTGGTCCGGCCCTGCAACCGGTCGAGATAAGCACCGATCGATCGAATAATGCTCCAGCGTCGAAAGAGGGACGGAGAGGCGGAGGTAGATGAGGGGTTGAGAGAGATATGGGGGATCCTCGAGAGCGAGCTGCTTAGCACCGTCGAGGACGAGGACAGGTTCAGGTCCGAGATGGTTGACGGCATGATCACCACGACGAGCCTCCACTCCTCACCCACACGCTCAGCGACATCCTGGCCGGCCTCACGCCCCTGCAAGCTTGGAAGCACTGATCACGGTGCAGCGTGTCAGTAGCCACAGTGCCACAGGAACAAGGGTTGGCGCTAACAGTTAATTGGACGGCTTCGTCCATTGCTGCCATTGTGGGAATGCTGGCCGGCTGGCCTCTGTTTCAATGTGCTGGATGAAGTAGAATAGAGTCGTGGTCGCGTGGAGTGGCAAGGATGAGGATGTAACATCTGGCTCCCATTGTAGGCCTTGCAAGAGCAGACGAAATGATCTTCGAAGCGACGCCGCCTCAGGCACACACAAGGATCAAAGTGCCAGTGCTAACGGGTACCAAAGAACATGAATGTACACACTACTCCGTACAGGCACACGCACATGCATCAGCAGCAACAGCGGCAGAACAGCAGCCAGCGGCATTGTCTGCCTGCTCGCCCTCGGCGCCCGCATGCACACCTCGACAACATGAGCAGTCAACTGCATGATGCCTCAGTCCGCCGCCACAGGTGCCCGCTGGGAGCCGGCCAGAGCAGGGGGACGAGGTCGTTAATGTCCAGTTGATGCTGCACATTGGTACCTCCTGGGCAGGCGGATGCTACCACAACGATTGCAGTCCGTTGCCCGTACAAAGTACGACGCATGCGAGTCGACCACCTTGGAATCACGCCTCGCCGGCCCTTGTCCTGTCCAGCAAAGACGTGCTTCCGGGTGAAAGGGTACTGCGGCTTTGTCGTACGGAACAAGGGACTCTTTGCAGCGCCAAGGACCAGCAGCCAGTGTGGCATGGCACAACCGTCCGTCCGTGGGGGTTTGAGGCCGACTCAGACATGTCCCTGATGACGGAGCACAAGGTCCAAACAGAAGCTCGGTCAGGACCAAAGCAGTAATGCAGGTCAACGGCGATGAATTACCCGGTGCGCGATAGTGCTACAGTACGAGCTACTAGCAGCGGTTTTAGGTCGCAGTCAGATGCATCTCAGCTCAAGCCAAGGTTGCCAGCCATCATCAGACTAAGGCGCTCTTGTTCCGGACATACCTGCGGTGTATGGACGTAATGCGTATCTCATCACGCAGCAGTAGCGCTCGACCGGCCTTGCCAGGACCTTTGTCCGCCTAGGTTTCCGGAGATCGGAGTTCCTCGTTCACTATTACCTCTTCCGGTCGATTCGCAGCTCGTTGAATGGTGAGCTGTGGTTGTAAGTCGGGTTCCACGACTCTCTACCTAGGTGGCAAGGGGCGCCATGCCGATACCTCACTAGGTAGATTCTACCACATTCTTCGTACCAGCCTCGTACTTCACCAGCTATGATATGTATCGAGATCGCAACACCAGGTTTGTCATCATGGAAGGGGTTTAGTGCTTTCAGGCAGGCCGGGATCCAAGGCATTTGGCCAGGCTACCAGGATGGAGTCTGTATTCTCTACATACCTTACTCGTAGCACTGCTCCGTACGTCCCTTGGCACTTGGTCAAACCACGGAGAACAAACGGCCATCTTCCCAGGATGCACAGCTCGACTGCCAAGGCGCCAGCCACTCCTATTTGATGTATGACCCCAAAGTAATCTGGATTGAATGCCATGTCTGAAATCCGGGAGACGGAGCACTCCGCAGTGCATGGTAGTAGGCCCCGTCAAATTCCAGGGACGAGGTGGTATGTGTGTAAGGTAGCTGGGTAGCAATACGACCACCTAGCAGAACCGCTCGTTGCCCAGTTGGCTCGCTCCGTTTACATGAAGCAGCTAGTATTGCGAACTAGCACTGACTTCGTCGTCTCAAAAGCACCTTTGCTCTGGCCTTTGCAAACCCGCGGGCCTCGACCCGACAATAGCAAGGTGTCGGAGATGCTGCTAGCATCCCAGCCCACACGAGTACCTGGGGCTACCTAACGGCCAGTCGTGTCAACTTCAAGTCCAGCCCAATGGTGGCGTCTGGTACCTTGTAGTCGTGTGTCGTGGTCGATACACCAAGCCACTAGCATCGACGCTACTCGAGGACACTGTTAGAAGTGGTGAGCCACTGCGCAGCGCCGTTACTGTGGAATGGAGCTCCTCTTTGCCGGGACAATCGTACAGTTGATGGCGATTGACCGCCGGACGGTCCTTGTGTTGCCACCGGCAGGTGAGGCCATTCATTCGGTTGTTGCTCGTCCGGAATAGGTCTCCGTGTTTTGACTTGCAATGTCAGCTGAGAGAGTTCTGTGCGCCGGACGGTTGAGCTCTGGGGAAGAGGCGATTACCGGAATCACCTCCGAAGCGATGTAATGGAGGAAGGGCAAGAAGAGCCTCTCTGAGCTGAATCTTTGCCAAGTACCTTGCCGATGCTTCACAGACGTGGACCGCCGAAAGGTACAGCTGTCAGGCAGTAAGGTAATGGCAGATTCAAGCATCACCGCCCTCAGCCCGCATTAGGAATCCTCGTAGACGCCCGCACCACTGAGTCTAGAAGTCGTCAAGAGCCTTCGCCCGCTCTTTCCATGCAGAGATTCGACTTGGCAGCAGAGCATCATCTCACATGACCGCCCACTACCTGTAGCCTTCTAATCACCTCATCCAACTCAGCAACTTCAGTGCTCGGTCGTCTCTTTCAGCCTCTCCTCTCCAGTCCCTCTGCATCATGCATCATGCGTCGTCTCTCACCGCTCGAGGTTCCTCCACACAAGGCATCTCCGTGAGAAACGGAGCATAAGAACCGACACTCGATCGAGGATCGCGGCGCTCTGCTCTGTGATTGATGGATGGGCTTGCGGCCACTTTTCCGCAGGACGGTGAGCAGTAGTTCCGTTCTATCTGATGCCAGCATGCCTATCACCTATCTAGTGTTGCTAGTGTTGAGCCTCCAGCCTCGACTCTCAGCCAGAGCTACACGATGATGTCAGGGACTTTGCCTCTTCTTCTCCTGACAAAGAGCTGCTGCAGATGCAGGCACAGACCTCGACAGTTGCAGGGTCTCACAGGTCTTGGACACCGCCAGATCTCCAATAGCGCCGGTGACCTGCAGCTTGCCCTTGACCCTCCAGCAGCAAGCAGCATGAGTGGTGGGCGTGACGAGCGATCGATGTGGGAGCATCACGCCGACAAGTTAACAACTATCCAGCTGTGAACCCTGCGCACAGCCATTCAGGAGGCGGCGAGAGCAGAAGTGCGCGTGTCTTCCACATGCATCTTGAAGCTCAGGGCTTCAGAAGGGCGGCGATTGGCGCCCAAGACTCCATCCGATGCTCTGCAATTACCTCAAACCTCGGATGTCCAGCCTCTCGTACAGGTACGTGGACAGCATACTCCATTCCTTGAACCCATAGTACACCTACACGTAGGTATGTACGCTTACCTGCCTTTCTCAGCCGTGCCTTAATACGGTCCCCAACAAAATTGCCAATGATCCCAGCTCAAGCAAAATCACCGATGAAGCACATAGGGCGTTCTGTATACTAGGAGTACGTACGAGGTAGGTACTTGCAAGAACTTGCAAAACGTTACCTATACCAGAACAAGGCCATATTCCCCTTGTTCGGGCCGTCAGCATCGGAGGGTCGCATTCCGAATTGTCAAACGCTTTAAACTGTCCCGCGAGGCGCAGGGATTTCATCGCAGTCGCGTGCGCACATGTGATATCCATGCATGTATCGATCAATGAAGGGCACCTGCAGCTCGCCAATTCCATGCTCCAGGCTCTCTCCGAATGCAACTCTGCAATACGAGCATCGACTGGACTGAGAGCTACCGCCACGATTTCGCCGCCCCATTACCCGAGTTGTCATTTTTGACATCACAAGGCACAGGCGGGATCCATCTTGCTGTGGGACATCTCTAGATGGAGTCTGATCCTCGGTCGGCTCATTGTTCGTAGCGCTGGATGCGCCTCTGCCGCCTAGTGGCTTGAGTCATTGCCTGCACATGGGTTGATGCTATATCCATTACGAGACGCAAATCTCTGTTCTCGACTTTTAACCAAGGTTAATCTTCTCGACGTGGGAAATGGCGTATCGAGACTTGTCGTTGGATTCTCGCTTGCATGCAGGCGGCTTGGATGTGGAGAGTAGGGAAGCCGACTCATTTCGGCTTTGATGAATTCATGATTCGCTTCAGGTCGAAGAAAGATTGGTATTCAAGTCGCATCTTGGCAGGCTGAGGCTACAAGGTACTATTTCTGCCACAATCAAAAAGAGAAAGCACAATGATGCCGAAGAAGCAGAAGCAGCCACACGCTGGCATACAAGTGGGCTCCAGGCCATGTGTGTTTCTTCCCCATGGCTTCCTCTCCTCCTTCTCCTCTTCTCTCATCCCAATCCCGCACATTGATGCCGGTATCATAGGACGCTAAGTCTTGAGACAGATCTTTGACCTGTCTTGGCAATGCTTGAGACAGATCAACGGAGCTCTTGAATAAGGTGAGTTGGAGAAGGAGATCTGAGCACAGGACCTAGGACAAGCCACCACACGCCGGGCCTAGCCGTGGTGAATTTGGAGATGAGGATGGAGGAAAAAGTCCGTCGAGGAAGCCAGCAAAGTGTTTCTGGCATCTCCGTTGGCTTGCGCAACCAAAGCCTGTTTCGTCATGGTGTCTCGAGCCCAAGTGGGTGCTGCGGTAGACTTCGGCATCTCATGGAACAAATGGAACCCTTCCATGGCTTCCTTGGACAGGGGTTAGGCAGCCACCAATCCGTCCGCCACGAGAGACAACTCGCCTTCGTCCGCTTTGCGCTAGCGGTTGCAAAAGCCTTGGCCGGGGACGTTGGACCCTAGATGCATCGTCTCAGCGCATTCGTTCCACTCATGGTGTTGTCGATCGTTGCTTCAGCATCGCCGACCAAAGCGTACTCCACCTCGGCTCCTCGCCTGGGTTTACGTACATAGTACTTGTACAAGTCAGTGTCTGCTCCGTACGGCCGAGAGCCACTTACGAGTCCTCGATGAGTAAGGTGGACGAGCACCTCGTGACTGATACTCCGTACAAGTGTGCGATACTTGATAATGGCATATACTATGATGGATGTTGACAAGCCTATGGTGCGACCAGGTAAAGATTGACTGCTTTGTCAGTTCCGAGATGGGTGCTGATAGCAGATGAGCTCCAAGAATAGCGCTGGTTGTCGTCGTATAAGCATACTTTACTGCGCCATACTTCACCAAGACCGTGCTCGAGCTATTGAACTGAATCCTATATTTTTAGCACCAGAGGCCCGAGAGCCTTCCTAGTTTCTTTCTTTTGTTGCGCATGGACTTGTATCCGCGGTCCGTGTTGGCCTTTTGCAGTGGTTGTGGGCGGGCGTTTATGCGGTCAGGGCGTTCAATGTGATCTTGGATGGAAAATATCATGGCAGCAGCTTTTCCGTCTTCGAGAGATCGCATTTCTGTCGACCGTATGTCGACAACTTGATCCTGTTGCGACAAATCTGGACAAAAAAGAGAAGGTTGCTTGTGTTCATTCCGAACATCATATCATACCCACCTTGTATATAAGTCCCCTCCACCATGGGAGAGTCATTGACGACACAGCAGTGAAGGCGGGACAAGCCGTTGGCTCATTATATTTCATACGATCCTCCATCGAATACGAGGCTGTAGGCTTAGAGATGTTGGTCGTCATCCAACCACCTGCCCAGATGATGTTGAGGGTTTGTTGGAAATTGCATACAGCATGGGGCCGGCAGATCTGAAGATCTCGGTTCTTGTCGGTTCTGCCGACAATCGGTCGGTGCGTGCCCATGCACGAATGGTGTTTTGTAGGAGCCAACCAGCATGAAGCTGGGGGGGCGCCTAACAACTTGAAGTATCTGCCAACTTTACTATGACGCATTGTGAAGTGAGTGTTTGACTCAGCACGCCGGTTCGCTTGTCAAGCGGCACGTATAAGAACAACAACAGGGCTATCCAGTCAAAGTACTCTCGTATGCCTCAGTGGGAATGTGAGATACTCCAGTGGTGCGGTGACCGTAGGATGGCCCGTGGACCCGGGACACGGAGAGCAACGTTACGGGATCTACGGGGTCGAATGCAGTGAGCGGCATATTGTCTGATCTACATTGAGGCGGTGTATTAGATGAGAATACAGCTTCGGCCCTTTTAACAGGATGGCCAGGGAGAGATTGACTGGATATTCCCAGTCATATAGATATATGGAATGGTCTGACGACTGACATATGTACACCATGTATCTCGACTACGTACGTCGTGACAGATGCTCGATACTTTAAGCTTAACCACCTATACACGTATACCCGTAATAGTTTACGCCATTCATACTCAACCCTGCCAGAATACAAAGAAATCCTTATCAAGCTAGATCATATCAGATCGTCCGTCCCATCCCAGGGGTGGTCACTGGCAGACAAGGGGGTCTGGTGCCCGAGAGATAGTGACTTTTCCCGGGGGCTGGCGTCGGAAACAGTTACCGATCGATAGTGTCGCACATAGTCGGCTCCAGATCCGAAAGGAAGTGGCAAATATCTGGTCATGATGGTGCATGAGGTGCATATGATGTGCTTGGTAGCTGAGGGTTGGGAGCTGGAGGTTTACAGGGTAGAGGGGTTGGCGAGCATGTTGCGATGTGTACTGTGCTGGTTACTGATTTGAGATCGCTTGGAGATGTTCTACGGTCACTGGCATATCAAGAAGATGATCTCTGATGTTTCGTGTAGATAATTTTTGGTGTCTACTGGCTGATGAAGCCTGAGTCGAGCAAAAAGTGCCGGCGAGGGGAGTTCTGACAGATCTTTGAGATGCAACGTCGAGCTCCGCAAACCGGCCTATACATGGATATCAATTGTATTATTTTGAAGACCGAAAATGCAAATCACGGCGGAATAACTTGCGTGAGAGAACATTATGAAGATTAGCAATCGTACCATTGAGCAGAAACGGAGGACCCCGAACTTCTAGAAGAAGACATAGGGGGGCAATAGACGTCGGGCGGCCAAATTAAGCTCAAGCTCGTACGATGTTGCCGCCGCCGCTAAAGGGTTGTTAAAAAGGTACGATTCACAGGGGGGGCACGTGAGACGATATTTTCGCGGAGGAAGCCGCTCGGTCGCTCGCGTGCGCGGCGCTCGCTGAGCTGAACGGCAAAGGAGCCGCGTTGTAGTACGACGACATGAAAAGTCGGTTGTCTCGTTTTGCCGCGAGAGACGATGCCGCAAATGCCGCAGCCGCCGCCTTTTTGCAGCGTTTTTCCTTTTTGCTGGTGAGTTTTTGCGCCGGTTTACATAAGCCGGGGGCCGCCGCCGCCGCAGGAGAGAGACGAGGTTCGGAGCATGTAGGAACAAGAATTGGACAGCATAGCAGGGCTGGTATGCTTTGCTGTGATGGTTTCAAGATGGAGAAAGTCGATATTAGTGCGTGATGGATCAAGAATTCTAATCGTTGGAATCTCATCTGATATGAAATTGCTCGCATCAAGCTTGGCAGGGGAAACAACAGATGGAAGAATACTAGGTAGGTAGGAAGAACATAATACACGCTGCCCGGACGGAGATCCGGGAATCAGACGGGAATTTCTCGGTGGGGAATTCTCGGGTTCTGCTGGCGGGCGGGGCGGCTCGGAAGGCGGAATCAGAAATTTCTGGTGTTGGAATCGCTGTAATACAGGCCATTATGGGCGATGCTCTGCTTGTCTATCGCTTGCGGCGTGTTGACATCATGCCGCTCGGGGTGGGTGTGACGCTGCGAGCCCGGCTGCTATATGTACAGGGCGGCTCGCTTGCCATCCGGGCACCTTTTGGCTTGTTCGAATCATCGCATCAGCATTACATGTTATAACCAGCAATTGACGACATTGAGTCGACTATTCAATCCACTTTCCATCGCTTGAACTTGGTTCCTGACCTATTACTTGTCTACCAAGAAAACAACATCGCCTCACAAGACCTATAAATCCTCACACGATCACCTCTTGAGCAACGATTGCTTGTAATACAATTACTTGCTCCTTTCAATTGCCTCCCCCGACCGCCGAAGCCTCGACCCATTCACTGCTTTGGCCCCACCACAGCTTTTCTGACACCACACCACCCCTCTCTGCTATCTGAGCTGCTTCTGGGGTATCAAACATCGCCCGACTGCGCACGCTTTTTCTCTCTCGCTCAGCAACCTCCGACAGCCATTGCGCTTACCGCTCCAGCCGGCCTCGATCCTACGTCGGCTTGCTTTTGCCCGAATTAGCCTACTCGCCAGCTTTAGACCACATTAAATAACACAGCACTGAGCTACACACGCCTTCCGACGACTCTCAGCTCAGCTTCTACAACCACCATCACCACACCCAACAACAACAACCACCACCGCCAACAGCCATCATGAAGGTCCTCACCAAGGAAGAAGAAGCCGCCCACTACCGCGCCGTCGTCAAGGGCGGACTCGTCGGCGGCGCTGTCGGCCTCGCCATCGGCGTCACGGGCGTCGTCTACGGCTCGCGCCGGTACCCCAGCTTCCGCAGCCTGACGCTGCCCTTCCGAACCTTCCTCATCACGTCCACCAGCACCTTTGGCGCCATCGTCCAGGCCGACCGCGCCGGCGTCGCCTTCCAGCAGAGCAAGGACCCCATGTCCAAGTACCGCGACGCCTCGCAGCGCGCCCAGGAGGTCATCCGCGAGAACGAGTCCGCCTACGAGCGCTTCCTCAACTACGGCCGCGAGCACCGCTACAGCATCGTCTGCGCCTCGTGGCTCGCCAGCATGGCGGTTGCCTTCGCCATGGTCAGCCGCGCGCCCATGAGCACCCCGCAGAAGATTGTCCAGGCCCGTGTCTACGCGCAGGGCCTGACGCTGGCCGTGCTCATCGTCTCGGCCGCCTTTGAGATGAACGACGCCAAGAACTCAAAGGGCCGCTGGGAGACGGTTATGGTGCTTGACCCCAACGACCCGGAGCACAAGCACCTCATTGAGAAGAAGATCCACCACGAGGAGTACGAGGGACAGGATCTGTGGATGGGTAAGTTTGCTTCCCCGCCTTCTCCCTTTTCACTGATGTCGAGAGAAGCATTTTTGGCTAACACGAATATTTTTCAGACATGGTTGAGGCCGAGGAGAAGAGAATGGCTGCCCGCAAGGCTGCGGAGCGCGAGCAGAAGCAAGCCCAGTAAGCTGGTGAAGGCACCTCACTCTCCCGCCCATGGCAGCTATTTGGAGCAGATGCCCGCTTGGGGCTCTGCACCAGTGGATTGCCATGGCATGCAAACCTCCATCCGTCACATCCGGTTATTGGAGCCGGTCCCTACCTACCTACAACCTCAAATACCCGTCGCACACAAACCATATAGACACTTGCCCTTTTATGTTCTCAACTTATGGAAACTCATACATTTCTCCGCAGAAAATAAACTCCTAAAACTCACGATTCAAAAGCTTCTATATTCCTCAATTGGGTATTTGGGGGGAGCTACTGAATTTTCTTTCTTTGCATTCTATGGGCTGGTCGTTTTCGTCACGGATAGAGAAAAGAAGAGGCTACAGTTGAGTTGGTGACGGGATCACTGGGTCTTTATTTCACTTGCCCAGCACTTTGCATATGTAATTGGGCGCGTTTGCATTCGGCTTGGCATTTCATGGGTGGCTCGAACGAATCAAACTGTATATATCTACACATTGTTACGTGTACTTCCTTTTGTATAACAGAAACAGAAGATTATCTTATTCAAGCAAACAATCATGAAACAATTTTCATTTCACACTGCTGGCATCATATTCTGGAATGCCAATATATAAAGAATCAACAGTCTGCTTCCCCCTCCCCTCAATGGTAAACTTGTGGTGCTTGCTGCTATACAATTACAAAAGGAAAAGGATTCAGCCTTCTCTATGCATATGCTATATATGAAAACAATATGAAAAAATCAACTGGTAGCAAGGTATAAAAGAGTAAACACTTCAAGTTCCCAGCATATGCTCCCCCCCCCATCCTCTTGCATCTTCATCCCATCATGAGATTATACATCAATCGTAAAATGGCTGATTTGCGAGTAATACGCATGCACCGCCAGCTCCAGAACCATCACGTCGCCAAAGACGTCGCTGCCGTCAAACCCGCCCACGACGAGCAGCCTGCTATCGTACAGCACCGTGCCGTGGTACCCGCGCCCGCTGGGCGGCATGCCGTACGCCTTGCGCCGGTCCCACGTCATGGTCACCAGGTTGAGCAGCAGCACGTCGTTGCAGTACTCGTGGCCGTCGTGGCCGCCGATGACGAACAGGTACGAGCCGACAATGGTGGCCGTGTGCGAGAGCCGCCGGAACGTCATCGGGATGTTGACCAGCTTCCAGGTGTGCCGCTCCACGTCGTAGATCCACACGTCGTCGAAGCACTCGCCGCCGTCGGAGCCGCCAAAGATGATGAGCTTGCTGCCGACCATGTTGGCCGTGTGGTAGCCGCGGGCCTTGGGCCGCCGCTCGCGCGCCCCCGCGGCCGGCTTCTCGGCGCTGGAGATGAGCCGCCACGACATCTTGCTCGTGTCGCTGACGTCGAGGCGCCAGATGTCGTTGAGGGCCCGCACGCCGTCGCCGCCGCCGAAGACGTAGATGCCGTTCTTGTACAGGCACGCCGTGTGCGCGCGGCGCTTCGACGGCAGCTTGTCGCCCACGATGCGCGGCTTGGACCACCGGAAGTTGACCGTGTCCAGCACGTACACGTCGTTGTAGTACGCGGGGCCGTCGCCGCCCCCGAACACGACGAGCTTTTTGCCCACCGCCGTGCAGGTCATGGCCCGCAGCGGCATCGGGATGTCTCCCACCATGTGCGGCACCGACCAGTAGAAGGAGTCAGCGTCGAGGACGTACATGGCGTTGAAGCACGTCTTTGCGTCGCAGCCCCCGAACACGTACACGTTGGAGCCGATGAGCGTCGTCGTGTGAGCCCGCAGGTTCGAGTGCGGCGATCCGGACACCGGCGCTTTCGACCAGTACATGCCGGATGCCGGAGCCGGAGACACGTCCGGCCCATCGTCGGGTCTGGGCAGCGGGGGGAACGTGGTGTGCTTGCCGGACACCGGCCGAGAGATGATGATGTTCGATTGGCGAGTCGACACTGCTGATGTTGTCCTCGACGACGCAGCCGCGGGTGCTACCGCCGCCGCCGCCGGCTTGTGATCTGCTTCGGCATCGCGAGGGACGCCAGGGGGGATGTCGGGTACGGGGGTCGAGGCGGCCGTCATCTTTCTATGTCCCGGGGCTGTTGCCGGGCGAGGCGGTGGATGGGAGTGCGAGGCTGAGATTGCCCTTTGTCGGAGAGGCAGCTCGGCGGCCCCCTTGCTGCCGCGTTGGTGATCGCCAGGGACGTTGCTCCTGGCCGCAAGCTGGCCCGGCGTGTGGCTCCTGGGCAACGGCAAGATCGGCTCTTCGTCCTCCATCGCCGCGTATCGGGATGCCTCCTCCTCCTCTGCGGCTTCGTGTCTCTCGCGCCTCTCCTCCTCCTCTCCGCCGTATGCATGCTCCGGCTCGTCGTCGTCTTCGTCATCGTCGTCATCGTCGAACAGCAATCGATTGCCAGAGGGGTCGGCGACAATCCCCTGGGAGCTGTGCTCGGGATGCCCTGAGCTCAAGGTCGACGCCTTGTTGGGAGATCGGGTCGCACTAGCAGACGGCTGGCCCAGATCCTCCATGGTCTCGCCAACTGCTCCTCATTGCCCCCTAGTGGAGAGCAGCTCTGGAGAGGTTTGGCAGCACAATTCGCGAACGTCTCACAGAGGGACGCGTGCAGGAGGAGCTTGACTCCTTTGACCAGGAGATTGGGGTTGCTGGTGCTGAGGGGGTCTAGCCTGTGCTGCGTGGTGGGGGTGGCCTCTCAATTGGGCATGCCGTTGGATGCGGTCTGGCTGGCGGTTTCGACGCTGCTGCCGGGGACGCGGTTTAGCGGTCTGAGCGCTGGGATCATGGCGTTGGCGGGGTGCGATAGGCGCTGTAGGCGCTGTATTGGCTTGGGCGTGTCAGAGGCGACCGCTGGCTGTGACGTCCTGATACCGATTGGGGAAGTCGCAGATTGACGACCTAGCTTTTGATTGCGATAAGAGTGTGTAGGGATATTGGCATAACAGAAACGATGATTTTTCGTGATTCAACTTGAGCGTTGCTCAACTTTTCGATTAGAGCTCCCTCAGTTTGGGTATCTCTCTAATGCTTTGATCTCTTGATTTTTGTGACACACCCTGAAGTCCTGAGCAAGAAACAGCAGGAGCGGCTCGACAGTCACCAGCCACACACTACTAATACTAAGACTTCACTTCAACTTGCATATCGATAAAATTTCCAGCTCCACTCACTGTTCACTCAACTTTTCTTCAAGACATCAACCACCACGCAAGGCTGGCTCCATTGCACCTTTGCCTTGCATTCCGTGCTTGATTTTCACTCGAGGGGAAGACTTGACCTTTTTACTTGCAGCTGGCTCCGGCAATTGTGAAATTCGACACAATTCTCGCCTGACCAGACCCTTTCCCTTCTCTATCTGAGCCTTTCAATTTGAGATTTTTCGACAGACCAAACCACCATCATTATCCTATCAACACTCCTCACAGCGCCATCAGCCCAATATGGCCACAGAATCTGATAGCCCCATGGCTGTTCAAACGGCCGACGTCGACTCGCACTCCGAGGAGCGAGCTGCGAAGCGAATTAAGATTGACGACGCAGCTACTTCCCAGGACCAAAACGGAGAGTCTGGTCAGGACACAGCTCGTCCTTCTCAGACCGGCAATGGAACTGAACCCACGCCCGAGGCTTCAAAATCATCGGAGGAAAATGCCGAACCCACAGACCGTGTCAAGGGCATGGCTCCCATTAAGAAAGAGTGAGCCTTCTTATCGTTGGTGCTTTACGCATCATCTCAACTAACTCCATCTCTCTAGGTATCTCATCGACATGTCAAGGAACCAGGACGGCCCTCCTCCTACTGTGGATGATGATGCCGCGGAGGGCCGGGGCACAAATGGCCGGGACCAGCCCCAGAGAGACGGTGAAGACTCCAGATCGCAGGGGAAGAAGGGAAAGAAGAAGGCAAAGGGCCAGAATACGGATCGTTCATTCGGAAGATTTGACGATGCTATTCCCCTCTGTAGCAGCAGGGCCTATTCCCCGGAATTCTCGCCAAAGGAGTGCCGCTATGGTGACTCGTGCAAAATGTGCCATGATCTCCGCAAATACCTGAGCGAGGGCCGCCGCGAGGACGTTGAAGCTCTCGGCGGAAAGTGCCCTGCATTCGAGGCTTATGGCTACTGTGCTTCGGGCTGGAAGTGCCGGTTCGTCAAGAGCCATATGCAAGAGATAGAGCACGCGGATGGCAGAAAAGAACTGGTCTTGAGCGATAACCGCCCGCCCAAGGCAGAGCCCAAAGAGGCACTCAAGCCCAAGGAGGACGAGTCTGCTGAGCCAGGGACTTCCGAAGAAAAAGGACCAGATACTGAGGAGCGGGGGAAAAGTGAAGATGAGCTGCGGCCTGGAATCTACAACGTTGTCACCATGGGCCAGAAGATTCAGCTCAACCGCAAGAGACTCGACTTTACCAAGGCGGACCAGTACATTCAATGGCTGAACCATGAGGGCGGCATCAGCCAAGACTTCCATCATCGCCGAAAAGATCAACCGGCCCTGGACCTCGAAGAGCTTCGAGCTCGGTTTGTTGACCCGCCGTTCAAGCCATCCGAGAAACGCCGCCTGTACTTTGGCCCAGAGACCCCGACGCTTGCTCCTCTGACTACTCAGGGAAACCTTCCATTCCGACGGCTGTGCGTAGAGCTCGGCTGTCAGGCGACATACTCGGAAATGGCACTGGGAATGCCTCTTCTCCAGGGCTCCAAGCCTGACTGGACCCTGATGCGCGCCCACAAGTCCGAGATTACGCCTCCCAAGATGAACCCTGGAGCCATTCCGTTGTTCGACGACTACGACAACTCACGCGATCTCAAGTTTGGCGCCCAGATCTCCGGCAGCGCTCACTGGGTTGTCACCAAGGCCGCTGACGTGCTCAACCGCTACTGTCCCCATCTCCGCCTCATTGACCTCAACTGCGGCTGCCCAATCGACAAGGTCTTCAAGGCCGGCGCTGGATCTGCGCTTCTGGAGGCCAGTGGCAAGCTGGAGCGCATGATTCGAGGCATGAATGCCTTGTCTGGCGAGATTCCCATCACCGCCAAGATCAGGACTGGAGTTCGCAAGGATCGACCGACCGCCACCCAGGTCATCGGCAAGCTGGCCTTTGGAGCCCGCGAGCATCGTGAACGTCTCGGAGCTCCTGGATGCGCCGCACTCACTCTCCACGGCCGCAGCCGCGAGCAGCGGTACACCAAGACGGCGGATTGGGGCTACATTGGCGAATGCGCCGCCCTCATCAAGACCTACAACGAGGAAAAGGCCAAAATCACCGACACGATTGCCGAGCCAGACGAGAGCACGCTGCCCAACGCCAAGGACGGGCGCATGTACTTCCTCGGCAACGGCGACTGCTTCTCCCACGTTGACTACTACGAGCACCTCGAGAACGCCCGCGTCGACACCGTCATGATTGGCCGCGGCGCCCTCATCAAGCCCTGGATCTTTGAGGAGATTGAAAAGGGCCAGTACCTCGACAAGTCGTCCACCGAGCGCCTCGGCTACATTGAGAAGTTTGTCAAGTACGGCCTCGAGGCCTGGGGCTCGGACGAGCTGGGCATCGGCTACACCAGGCGCTTCCTGCTCGAGTATCTGAGCTTCGCGCACCGTTATGTGCCGATTGGCTTGTTGGAGCATTTGCCTCCGCGGTTGAACGACCGGCCACCGGCGTACAAGGGCAGAGACGAGATGGAGACGCTGATGGCGTCGGACAACTACAAGGACTGGATCAAGATCAGGTACGTTTGCTAGATTGTCTCTTTTCCTACCTACCTACGTCCCCTCTTACCTGGCTTGCACACTACCTCAATATTTCCAAGGAAAGACTGCTAACGAACGTGTACTTGACAGCGAGATGTTCCTCGGACCGGTTCACCCTGGCTTCCAGTTCCAGCCCAAGCACAAATCGAATTCCTACGAAGCCGAAGGCTAGTGAGTGGTGCTCGACACCGCAGTCCTGGATCGTATAACAAATCATTTCGATCATGAGACGCAACCACTTCGCTACAGCGCCGAGGGGGCTCATCATGGAATGGACATATGATGAACAAATGACTGACTTTTTGAGAAAACATTCGGGTTGTTAGCCCACGTAACGTGGTAGAATATTTTAATCGAGAGATTCAAAACAGTGAGACTGGTTATTGATGCTGTTCCAAACTTCGTAACGTAGATTAAGAGAAACACATATGTAACAAGTGATAATACAATGGTAGTCACCAAGACACGCCCACGCCTGGACTTTTTGTACACAAAAAGAAGATTCAGAGAACCCAATCCCACCATCTCCATCAAAAGCGCACTGGTTCATGAAGCTAATGTGGATAACATGTACGTTTCCAAGACAAAGAGGCATTCGCGCTCAACTCCCGCCGTATAATAATGACAAGGCGTAACAAAAGAAATGCAAAAGTGCTTCGCCCGAATGAAGGTTGTAGAAGAAATGAAATGCTTTATGCCAGGACTCTCTACTTTCGTCATTGACAATGTGAAACGACAAGTAAAGGAACTTTTGTTCGTTCAGGAATAGAAATGACTCCTCTGCATGCCGTCGGCGGTGGCATACTCCTTCTTGCCCTCCTCTGATGTCGATGAGCTGGTCAGCGAGTTGGTCCTGCTGTCGGGAGCGGCCTTGAGCTTCTTCGGTTCAGAAGATCGCTTAAGAACCTCGAGGTAGGTCGAGGGCAGGTATCCCTGGCGGCCGTCACGGCTTCGGCAGTGCCACCACTCGCTGGGCTGGCCGGCAGGGTCGTTCTTGCTCAGCACGGCAACGAGGTCTCCCTTGCGAGCTTCCAGCTCCATGCCGTTGGGCTGCTGGGGCGTAAAATCGAAGCGGAGGCGGCAGAACTCCAGCTTGGCGGGGTCGACGGGCTTCTGAGCCTCGAGGGCCTGCATCTCTAGACGCTTCTCTTCCTCTTCGGCGTTGGCGGTGATGCTCTTGATGAGCTTCGACATGAGGTAGGGCAGGCCGAAAGCGGCGAGGAGGAAGAAGAGAAGGGGCTTTCGGCTGGCCTTGGGGGGCTGGGGCGAGCCGCCGGGGCTGCTTGATCGACCTTGGAATCGAGCAAAGTCTGAGGGGTTGAGTGAAGCGGCATCGGCCGGGAGGGGACGGCCGGTGAGCTTTGCGAGAACAGTTCGGATCCAGCGAATCAGGGTGAAGATTCCGAGCAGAGATCCCAGAGTGTCACGCAGATTGCTGAACTGCTCAGCAACAGAAATCATGGCTGGCCCATGTGTTAGCAGCCGTACATCATCAAGTTGTCTGCGGCGACGATGAAGACTTACCAAAGAAGGAAGAGTGCGTGGCCATGTATGTGCTCTCGAGCATCTGCGCAAAGCCGCCAAAGGCAGTGACAACGCCCTCGAGCATCTGGAAGGTGGCGGCGGTGCCGTTGCTGAAGCGGTTTGCCAGGCTGTTGGGGTCGCCCATGGGCATGCCGCCATACATACCACCGCCGTACATACCGCCCATGCCGCCCATGGGCATGCCGCCATACATGCTGCCATATCCTCCATATCCGCCTCCAAAGCGTGAGTAGGGACTTGAGTAAGGGGATGAGTATGCGCTGTTGTAAGCACCATAAGGCGAGGCTCCCATGGCTCCCATTGCCCCCATGGCGCCGACGCGGGTGTGAGCGGCGGCGTTCTGGTTGATAGAGGCGGCGAGCGACGCAGGGCGCTCTGGTATCGGAGGAGCTTCCATGGAGGCGACTGATGATGCAGGCGATAAGGGCGCTGCAGATGAAGAGGCTGGCGAGGAGGGAATGTTGACTGAGGAGGGAAGGCGAGTCAGCATGTGAAAGGTCACGAGTGAGTCGCGATCTGGGCTAGAGCAGAACAGATGTGAAAAGCACAAGAGGCTGCTCCGCGGTTGTGACTTACGTGAGGGCACCGGACCAGCTCCAGCTCGCTCCCAGGGCTTAGGTGGCGAGGCCATTCTGGGGGATAATCTGGTGAAATGAAGAAGAAAAACAACAGCCGGGGTATCACAATGTTATTGCCGCCGCGAAGGGGGAGCGCGTGCGGTGTGGCTGGTAATAATAGTAATAATAATAATAAAAGGAGCAGAAGAAGGAAGATGGCTGGTGTTGCCGAGGGATCTGGTTATTTCGTTTCGATTTTTCAGCTGGGGCTGCGACAAGACCCCGGTGTGTAAGAGCAGATAAGCGACTGGCACCGACGACGGAATCGGGAGCGGCAGATGGCGCAAGACCAGGCGTGGGCGATGGAGCGACGCGTCGAATCTGGGCGATGGAGACGAGACTTGATGATGGACGGAGCTGGTGGAATTGAGAGGATAAGGCTCGAGAGAAGAGGTTTGAGGGGACGGGACACAAGCGGCTGGAGTCTGGAAGGCGGGAGGCAATCAAGGCAGTTCCACCTGCAATCACAAGCCCCCCGGCTTGGTAATTAATCGACCTGGGCTGGAAATCCCGGGGCTCGCGTGGGCTCGCACAGGGTACGGGCTGAGTACGAGAGGCTCCGTCCCTGCTGACGCGGCGCAGGGGGTACCGAAAGGTATCTCCCTTGCAGCTTCCCACTGAGGCGGAGCCGGGGCTGGCCTTTCTATGGGCGCGCCCGGGGGAGCAAAAGCGGGGCGCCGCGGGTACTGCTGGATTTCCTGGTTCTGTTTGCCTCGGCATTTCCATGACGACCGACGGCCTGGGAGGTGGCCGACCTGATTTGTACTTGGATCGTGTACCGATTCGCACGGGCTGCATCTGGTGCTTGGTGCTAATGTACGAGTACACGCAGTTTATCGCTACGATGCAATTTGGCTGCTGCTGCTGCTGCGGTGCACTGCAACTCGACTGCACGTCGCCGCTTGTAGCGACCTGTAGCGGAGGCGGGCAGCGGCCGTGCAGCGCTGGGGAGGACCGCTGCAACTGATTGCTGTCCGGGCAAGTACAAATACATCCTCGGCGCAAGGAGGAGGACATATTTGTACCGTCGTCGGGCGTCCAGCACCATTCCAGACCGTATTTTTGGAAAATAATGGTTTTCTATCATTGCCCGTTTGCCGCTCTTCATTGGACTTGTGCAGTCGCTGGCCCAGCGCAGACGCGCCGCTTTCAGCTTTCAGCTTCCCAGAGCCGCGGTCCGACTCGGCTTGTGACTGGCTGCGAGGTTGCATGAGCCGGGTCTCACGCATATAATCCATGGCGGTGCATGCACATACATACGAGAAAGCACCTGTCAGCATTGAAATGAAAAGTACTAGGCATGCACCCCACGGCCGGCTTTGTTCACTCACGATTGGCTGTGAAGGATGCAGCAAGTTGCTCCGTATTGGGAGATGAAATAAGGTGGCAGGTCAGCGGGAGAGTTTCCTTACATTGGGCTATCTGACAGAAGCGTGTGCGCTGCAGTGGGAGGAGATTCGCTGCCGGTGCACAAAAGTACCTTTACATGCCCTCTGCATGCATGCGCATTCGGGCATCAGCACCTGTTGAATGTCGAAAAATGAATGCCAGATAATGTACACATCAGAAATTGACCTGTAGATGACAGATAAAAGCTCGTTAATGTATCGCAGCAATGGGATGCTTTCATACAGTGGAATGGGCTCTCAAACGAATATAAAGTACCGACGAAGGTAGTAGCGCGTAATAGACGGCAATCTGATTGCTGTCCACTCCCACCAAGCCCACCTGGGCAGCTCTGAGCCGTCACTTCAACCGCTACATACTACTCAACTTGCATCAACGTCAAACCCACCGCATCTCATGGACCAACCGCGCAAACGGCCTCCCAGCCCAGACCTCATACCCAACCCTCTCATCAAGAAACGCAACCTCGACTGGTCCCTCGACTCCCCAGCATCTCATCGCCCTATATCCCCTCCTCCTGTCAGCAAACCAGCAGCAGCTCCCGCCTCAACAACAACATCAACAACCGCCCAGATCGAGGCCGGAGCCGTCCAGATATCCGACCACCTGGCGCGCTTCTCGTCCTCCCTCTCGTCGCACCTGCGCCCGACATCGGCTGGCGTCCCTCGGCTGTCCGTCGCCCGCTACGCGCGCCTGTACGAGAGCTGCGCGGGCAGCCCCGGCGGTGCGCATTTCGTGGTGCATCAGCACGACCACCCCGTGGCCGGCACCCACTACGACCTCCGCCTCCAGATCAATGAGACCAGCAGCGTCAGCTGGGCCGTCATGTACGGGCTGCCCGGCGATGCCAACAGCAGCCGCCTGAGCCGCAATGCCACCGAGACTCGCATCCACTGTCTTTGGGCAAGTCCGCTGTCTTCATGTTGTCTTTGATTCGCACTGCTGACATCATCACCACCTGTCACTGTTCTACCATTTGACCCCCTCGTATCACTGCTCTATCCATGGCTTATTACAACTGCTGCTGATAGTATATCGCCTACTGACCGCTGAACACACGATACGTATCCTAAGTTGCAGAACCACCTCGTCGAAACAGCCTCGCCAGACACAGGCTCCCTCCTCATCTGGGACACGGGCACATACTCCGTCCTCCCGCGCCGCAGCAAGCACGCCCCTCCAGACGACCCATCCTCACCGCCAGCAGCGGCACCAGCAGCCTCTCCTTCTCCTCCCTCATCACCGCAGCAGCATTCCCCTCCTCCTCCCCAGGCGACGGCCCAATCTCTGCTCCACGCCGCCTTCCAGACCCGCAAGATCCGGCTGCGTCTCCACGGAGCAAAGCTCCCCGACCCGTACGTCATCAATCTCCGCCTGACCAAGTCGGAGGATGCCGCTGGGCGGTCTAGGGGTCTGAGGGCGCGGGCTGTGGGGACGAGGAGGCGGCGAGGGAGGACTGCGCGGGTTCGGCCACCGGAGCCTGAGACTACTAGTAGTAGTAGCGATTTTTCTTCTGATGATGATGATGGCGAGAAGTATGATGATGGCCTTGATCTTATCGAGGGAGAGAGAAAACAGGAGCCCTCTCCCAAACGACGAGCCAATCATGACGCGCCCTCCGTAAGCGAGGAGCATCTCAAACAACAAGACGCACAAGTCCGTCTCACAAACGCCTACACAGGCGCATCCAACACCATCGGCAGCGTATACCAGCGAAGATGGTACCTCTCGCTGGACCGCCGCGCATCCGGCTTCACCGAGAAGCGGCGCCGTGGCGGCCGTAGCCTGTGGGAACCTCCGCCTTCTCCTCCTCCGCCGGCAGCTGCATCGTCGTCGTCGACACCGCCCACTGCAGACGCTGATCCTTTGTCGGGCCCGGAGCCGGGATTGTGCCGGCTTTCGTACCCGTTTTACGTCCGGGGGCCGCAGTTTGAGCGGAGCGTCGTCACGGGCCGGCTGGCGGAGGATATTCTGCGGGACGAGGGCGTGACTGGCTTCGTCCCTAGGAAGGGGTGGACGCCAGTGTTGAAATGAGCGTTTGCGGAGAGGCAATGGTTGTTTTTTTCCGTAGGCCGTGTAAACTGTTGACTTCGTATCATCGGTAATGGACGACACGGAACCTATCGTCGACATCGTAAATCCTGGATAACATGTGCTGCCACATTACGAGCAAGTGCCTCTGCTGCAAGGCATACGTCGATTAGGTCCCTCATTCAGATTTTGCTTCTCTAAGATTAACTACTTGGGTAATAAACTACCGTGCTGCTGCATTTTTTTGCCCATATCGATTCTGCCTACTCCCTCTTAAATGACTGGGCAAATCGCCCATATCCAGCAAAAAAAACCGAGAGAGCGGACAAAGCAGAGAGCCTGGCATCCTAGTCACAAACAATGGAATGTAACGCAACCTCGTGCAGGACTCAGCTGCTGCCATGGAACCAACAAAACAGACAACGCCAAATCGCAAAACGCCAGTCTATGCCAGTGATAAGTCGGCACCTACCATCATCCCTCTATATATATCATTGGTTGACCACGTTGCTCATCTCGTCGACGTCGAATGCCTAGCTCCGCCGGAAGGCGACGAGGCATCGCGTAGAATAACAATAACTCGCTCCAAAAAGGCACAAAGATAGAAAAGTCAATAAAAGAACAACAGGGGATCGAGACCAGAAAGACAAGCAGGAGGAAGGGAAAGGGACATCACGATTTGGAGATCAGAGTTGGAGCGATCCTCCTCTTCTTGGGTTCCTTGCCATCGTCCTTCTCTGCTTCGTCGGCGTCTCTTTTCACGCCGGCAGTAGCAGTAGTGGCAGCTCCCACGGGTTCGGGTCCGGGGATCACTTTGGGGGTCTCCGGAGGCGTGGTCAACGGCACGCCCGTCACCCTGCCGGAGCTGGCGGCCGTGATGGACGGCACACTCCCACTAATGAGCGGCGGATTGCTCACAACACCAGAAGGCTGTGTGGCCACAGACGACGTGGAGTTGGACCTTGCCGGCGAGGATGGGCGATGGGATGGAGCCGCCGATGCAGATGGCGGAGAGGGCGCCGTGAACGAATTTGCCGAGCTGCGCGGCTGATGCTGCGGCCCGCTGGGGAGAGGGGAAGGAGAGGCAAAGTTGGCCGTGGGAGTCGGGGTGGATGCATTTTGGCTGGCCGAGACTGCCTTTGCGCCAACCTCGCCCTTGTAAACCTCGCCGAGCTCGCCAGGCGCAAAGGTAAGCGTGGAGCAGAACCCGTCCGACGACGAGATAATGAGGGTGAGTCCGTCAGTTGACCTAGTTGGTATCACGAGTTAGCCTACGATTTCAAAGACTTTTCCTCCAAGATTCGAGCGGCAGCATATACGCACCAAGCCAGATCGGTAAAGGTCGCGCAGTGCAAGTTGCTAACTATGCATATCGGAGTCTTTTGCTGAGTATCATATAGCAGGACGGAATCCTGGGTGGCAACTGCGTACACCATCCGATACGGAAGCGCAAAGGCGGGTTTGGGTCCTGGCGTTGAGGCGCTGGTCTCGGCTGCTGTCCCCTTTGAAGGAGCAGTCCCTTCGGCGGCGGCAGCAGTAGTAGCAGTGCTATTCGAAGTGGCTGTGGGTAGCGGGGGAGGCTCCATGACAGATGGCGTTGTTGATGGCTTGGAAACCGGGTCCGGGAGGGAAGGAATGGTATCTTCTGCGGAAGAGGTGTCAATGGTGACATGCTTGGTCACCGGCGGGGACTGGCGGAGGGTGTAGAAGATTGGAGAGCACTTGACAACAACGGATGGCTTTTTATGGCCTGGCAAGTGAGCGATCGGAGGCTTGTTGATGCCACCTCGAGTGTAGATGTAGACTGTATTGATGATTTCATAGGTTGGCTTTGCGTCCTTGTCCGTCTGGTGCTGTGTCTGGTACTGCCCGGATGGCGTGAGCAGAAGGCTTCCGTCAGGAGTAAACGTGAGTCGTCGGAAGAAAGACGTGAGGGTCTCGTTCGCGTAGAGGCTTGCGTTCTTCGCCCCCAGCCCCCAATTGGTGCTGAGCGAATGGTGAGGCTTCGGCGACGTCTCCATAGGCATGACAGCGGGGAGAGGCAGAGAAGGCGCCGGGGAGACCGAGCGGCGAGACGAAATTGAAGACCGACGACTGTGACTGATCACGCTCGGCGGGTTCATGGGAAGAGGGGCGGAAGTAGGAGTGCTCGGGGCTGAGGGGGCCGGTGATCCCACAGACGTAGCTGAGTCCACGGTGGACAGCTGGGCTCGGTGACCGAACTCGGGCGGCGCAGGGCTGCTCGAGGAGATTCGTCGAGGAGGGAGATCTGCCTTGATATGGCTCGCTAGCCGTGGCAGCTTGTCGTCCTGGCTCAAGGTATATTGGCCGTCCTTTGTCTTGAGAGAGTAGATGTGGACGGATCGATCGGACGACTGGGTTGCGATGTACTCGTTCAACGGGTCCCAAGTCACTCCCTGCACGTAGTGGCTATGTTCGGCGATTTGCCTGACGAGGGTTCCTGATGACATCGTGTTAGCTGTCGGTACATGGCATGGCATGTAGCATGACAATCCTCATTGCAAGTACACACCTGAGCTGGCGTTGTAGATTCGAGCTATGTTATCCATGCTCCCGATGATGAAGTAAACGGCATCTGGCGACCATGCCAAGTCGTATATCTCGGCTCCGCTAGAGCGACACATGTGCTTGGCTCTCCAAGACTCCTTATCATCTAGGCCTTCCGATCCAAAGTTGGTGGTTGGGATCTCGCTGGGAACCCATAGGATGACATTGCCGTCGTCGCCGGCAGAGGCAATCGTCTCTCCTTTGAAAGTGGCAGCCATTGTTAGTTCTCTGGAGCTGGATATCAACAATTGTATCGACAGATGGCCAATACTTACCCTTGGGAGCCCATCGCACCACGTTGACAGCCTGGTTGTGCTTGGAGAGCGTCGAGAGATACTCGACCTTGCGTTCGGGGCCGTCGGCTTCGACCTTCCAGACCCTCACGTGGTTGTCACCACCAGCCGTGGCTAGACGGCCCTTGCCGTTTGGCTCGAAGTGGGCCGAGTAAATCGGGGCATTCTGATCATGCCAATTGATGATGAGCGGCGAGGCTTTCATCCTGACTCGGTCGTATTAGGGCGGCTGTTGGACAAGCTGCATGGAGGAGCTTCTGGAGCTGCGCTTGGAGGCGGTGCAAGATCACGATGGTTGCGCTGCGGCGTTGTTGATGCGATGCAAGGTAGACGAATGCTGAGGGAAGCCGGATGAGGAAACGAGACGGTTTTTGAAGGCTCGGGCTGGCCGGCAGCTGGTCGCAAACGCATGCAGGACGCTGGCGGCAGAGGCTCGAGGTTGTCGAAAGGTCAAAGGATGGGCGATGGGAGATGGAAAAAAGAGGCTGGCCCGCGACAAAGAACCTTTGGAGAGCTTTCAGAGCTGCTGGGCGTGGAATTATTATGGCGCCGGCCCGGCTGAAATCGAGGGGCGGCAGCAGCGTGATCAGCGCACTGGGAGTGGGCTCGAGGCTCCACTGCCAGAGGCTGCGGCCCTCCACTGTCCAGTGTCGTTTGGGGGGCTGGGCTGCCCTCCAGCGCTGTTGCAGGTGCTGAGGTTACAGTGCCGTATGGAGGCTCTAGGGGTGCCAAGGAACCGCCCTGTGCCGTGGGTTCCCTTCATGCTGCCACCCCTGTCCTGCAGCAGCCTCATGCGATGATGTGAGGACCGCGACGACCAGCCTGGATACCGCCGGCAGTCGTACGAATACAAACACACACATTCAAGTAGGACTATTATTGATCTATTAGTATCACCGGGGCACAAGAGACGAGCCAACTCTGGCCATTGAGCGTCCAGCCGAGAGGAATGTTGGCTCTACGCCTGCGAGGCAAACGAATAGCCAAGAGCCCAGTGTCAGATGCCTGTCAGTCTGCCGCTGTCTCTGCCCTGCTGATTGGCCTGCCCTCGTCACATACGAAGCCTTGGACATCGCATCTCACATGGAGCCTCGACGCCCTGCATCGCGCCGCACCGGCTGCTCTGCAATCAGCCGGGCAAACAAGCCACGGAACAACGTGATTGGCACTCGGCTGGCCTGACAGAGGCGCTGCATCATCCCAGGCGCCGGCATCGAGACGGACTACTGAGCCATGCGTTTTGGGGGCGTCGTTCTCTTTCTCTCACTCTTATACGCGTACGCTTCCCTCTTTTATTGTCCATAGAGCGTGACTCTGGCAGATTGTGGTGATGACCTCCAAACTCATTGCATAGTTTGTAGCGAACGGACGTGCGTTGACCGAGACGAATCGCTACAGACATCAAGCATACCCTTGTATTGCAAACGCACATACGGCGTAGTATTCACGAAGTGCTGACATGGAATCAGCCCCTCGGGCCAGAGCACCCTTCGAAAAGGCCTGATTTGGACACTTACAAGGCTACCAGAACGTGGAATCGACGATGGAGAGGATCAGTGTCTCTTTCGGCCCTCCCTATGCTCCTAGGCGAGACAAAGATCAGCGAAGCCGACATCTATTCTGCCGCAACCGTTCCTCCATCGTCCGCTAACACTGGCACTTTATAACAGAGTTAAGCGAGATCTCTCATTCGGCTCCAGGGAAATCCAGTCGGTCGGGTGACGGCTCCAGAAACTGGCGTGGTGTTCTTATGGTTTGCCCGCAGACAAGACCAAGTTGAATCCTTCGACAAAGTACAACTAGTCGTCAGACTAAGGCTGAAAGGCGGCAGGGCAAGGAGCCAATCACCAAGGAGCCAATCATCAGCAGCCAGCGCCTCGTGCTCCCATGAAGCGGCATAACAACTGCCTGGTCTGGACGAAGAGGTTCCGTCCTATGCTGTGTGTCAGGTGGCCAGGATATTACAACAGGCTGCCGTCATATCCTCCTATTCTGTGGTAGGACTGGGTAAAGCCCATATAATACTAGCCACGACGTCTAGTGACGCCGTGCTACCCTTGGAGGAAGCCGCTCATACTACGAGTATCTCTATCCGATAAGACAGCACCGCAGCTGGCGTTGGTGAATTCGACGCACCGGTACAGACGGTATGAACATTTGGCGATTGAGATAGGCGATGGCACGTCGATGCGATCAGCCTGCTAGGCGGCCACTGAACAACAAAACGTGCGTCATGTGAGTCACTTCACGGCCGGACAAATTAGGCAGCCCTCCGAAAGGCCTTTTGCATGCAGGTTATATTAAAGGTTGGTGGCTAGACGTCCGGCTGGAAGGCACATGCGTGCCGTTATCTTGGGTGCTGTCTTCTTTCATTCCGAGTTGTCTAGGTATGGCCCGAACGGCATCTGAGACACATTAACCACCACTGCGCATGCAGCTAGGAAAAGCTGAAAATTGCTTCGTTGAAATCTTTCGGCGCTCATGATGGAGGGGATCGCTTTACACAGCCTTTGTTCAACAAAGACTATGCCTTGACCATCGATCCAAAACAGGCAGACGAGGGGTACCGCACCCAGAAGTTCTTCAAGCTCGCCGGATGACTGTTTGGTGAGCCGCGGGACAAGCTAACGACTTTGGTACCTGTATCGTATGGAAGCTACCTCCTTAGGTATGCGGGCCCATGAGATTTGGACCGCAGCAAAAGCTTCTGCTTTATTATTGCAGCCAATAGAAAGGTATATACGGTGACAACCGTTGAACACCTTGATGAAGTGAGTTGATCTAAAGACACACATACTATGTTGCATATCAGCGTTTTGCATTAGTCAAGCAGAGAGCGGTGAGGATTGACGTGAATGTCCGCTGTCATGGCACGGATACGACGGGGAATCCGCTCTTTGAGTCTCTGTCTCGGGAGTCGAATTGGAACAATGAAAAAAAAAAAAAAAAAGACGGTGTAATTGCCACATGGGCCGGACTTTTTTGCAGATAATGTGTACTTAGAAGGTTAATGACATCCTTCAGAGTCACCTATGTATATGCTGCTCTTCAAAAGCGCTGGAATAGACGTTCCGGAGTCGACTATCTACATGTATTCCTACGAGTACGGAGTACCCTGCGAGAAGTCGTTCCCCGCAACAGCTCAACAGCGTGGCATAGTCCGAGTGCCCGTGGCGGCGGCATCGAGCCAATCAGTGGCGCTCATGATGGCGTTGCTCAAGGGCTTTTTGATGAGGCTAAGCATCAGCCAGCATCTGGGAGATCTCGGGTTCGCGATATGCTGCCGTCTCGCATGTCTGGCTGCCTCTTTCGGCCCGGAATAGGGGCATGTTCGGTGTGTCATGCTCCTTGGGGATGCTGATGCTGATGCCTTGCTCAGGCACCAGAATGGCAGATAGATAGTGATGGCAGGATACAGGTTGAGGGTTTGCAGGATTTCTTGCCGCCTTCAAGTTCAGGTTGTTGCCTAGGGAGAAAAGCAGACGATAATATACACGGTTCTGCGGGAAACGGTGGCAGCCTGAGGCATATGCACCACCAGCTACCCAAACCTTAGAGCTGCTTTCGGCAATCACAGGTACATCTTGATGATCCTCCTGCTTGGCTCTTCCAAGGCACGGCTGAACGACTCTCCCATCTGGGCCTATCAAAAGTGCAGCTTTTCTCTGTCCAGACAAGCGTCCTGGACCCTTGCCCAAGCTCGTTCTGGCTCGCCGCAACCAAATGCGCAATTGAATCCTGATCGAACCAACGGCTAGGCCAACATCCACACCTCCCAGCCAGATACTACTACATGCGGAGCGGAATCACGGAGAACGGCTGCCTCTGCTGCTCCTAACGGGCCTGCGATGCGCTACCCGGCCGGGGTATCCCAGGAGATGCAGCAGCTTGCAAGCTTGGAGGATTCGACGTTGCATCTGCTAGCCTGCGGGTGCTGTGGATATCGCAGCTTGGGAATGGCGCTCCTGCGATAAACCGCTTTGGCCTCCCGTGACGCGAGCTGACTGGACGCTGATAACTACCACGCATCATCGCTTTTGGTTCATCTGGAATTTTATTCTTATCGCTGTCATCGTTCTGCTTCCTTTTCATATTGATTTGCGTCTTTTGCTTGGCTGTGGACACAGAGGCGCTCCGCTCCGCTTCTACGCAATCCATCCTGCGTGGTCATTGAACCTCCCACTGACGTCCGTGAATTGCTACTGCTATCGGCTTCAATAAATCGCACCAGCTTCGTCGCCTTGAGCTCCGACCGGTGCGCCGGCGAGCGACTCTCGCCGTGATGCCTCACCAGCTTGTCCTCGGCGCCATCGCCAAACAGGCCCCCTTGGACCATTGGGTGCTGCCGTCCTCCATCGCCGGTGCCACCGTCATTGGACTTCTGTCTCTGCCTGGTGTCTTTGCTCTTCTTCACCAGATTCGCAATCGAACCCCCAAGGACAACTTCTACCAGGATGTTGACGGCACGAGTACGCCCGAGGCTGTTGCTTCGTTTTCCAACAAGTGGCCCAAGATTGCTATACTTGTCTTGTCTCTAGCAACTTTCGGTCCATCCCTGGCCCTCTCCATTCTGTCTACCCTTCGTCCCGACCAAGACGACCTCTTTATTTCCAACTGGCTGGTAACTGCTGCTCTTGTAAGTCCAATCATTCCTGCAGCATCAAATAGCGCAGGTGATTCGCAAAGCGGCTAACAGTTCTTCAAAGGCTGCCATTGCCATCCAGGCTGTCTGCATCTTTGCCCACCGAGCCCCTGTCAAAGCCCATGATCTCGGCATTTGGGCATTCGGCTCGACATTTATCAGCATCCTGGTCATCATTCTTCAGTCGCTACACGCTGTGCAGCTTGGCGTTACGAAGAATGATCCTATCTTCGTTCTTCGGCTGGTCAGCTTGGCGGTCGCGGTCCCATTGCTATTTGCCAATATCTCGATCCCGCGACGACCCGTCGTCTTCTACAAGGACAGACCGGTAGATGCGCAGTTCACAACATCTGTCTTGAGCCGATTTACTTGGTCCTGGGGAAAACCCTTGGTAGCGCTGGCGTCAAAGAAGGGCGATCTGGATGAAAAGGACATTCCAGGACCGGATCACAACTTCAGAGCCCGTGACTTGGTCGAGGCATGGAACAACTTCCACTTCGAGGGCACGCTGCTGAAGAAACTTCTTCGGGCTTATCTACCTCTCTTTGTACTCCAATGGGTTGTCACCATCACTCGCTCGTTTGTCGGCCTGGGGCCGTTTTGGGCCATGCTGCGCGTGATTGAGCTCTTAGAACGCAGCGCTGGCTCAGGCGAACGTCCAATGGGTCAGATACTGGCATACATCATTTCCCTTGCTCTTTTCACTCTTTGTACGCAGGTACGAACAAGCAAACACTCTTTGTCAAGACTTTGGAAGACACAAGCTGACTTATACCAACTGTACAGTGGCTGCAAGGATGGGTCAACTGGTTCGCCATGTACAAGACGTCCATCCCTCTCCGAGGCCAGCTTTCGGCTCTTGTCTTCGAGAAATCCCTGAAGCGCAAAAATGTCAAAATGGCGGAGAAAGAAACGCCAAAGCCGGATGGGGATGCTGCCGAAAGCGACGACAACGCGAAGAAATCCGAGGAAGAAGACACCGTTCTCAAGTCTCGCCAGGCCATTGTGAACCTCGTTGGTGTTGATGTTCGCCACGTCTCTAACCTTGCGTCTTACCAGTTTTTCATCATCAGCAGTTTGGCGAATCTTTTCGTATACTGTGGTTTCCTTCTTAGCTTGATCGGTTTCTTGCCTTTTGCTGCCGGCATCTTGGCCTGGGCTCTCGTCATGCCGGTCAACACATACGCCACCAAGTTTTACATGAAGTACCAGGCCCAGCTCATGAAGAACCGTGATGCCAAGCTGGCCATTGTCAACGAGGCCCTATTGGGCATTCGTCAGATCAAATTCTCGGCTCTGGAGGACCAATGGGAGAAGCGTATCCAGGAAGCCAGAGAGAAAGAGCTGACAACCTTGAAGAAGACCTTCATGGCTGACTCTGTGCTGTTCGCTTGCTGGGTGATTAGCCCGATTTTCCTTGCGGCTGCCTCGCTCGCCGTCTACGCCCTGTTGCACGGCAATCTGTCACCTTCGGTTGCCTTTGTCAGTATCAGCATTTTCAAGAGCCTGGAAGCCACTCTTTCAGCTCTTCCCGAACTTCTTACGGCTTCCGTCGATACACTCGTTTCAATCAAGCGAATTGACAAATACCTCAGTGGTCCTGAGATGAAGAAAGTTGTATCTGATGGCCCGGATGTTGCTTTCGATAATGCCACCATCTCCTGGCCTGTTGATGTCGAAACGCCCGATGAAGAGCGCTTCATTCTCAAGAACGTCAATCTGTCATTTCCCGCCGGCGAGCTTTCTGTTATTTCTGGCAAAACGGGAACTGGAAAGAGTCTGCTACTTTCCGCTGTTCTTGGCGAAGTAGATCTTCTTGAAGGCGCCATTTACGCACCCCCTACCGTATCGGCTCTTGAGCGAAACGACCACAAAGCTCATCCGGGAAACTGGATTCTTCCGGGCTCCGTTGCGTATGTGGCTCAGACACCTTGGCTCGAGAGCGCGTCTTTCCGAGACAACATTCTGTTTGGTCTCCCCTATATCGAAGCTCGATACCAGAAGGTTATCGAAACCTGCGCACTGAAGAAGGATCTCGAGATCTTGGCTGATGGCGACAAGACTGAACTTGGAGCCAATGGAATTAACCTCAGCGGCGGCCAGAAATGGAGAGTTACCTTGGCCCGAGCCATCTACTCACGCGCCGAGATCCTGGTCATGGACGACATCTTCAGCGCTGTTGACGCTCATGTTGGTCGACACATCTTTGAAAAGTGTATCACCGGCGACATTTGTGAAGGGCGCACTCGGATTCTGGTTACTCATCATGTCGCACTGGTTGAGTCCAAGGCCAAGTATCTGGTTGAACTTGGCGAAGGCACTGTCCTGCACGCTGGCTTGACATCTGAACTTGCTGAGGACGGCATCCTGGAAAGGATCAAGACCAATGAACAGACGCAAGAGGAAATTCAGCAGGAAGAAGCAGCCGCTGATGCCTCAACGGTCGTCAACTCCGAAGAGGCGTCCGTTGCTGGTGTTGATGGAGAATCAAGCGGAAGCGCCACCGAAGCAGAACCAGGCAAAGATAAGGCCGCCAAAGACTTTGTCGAGAAGGAAACTCGCGACAAGGGAAAGGTCAAGAGCCGGATCTACCTGACCTATCTCCGGCACAGCGGTGGCTGGCTCTTTTGGATCGTCCTCGCCCTTCTATTCTCTAGCTTTGAGGCAGGGAATCTGGCTCGGAATTGGTGGGTCAAGATCTGGACAGAAAGAAGCGAAGAGCAAGCTGATGGCATGCGTGCATTCGAAGTGGAGCAGAAGCATGGCCTTGCATACAGCTTGTCCTTCCAACACGGTCCTTTCCATGTTGCTTCCGGCCTGCTGAACACCGAGTCGGCGGACCGCAATCTGTCCTACTACTTGTTGATCTATGTCGCTCTCTCAGGCGCCAGTGCATTCGTAGGGACGCTGCGCTTCATCTGGTCCTTCATCATGAGTATCAGGGCCAGCAGGACCCTCTTCAACCTGATTCTCTTTACTGTCCTACGAACTCCGCTGCGTTGGCTTGACACAGTTCCCGTCGGCCGCATTCTGAACCGTCTCACGGCCGATTTCGACATCATCGACAACCGCATCAACATGGATTTTGGACTCTTGCTGTGGCGTGGTCTGGGCTTGGTCGGCGTCTGCATTGCTGCTACTCTCGTGTCACCTTTTATTCTCCCCATGGCTTTCGTCCTAGTCTTCTTCGCTGTCGCTGTTGCCAAACAGTACATGGCTGGCGCCAGACCGATGAAGCGGCTTGAAAGTACCTCCAAGTCACCCGTCTTTGAGCAGTTTAACGCGACATTGTCGGGCGTAGCGACGCTCAGAGCCTACCAGAAGACTCAAGTATATGTGGAGCGTATGCATGGCCATCTTGATGCCTGGGATGCCGTGAGTATCTACGGCAGTCTGTTCAATCGTTGGATGAGCTTTCGTATGGCGTTGATTGGTACTGCATTCAGCTCCATCGTTGGTGTCGTCGTTGCCTTGTCTCCCTATATTGACGCCTCCATGGCTGGCTTCACTTTGGCTTTTGCTGTCGACCTCTCTGGAAACATTCTGATGACTCTCTGGAGCTACACCAGCCTGGAACTGGACATGAATGCTACAGAGCGTGTCATTGAATACGCAGACCTACAGACGGAACCGCTGGATGGTGAGAAGCCTCCCGCGGCCTGGCCCACGTCAGGTGACATCGAGGTCAAGGACCTCGTCGTCAGTTATGCTGAAGATTTACCGGCCGTGCTGAAGGGCGTATCTTTCAACGTGAAGAACAACGAGCGAGTCGGTGTTATTGGCCGTACCGGCGCTGGAAAGTCATCTCTTACTCTGGCGCTCTTCCGTTTCCTGGAGGCTCGTTCTGGGACCATCTTGATTGATGGCGTAGACATCTCCAAGATTGACCTCCATAGCCTGCGGTCCCGGTTGGCTATCATTCCTCAAGTAAGTGATTTAGATCGATTCTTTGCCTACGCAGATTGCTAACGTGTGAAACTCTTAGGACCCCGTGTTGTTTTCTGGAACGATCAGGAGCAACCTCGACCCCTTCAACGAGCGCTCCGACGAGGAGCTGCGCGAGTCACTTCACCGCGTTCACCTGGTCGACTCGCAGCCGGCGACACCTGCCAATGAGCCATCCTCTGCCGCTGGCTCAACCGCCGCTCAAGCCAATGTCAACATCTTCCGCGACCTCTCAAGCGGCATTGCCGAGTCCGGAGGCAACCTATCCCAAGGCCAGCGCCAGCTCCTGTGCATGGCTCGGGCCATTGTATCTCGACCCAAGATCATGGTGCTCGACGAGGCCACTTCCGCCGTGGACATGGCCACCGATACGCTCATCCAGCGCAGCATCCGCGAGGAGTTTACCGACAGCACACTCATCGTGATTGCGCACCGTCTCAGCACGATTGCCGACTTTGACCGCATTCTCGTGCTCAGCGAGGGTGTTGTGGCGGAGTTTGGAACGCCGAAGGAGTTGTGGGAGAAGGAAGGGGGTGTGTTTAGGGATATGTGCGAGAGTAGTGGTGAGAAGGACAAGCTGCGCGAGACGATTTTGGGCAAATGAGTGCGTGAGAGCATTAGGGGTTGGAAGTCGAAAAGTTACACTGGAATGGGGCTTAAAAGAGGTGAATTTCGTTGATTATATATGTGCTTTACAGGTGCTTGCAATGGGCATCTTTCATCTTCTGGTACATGTTGCAGTCAGACTCAGCAGTGGAATTTTTGCACACATACTAGGTAGAATATTCAAAAGACTCTTTGAATGGCCATGATTCCGTGTCTCATCATTGGTATCAAGCTGTCTGTGTACTAGATAATAGCGTTCTTTCGTAAAGTCATAAAATCCCAATCTCACAGCAGAAACCGGGAAGGGCGTTGGCGCTCCATCTTCATCACATATCCAAGTTGACAAACGTGGAAATAATTTGGTACCTCAAACCTTGAAGCCATCATCACTGCCATTTAGTTAGCAGCCCCATCATCGCTATCCCCGTCATAGTCAACATCATCCGAGCCGGCGGGCACAACCGACTTGATGTAGTCCTTGAAGCCCTTGCTCATCTTGACCACGGCGCGAATATGCTTCTCTCCAATGGTGATGGTCTGAAGTCCCTCCTCGTTGGAGTCGCTCTCGGCCAGCGCCAGCGCCGTCTGCATGGCATTGCGAATCTCTCTTCCGTTCCACTTGAGCGCGCGGACCTCCTGGCTCGTCCAGACGAACTCGCGGGCCGCCATGGCGACGCGGATCTTGCCGCGGGAGTCACGATCCAGACGGTCAAAGTTGTGAGTCCAGATGCGCTCGCGCTCCTCGTCGCCGAGGTTCTTGTAGTGCAGCGCGACGTGGATGCGGCTGAGGAAGGCGGTGTCGAAGGAGCGCACGCGGTTGGTGGTGAGGAAGAGAACGCCGCGGTAGTACTCCAGGGCGCGGAGGAAGACGGAGACGAGGCCGTTGCGCGAAATATTCTTCGCGCGGCGGCGCTCGAGATAGACGTCGGCCTCGTCAAGCAGGACCAGAGCTCCATAGCGCTGGCCCAGCTCCAGGAAGTAGTTGAGGTTGGACTCAACACGGAATGCGTCGACGCTCAAGTCGCCACTCGTGAGGGCAATGAGCGGCCGGTTGGTCAGCTCGGCAATACACTCGGCGGTGCACGTCTTGCCAACGCCTGCGTCCAATTGTTAGCTCTATTTTCTGCGCTTCTTAAGAGGTTGTGGTATCATACCTGGAGCGCCGTGCAGCAGGAAAATGCGGCCCTCGCCCTTGTTGCGGATAAAGTCGTTGCCCCAGGGAGCGACCTGGCCGTCAACTCCGGTGGTATATTGGCCGATGAGGGCTCTCACCGTCATCTTAATGTCGTCGTCCAGGACGAGATACTTGAAGGCCTCCTTATCAGGCTTGACAGGGCTGAGATTGGCGATGTGAAGGTTTCCCCAGCGGCGAGTGCCTAGGATGAATCCTGGGATTGTCTTGCTGAGAATAAAGAAGAAGAGGTCGTTGCTGGGAGGCGTGTCGCAGAGAGGATCGAGATCCTCGAATCCGACATACGGACCATCATTCTCCACGACACGACCCTCATCACAAACAGTGCAGCCGCATCGAGGGAGGCTCTGAGGAAGGAAGTCTTTGTTCGGGACGGCCTGAGTTACACGGCGGCGTCCAGGAAGAGGATATCGCCTGCCCTCCATATCAGGAGCCGAATCATAGTACTTGTCGAACCCCGAGGCATCGCATATGACACGGCCGTTCATAAAGCCAGTCGGGCCACCAGGCAGCCTGCTGCCAGAGCCTGAGTTGACAAGAAGGCCGTCGTACTCCATATAAGTAGGTCGCTTCAAAAGCTCCCAGTATAGCTTGCCTTCTTCGATGAGCTTCTCACGCATCGTGAGATTACCTTGAGCAACAAGGTCTTCCTTCCAGAACTTCGCAGGAATGACCGACAGGGAGCTTATGGCTTGCTCACCCGGCCATGGCGTGACAACATGGCTCTCCATAAACCGACCAACTTTGACGCCGTTAGACTCCAGCAGCCAGCAGCCGATTCGGTAATTGTCGAGGTTACCGTGGGAGCGATTTCCAACATTGACACTGCTGATGACAAATGGTGTCCAAATGTCGTGTTTCTTAGTGTAAATGACCTCGCCAGGCTTAAGAAGCAGCCAGAAGTGCTCAAAAGTGGCTGTAGGCGTCTCGAGCTGGTGACGCTCCTCTTCCTTGCTGATCTCGTCCTTGAAGCTCTCATCGAGGAATTTGAGGAGGATATCGATGTGCTGGTTTGTTGTCTCAATGTATTCAGCGCTGTGTCCAACGGGGTGGTTTTCGCGGTACTCGGACAGCTCCTGGCGGTGATGATACAGCACGCGATAGGGTGCGGTGATCTGAACAGTCTTGCCGCCGAGGTTGACGTTTGGGTAGTATCGAACGACGCCTCGAAGGGCATTGATGAGGTGCTCCGAGTAGATGACCATCAATGGAGTCTCGGCTTGGGGAGTTCCCGGCGGGTCATAGTACTGCTCTTCCTCGGTATAATAACCGTCACTTCGATAATCAATATTGTCAAAGGCAGATGTAATGGGGCGCTCCATCTGAGGGTGTCCTCGACGAGGATGCACTATGCGCCTGCCATCATCAGGCCTGCCCTCAATGCACACAGTGGTCACAATCTCGAAGACGGGCTTCTTGACAAGCTCGCCTCCCTCGTCGGCTTCATCGTGCTTGATCTCATAGGAAGTCACATTCTCAAAGGGCTTGGAGCTTCGCAGGCCTGCCAGTCACGTTGATCAGCAGTTGATTCATCAACATAGTAAGAGGATTGAAACTTACGCCCAAGGAATCGTCTCGAGTGGGAAACATGGTTCAGGGTATAGAGAACGTCAGGAACCTCACCGTCGACGGCGTACTTGAGCCGTCGCGGATTGGGCAGCATGCTGCGCGGTCCCAGCTCCTCGAAGCCATCGCTCATGCTGTCCTCGCGGGAGTCATCATCTCGGCACGAGCGTGCACGAGGTTCGAAACCCCGGACGATGCGAGGGCCGGCCATGAAGTCCACGCTGTATTACACGAACAGGGGTTGCAAAGATGAGTATGAAGAAGCAAAGCAAACCAGGAAGTTGATGGGCGAATACGGGGACAGACAAGAAGAAGTGGCACGGATCAGACAGAGTATTTGGCTTGATAGCAGCAGACAGACAGACGTCTTTATAGCCACCAAGACTCTCAGCTCATCAGATTAAATGCTGACCACTGACGCAGGAAAAGTATGTGATGTGTTACCCATAGGGTTGCTCCAAGGCAGCAGCTCCTGGTCGCAGCCCAGCCAGGCTAGTGAGGTTGTCTGCCTAACGCTCAGCCCGCGGAGAGCAAACGATGCCATGAGATCATCAATCTGGACTAGACCTTATGCACGACAATCGCCGGACCATCACAGGCCTGCAGTGTGGGCGAATGCCGGCTAGGTTTCGAATAGAGAGGAAGCCTGGAGGAGGCTGAGAACTGCACCGCTCGTTGGCCCAAACCAGTGCTGTGTTGTCATTTCTCATGCAGCTGCCCGCCTGGGGGCTGAAGGAGCATCTCACAAACATCCTGAGGGATTGAAGCTCCGTCAGACCACGTAAATCGCCAAGTTGAAATGGCTATTGGCGACAGACAAGTTGTGCGGCGTGAAACTGCTGTGCAAGGAAGATCTATTCGCCCCCGTGACTATGAAATCAGGATGTCTGCCTCCTGTAATATACTCATTGGTAGGGAGAAGCCGTCTTCTTCTAATCGCGTAAGGGCCCGGCAGGATGCTTATGTTTCATTCGATCTGCTTGTTTTGCCGTTGTATCTGGCATATGTCGCTTGGGCATCGCAAATCGCTTCGCAGAGCGGACAGTGCCTGGCTCTTGAGATTAGACGGCATTCGCTGAATGTAAGACGGAATGGACAAGATGGACTGATTTGAGGGCACAACGAGAAATGAGGCAGGCAACATACCCGAGGTATCCCGTAAGGATGCTGGTAGAACAAAACGGGATCGAATTGCTCTCTCATAACATGATGAGCTGATGCCATGAAGGCCGCCTTCTCGTCTCACTGCTCTAGGCGCCATTCCTCGCACTCGAAGTCACATTGCTGGCGTGGGCCAGCAGGAACTTGCAGCACGTAAGTGTGAGTTTGCATGCTTTGGTCCATCCATCATCTTGCGCAATGCCGAGCTTGATGCTGGTCTCCCCTATCTTGTCCCCCTCGATTTTGTACGGAAGGGTCAAGGGGACACCCGTTGATTCTGTTTGCTGTTGGACAAAGACACCTAGCTGGCGGACTAGCTCGAGAAAAGCAACCATGGCGGTGTCGAACTTGCGATGCATAAACGTGAGCCCAAGCGGCATGTCTCCCGAGCTGTACAGCTCTAGCACATGCTTCTTTGGAGGTGCGTGCATCGGTCTTCCGCCAAGCCTGCTGGACGCCGGATTGGACGCCTCGTACCGGATGATCTTGGAGGTGCTTCCCAGAGGCACCGGCTCGTAGCCCTGGAACTTATACCCGAGCTTATCGGCAACCGTCACGAGCAGGAGCAGCGCATGACCCCAAGCTGCATTGACTTCTGGCCAATCCACGGGCTTATTAGAGAGCCTGCCGAGGCGCAGGCCGTTGATGGTAGCGAAGCTTCCATCGTGGCTGATGCAAAAAGTGTCGTTGTAGACATTGGACCGTTGTAGCTTCTCGAGCAGCTGCGAATCGTTGTTATACTTTGCATTGACACTGTCGCGCTCGGCCTGGAACTCTGCCATTTTCGCGGCAAAGGCGTTTCTCTCCCGCCAAAAGTTCTCCTCCTCTTTGTCCAGCTGGCGTGACTCTTCCTCTAATGCCCAGATCTCGTCATCCAGTGCATCCTTCTCGGCTTCCAGCTTCTTCAGCTCTTCCATTGCAGCGGTTTTATTCTTCTCTGCCTTTTTCAGAGCTTCGTTCCAGGCTTTGACGTCCTCGTCACTCGGCTGGTTACTCTGCACCTCTTTCAAGTGCTGAACATAGGCGTCCCTTTCCTTGGATACGGCATCGAGCTTCTTCTGAAGGCCCTCCACCAGCAGTTCGGTACAGTCCACACAGACCGGGTGATCGATGTCGGACCTGGCGGATAATATTTCGAATAGCCGGTTGATCTTGTCTATGTCATGCCCCATGTCCATCTGGGGCTCGTCTTCGGGGGCTCCGTTTGTGCTGGAGGCTCGTCGGCGAGGAGGGATAATTGCTCGTTCCTTTTGCTGCTGCTGGGGCGGCAGAGGATGCCCAACCTGCGACTCCGTGAGGTAGATGAACGACATGGTATTGTCGCGGGGCTGGCCGCCACGGTACCGCTTGAATGTCGGCGCGCCAGCATTCTGAGAGACTTTGTCGTAGAGAGACTTTCGCGATTGCTCCTGTTCCTGGAGTGCCGACGGTTGCGCGCTCGAGGGCTTGATCGCTGTTTTTGGAGATGATGTTGCGGCTGTACGACAAGGCGATGAGCAACTGCGTTAGATACGTTAAGCGACGGCAAGAGAGCATTACTCACAGACGAGAAGATCATATGCGGCTGGGTTGAGGTCGTCGAGAGAGCCGTCGAGCTTCAACGGCTGGCGGCACTTTTGGCAGTGCATCTTGAAGGCAGGAGAGACGGAGGAGGAGGAGGGGGTTTGGTTGACCGTGGACGAGTCTTTTGCATGCCCTTGATGCGCTGGCTGTCGATCGGATGAGTAGATGACGGGAGATGTTAGATTGAAGAAGATGGAATGAGGGTTTGCAAGGCAAGTCAAGGCTCGTTTTGCGCTCTGCCAGCCGAGTCGTGAACTGGAGGTAGAAGTTGCGTAGAAGTTGCGTACGCAGCAGTGACATGTGGACGCACTGAACGGCTGTGCCTTGTGACGCCATGAAGGAGCCTGCCGGCCCCACTCAAACTTGGGGTTGGGCCTGTCGGCAAGCTTACAGAGCTCCAGACAGGCAGCTCTGTCCTGTGAGCATGGATCGTTAGCGGACTGACAGCGCTGTATTTCCAGCTTCCGGCGCTAGACTGGCCGTGGAGGTGCAGTGCAGCCACTTAACGCGCCGCCGCGAAACGACCTGAGAATAGCGACGCGAGCCGCTCCTTCGCGGTACTTGCACAAGGTCTCCCAATCCCTGTCGCACCCCGTTGCTCCCGCAACCAATCTTTTCTATCCAAAGTTCAACTGTCGCATTTTCGCCCGTTTTCGAAGCCCCAGGTCTGCCGGGTGGTCGGCAGTCTGCATCGCCGAGGGCCAACCCAGCCTCAGTTTTATTATAATATCAATTGACATTACTCCTCTGTTCTCTCTCTAGCTTCTATACCAGCATCAACACTGTCGAGTCCGGTCTGGCCATGGAACCGCCGGCAAAGCGCCGCCGCATGAGCCAGCTGCTGCTGGACAAGCACCATGCCGACGAAGACGACGATGAGCTCGCCTTTGCGCCATTCGAGGTCGAGGCCAAGCGAGACCCCGATTACAAGCTCTCTGTCGAGCGGGCCTATGCCGACCAGCGGTTCCAGGCCACCATGGCGCATATCTTCGAGAAGTACGGGCGCGACTTCGAGGGCATTGGCGACGAGATCGATCTTGTGACGGGCGAGATTGTGGTCAACAACGGACATGTGCGCAATATGCGAGACGAAGGCGATGTTGGAGACGGTCTGCGAGGCGATCTGACGGACGGAGAAGACGACGAGGACGAGGGCATCCTGCTAGAGGATCTATATGACGACGAGGAGGAATACGCAGATGAAGAAATCGGAGAGCAGGGCGAGCGAACCCAAAATGGCAACAATGCAGACGGTGATGACGAAGACGACGAAGACCGCATAATACAGGGCCGCCAGCCATCTCGCGACTCACATTCAACGGCCTTGGTGTTGGGATCATCGTCAAAGAACGCATTGCTCGGCCGCGCCTCGCCGTTTGGCGCGAACAAAGCAAACGCTCTTCGCTTTGAGCCTCCTACAGAGCTACCCTTGGCCTCCTCACCATTCGCTTTCGACCGATCACCGTTCGCTTTGGAACCCTGGGGACTCCCCGGTCAACACTCCGATCCTCTGTGGGATCGACCCGATCTATTTGCAGTCCAACGACCACCGAGCCAGCAATTGCCAATCAAGCCCAGTCGCTACCATTTCGCTGCGCGGAGCGGCGAAAGCTCAATCTGGGCGCCTGGGTCGAGGTTCCGAGCTGACGAAGAAGAACCCTTGCCATCTGCATTTGCCGCCACATTTAGCAAGCATTTGCTTCCAAGGAGGAAGAAAATCATTAGACATCCGCTACTGCTTCCTTCTACAAAGTCGAATGAACGTGGCGATGATCGCAGAGCGGAAGCAGATGAGGATGACGAGGACGAGGATGTGATTCTGACGGGGAAGAGATTTCAAGAGAACCCAACAGAAGCTACCAAACATGACGACGATTCACGTCAGTCCAGCAGGTCAGCCGGGAAAGAGACTGAGGAGAGGGGAGGAGAGGGAACCTCAAGCGACAGCGGCTACAAGTCCGCTCAAAGCATACGGAGAAGCAGAAAGCGAAAGCAAAGGGCAGACGAAGGGTCCACGAGGGACGAGGCTTGGGTTCAATCTCCTGGGATATTGAAAAAGGCTCCCAGTTCAAAGCCAAAGAGGCTTCCAAGCAAGACAAAGAATCCAGACCAGACGACACCATCTCTTGAGCTGCCCGATGAAGCAAGCGGCTGTAGACGCTCTGGACGGATGAGGAAGCAGGTCGAATACTTGAACAAGATATCTTGGGCTCAAGCCTTGGCAGAGCAAAAGGCCGAAAAGCAAGCGATGTTGCTTCCTGCTCCGGATTCGCAGAAAAGCGGCAAGGACAACGAACATGCGGAAGAGGAGAGTAGCACCGGATCGGACTCAGCAGATGATCAGGCAGCCCTAGAAGAATCGGAGCATGACTGCATCCCGGACTCGGCCGCCGATGACGATGACGAGGAAGAAGAAGTAGAGGAAGACGCCGAAGAGGAAGAGGAGGTGGAATCGGAAAAGGAACAGAAAGGAGGGGAAGAAGCTGAAGAAGATGAAGAGGAAGAAAGGGAGACCTCACCTCCCCTAATCGACTTGTCGACTTCACGGGAACCCCAAGTTCGCCAACCCGATATCGCGGAGCGTCGCCGTACTCAAGCGCCAGCCGGATTTCCCTTCAAGTATACTGATCCTGGATGCCTTCTTTCCGACGACGAGGCTCCCACTAGTTTGTCCAAACCAAGGAAATTAGCTCCGCAGAAGAGGCACGAGGACGTACTCCCGTTACGAGAGATCCGCAATGTCAAGGCTCGGGCGCAAGCCGACTCCTCTTCGTCAGATGCTGGTAAAGAAGAGCGGCCGAATCAGTCTGGCAAGAAACGCAAGCACAAGGCGGACGCCATGATAGACTCGTCCCCCATGGCGAATCAGAACAGCACTGGGAATGTTGACGTCCCATCCGAAGACTCCAGCGGCGTGGCTCCTTTGTCCTCTTCTCCCACGCGCTTCCTCTCCCGAATCACTCTCAAAGATTCTCTAGACGACACGCCTCAGCCCTCGGACGCTGCATCAGAGAAGGCCGATCACCAGCCTGAGGCTATGAGATCTTCGAGCCCATGTGCTCGCGACAGTAAAAACGCCCCGAAGCTCACGGCCTCTAGGCAAAGGAGACGCCAGTCCAAGAAGCCCGTCAGCCCCGTCGTCGAGCAACTCAGCGCAGAAATCGCCCAGCCAAAACAGTCGGCGATCTATATAGCCCTGCCCACCGTCATCGAAGACAGCTCCTACGAGACGTGCGACGATTTCTCCTCTTCTCCCGCCAAGCCTTCTTCGCATGATGAGCCGCCTCCTCCATCACCCAAACGCACAGTCTCGCCCTCCAAAGCAGTTTCTCAACCATCCACACAATCTCCCACAAGAGCTCCCCAAGAATCTCCATCTGAATCCCCCACAAAGAACCCTTCAAAACGCCCTGCTGAAACTGAAGACCCTCTGCCCTCTCTGAGCAACCCGCCTCAAACCCCCCGTCGCCCCCACCGCCGCCTCAAAGTCCCTTCCTCGCGCCACTCCATCCTGTCTCTGCTATCCGACGAGGACGAGGACGACGAGGAGATTGACGAGCTGGGCCGCAACCTGGCCGCAATCCCCAGGTTGCAGAGTTCAGTGGCGCAGACGACTGCGCGCAAGGTATGGAGATCCAGCTCCCGCACCCGTGAAGTGTATCGCACGCCTGTGAAGAAGCGGCCTTCGGAGCCTGTGAGCCCGGGGAGTATCGTCAAGACGCCTGGGGGCACGCTGAGGGCTTGTGGCGTGGATGGATATAGGTGTGGACGGGATTTCTGTTTTACTTGTTTGTAAGGGGGAGGGGAGTACGAACAGTCATATGGGTACGATGTGATGAGGAGGAAACTAGTTGGGCAATCTTGGAGTGACATCTTGGGATGATAAACCACTTAATCAATCTGCTCTCCTTTTCCTGCTGGGTGCAAAATGGAGGATCTGCAAGGGATAAAGGAAAAGCAGTGCAAAATAGCAATATATTACCCGCTACCTCATATTAGCTACCCACGAATGAAAACGAAAAGTGTTCCAAGTCATAAACTGAGAAGCGCGAAAAAAAAAAAAGACCATGGATATGTTGGAGTTCGCTTCCCTCCCCTCCCTTCCCAGCCTCGCCATCCGAAGATGGCAAATGCCCCCGAAATTCCCGAAAACGCCGTAGACCGACTGACTGACTGAATGCTGTCCGAGCTGACGGGATCTGACCTGAGTGAGATCCAGATCCCAGAAGTCATAAGAACTGGTGAATAAGTTGAAGGAGGGGCGGATGAGTTGGGGGGGTGAGAGGGAATGGAGAAATTCTTTTTCGCTGTAGTCATTTCCTAACCGCTTGCTTTCTTTCTCATATCCAGCACCCAATATTGTTGGTCACACTTCCTTCCGCACGCATGACATGTAGATTTTTGCCGTTCATCAAAATTTCTTTCTTTTTTTGGGGGGCCCCTTCATTTCTTTCACCCACGTCGTATCCCTCCTTGCACTATTTCGTCTGTGAAGAAAGCCATAAACCCGCTTAGGCAGCACGGCCGAATAGCTAAGACTTATCTTGGAGAGGCGGTGGCCTAAGTGGCCTTGATGGGAACAGGGGGAAGCAGATGGAAACGAGATACTCGAGAGGATAAAAAGAGGAAATGAAAAAGAGATGCATCATTAATTTCATGAGGACTTGTAAGGACCTCCGTTGGCACCGATCAAGTTCTGCTTGAAAACTTCGGGATCCCGGACGGGGTTGAAGTAAGGATGGGCCTGGGCCTCCTTTGCCGTGAGACGCTCCTGTATACAGACGGTTAGCAACATGTCTCCGAGAAGTATTGATGTGGCATCATAACGAACCTGATGATCGTAGCGCAGCAGCTTGTCGAGGAAATCGATGGCTTCATTAGAGACAAAGCGCTGGTTCTCGGACGTGACAAAGCTGTGCCAGGGTTTCTTCTGGAAGCGTCCCAGAATATCGTCGTACTGCTGGTCCAGCTCGATCTCGTACTTGTCGAGGTAGTCGAAGAGGTCATCCGTGCCGAGAACCTTGGCGATCTTGACCAGCTGATCAGAGTTACTGTTGCCGTGGAAGAACGGCTCCTTCCTAAAGATCATGGAGGCGAACATGGCGCCGAGACTCCACATGTCGAGGCTGTAGTCGTATTCCTGGAAGTCGACGAGCAGTTCGGGGCCCTTGAAGTAACGGGAAGCCACGCGGACGTTGTACTCAGTGCCCGGGTGGTAGAACTCAGCCAGACCCCAGTCGATCAGACGAAGCTACAAGGCCAAGTCAGTGATGATTCCACGGGGTTATTTGGAAGCATTAGAAGCGCCTACCTTTCTGTTCTCATGGTCGATCATAACGTTATGAGGCTTGACATCTCGGTGCATGATTCCCTTGCTGTGGCAGTAGTCCAGAGCCTTGAGCAGCTCGAGAATGTAGAATCGCACATCCAGGTCGTTGAACTTGGGGTACAGGCTTCGAAAGTCGGTGTTGTTAACGTACTCGAAGATGAGGGAGGGCGTCTTGCTCTGTGACACGCCAGACGCAATTTCGCGTTTCCTTGTCAGCACACGTCACACAGAACAGAAAAGTACAAGAGGGAGAGTAAGGCATGCCAGCCACTACTGACCTGTGAATCTCTAACGACGTCAAGCAGCGCAACAACGTTGGGCCCGCCGGCCAAGTTCTGCAGGATCTTGATCTCTCGCTTGATCTTCTTCTTCTTGACGGGCTTGAGCACCTTGATGACACACTTCTGATAGTTGACAACGTTGATGCCCTCGAAAACCTCGGAGTATTTACCACGGCCTAGAGATGCGCAAATCCCGGGTTAACCACGCGTCCCTGATGCCCAGCAAACACAGCGCCCAAGAGAGCCAAGCTGGCGCATAAACGAGCGGTGACGGGACACATACCGATCTTGCGAACGACCTCGTAGTTCTCGAGAACCCCCCAGCCTGTGAAGCGCCCAATGGTTAGTTCCGAAGCCTTCCTCGCGTGGACGTGGGATGGGATTCAAGGGCAGGATCTCCGCACTGATGTTGACGCTGTCGTAGTCCCAGTAGCTGCGGGGCATGTTCTGGTTGACGTCGGCGTAGACGCGCGCCATCTTGGCAGGCTCGGTCGCGGGTCGGCGACGCAGACGGAGATGGCGGATGGAGGATGGCGAAGGGGAGGGCGAGGAAGCGATGCTGGCGATGCGTCTGGGCGAGGCGGCGCTGGGCAAGACTTCTGGCGACGAGGAAACGTGAGAATCAGTTGCAGAGGTGGGATGTGCCGCCCGGGCTAGCGCTCCACTGTTTGGCGCCGGCGGCGGGCGCTCATTGGCTGCCGCGCTTGTCGCTTAGCCGGTTTTTTTGCTGGGCAGCAGACAAACAGAGTTTGGGAGCCCGGCCAGCCTGCTGAGTCAGGAAAAGCTACCTACATGTAAGGTACTGGGCGATAACAGAGCTGTGCTGTAGCCCTTCTGCAAAAAGTCCATCGCCGCATGTGAACGAGCACTTGAGGTCTAGGGCAGCAATGAGAATTTATTGTATTAGACATATTATTGACCAGACGCGTTACATGGATACGAGATTCACTTGAAAGGACGCTCAACATATCGTCTCGTAGGTCATGTGCTCGTTATTTGGGTATCTCATTACTGCTTGCAGTGCCATCCCTTCTTCCATCCAGCAGCATGTTATTACATCGTTCCCATCCATAGCCTCGATATATCATCAGGGCCCATCATTCATGCAGAGTAAACATCCACCAGCCATCCTGAGTTTCCTTCCATGTCAAACATCAACGCCGCCTAGGTAAGTCAAAGCATTCCGTTAGCCCACAATGAACACAGACAAATGGTCAACAGACATGTAAATGAACCGCGCAGTCTCAGAGAGAAGATTATGAGGATTCGTCACGCCGCTATTGTCAGCCCTCCCCAGGTTTGGTCATTGGTTCTTCGGGCCTCCATGCGCGATCTGACTAAGGATGACGATACAATTGTTCTCATCACGATGCGGTAAGAGCTGGGGTGGAGGATGAGAAAAAGAATTACTGACCTTGTTGAGCTCCCCTGGGGTCGCATCAAGCTGCAGATTTACTTGAAATGCAGAGTTTGCTAGTTGTAGCAGAGCCGAACACGTTGCTCGCTATGTGGTATACAGCAGAGCCCCAGGAGCTTCGCAGATGGCTGGCTTCAGTCGTAATCGAGAGAATCGAGCCCTGCTTCGACCACGTCCCAGGTGCGCTTGCGCAAGTCTGGCTTGGGTTCCTGCTTGGTCGCCTTTGGCTTCTTCCTCTTCCTCTTCTTTCCTCGAGAGCCGACAGCGCCGCTTGAGTCCTGTGGCGAGGCAGTCTCTATGTCATTTGCAGATGCGTCTTGCGGCAGCTCTGGTGCTTTGGATCCCGCTTGCTTTTCCTGTTCCCGGCGGAGCTCTCGAAGCTCAGAGTGTCGGAAGATGGCAATCTGCTCGTCGGTAAGGGTTCTCTTGACGCCATCTTCGTAGTATCCAAGGCCGTCATCTTCTTCCTCTTCCCACCACTCCTCGCATGCTTGAGCCTCGGAGGGCTCCTGTGGCGGAAGACTTGTGAAAGTGTGTCCAAACTCAGCGGCAGCCTCGCTTGAGAAATGGCTTTGCTGAAATGCCAGTAACTCGTCGCTTGTTATTTGGGGTATCTTGAATGGAAGCTCGTGAGCAACCGACATCGTGACGCGCTTCTGCAGGCTAGGGAATGGCTGATCCAGGCTGCTGAAATGGCGGGACCGACAAAAGATGTCCTGGGTCACGTGCTCCAGAATGCAGCCCAGCAACCAAGTGAATCATGGGTGTCGACGCCGTGTCTACGCCAAAGAAAAGAGGCAGCAAAGAGAGAGAAAATGAAGAAAAGAGAAAAGTGATTGGACAGAAGCCTGTTGGCCTTTTGTCAGCCGTTTTTCCGGGCCTGATGCTGTTGTGGTGCAGAACCAGCCCGGCCACCGTCATCGCAGTCTAGGTAGACCGAAGCAGCGCCAATGCACTCTCAAATGCCCGGACAACCTCTTCGTCTTGTGATACCATTAGCTTTGAAACCAAGCAGAACGCAGGTGATTGATACTCACGATGCTGTTGCCTCTGAGCCATCCTTTCCTCAGCGATATTGACAAAACGCTGTCGGGTCTGCAGACGCTTCACCGCCCGCTCATCGTCGTAAGCTGAGGCAGCTGAAGACCATACCTGAAAATACTACACATAGACAAGAGCGGTTTCTCTTGTTTAGCATCACATAGCAGCCAAGTGAATGGAAGTAGAAAGGTCTATCTAACCTTGGCAAGACTCTCGGCCTCTTTGAGGATCTCTCGCTCGTGCTCATCCGCCTCCACCAGCGCTTTCTCGTACCGCGCCTCGAAGTCTTCCCAATCAAACGGCGCAAGAAGACCGGGTGTGTTGGGTGTCAACCCGCCGTTCTGCTGCTCATCAGACTCAGGCGTCTCAACCCGTGCCTGGCGAGGCCTGTCGAAATCCAGCACGGCTGTCTCATCCTTGGCGTCCTCCTTCGTCCCATAGACGGGAAGGCGGTCCGCGCCATTCGGTGACTTTGATGAGGCCATGGTGAAAGAGGTTGGCGATGCTTGTTGCGGGCGGTGGAGCGGGAGCGATGATCCTTGCGCCTGTCGTTGTTTCTCTGGCGTGGGTGCGTGGCTGCGAAGGGGCGCAAAAGGGGGCTTGAAGCTCTGGTATTGGCTCCCGTCTTCGCTGGCTGGGAGGGAGACTGAATCAGGGCGGAGCCGGTCCGGAGAGGCGACTCGCAAGCTTGTTTCTGTCGCGATTGCTGTGAGGCCGCCACCAGAGTGGACGCGCATGTGGCCGAGCCCGTTTCGAGTTGAATCAATCGGATCTGGCCAAGTCTACCAGCAGAGCCGAGCAAAAGAGAACTGGAAATCGGCGCAGCGATGTCGCAACTCCCGCCCAGTGAAGAGATGCCGCTAGCTGCCGCAGTCGACGTCAGTCTGAGCGATTCACAGGCACACTTGGATGAGCAGACGTTGTTCCAGGCAGCAGATGCTTGGTCTTCCAGTCCCTTCGACGTCTGGTTAATGAATCAGTCGAGGGCCATGACAGATGACCAGCCAATAGAGGGACCGGCTGTTTGTACCTATACCTACCTTAGGCGCAGACTCTCAGGTGCAGGCACCAAGGCTGACACTTACAGTGGACGCAGGCCGCTGGAGGCTTTCACGGTAGCGGCAGCTCCCACCCAAGCGGCGCTAGCAGCGGAGAGCCACAGCAGCCGCCTCCCTTATTAGCCTCCAAGGTCCCAGTGCTCGTTATCGCACTGGACCCCGTGATCTCATTTGCTCAACCTCTGCCCTTGACATTTGATCCATGTAGGCAGTCATCTGTTCATCCATCGCATCTCTCACTCTTCTTTTCTCTCTCTCTTTTCCTCTCGTTTATATCATCCTCTCTGCCTTAGCTACCCAACCGGACACTGAGGAAAGGTCGCCTCTGCTCGCTTGCATCTTCCGCCGTCTCTCTATCGGAGCCTCTTTCGGAGCCTCACGTCACTCTTCATCCCATCATCAAATGCCGACATCCCGCCTCTGCATCCCGCCATCTGCCTGAGAACTCACTGATCCCTACGGCACCTTACCTTACATATAACTCAGCGCGACTCACCTCTCTGGCCCCCAAATTTTCCGTGGCGAGAAACCGTCAAAGCTGGCCTTCGACATGGAATGCGACATCTGCCACCGCCCGCACGACGCCCAGCGCCGGCCGTTCTTGTGCGCCGTGGATGCCCGGAATAAGATCTACGAAGGCCGCATGAGGCACCTGCAAGTCGTGATTGAGAGCGACGCGCTCAAGGCTCAGATCAACGAGCTTCTGGAGGATTCCCGGCCAAGCAAGCACACCTGGGACGAGGCCGTCGCTCGCAAGCAGGCCGCAGAGCACAAGACGGATGAGATCCTGGCCGCCGCCGATAGACTGCGCGATGAAATCAAGGCCGCCAGAGACGAGATCCAGGCCCGGAAGGCGGCGCTCGCTCGCCGGAGGTCCGATCTGGCTTCCGTCTCGGCCGGGCTGGCGGAACGGAGAGCCAAGCAGCTCAAGGAAGTGGAGAAGTCGACTCAGATGCTCAGATTCCGATGGTCGCAAACGGCTGAGGACACGGCATCTACTCGGGCCTTCTTATGTACGGAGGCCGTCCGGCTCTACGGTCTCAAACGGGTGGCGAAGAAAGGCATCACGGGACGCTACGAATATAGTCTCGGCAGGATTCCCATTGTTGATCTAACTAGTATGGACTGTGAGTCTCTCCCATGTTTCCCAAGCTCCCCTTTGCTTCTCAAGTCTTCTCCTTCCCTTCCCTGTCCGCGTCTATATGAAAGAGTAGGAAATAGGAGAGTTATATACTGGAAGAAAGATGGAAGGAAGAGTAAAAAGACAAGCAAGGGAAAAAAAGAGAGATATTTAATGCAGAACGAAGAAGAGAGAAGAGAAAGAAAGAGAGATATTTACTGGAGAAGATGCAAAGGAAGAAAGAGAAAAAGAGAAAGGGGGAGAAAATGACAGGAGAGAAAAAGAAAGGAGAAAGGGAGTAAATGACAGGAGAAAAATAAAGACATGAAGAGAGAAGAGAGGAAGAAGGATGAAGAAACCAGAGAAACAACCCGCATCAGGAAGCATGCTAACTCTTTTCCAGCCCTTGAGCCCGAGGTTATATCCACCTCTCTCTCCCACATCGCCCATGTAATTGTCCTCGTTTCCCATTACCTTTCCATCCGCCTTCCTGCCGAGATCACCCTCCCTCACCGCGACTACCCCCGACCAACAATGTTCACCATTCAAAACTCCTATCGCCATGGCGATGTAACGTTCCCCGGTACCTTGGTAACCGCTCCCCTCTCTGACACTCCCTTTTCCAACCACGTCCCTCGACCTCGACCTCTCTTTGTGGACAAGCCTTTGACGCAGCTGTCCAAAGAGGATCCCTCCGGCTATTCCCTATTCCTCGAAGGCGCCACGTTGCTCGCTTATGACGTTGCCTGGCTTTGCTGTTCGCAAGGCGTGTCCATTGGCGACAGGACCTCCTTTGAGGACATCTGCAACATGGGCCGGAACATGTACAGTCTCTTGATGAACAACCAGTCGTCGGCCAAACAGTATTCGATTGGCGCGCCAGGAAGTGATGTCGACGACGGTCCAAGTTGGATCGGACGCTTTGCTCACGGCTCAACATTTTACTTCCTTGCCGGCGAAGAAGGAACCCAATTGGTCAAGTCCTTCAAGCTCCCCAACCCGTTGAAACTCGCCGATAAGCTGAAGAAGAAGCTTCTCGGCGACGCGCCCGCGCCTGACTGGGAGGTCCTTGGCGATGATGAATGGAAGGACGAAGGCTTGGTCGGCAACGGGGCGTTTGATCCAAAGGCTGCGGGAAGCAGGAATGGCGGCGGTCTTTATGATGGAAAGGACTCGCCGAGGACTAGCAATTCGAATGGGTGGATGAAGGTCAAGAGCAGATGATGATAGAACTCCAGACCAGCATGAATGAGATTTTGCACCCAGAGTTCCTTGCGTTGCTGTGATTGTCTCCGTGTTGGCTTTGCCGCTTTTTTGGTTTATGCAGCGTAGACCTTGGCATTTTATGTTCAAGTTTTTCTTTTCCTTTTCTTTTCCTCTTCTATTTTTCTTGTAAATGGATTTGATGATTGCCAGCATTTCTTTTGGAGCATGGCATCTAAACATTTTATGTCAATTTTTTTTCCTTAAGCCAACACTTTTCTTTTTGGAGCATCACAGGTGAACACTTTATGTTCACATTCTTCTTTTTGTGCCGCCTACTTTTTGAGGCGGCAAAGGTGGTTGTTGAACATTTTATGTTCGAACTGTTTTTTTTTTTCTTTCTTTCTTTCTTTCTTTCTTCCTCCTCCTTTTGTGTTTGTATCTGTGTTCGTCCGTGTACTAGTAACTGTGTGATCTGATTGTTCGTTTGCCGGGTGTGGTTGTGATCAGGGTGTATATGAGTATGATCCCCAGCAAACTTGTCCGAATGAAGATCTTCTTTTGCGTCTTCATGGTTCGGATAGAGAGAAACAGTAGTAGTAAGTCAGATAGGCCATCTCCAATCGGTAGAGTAAAATACCTATTTGTAGAGTATGGAACCGTTTGTATTCGTTCGATGAACCTGTTGTATGTTTCTCTCTCTTCCAGATGAGCATGCCAGTAGTGGGATATCCCGTTTCGTGCATTGCTCGGCGACTTGGTGTTTTCCATGGGGTCGGTCATGGCCTGTTCCCAATTCGAGAGATTCGTTTACCTCCCGTTTGGGGCCAGTCCAATGTGAATTATGCAATCCACAGAGGAGGGCAGCCAGACGCTGTTTTTTTCCCCAATGTTCTTGGATGGTTCGTTCAAAGGGTTGGTAAGGGGGTCGCCGACAGCCTGCTCCCAATTCGTGAGATTCGTTTGCCTCACGTTTGGGGCCAGTCCTTTCGGAGGGCGAGCTGTGGCTTGTGACCCCCAAAGTTTTTGTGTGATTTCTTGAAAGTGTGTGTGTGTAAGGTCTTCCTTGATCGGTGAGTTGTTCGTCCAAGAGGCAGCCGTGGCTTGTTACCAATTCGAGAGATTCGTTTTCCTCCCGTTTGGTGCCGGTCCTTACGGAGGGCAGCCACGGCTGAATGTTGTCCAAGTCGCAAGGCGTGATGTTTCTTTCGCCTTGGTTTTGGGCTCCAGCGAAGTGTTTGATTCCTAGCTGGAGGTGGTGATGGACATCGGACCAGTATGGAAAGGGTTCCGCTCAACCCAAGATGAAGACGATGATCTGTGCTTGAGAGTTGGATCATGATTTGAGTTGTCTCCATCGAGGGTCTGGTCGAATCTGAGGTCGATGCCCACCACCGCGTGAAACTGGGAAAGGCGATGAAAATCTGGACTTGATCGCTTTTCGAAGATTCGTGAGAGTGTTCATGCTTGAATGCGTGAAGCTCGGAGATATTGCTGGGCGAAATGGATCGCAAAGAGATTGACAAAGATGGATCGTATGCGCAGCGACTTGAAGTTATTGAGTTTTGTCGCCGCGCCGTGCCCGTGGTAGCAATATCTCCGAGATGCGCCAAGAGACCAGGAGGACGTGATCATGATGAAGATGGATATTGATGTCCTCTGGTCTCTGGCGGCTCTGATGTGATGTTTGTGCCGCGAAATGGAGAGAGTGTGATGAAATATTCGAATGACTCTCCCATTTCGGGCAAGTCCCCGTTTTGTGTGCGTCGTGTCATGATGATTGGTTTTGACACACAGTTGAGAATCATCGCGCAGATGGATCGAGATTGGTGTATGTGATGTTCGAGTGCGCGATGATTCTCCGTGTTTGGGAGGATCAGAAAAAGGTGACTATCGATGATTGATGCAGTCTCTGATCACTCCCAAGTTCCCCGTTTGATGTTTGTGTTTGCGGGAGGATCAGAAAGCGAAAGGTAGCTTATGGTTCCGATCTCTCCCAAGTTCTCCGCTGTTGTGCGTCAAAGAGCAAAATGATAAGATAGTTGTGATGCTCTTTGACACACGTGTTTTCCCCAAAGTTGTGCGTCAAGGGCCTGAAAAGTGGTAGCTGGTTTGGCCCTCGACACAAGGGACACCGGAATCTTGTGTGGCTGCGGCAAAGTAGAGTAAGCCTGGTAGCGATAAATATGATTTGTGTCCCCGTTCGCTATCATGTGCAAGATTCCAATGTCCCAGGTCCCGGGAGCAAGATGATGGTCGGATCACAGCTGCATAAACTTGCGTCTGTGCAACTGCCATGTGGTATGGTTGAGTCTGGTCTGGTCTGGTCTGGTCTGATGTGGTCTGGTGTGGTGTGGTTTGTTTGAAGGAGTACTGTGTTTGGAGTAGTACTCGGCTCGAATGGAGTACCCCGTATGGAGATGGGCTCCAATCGAAGTGGTTGTTTGTTTGAAGGTCTAGCTGGAATAGTATCCAGCTGGAAGTTGTTTGTTTTTAGAACAATTTCGTCTGAAGTTGTCAGTTGAGTGATGGAGGATTCCATTCAAGTGGTAGTTGTTTGTTTGGTGAAGTCCTCCATGTGAAGTGATGGTTTGTTTGTTTGTTTGTTTGTTTGTGTAGAGAAACTGCTACGTTGACAGCAGTCCTTGTTGTGTGATCGAATTGTGACCGAACCAGACGTTGACCGAACCCAATGACCCTCCCATATCCTGCCCCCAAGACGTGTCGTTGCCAAATTATATGTTGTATATTTCGAATCGGCAACGACAAAGTTGCAGACAGGGAAGCAGAGCAGAGCTGAAGTTCGGCGTGAACAGCCGTCTCGAAAATGGTTGTGGTTGGTTTTCGCTCTGCTCCCCCGTCCGCGATGCTGACTGAATGTGTTTTTGTGCCGAGCACACGTCGTAAAGTGCGTAAAGATTGTCGACGTGGCTCGGCATCATTGCAAGCCGGAGTTTGCGAGCGAGATAAAGTAGACTGAAAATATATTTGTTCGCGTCGCTCCTCCGACTTGTCGCAATGATCCCCGAAATTTGACGTGTCCAAGATGTCGAACTGGTGTAGACTGTTGTCGACATTTTCGGACTCTCCTGGGAAAGGCGACTGGCGACTGATGATTGCTGTATTATGAAGAACCATCTGGGCCAAGTCTTAAGAACCGTGCCCTTCCCAAGAGACAAAAAAAATATATGGTTTCCATCATATTGTGTCATGGTGTTGACACATGGACAAAGCGATGGCAACAACAAAAAGAAGACTCAAACAAGAAGAGTGTCGTATAGATATATGTCGTCGTCCAAAAATCGCTTGTCCAAAAACAAAATATAAATAGCAATATGAGGCTCTCTCAATGGTCATAATGTAAAATGCCGTGTCAAATACATATCCTCACAATATGTACTCGACAAAAGGGCCAAAGGTAAGCAAAACGGTCGGCGGACGACTGAATGAGTGAAGTCGGATCCGCGTTCCAAGTCTCTGACAGAAGACATTTTTGCCCGGGTGCCCAAAAACCATGTCGAGAGAGCCCAAGCTCCGCTGCTTTTTCCCAGTCGCTTTTCGAATCTCGTCGTGTGTCCAAAATGAAGAATGTCCAGACACGGTTTGCGCTCAGCTCCCAAGAAATAACAAGAGGAGTGATTCGACCTGCGCAAAAAAACAAGATTCTCGCAAATGTCGGATATCCAAAGAAACCGGAACTCCAACAAGGCGAAAGCAAACAAGAAAAATAAAAAGCAGTCGTAGAGCTCGTAATTGCCGTATCATCATCGTATCATCATCGTTCATCGAACATTAAAAATTAAGATTAAAAATTAAAAATTAATCGTTCGGAAAAAAAGAAAAGAAAAAAAAAGGGAAAAGAGCAAAAGGATATGAGCCACCATGCTCATCCTTCATCGCTCGTCCGCGTTGCCCAAACGCTGGACTCCCCGCCGAGCCTCACTATCGCGGATCGCCTTCATAACGGCAGGCGATGCGATCATCACGGTGGCCGGTGCCTCGTCAGCGGCATCCGCTCCGCCATCGGCATCCTCTCCGGTACCCGCGGGGGACCGGAGGGACTGCGGAGATCGAAGCTGAGCATCTCTCTCCGCGGCCTCTGGCGAGCGAATCAGAGCCGAAGACTTCTCCGGGCGCCTCGCGTGGAAAATGGAAGCAGGTTGTTGTCGCCTCCTCATGACGTTGCGCAGGTCCCTCGCCAGGAGTTCTTCCTTCTGCTTCCTCACAGACTCTGGGTCGGGCGTCTTGACTGGCTGCGGCAACGGGGTCATGGGGGCGGGAGTCGCGGGCAGGATGGTGTTCCCACCGGGGAAGAAAAGCCCCCCTATCTTGATAGGCGCGACATCAACCTGAACCATTCGTTTTGGCTCCGGGGTCACAACAATCTCCGGAATGTTGGCCGGGGCCGGAGTCTCGGTCGCGGGTGGCTGCTCTTCAGCAACCTCCTCTCCAGGGGCCAGGGTGGCCTTGTCGTCGTCGGGGGACTCAGAACTGCCCACCTGGGGCTGGTCCTCTGGAGTTGGCTCTTGCGCCTCTGCGACTGGCTCCGGTCCGGGCACAACAGGGTCGGCTGGGGCTTGCTCCTCCGTTGAAGGTTCGTCAGCGGCGCCTTCGGTGGTAGGATTGCCCTCGCTCGTCCGGAAAAGGTCGTTGAGCGACCGGTTGGTGGCGCCAGCTTCTGCCATCTCTGGCGGGAATGCCCACAGGGGAGTGGGTTCGATCTGCTGGCGGAGATCGAAGAGATCGTTCAACGATAGATTGGTGGAAGTAGCACCACCGGGGATGTCGGCCATGCCTGGCGGGAACGCCCACAGAGGAGCGTCCTCGTTGTCAGAGGCAGGCGATGGCGACCGCGATGGGGACCGCGATAGGTTGCCGGGTGCTATTCCGAGCAGAGCGCAAATCATCTCCTCCTCGAGGGAAGATCCGGGGGAAATACCCGGCCGAATCTCCGCCTCTCGGCGAGGAGGCGTGAAAGGCCTCGACGGCGGCTGCGAAAACAAGTCGTCGTCGGACCAGGCGCTCTGCCCTCTCCAATCTTCTTCACCTTCTCCCGCAGAGGGCCATCGCGGGGGCGAGGCGCTCTGGGGCGAGTCCGGAACAGCATCCGGAACGATGTCGCCGACGTCGGGGGTTGGCTCTTCGGGTTGCGCGCTCTCGGTGACGGGGATCACCTCAAACGCGGGGGAAATTGACCCGTTGAGTTCCGTCGGGTTGCTGGTGGGAGGAACTGGCTCCTCCGGCTCTGTCATGTCCACGACAGTGACAGGCGGGATCGCCTCCTCCGGCTCGGCCATCTCCACGACAGTGGATAGGGGGGCCGGCTCCTCGGGCTCTGCCATGTCTACGACGACAGTGGCAGGGGGAATTGGCCCTTGGAGCACCACCATTGCGACATCTTCCTTGGGAGGCTGCTGCTCCATGGTGATATCGTTGCCGACATGCGAAGTAAGAGTCAACCGAGCCAAAGCTGCGGTCAGGAACTCTACCTCGGGGTCGGCCGTGGCGCCACTCAGGTCCAAGGAGGCCATTTCTTCGTCCAGGAAAGAATCCCGAAGGATGCCCATACCAAAGAAATCCGAGATTGGCGACTCCTGGATGGTGACTGAGTCGTCGTCGTCGAACGAGTCGAAAGGAGTAGGTCGGGCAAAAGCCACGTCCTCCATCACTTCGTCATCGTCGTAGGCGTCGGCGCCAGGGAACGAAACAACGGCGTCGTCGGGAACGGAGCTGAGGAATGACTCGTACGCCTCGAAATCGTCGTCATTCGCAAAGTCAGGCTCCATTCCGTCGGTGCCGGCGAGAAGGTTGTCGATCTCGCGATCGAGAAGGTCGGGGTCCATGCTGGCATACTCGTTCTCCAGGTACGGCAGCATGTCAGCGTCTGATGAGAGGCCCGTCTCAAAGTCGATCCCGTCCTACTGGGCCTCGACAAGGAGCTGGGCGCCCTCGACAACAGGCGACAAGTCAATACATCCGCGGGTTCCATCGTGGACGCCAGGTACCTGACCAGCAGGGGACCATGGCGCCACAACTTCCAATGGCAGGATGGGTACCGGTGAACTGGGGTTGCCAGATGGGGTAGATGGGGATACCAGCCGCAGTACCATGAGTTCGACGTCAGCCATCTCAACGTCGAATTCCACCTCATATGAGGCCTCGTTCTTCGTGGAACCTTCACCTTCCGCCTCAGATGAGACCTCGGGTTCCTCGGTTTGGGCTGAGTCGATGGTCATCAGCACGCCGTCACCTTCACCTTCCACCTCAAATGAGGCCTCGGGTTCCTCGGTGCGGTCTGTGTCGACGACCATGAGCATGCCGTCTCCTTCCACCTCGAAAGAGACTTCCAGTTCCTGGGCTGCTTGGGGTACCGCGGCGGTTGACGTGGCCTCGCCTTCCACCTCAGATGAGGCCTCGGGGTCGTTGGCTGGATCACGCACGGACAGCGAGCTTTCACCCTCCTCCTCTGATGAGGTCTTGGGTTCCTCAGCGCGGCCTTCACCTTCCTCCTCATGCGAGGTCTCCGGTTCCTCGGCCGAAAAGCCGTCTCCCTCCTTCGCGAAAGCAAATTCGGGTTCCTGGGCGTGGCTGTCCGTGCATAGCGGGCCTTCACCCTCCCCCTCAGATGAGGTCTTGGGTTCCTCGGCGGGGAAGCTTTCACCTTCCTCCTCATTCGAGAACTCGGGTTCCTGGGCCTCCAGGCTATCAATACACAGCGGGCCTTCACCCGCCTCTTCCGCAGAAGACTTGGGTTCCTCGGCCAAGCTTTCACCGTCCTCCCCTTGCGAGGTCTCGGGTTCCTGGGCTTTGCTGTCTTCGGCACCTTCCAGCAAGCCATTGCCTTCCGCCTCAAGTGAGACCTCGGGCTCTGGTGCCTTGGGTCCGGCTCCGACCAGACCTTCACCCTTGGACTCCTTCTGGCCCGCGGGTTCCTCGGTCTCCATTGGTTTGCTGGCAATCGTGGCGTCGTCGGCGACGTGATCCGACTCGGGAACAGTGGGCCAAGCAGAGGACTGGACCGCCGGGGCGGCAGCCTCCCTTGACTGAGGCACTGGTTCGCTGTCGAATGGTGTCGGCTTCGGATCGTTCAGCTGCTCAGCAGCGATCTTCGCTTGGGCCTTTGCTGCCCGGACCTCGGCCAGCTTCTGCCTGGCCCAGGCCCTGATTCGACGATTCTCCGCGAGATTCTCCTCGGCGTTGCCGCGTGCCCAGGAAACGGCCGGGCTTGCTAGAGGCCAACGAGAACTACTAGGCGGTGAGTACCTCAAATACTCATCGCGATGGTAGTTAAAGTCGGGAAACTGGCGGCGGAAAAGTCGATCGCCCCAAGACGCGGGCTCCATGGGCGAGTAGCATTTGACGACATGATCCGTAAGGTCGAATTCGAACTCCATGGCGTGATGGATTCGGCGGATCATGGCGTTGGCGACAAGACAAAGAACCTCCCTCAGGCCGGCCCAGATTGTCAAGACAATGAAGGGCAAGGCCGTCAGAAACCACGCGAGAAATGTGCAGTCAATCGCGAGATCGACTTCACGACGTAGGTCAGCGGTCGCCGACGCCCAAGGCTTCCAGTACCGGAGCAGCGAAAGCCAAGAGACGCCGGCGACGACAAAGTTCTCGCCCGGGGAAAATGCTACGACAAAGGACAGGTAGGCGAAGACCGTGGGCCATAGGGCAATGGCCACTTTCGAAAGCACCCACACAAGAAAGAGGAAGGCCCATAAGGGCAGGAAGAGGGAGATATCACCAAGTGTGGCGCGCTTGGGATAGGGAACGAGGGTAAAGATGGTTGAGAACTGCATCTTGTCTGTCAGGGGTGTGAGGTCGTTCGTTGGTGTGTGCGTTGGTGCTTTGTTGATGATGATGGTGGTGATGATGATGATGATGGAAACTGGAGAAAGAGAGAGAAGAGAGGGAAGAGAAGAGCTGGGGGGCGGGGGACTTTATTGTTTTCTGGCCAGGCAGCCGTGCGCACATGATCTCGCTTCTTTCTAGCCAATTGAGAGCGTTTCTGAGAATTTCACCTTGATTTCGTGTGTGGGAGTGTTCGCCAGCTGGCGAGTCGATAGGGCAGAAGCAGGGCATGGCCTCACTTTTTTCTCACTTCGGAGCCCTATTGACAGGTGCCAGCCCTGAGGTTGAGTCGCCCACATCAAGATTAATCGAATTGACGGCCGTAAAGAGTGCTTGCGTCACGCGTTTGTCGGTGGTGGTGAAATTCCATATGGGATCGCGATGGCACGGCTCCCCTCGAGGCTTGGTGTTTTGGTCCTCCACGACGACACTTCAGGCTGCTCAGCACCACCACAGCTAAAGTAAATAACGAGAGAGATTGATGCCAACTACTTACCTATATTCTTATATAAAATTACTCCGCATTTGCTATTTCTGTTTGATATTTGCCGCAATCTTTCACAGTGTTCCATGTGATGCCGTCCAATCGTATCGTCCAAAGCAGCGACATGTCGTTGAATCAAGCTCGCACCCGTGTCACTGCCCCCACTGCCCTAAGTCAGCCAGCTCCTGTCGCGCAGCTACAAGCTCCCGCTATTGGCCAGCCGCTAACTGACTTTGTACATCCAGGACAGGGGTCGCAGTGAGGGGCAGCGCGCCTGCCGCTGCTAGTCTGTGCTTTGTTCTCCGCCAGCTGCAGCTCCTCCTGACAGCCACCAGCACCACCAGCCTTATGCGCCAAAAAAAGAAGACGAGACACAGAATAATCATAGGGCTGTCACCGGCGACTGACAATTGACAAACTCTTCAACTGGCTGACCTTGACCTCACTTCTTTATACCCGCTGCCGCTTGCTTCCACGACCTCAGTCACGCCCTCCAGCTCAGGTTTGATTCACCGCCGCCGCCTGTCATGGAAGAATCATCACCATCTGCCGCCGCGGCTGTCCGTCCGCTGCGCATCGTCGCCGTCGCGTCCTTCGTCCCGTCCTTTGCCCTAAGCATTGCCCATGGAGTCCTGTCGCATAAGGCCGTTCCAGCTGTTGGCCTGGTGCCCCAAGCCGTCTCTGTCGCCACCTCGATCGCGCTTCTCCGCTCCAGCGCCAGCGCCAACCCCAGCGGCCAAGGCGCCGAGCCCGACGTCGAGTCCATCGACTCTGCCGGCAGCAACAGCAGCGCCTTTTCTGTCCGCGCCTTTCTCACGCATCCCATCACCGTCTTTGTCCACGATGTCATTCTTGCTACCTCCCTCATGGTCGTCCTCGTCTTCACCTGGACCCATCACGGCCACTCGGCCTCGCTCAGTATGCTGGCTGCTTATGCTACGCTGCCTATCTTGACGAGCTTGTAAGTACATGTGCCGCTTCCCCCCACACCCCTCTGAAGAGCTGGATGGATGTGTGGTCCCTGCTCCAAAGACTTCCGTATCTGGCTCCTTGCATGCCGGTGGCTGAAGAATTAATTAACATGCTCCATGCAGCTTCTGCCACCTCTTCGCCGCGGCCCTGGCCGTCTACCAAGGGCTCGCTATTCACGGCCTCTTACAGTGGGTTGCCTGGCAGATTCTTCCTCCGAGTTGTCCCAACTGCGAGCACCACTTGCGACCCACGTCACTGCCCGAGATCCCCTGGTTCCAGAACATTAAGAGTTTGAACTTGGGTCTAAGATTTCCGTGGCGTCGTAGTGATGACGCGCCATTGCTCGCCCCGTTGCTGGCAGAAGACGACCCTGAGCGCTATCGCGACGACCCCGAAGACGACCAGACCACGCCGCAGCCCGAGGCGGTCGAGGTGCGACCGAAGAGGACTCGTAAGACCAAAGCCACTCCCGCACCATCTGACGAAGCCTCGGAGACCGACCAGCCTGGGGACTCGTCTATGAGAGATGACTAACCGAGGCCAAGGACAACTGTTTTGATACCATCAAAAGCTTTGCTTTGCACTTAAACCTGCTCTCAAGACTGTGATGAATATCTTCCCGGTGTCGCTGTCATGTCATTGCGTCTGCATCTACGTCTACGCTTCACATATCTTTTTATCACACGCGTGTATTTCTTTCTGACAGGGAACCCTCTTGGAGTACAATTCGTTTGAAGGAGTCATTATTATCTCAACGTATCATTAGACTGGCCACAGTCATTACATCATTAGACCGTCGTCCTTTGCTTATAAATACATGATATCCGCTCCTTTGCCTGAGCTGCATTTTATTACACTTCAGTTTCGACTCCGGCTTCCTTGCTCTTGTGATCGAGCATGCCGCTAACACTGCTTTCAACCTTGTCCACTTGATGCTTCATCCATTTCGCCGTCCGAGGCGCCTACACCAGCAGTTAGCTTTCTGTTCCTCGTAGCCTATATGTAAAGTCTCTTACCTTCCACTGCATAAGGCCTCGATGCTGTCTGTGCAGGGATTTGTCTCTCCGCTTGTAGTCTCGTACTTGGTCAATGGGACCCTGCTTATGCCCGGGACTGCCATCTGGGACATATTCGTCCTCATCGGAGCTATCGCTGTCACTCGAAATTTCCTCGTCCACAATCCCCGCGGCCTTTTCCATCTCATCGTCCCTGAGATTGTCTCTTGCAGCATCGATGACTTCGACCACCTCTCGGAGCTGCTCGCTACTGTTGGCCCATTTTGAATGCGCAGCGCCCTGTAAAGAGATGTCAGTGGAATTCTGTCCTCATTGTCTTTAGTAGTACGGAGTGTCCAGGGTGAGTCAACTTACCATGCCTGGATAGAATGTGACCTTGAGCTTGAGAGTCCCGATCCTTTCGCCACATTGGTCCAAGCAGCACGATGTAGCTCTGTTGAAATCGCCTTTCCAGATTGGCAGCTCCAGTGCCGTTTCTTCTCCGTCCGGAATGTCTTTCAGCCAGCAGACGCTAAAAGCCACAATTTCCTTGCCCAAAAGTTTCTTGTCCTTGAAAGCAATAGACAAGCAGCTGGCGTACCTGGTCTGCACGGCAAGATTGATAGGCCGCTCTTTGCTCGCAGCCCACGTCGCCTCATCGGATCCTCGAGAGTACATCTTGGCGGAGCTGATGTCGGTTTTCAGCTTCAGTTTCGCATGTCGCAGATCTTCTGGGCAGTCTGAACTCGTTACGACGGGCTGCACGTTGACGGTGCCATACTGCCAGCCGAGGAGACTGCGTGGAGCCTGAAGCTGGACGCTGCGCCAGACCATGGACAGTCGAATCTTTCCATAGCCGATGCCTCCAGAAATGGGCCAGAATCCGTTCCTCTGCGAGCGATTCTTGAACACCTCGCGTAGAGGTAGATGGACGATGCCCAGTAACGGGTCATCCTCGTGCAGCCTAGCATCTCTCACAGCGACGTAGACTTCGCAGGACTTCCAGTCTCGAATGAAGCGCTCGCAGCTTGCATTGAAGAAGGGCTTTGTGTTTTGGGGCTTGGTTCGCGTTCTGTAGGTCTTCTTATGATTGATGATGACAGTGCAATATGCGCTCGGGAGACCCTCCCCAGCCTCTTCGTCGCTCGCATTTCCATCCTTGTCGTTCGGATCCTTACTCAACTTCTGAACTTCGAGCCCGGTGATGTTGTGAATTTGCAAGCTAAAGATGCCGCTTGGATAGTCGTCTGGCGGCGGTGCCGAAATGATCATTGCGTCTTGTTCCGACTTCATCTCCTGCGTCTTCATCTGCTCCAGCTCTCCATTATCGTGATCCGTCGATGACTCTTTCAGCATGGCTTCTCGGAGCTTCCGGTCGCAGCTCTTGCTGACCTTTTCTTCGAGCTGCTCCATTGATCGAATCTCCGGGTCATGAGTCTGCTGCTCGAATTGGCATTTTTGGATCCTTGCTTTTGAGAAATAGCCAACGCTCCATTCGAGCTTCCCGGGCATATCCTCGCCAGATTTGAGTGCTCGGAAGCCATCTGTACGATGCCACATGCGCCCGTTGGCCTCATCCCTTTGCATCAGCTCTTTGAGATCCACCTCAATCCGCCCAAGGTCGTCATCCGCCGTGAACCGGTCAGAGTCCCAAAGCTGAATGCGCAGTCGTTCGTCAATGTTGAGTTCTTCGGGGGTGACCAACACAAAGCACGTCTCGTTCCAATACGGTTCCATTTCGGCCTGTAGAATGCGCGTGCTCCAGATGACCTTGCCAAACTTCGCCCATCCAACGGACACGTATGGATCTGATGCGGAATCTTTGACAAGTGGCATGCCAGAATCTCCCATCTTGAATTCGTATCCACGCTTGATGTGAACCATGATAACACCCTTTGCGTACGTGTCCTTCTTGAAATCATCGCCAGCAATCAATTCCTTGAGATTCAATGTGAGACTCTTGGGTGCGACATATTGGGCCATTGCCGCATCGACAGCTGACTGCACGAAATTGCTGATGAAAGGCACGTCCATGATGTTCAGTCCATGCTTATTCAGAGGAACACAGCTCAAGTCGATTTTTGGTTGGCCGAGGAGTGTCAGGGTACACAGGTCGAAGAAGGGAGGATCAGGGGTCAGCTGAAGACGCAGCCTCACGGTGCCAACTGCGCCTTGCAAATCAACCCAAACGGGAACCTTGATATTTCCAGGAAGGTAAAAGGCCAAGTAGAGGTGCATATCTTTGCTTCGCTCCTTGAAGGACTTGCTGGTAGACCGTGTCCTGTAGGCGAAGGCAACCTCCAGGTTGATGAAGTCGCCTTCCTCCGCCTCCATGCCCCGTGAAACGGATTGATCGCTTTCGCTATCCGCATCATCTTCCTCTCCAAGGCTCGTATTGCTGCGTTTCTTTTGTTCTTGATCGGACATGACCTTGCCGTCCTCGCTTACGGCCTGTGCAGCTGCTCCAGTAGGCAACCATCGAATCCCAAGGATACGCATCGATTCGCTGCCTTGCCCTATGTCCTCGACACTGACCATGCGCACCATTTTCGGCAAAGAAGCCTGCATGACATCCTCCAGCATATCTGCCAGACTGGAGAATAGATCGGGGTTGATGAGCGGCCACACGGAGCTGAGCAAGGAGTTGAGCCACAGAGTCGTCTCTCTTTCGTGTTTATTGGCCTGCTTCTCCATCTGCCGACGCTGCGAGCGCCAGATCTCGTCCTGGATGGCGTCGTCGACTTTCTTCGCTGTCCAGTCTCTTACACCGAGTATCAGGACACAGAATGCGCCTGCGCCCGCAGCAACCAGGGCAAGCCACGGTAACGTCCTTTTAGCGGCAGACTTCCATCCTTGATCTTGATGGGCGTCTATGAGCATCACCTCGCGAATCATGCAGGTCACCACGAAGATGCCGCATGCACCAGCCAGTGAAATCACAAATCCGTGGCTGCTTGCGCGACCGACTTCCTGGCGCAGGAGATCGAGATCGGGCGGCGGGAACTGGTCCATCAACGCCTGATGCTTCTCTTGCGAATGGCCTTGCTCTTTGCGAAGTTCGGTCTCCGACTTGTCCTTTTCTTCGAAGCCCGAGGTTTTCTTGGACTGTTCAAACGGATCCTCGTTCACGTCCAATTCTTTCAGAGCACTGTCTGTGAAGTCGTGTATCTTTACAGACAGATGAGTTACCGGATCTGTAACCTCACGCTCTGCCCTTTCTTTCTCTGATTTTTTCTTCTTTAATTTTTGTGGATTGAGTGCTTCGGGGTCGACTTCCGAGGTGTCCTGTATAGGGTTGTCGCTCTCTGACTGAGAAGCTTCCGGTTCGTCATCCTGACTTCGATCGCCCCCGATTTCTTCCTGGGAAGGCTGCTCTTCATGGATGGCATCTGCATTGTTGTTGTTGTCTAGGGCATTCTGCTGCCTCTCCTCTTTCTCCTCCTTGTACTTTCCAATGGTCGGGATCGGGTGTCGTTCGCTGTAGGGAGTTTCATAGTGCCGGGCATGTTCGACATCTTCCTTGCCAGCCATGGTGACGCTTGGGAGTTGATCAAACCACGTGTGTGCACATTGAACGGAAATCAATGAAAGACGGCAATCATTTCACCAAGTTGTTCAATCAAAGATGTTTTATAGCAATCGAGATTCCTATGTAGTAACTGGTCTCACTTGCCCAGTTTCTTGATGACGGCACTGCGATGGCCATCGTTCGATCCGAGCTTGGGATTATCACAACTACGTCATGCGCATCCAAACACGGGCAACCCCACACGGCAGCACGGTGTTGAACTGGGCAAGTGCGCTGTGGCATCGCATTCATTACGTTGGCCGCGCTGCTCAGTGGCCACTGCCGAGACAACCAGAAAAAGACAGCGAACGGCGATTGGCCTTTAAGCGACGTTTTGCTGGCAACGGAACGTCATAACATTCATGCGCTGCTTCACTGCCAGGCCGCACGGCTGCATTCACCCATAGCAAAATCCGGCCAAGATCCTCCGTGTGGTACGAGGAGCAATTGGGAAGGGAGCAGCGCCAAGTCACTGCGGAGAGCACCAAAACAAGCACCAACCGCCACTTGTCGCCCCTACGAAGGAACTGCACCCGGCAAAGGCCATTGATGGCATGCCCTAACCCGCCTGATTTGCATGCTCGTCGTCCGCCAAAGGAGGCCATTTTCGCCCAGTGCCGATGCTGCCCTGATCGTCGTCGAATCGACAGGCGCCCCTACTCGAACAGTATCAGCGTTGTGGACCGGTTGGAACCCGCTGGACTAGTTGCAGATTTGAGGGTGTCGGGGTGGTCCAGGAGCTTGTCGCTTGTCTTGCTTGTTCAGTCGACGTCGAATGGGTTCCAACGAGCATCGGGCCGTGTTTTGCTTTCTGCCGCACGAAGACGTGACGCTTCTCGAGCTTCCATTCTCTTACACGCTATATCCGGTTTTGTGCCCTCCGTGTTCGGGTTTCTCATCAAGAGCAGAGCTGCCTGAGTTGTGGCCTGCACTCGTAGCAATTCGCAGCATTTCGGCGGTCGAGACGTCTGGGGAAAAGGTTGGTGGCTCAAGATTCGCAAAACAGAGAAACAAATCAATTTAAAGGATGCGAAATGCATCGTTTTATAGCCAAACTGCTGGATCCAGCCACGTGAGAGAAGTGCAGTTTCGCGAAGAAAAAATCGTACGATTCTTTCATCATAGCATGAATGTTTCCCTCAGATGTCTCGATGCTACGTCTGCCATTGCAAACAAGCCGCCTCTCATGCCGGCCAGGCCCTGCAGGGACCAAAACACCAACAACACAGGGGCTACCAAAGGGCTCGGATGGATGGGGCCGCAGGAGCTGGGCTAAGATATCTACGGGGTCGAAAGAGGACAAGGCCGGAGCGAAGCCATACCCAAAACTCCTTCGTTCAGGTCCCGTGCGTGAAAGTGACAGGGCGTCTATCTATCACGACCGCTAATGTTTTAGGTTGCTATTGCTGCTCGTTTCAGTTGAAGGTAAGGTATTACTAACAAGATTAATATTTGGTGAAGACCACCATCTCCAGCAAGACGAGGCGAAGACTGGCAAGGAGGGAAAGAAATCCAGCAGAACCTGGCTAGAATCTTCCATTAGAAGCCAGTCGCAGTCAATGCTGTGTTGGACCATACAGGAGGAAGATCTCCAAGTATGTTGGCTAGTATATTAACGGAGTAATATATTGCTTGTGAGGAAGAGGGACGAGATGCTGGGAGCCGCCAACCTGGGCCACACCAAACAGACGGATGCGTAGCCACATTCAGGATTTCCTTGATTGGGAGGATTTTGATAGGTAGATGAGAATACGGCTAGATTGATCCGTAATACTCAATACCAAATGCGGAAGCCAGCCACCAATGATCCTCGAGACCCTGCCCATATCGTCAACCAACAGCCGGGAGTTTATTCGCCAAATCAAGCTTAATAATTGCGGATGGACGGCCTTGGCGAGAATCCCATCGACTGATTAAGAGGCGCTGCCGTTACAGCATGGACACATGGTTCGATTTGACAGCTCCGTCATCCGTCCAACAGCCGACATCATCAGATAGGCTGTTTGATGTTGGGCCAAGGTCGCAGATCGAGTGCTGCGAAGCAAGCCAGCCTCGTGGCACGTCCCTTGAGCACAGAGTGCTTGCACACCAGACGAGCCGGGGGTCGCGCGAGCCTTTTAGCAGTCCGTCACCGTGCAGCTTGGCTCAGGGGACACAAATCGATTATCTTGTTGGCCAGCCATCTTGCGTTTTAAGCGCCGAGCCCAGGGCCCGTTGCCCCATTGGGCCTGGCACCGCGCCTTGCCGGACCCTGGCGCTCTGCGACAGACCAGTCACAGCGCATCTGGGGCCTCCACGACAGATGCGAGGACGCAGGTGGTCGGCGGCTTCGATGTGATGGCTGATGTTTTCGACGGCTCGTCCAGCTATTTATGGGATTCCCAGCAGCAGCTCGAGGCATGGCAGCATCCCAGGAGCGGGGGAAACCTGGATGGCGGGCATCTAGGGCCTGCAGGTGACGTGAAGTCAGCGTCCAATCCAGGTACAGCTTGGGCATCGTGCGTGGTGTTTCTTTGACCGGCCTGCATCTTGACCTAATACATACTTGTACCACCGGGGCCGCCCATTCTGTCCTGATTCTTGCACCTCCTCCGCCTCTGTTGCATCTGCAATCTCCAGAGCATCTCTTTCGTCAGATTACCCGGGCTCTTCTGTTGAAACATTGCAGAATAGGCTCGTCTCGAACGCTCAAACACACACGCCCCCAGCAGCCACTCCCCTGGGCGCCGCCCCAAAAAGCCCCCCTGAACCAGCGCCCGAAACGCCGCTACAGCAGCCCTCGGCCAGCTCTCTCACACTCGCCGTCGCACAATCCGCACGACAGTCTCACTTTTGCGCCGCAGTTCTTCGTTGTCGACTCCTCTCACCACCAAAATTTGCAGTGTTGGTACCTCGTCCCTGGCCTGGCGTCTGCTGCAGCGCTGGAGGCTGCCGGCCCGCGAACCCTCGCTGCGTCGTTAGGCGGATCTCTTCACTGCTACAGGGGCCTAGAGTTTCAAGCTACAGGGAACCTCTACATCCGAACAGCCTTGGAACCTTGGAGGGAAAGAACTTGGAGCCCATCAGTTCGGATCATTCCACCCTCCGCGACCAGGCGCCGTCTTTATCACCGCCTGACTCCCATATTCTTGGCTTCTTCTCTTCCCTTCTCCCTTCAGCTGTCAGGCGGGCCGAAAAAAAGCAGCCATTTTCTTTTTCATTTCTCTTCTGTGGACGTCCTTCAATCCTCTGCTGGCTCAGGTCATTCTTTTGCTTGTATTATCTTAATCACCACCTTCGTTTCCCAGCGACTCCGATTTTGGCTCGACCATTTCTTGTTTCTCTTCTTCCTTGAACGTCCAACTCGAGGTGGATCTAAAGCCGACATATCAGAGCTTGAGGATTGGTGATCTTGGAAAAGTAAAAGGAGGACAGCATTTTGTTTGGAGCCAGAGGATTGCTTGCATAATCTCAAGGGCGTCTCGTCTTAATATTCCAGCACTGTCGCGGGCGACACTTATCATTTTCAGGGCTTCAACTATCAAGAGGAGGAATTCCGAACCCGAAACCACCCCAAGATGGCCGGCCAACTTGGATACGGTGAACTGATCCGCAAGCAGTTCACCGCCCAAAAGCTCTTTTTTCACTTTCTGTTCTGGACATTTCATTTTGGCATTTTTGCTTATGGATGGTGAGCTTGTCTTATACACCGAGCGAACGATTCCGCTTCGGCTTGAGGCAGGGAAAGCAGTCTTGATACTAACATTATCGCCAGGTACAAACAGGCTGCCGATCCGAGACTGGCGGGTCTGAACACACTCAAGTACTCAGTATGGATCTCACGAGGTGCCGGTCTGGTGCTCAGCGTCGACTGCATGCTCATCCTGCTGCCCGTCTGCCGAACTATTATGCGCTGGATTCGACCCAAGATTCGCTTCCTGCCCCTCGATGAGAATCTGTGGATGCATCGCCAGCTTGCCTACTCGATGCTGTTCTTCGCCATCTGCCACACGTCTGCCCACTATGTCAACTTCTACAACGTCGAGAAGAACCAGATCCGCCCCGTCACCGCCCTGCAGATTCACTACGTGCAGCCCGGCGGCATCACTGGCCACGTTATGCTCCTCTGCATGCTGCTCATGTATACCACTGCTCATGCCCGAATCCGTCAGCAATCCTTCGAGACCTTCTGGTACACGCATCATTTGTTCATCCCCTTCTTCCTCGCGCTCTACACCCATACCGTTGGTTGCTTCGTCCGCGATACAGCCGACGGCTTCTCGCCATTCGCCGGTGAGCAGTACTGGTCGCACTGCATTGGTTATCTCGGATGGCGTTGGGAGCTTTTCACCGGAGGCTTCTACTTGATTGAGCGTCTGTATCGCGAGGTTCGTGCCCGCCGCGAGACCAGAATCACTCGTGTCATCCGCCACCCCTATGACGTTGTCGAGATCCAGTTCAACAAACCTTCCTTCAAGTACAAGGCCGGCCAGTGGTTGTTCCTCCAGGTGCCCTCCATCTCAAAGTACCAGTGGCACCCTTTCACCATCACGTCGTGCCCTTTTGACCCCTATGTCTCCGTCCACGTCCGTCAGGTTGGTGACTTCACCAAGCAGCTGGGTGACGCTCTTGGTGCTGGTGCCGCTCAAGCCAAGTTTTACGACGGCGTCGACCCCATGGGTATGTACGAGGTCGCTCTGCAAAACGGCCAGCAGATGCCTGCTCTGCGCATCGACGGCCCCTACGGAGCTCCGGCCGAAGACGTGTTTGAGAACGAAATTGCCGTCCTCATCGGAACTGGTATCGGCGTCACTCCCTGGGCGTCTATCCTGAAGAACATCTGGCATCTCCGCAACTCTCCCAACCCTCCTACTCGTCTTCGCCGTGTTGAGTTTATCTGGGTGTGCAAGGATACTGGCTCTTTTGAATGGTTCCAGACGCTTCTGTCTTCTCTGGAGGAACAGTCCAACGAAGCTGCTCGTGTCCCTGGCAGCTCCGGCGTTGAATTCCTCAAGATCCACACCTATCTTACCCAGAGGCTGGATATGGACACTGCCCAGAACATTGTGCTGAACAGTGTCGGTGCCGATATGGATCCCCTTACTGAGCTCAAGTCACGGACCCAGTTCGGCCGACCCAACTTCTCCCGCCTGTTCAGGACTATGCGTGATGGAATCCTCGACAGGACATATCTCGGCGGTTTGGAGGGAAGCACGAAGACGACTGTTGGTGTCTACTTCTGCGGCCCTTCTGTTGCAGGTAAGCTTTCATGGTCTCTAGTACATTGCTCTTGAAGACCCTTTGCGCTAACATCACCTTTCTCTCCCTCTCTAGCTCGTGACATTAAGACTGCTTGCAAGGCTGCTACGGCACGCGAAGTCGAGTTCCGCTTCTGGAAGGAGCACTTTTAATCTACGAAACCACAGAAATCTTACCGAATTTCCTCTATATACCAGACAATACCAAGTTTCTTTTTTGTTCTTCCCCTGTTTCATATTCAAAGGATTGACGTCAAGTTTGATGGTACTGTGAACCCTGTAGGAGTTCAAGTCTATGGGAGCGCGAATAGCCACTTTCAGTCTATCAGTCGAAAGGGGGCAGCAGCAGCATGGGTTTGCGGACGGCCAGTTGCATTTTGTTGAAATTCAGACATGTGTTCTCATGACGAATTGCTTTTAATAACAGAGCCTCAAAGGCTGACTTTATGCCTCTCAATGTTTCATCTCTACACCAACAAGGATTTTGTGTTCAATGTGTGCACAAACCTTTCATATGACAATGCATTGAACAGATGCCACAACAATGAAAGAACCACACCCATTTGGTTATTGATACAACACATCTCTTGACAAGGGAAAGCATCTGCACGTGAAAGGCACTGTCTTCAGAAAGTTGCCAACAGACCCTAAGGATTCACAGCATAAGTAGATGCAGACTGACCGCTAGTCTGACATGTCACCGAGCATCACCACATCTATAAGGGGATTCGCCTGCATCTGAACCCCCTTCTTCCCTTGCTTTCATCGCAACCTGTACAGCCTCCCGCAGGACCTGAGCCTAGGACTTCTTCCATGATGCCAACCAGCCAGAGATCCAGACGACACAACAGCAGTCTCTCCGCAAAAATGCCTCATCAACTCCCCCCAACCCAGCGTAAACTCCCCTTCTCCTCGCTCCTAGAAAGCATCCCCGACGAAAGCCACGAAAAGACGTTCGCGATGCTTCATGCCGAAATCACCAATTTCATCAAAAAAGGCATCGGCAAGAGGGTTGCCAGCACAAGCAAATCGCTATGGACGTTGAAGCACCCTGCAGAGTTCCTGAGCCTTGCGACCACGGTCGCTCGACCGGGTGCTGACGGAAACTGGGAGAAGCTGCTTTGGTCGCGATCGTATCGATGTGCTCTTTTGACGGGCGTGGTGATGATGCTTCTTGAGAAACACGTCTTTTCGGATCTTTTGTTTGGGGCTGGGCTGGAGCAGGCGGAGGTGCTGCGGATGGAGGACAGTTCCATGCTTAACGTTGAAGGTAAGTGAAAAAGCAATGGGGATACTCCTGGTGATTTCGAGCTCTCTGTTCTTAAAAGGCCTTTCGCTAACAATGAATGTGCGAAACATGCAGGCTTCCGACGTACGGGCCTTCGTGCAGACACCAACCGAGTCTACCTCGAAGCTACAGGCGGCATCCCTCCCCTCTTCTGGAAACGCGTAGACAGCGTCACTGCTCAAATCACGGAACTCCTGTCACCTCTCTCCGCAGCCGTTGGAGGAGAGATCGTGTCGTCATCCTCGTATCAAGCCCTGCATGACATTGTTGCACTTGCAGGTTGGCTCAACATCGCGATGCGAGTTTCTCCCAAGATTACGACTTTCGAATGGGTCAAGCCCGGCGAGGCATACCGACACGGCTTTCTCTCCATCGGAGAGGACAAACAGACGAGCACAGTCTCCTCGGAGAGCCATCATCGAGTCCGCGCCCGCGTCATGATCTCTACGACACCGAAAATCACGCGATACGTGCGCTCCAGCAAGGGCTTCTTCTGGGGCACGGAGACGTACGAGGTGATGAAGCCGCATGTGTTCACATACACGGGGTACTTCAGGGACTGGGAGGACAGCGCCGGTGGTGCGCTGCAGGGTCACGTCCGCAGCAGGCTGTTTTCGTCTCCGATTCGGCTTTTGGCCCTGCTGGTGAATGTTGTGCGACTGCTGGCGTTGGTTTGTCTCGTGGGCGTGTTGGCATTGATGGTGTTTGGGGCTTGGCATTGCGTGCCTGGGACGTATCGCGAGATGATGCTTTTGCCGATTCGACTGTCCTTTCGGGGCTTGAAGTGGTGGCTGGGTGTGATTGCTCGACATGGGGAGGTGAATACGCGGTATAATGTTGTGAATACAGGTTGGTCTTGGACGGGGTAAGGGCTTATATCTGAGTCGGTCGTTTTCATTTATCTAGCAGCAGCGTGGACTGTACGCGAGTCTGGGAGGGAAAGGTAGGTGGCGTTTGGTGTTGTTGATGCCTTGGTAAGTGAGCACGCTGGTCATTTTGTCGCCAGGAGCATGGAGTTCTAAACGCTTTCAAATAATACTTTGCGCTGATTTAATGGATTTTCTTGCCGATTATTTCAAGGGGAAGGTGTTTGTCGCAGCTGCCATGTGAATGTTCACGGTGTTCAGCGTGACAAGATCACCAAGGTCAAAGACTTCAAGTTGTTTTTACCCCAGTCTCTATCCACCCTGAGTAGGTACCATGTCCTGGACTTCTCTTCACTCCAGCATCGATAATCCATTAAGTCGGCATCCGGTGATGTATTTTTGCTCCTTCTGATTATTATCTCCTTTGCTTTCTTTACAAGATTGATTAATTTGAAGTGTCGGAGGCAGGCTGCAGGGTAGGCTACTATGGAACTTGAAGGTGAGGCAATCTGTTAATGTGAGACATCCTGATACATATTGTGTCAAGTGTCAATATACGATTCAAGCAAAATGACCATATAATCAGTTGATTGAGGCAGTCGCTCCGGCGGTATGCTGATCAATGAGGAGAAATTGAGCTTCCCCATGCCACGCGCCTACTCCATCACTTGTTGCTTGCGACTGTCAACACCTCGAACGACTCCCTTCAGAATTACAGTCACATCTCAACTGTGATATCTCAGCCGCGAACTCAGCCGTAAAATCAGCCGCAAACTTGGCATCAATGTGTAGGCTTTGTTACGTGATGTGGTCATGGATCAGTGACGTGAGATAGTTGGCTGCATGCTATGACCAATGTCATGTATTGTCTTTGGAGATATTACCATACCACACAGCATGTGATGTCTCACGTAGACAAGTGTTGGAGACAGGTAAGTAGTAGAACAATTGTTGGTGCCTCCGCCCATGTCCCGCGTGTGTAGGTAAGAAATCGTCAAAGATTGCGAAGGCTCTCTTATTATGACCTGCCCATTTATACGTCACACTAAAGTATCTCATGTTTACACTACCGATTCTAGAACACAGCGCTCCCATCAATGCCGCAAAACTTCTAGTCTATAGCTGTGGCTACATTTCTCTTTGACAAGTTTGACAAGCCGTCACAGACCACATCACATCATAATGAGATGCGAGGCTTGGTCTATAGACGGAGACGGCGCTACGCCTTGTCGTCTCACCCAATCATTCTGACAAGCTAGACTGCCATCAGACCTCAATCAGTTACAACAATTCACAATTCGGGGGCCATGCCTCAGTCATGCAGAGGAGGTTAGTCGATACTGATCCATCATATTTGTTCAGGGTCTAGTAGTATCTCGAGTATAGTAAGACTCCAGACAGCCGCAACTCCAGCGTATCTCGAGTACCGACACGAAGCACCCTCTACCTCGTATAGAACTCGTAGACAAAGGCATGGCAACTGTGATAATAGTCCACCAGTCAAAGAAAGAAAACCTCATAACGTTAATGAGGCATTACTAAGTCTTCGAGGTCCGGCTGCCGGTCCGGTCTCCCAGTCTCGGGCGTCCGTGTTCGGAGCGTTGGACAAGATGAGTGGGGCCTCAGCCCCCACTCCCCACGAATAAGGCGCGGGCATTTGGCGATGCTGCGATTGGATAATGTGCACGGCGCCCTTCTTGCCTTGCAGGCCATCGACGTCGTTGTGTGACTCAAAACTTTTTCGACTCTTGCCCGCCGATCAAATCCATTTATACGTCGTCTCCTGTCCGCTCTCTCGCTGTCTTTTGGCGAGACAAGTTGTCTTTCTCTGTCGCAATTGGCACGGCAGCTCGTCCTGAATCGTTCGCACCAAAGATTCCCACCCCGCACCAACTGGGTCGTTTCCACGAGGCCGACGACGTCCCGCCGCTAAGATGCCCATGTACGTCTGAATGTTGCGCTCTTCAGCCATCAATCTGGCGAGTAATTCGAACAATTGCAGGTCGACTAACGTTCTCGTGCCTCGTCTACAGCCTCAAGGAGCCGTGGAAGAAGTACAAGCCCTTCAAGGCAAGCTTTACGTCCCTGCGCTCGCCGCTTTGACCCTCGACTAACCTGGTCTAGCCGTTGCATCTGCCAAACCGGCAATGGCCCGACAAGGTCATCGAGAAGGCCCCTCGCTGGCTGTCGTATGTCGCCCAATAGATCTACAATTTCAACGCACGAGGTGTTGCTAATACTGGCTGAAGCTCTTGTCTGCGTGATGGCAACCAGAGTCTGCCCGACCCGATGGTACGTTTTCCAAGTGTTTCAGTTACAAGAGCTGGCATCCCTACCTGTGTCTCGGAACTGACGTGTGCTGGTCAAACAAACAGAACGGCGAGGAGAAGTGGCGCTACTTCAAGATGCTGTGCGCCCTCGGCTACAAAGAGATTGAGGTCTCTTTCCCCTCCGCGTCTCAAATCGACTTCGACTTCACCCGCCGCCTGATCGAGACCCCCGGAGCCGTGCCGGACGATGTCTTCCTGCAGGTTCTCTCCCCGTGCCGACCCGACCTCATCCGCAGGACTGTAGAGTCAGTTCGCGGCGCGAAGAACGCAATCATCCACATCTACCTTGCGACAAGCGAGTGCTTCCGGCAGGTCGTCTTCGGCTACACGGAGGAGCAAACCCTGGAGCTTGCCGTGGAGTGCACCAAGCTGGTCAGGTCTCTGACCAAGGACGACCCCACAACTGCTGGAACCAACTGGCAGTTCGAGTTCTCGCCCGAATGCTTCTCCGACACAGACCCTGACTATGCCCTGAGAGTGTGCCGCGCTGTGAAGGCTGCGTGGGGCCCTGATGGCGCAGCTGGGGACCAGATCATCTTCAACCTGCCCGCTACGGTCGAGCTGTCAACACCGAACATTTACGCAGATTTGGTGGAGTACTTTAGTCGCAACATCGGGGACAGGGAGAGCGTGTGCGTGTCTCTGGTATGTGGAACCTTCTTTGTTTCTAGTTTCCTATGTCTCAGTCATGCTAACGGTCCTCGGTAGCACCCTCACAACGATCGTGGATGCAGTAAGTTGAGCCAATCATAGCGTATTGGATGCGGTCACTGACGTGGTACAGGTGTCGCAGCAGCAGAACTGGGCCAGATGGCGGGAGCTGACCGAGTAGAGGGCTGTCTGTTTGGGTTCGTCTTTTTGCTCGTCCTTGTCTTTGTGTGTGTCCTGAGACATCACTAACCCTCTCATAGCAACGGAGAGAGAACGGGTAACGTCGATCTCGTTACCTTGGCTCTTAACCTCTACACACAGGGCGTGAGCCCGCAGATCGACTTCTCCGATATGAACTCAGTCATCGAGGTTGTCGAATCCTGCACCAAGATCCCCGTTCACCCGCGTGCTCCCTACGGTGGTAGTCTGGTGTGTGCGGCCTTCTCGGGCAGCCATCAAGATGCCATCAAGAAGGGATTTCAGAACCGTGCTCGTCTCGGGCTCTCTAACGAAGACCCATGGGCCGGGATGCCCTACCTGCCCCTGGACCCCCAGGATATTGGCCGCAATTACGAGGCCATCATCCGCGTCAATTCGCAGTCTGGCAAGGGTGGAAGCGCCTTTATCCTGCACTCGAAGCTGCAGCTCGACCTCCCTCGCGGCCTTCAGGTTGCCTTCTCCAAGGTTGTCCAGCGCCGCGCCGAGGAGCTTGGACGTGAGCTGCTGGCCAGCGAGATCACGGATCTCTTCGAGGAAACTTACTTCCTCCGCGAAAACCCCCGCCTGAGCCTGGTTGATTATAGCATCAGCCCAGACCGATCACAATCTCCCATGCCCGCTGGATCAGGCAGGACTCAGGACACAAAGAGCTTGATTCGTATCTTTGAGGGCGTTATCCTCCTGGACGGTGTCGAATACAAACTGCGTGGTCGGGGTAATGGTCCCATCTCTAGCATGGCGGCTTCGCTGAAGGATGTCGGCATCGACCTTGACGTTCACGACTACAAGGAGCACGCCATTGGAGAGGGTCGTGGTGTGAAGGCGGCTTCCTATCTTGAATGCAAGCCTACGGGCAGCAAGCAGACGGTCTGGGGTGTTGGTATTCACGAAGACGTGGTATACAGCTCGCTGCTGGCCATGCTGAGCGCGGCAAGCAACGTAAGTTCTCATGCTCATGAAAGGTAGTACACAGTGAGTTGATGGCTGACGACGATTCTTTTTACCTGCAGTTCTTGACAAGCCGACCCACCAGCCCTCTGCTGAAACCTGTTGCGAACGGTGGACAAGAGACGCCCAGCAACATTGTCTCCGTTCTGGAGGAGAAAGTGAATGGGGCTTAAGGAAACTCAGAAGCGGAGGATAGGCTCTCTTTTCTTTTCCCTTTCGTATATCTAAAAGTTCTTGATTGCATTACCCCAAGCGAACCAACTGGCTTGGGGAAGTTTCCTTTCCGGGGAGTGGGCGACAGACATGACTATCATACGCACCTGAGGGCTGCGTAACGATTGTGGTCTCCACATCGACACAAAAACACAGCATCTAGGAGATTGGGCGTCATCCTTGCTGTTTTGTACCACAAGTTTTGTATCTACCTAGCTGTAACAACAAAAATTCACAACCTTAGCCCGAAGCTGATTACAAGCTCTCTATATGAGCTGTCCATTGGCGAGGAGAGGTGATCAAGCAGCTCAGCTAGACGCAGCCCCTGATTGCTAACTAACCCAGCAGATTCGTATTTTGAAGAGGCTGGTGATGCTCGAGTCTGTTACAAACCCACAGGTGGCTGGATGGTGGCTGGTGGCTGAGGCCCGCGGCTTGATCAGAAGTGGGAGCTAGCAGTAATAAGACAAAGCCGAGATGGCGTTGAACGGCTCATGGCTACTGTGGGGACGCAGCTCCTGTTCGGCCCAGCCCGCAGGTGCTAAAATGGAACTGGATGAAGTTGGTAATAACAAAGACACGGAAAAGCAGGTTGATGAGAGTCGGTGTAATATCAATGAATAGCCAAATCAATCTCGTATTAGTAGTGCTCCGTAGGCTATTGCTGGCTCGGCAAGTAGATTCGCGGTGCACCTGAAGACACTAAACACCAGCTTCGTCACGATAGTTAGTACCTGTACTCCTCCATACTATTACCAACGACTCCATACTCCAGCTCCCACCAGAACAAGGAACCCATCCTGCTGCCGCTCATGCTCAAAGTACTTGCAGTAGCCCCTCGACTCATCCAGCGCCCTCAGCTCCGCCCCGTTGGCTCTGCCCTGGCCTGGCTCCTCAGCCGCAGCACATGCGTGGCCTCTCTCGCCCGGTGCCTTGCATCTTACCGCTGCTCGAGCATCACCCGCCAGCCACCCATTATTGCTGGCCAGGTCCTCGCCTCCACTGCCTCCCCCGGTCGCTCCTCCACCTCGACCTGCGGCTCCCGACCGCCTCTTTCGCCCGATCGCAGGCCCTGCGCTGATTCGTCCCACCGACTCGATCAATTGGGCTCCAATCGCAGCTTTGGACTTGGCCTTTTCAGTCACAGGCATCATCCAAGCCCAAGGCCGAGCAGAGCAAAGCAGCTTCGCAAACCCCGGCTCCTTTCGCTTCGCGGACGGGCCCTCTTGAGCTGTTGACCAGCGGAAATCTTTTCTTTCTGCTCTATTCTCTCCCCTTGCGCTGACGTTCGGCCCAGACAAAACCAACAGCTGCCCGCACTTGGCCGGTCGCGCGCTTCTGCATTGCATTCGAACACCGAACGGAGGTTGACAGCTGCAGGAGCCCTAGCAAGCTGATCAAGGGCAATCTCCCCCCTACCACCTCCGCCTTACGCCTTGGGTCTTTGACGTTCTTTGGGGAAATCGAATCTTGAATCATTCTTCTTGGGAGCTTCCATCACGGCACCATACACCTTACCTCGCCGTGCTCAGTCTCGGCATACGGCTCACCACCATCTCCCTTTACCCTGAATTTGTCTCGAGCCTCGCCTTGGTGCTGCATTCGCCGTACCATCATCTCCCGAAAAACACGCGACCATCACAGGCGCAATCATGTCTGCGCCGTATTGGGGTGCATTGCCCCAGCCCAAGGGCATCCAGAGCCGGCGAGTCTCAGCAGATTACACTAATGAATTCGCGCAAAATGACCAACGGCGTTCGCTCGACGTCCAGCCCCAACGCAAGGCGAACCGCAACTCAGTCCAGACAGCTTACACCGATGCTCCCACCGAGACGACGTTTAGTCCCAACTCCCCGACGTCGATACCGGACTACTACCAAGGTCTGGCTCCCAGACCAGCCTCACATCGTCCGCCTCCTCAAGAACAAACATATGAAGGATATGATAGGCAAGAACGTCGACCAAATCGAACCGCCGTCCCTGACAAGTACGAGAGCATCTCTCCGACTCCTTCTGCCACGGACACCGTCATTCGACAGCCACCTATGGATCCCTACGCAAATGGATCATATCATTCAACGTCTGGACAACCTTCACGACCGGGAGCAGAGGCAATGAACCCCATTGATCTTTCTTCTTTCCCGACGCTTTTCGACGGTGGACTTGCTCGAACAGATAGCATGGCGTCTACCCAGCCTCGAGAAAGCCCAGCATCTGGACCGTCCGAACGGCGCAAAAAGTTGGCAGACCATCGATCACCTCTCCAGAAGCTTGAGCTGACGCTCGACAGCATGACCAAGGAGGAAAAGAGAGCGCGGGTGCAGGCCGCGGAGGCACGAGCGAGGGCGAGGGCTGCCAAGCGGGCTGCTGAAGCTGCCGAAAGCCGTTCTCAGGCTGTCGACCAGCCGCTTTCGCCCGCAGCTCCCATCCAACGTCAACACCAACCTCCCGCACCAATTGAGACGACTCCCCCGGCAGCTCAAAGAAAACCATCTCAGCGAGAGGCCAATCCGTCGAAAGTCGTCGGTGCGCAAACACAACGAGTGGCCGAAGACCAATACTACCGCCAAAGTCAGGATGTACCCCGTCAACAACCCAGGCAGCTGCCTCAACCGCCGGTGCGCGAGGAGCAGCAGCCGAGGCAATTGCCACAGCCACCTGTACGTGAGGGCCACCAACCAAGACAGCTACCTCAGCCGCCTATACGTGATGAACAGCGCAGATATCCCCAAGAGGGACCTCGATTCGATGACCAACGCCGATACACCAGCCAAGAGCTTCCTCACCATTCTCGGGCTGCTAGTATGGACCAGCGGGCATTTGTCCCGGCAGCGGATGTTCCTAAGCGCAATCTCAGCTTCCGGGAACGCGACGTCTCTCGTGAAGCCAGGCCGCATGACGCGGACGCCAACCAGTCCGCAAAGGAATCGAGCAGCTTCTCCTTAACACGAAGCGGGAGTAACAAGCTGAGAAAAGAGCCTCCGGAGGAAGTTTGGCATCGAATACGTTCTGACGCCGAGCGACGACTGCCAGCGGCGCAGCAGCAGCAGCCTGCCCAGGCTCAATTCAAGGACCCGGCTCGGTCTCCCCAGGCTACAACGGGAGTACCACCACCAGCAGCGCAATCACGCAGCAAGGAGCTGCCTCCGCTTCCCCTCGTGACGAAGGATGAGGCGAATGTGAGGCCGGAAGCGAAGAGGGCCCCCCGCCCTGCTGCCGAGGCCGAGATCGAACCCATGCAGCGGCGAGCCACCGAGCCCGTCTATGCTCGGGAAGAGCGAGGACTGAATGCCGACTATGCCCCCGCGGCTGCCATTGGCAGGATCATTTATGAGGCGAGTCAAAAAGCCCGAGGACGCTTTCCACAGTCGAATTCAGCAGCAAAGAGCTTGGAAGATCAGACGGGCCATGGTCTAATCGAGGATACACAGGAGCCACAGGAACCTCTGGAACCGCGTATGCTGCACATGCCGCAGGAACCTCAGGCACTGCGTGTGCCGCAGGGTAGTATGTCACAGGACCGCATCCCACAGGACCGTATGCTACAGGACCGTATGCCACAGGACCGTATGCCACAGGACCGTATGCCACAGGAGTCGCCAGAGCCCTATGAGCGCCCCGAATCAAGATTGGTTTTCAAAAACCCCGAAGAGATGCGCCCTGGTGATGGTCTCTACAGCTCCCCTCAGTGGCTGGATGAGTGGAAGAAGGGCACTGTCGGCACACTATCCGGCACCCTTCTCGACCTTACTGGCAACAAGCCAGCTGGACTGATGGAGAGGAACGACGCTTGGCTGGACAGAGAGCAAGGAGGCCACCAGAGAAGGGTCAGCAGTGCAACGAGGCCGCGCAAGGCCGAAGCATTTGATGGGGAGTATGACACTACGAATGGCGCACCGACTCGGTTCAAGCCGCCGCTGTACCTCAAGTGCGGCCCGCTGCTGAGATACTGTGGCATGCGTCACGAAAAACTCCCGCCTCGGCCTCGGGGGCCAAATGTTGTGGAGGATCGTGAGATCTGGAGAGGAAGCGTCATGATTGTCACGAATGACGCCGAGTCTTCCTATGAGATTGCGCCGACGCTCCGACTGTTCGTGCAGGACGTCGAACTGTTGCCTCCTCCACCACACCATGTCGACGGCGACCTTTCACCCGAGTATGTGGATCCCATCGCCGGGCATCCCAAGCTGGGTCGTCGCGGCGAGACGCTGTATGTTCGGCCTGTGGACCACCTCGAAGAAGGCAGAGATCTATCGCATGACGAGTCTGAGGACGGTCTATTTGAGAAGACAAGGAGTTTGCCGGACGAGCCTTTGGCGCAAGGCCTCAAGGACTACCCGGGATCCTTTGCAAGCCGCCGAGGACGAGTTGATATTGACGGAGAGAAGATGCAGAAATACAAGGATGTGAGGGGCTTCCGTCTCCATGCCGAACAGGGCAGTACATTTTGGCGGTTCAACATTGAAGTTGAGCTACGGGAGCAGCAACAGCGGATTGCCTATCGCATCAACCGCGGCCCAGCGATGGCCTTCTGGGTGCCTGCACGCGGCCAAACCATGAACATGATGTTCTATACATGCAATGGCTTCAGCATCAGCGTCAACCCAAACGAGCTGTGCGGACCTGATCCCATGTGGCGCGACGTTCTGAACTCGCACCAGATGCGACCATTCCACGCCATGATTGGCGGAGGTGACCAGATTTACAACGACTGCGTGGCCTTTGATAGCCCGCTCTTTGACGAGTGGCTGCAGATCAATGTGGCGGAGAAGAAGCTCAACGCGGCCTTTACGCCCGAGTTGCAGGCTGAGCTGGAGCGCTTCTACATGGAGCGATACTGCACCTGGTTCTCGCAAGGCTTATTCGGCTTGGCCACTTCCCAAATCCCCATGGTCAACATGTATGACGACCACGACATATTTGATGGATATGGCTCCTACGCCCACCTGGACATGAGCTCGCCTGTCTTTTCTGGACTTGGACGACTTGCTTTCAAATACTACCTGCTCTTCCAGCATCAAAGCATCGTGCCGGAGACAGAAGTTAGCGAGCCTAGTTGGATCCTGGGCGAGCAGCCGGGTCCATACATTCAAGAAGTCAGCCGCAGTCTTTACATGTCAATGGGCGGAAAGGTCGCTCTGCTTGCCGTGGACTGTCGTACGGAGAGGACCGAAAATGTTGTCGTGGATGAGAAGACATGGGAGAAGATTATAAGCAGGCTGTATGCCGAGGTCAGGCGGGGACAGGTTGAGCATCTGCTTGTGCTTCTGGGTGTTCCCATTGCCTATCCCCGTCTCGTCTGGCTGGAGAATATGTAAGTGATTGCTTCCCCAAAAAATCGATCCCTGTTACTTGTTGCTCTTCATACTGACCTTTGCAGATTGACCTCCAAGTTGATGAGCCCCGTCAAGGCGCTTGGCAGGACAGGAGTGCTCGGCAAACACCTGAACAACCTCAACGGCGGCTACGAGATCCTTGACGACCTCAATGACCACTGGACGGCCAGGAATCACAAGAAGGAGCGAACAATCATCATTGAGGATCTGCAAGATCTGGCTATCGACCGATCTGTGCGAATCACAATACTGAGCGGCGACGTGCACCTCGGCGCCATTGGTCAATTCTATTCCAACCCCAAGCTCGGCCTACCAAAGCACAAGGACCCGAGGTACATGCCCAACATTGTGTCTTCAGCCATCGTCAATCACCCGCCACCGGACATTGTTGCCGACTTGCTCAACAAGCGAAACAAGGTACATCACTTTGACAAGGAGACCGATGAGGCCATGATTCCGATCTTCCAAACCGGCGTTGATGGCAAGCCGAGAAACAACAAGAACCTCCTCCCTCATCGCAACTGGTGCTCCATTCGCATGTGGCAGCCAGGCAGCACGCCGCCGCCTTCGCCGCCCACGTCCGACCGAGGAAGGAGTCGAAGCCCAGGAGGCGGAAGCTTGCTCAGAAGACTTTCTTCTAGACGGCGCAAGTCTACTTCACAGCAGCCTTTTGACGTCTCACGGGAATCCGTGCGAGGGCCTCGGCCCCCTATTTCCGGAGGAGGAGGCCTCTTCAGGAACTTTTCACGACGAAACTCGGTTGATCAACAGCGCCCTGGAGGAGGTGTGACTCGAACGATGTCCCTTAGCCGCGGAGAGGCAGCGCATCACAGAGATGACTTGATGCATCATGGACAGCACGGTAGTCAGAGTCGATTTGACGAGAGCAACATGAGCGGCCAATGGAGCGGCGAGTTTGACAGCGGATACTTGGACCATCGAACTCGGGGGCAGCCTCCTGCTTCAGGCCTCCGTGGTGGCGGCGGTAGCGATTACGAGGAGTTCTCGGCAGGTGACGAGTCCTACTTCACAGCACAAGCACCTCGGCGCGCACAGACGGTCAACTACCACGCCGGGCCCGCTGGTAGTCACGAGGTCGACGAACCGTCTACCCGTCCATACCACAGAATACCCACGGGCCTGTCACTGAAGGAGACGAAAGATGCGGAGAAGTTTGAGGTCAACCTGGAAGGCGGCCTGGACATTTCGCTAAACATGGAAGTGAACTCCAAGGACCCGACGGGCATTACTGTGCCTTACCGGCTTCTAGTGCCCAAGCTGTTTTATGAAGCCTCCTCCAAAGACGACCTATTTGCGACGGCGGAGCCAACTGGTATTAAGAAGTTATTCAGCTTTAGAAAAAAGCAAAAGGCACCTTTGGGGGAGCCGGAGCCGGAGCCAGCAGAAGAGATGGGATACGATGACGAAGAGTTGGACGACGAGAGATACTGAGATGATATATATGCACAAGGAGTGGTCGGTATATACCAGATGCTTGGAGACATTTTGCGAATAAGGATGAGGAGCGTATACAACTTGTAATTACTCTTTCCCCGTAAGTTTCTTTGGCGGATGAGCCATGGAGATGGCTTTGGAGATGGCTGCGTTGCTTTGTGATGGCCTCGACACGTTGATGACGGGCCTTTGGAGTCTTGATTGCGTACACTGGGGGTTTCTGGATACTAGGCCTTTTGTGAATTTTTGGATACACGGACATAATAGTACAGAACTCCATATACGGAGGATGAGGCAAATTGAAAAGTTGATATCCGCCGAAGTGATGATTGCGCTGAGATGCGTGAATTCAATGGCTGGAGCGCTTTGATGATTTGAGTGAGGAACTATACCTAACACTTCGGATTCCAGCATTCAGAACCACCTTATTACTGATGTGAAGGGAAGGGCATGAGAGAAAGAAAAAGGGGGTAGAGAGAGATGATATTGTAAAGGATCAAAAAGTGTAAAAAAAGGATGCCCACTATCAGAGTCGAACTGATCACCTTGTCATGTCAAGTAGAATACTAGTGACACGCTATACCGCTTAGCCAAGCGGGCTTTAGATACTTATCGTATTGCTAGTAAGATATATAGACCTTTGCTAAAGATGCAGCGGCGATGCTTGGAAAGATGAAGCCGCAGAAATCCATGGCTGTCCATTGAACAATGAGATTGATCCCCATTGCTTTGAATCTCTTAAATCAATCTCAGATTCTGAACTCAACTTTACGTTCTTTGAGTAGGGGCAAAGAACATGAAGCAAGTCTTCCCCCCCTTCAGTAGCTTCAGCGGACTGCACCTGAAGATTAGGGGGGCTCTAGCGGCCCCGCCACAGTGCCTGGAACTCGCTGTGCCTCGGAGGATATTCATCAATTCCCCCACAACTTCAGGTTCACTTACAGTTGCACCTCCGTGCAGCGCGACATCGTCATTGATTACCTTGCATTTTCTCTTTTTTGCAGCCTTGCCTCGCCTGTGCTTTGCTTGACACGCGGGCCCTGCATGCATTGATTGATTGATACAAGCGAAGCACGTCTATCTTGTCGTTTGTTTTCCCTTCTTCAGTCCCTTTTCTTGTCCGGGGTTCAAAAGCACACACGCAGCACAGACACACCCCGGCTCTGTTAGCTGTTCCCCCCTCAACACCCAAAAAGGGAACAAGCAGAAACACCCGAAAGTGTGCTGTCATTATCCCATCCGTGCTGGTCTAACACCAAGTTTATCTGCTTCTGCCCAATATCCATATTCCAACAACTCAGTCTTCTCTCCTCGACACACCTCAACGACTTGCATTACCGAAACGCACACGTTGTCGACAAGCGCCCCCATCGAATCCTGCTTGCTGCGAAGGGAAGGGCCGCGGCCAAGCAATTGGGCCTCGAAGATGCCCCCTTCCGACCTCTCGGTGGCCGAAGAGATGTACAGGGGCCTCGCAAGCCTGCTGCATCTGCTGTGGCAATGGATCAAGGGCCCGGGCATGCACAGGGCGACCGTCGCCGCCGCGGCCGTGATGCGCCAGGTCAGGCGGAACCTGACGGCCAGGAGGCTGCTGAGCTTCCCGCACCTGCTGGCCTTGCTCTGGATGCTGCTGCTGCTCTGGGGGGAGCGCTGGATCTTTACGACGCATGTCGGCGTCTGCGACTGGAAGAACTGGGAGAAGTGGGTGAGTTGACGATGTCTCTCGAACATCACACTTGCAGAGAGAAGGAGGGCTAACCAATGCCAAACAACAAACAGCCCAAAGGTGCCACGCCCCATCACCTCGTCCTCATCGCCGACCCGCAGATCCTCGACCCTCACACCAACCCCGACTGGCCCTCGCCGGTGCTGGCCACCGTCGTCGCCGTCACGGACCGATACCTCAAGCAGGGCTACCACGCGCTGCTGCACCAGCTGCACCCGGACAGCCTCTTCTTCCTCGGCGACATGCTCGAGGGCGGCCGCGAGTGGAAGACGAGGCAGGGCCACTTCGTCGACCCCAAATGGGGGGCGCGCGGGCGCACCGCCAAGGAGCAGCGCTGGGTCAAGACGTGGCACCGCAAGTACGGCGACGACTTCTGGCTGCGCGAGTACCAGCGCTTCGGCGACATCTTCTTCGCCCCCTGGAGCGACCCCGACCTCAAGCCGGGCCCCTGGCAGAGGGGCCGCAAGATGGTCGCGAGCTTGCCCGGGAACCACGACATCGGCTTCGGCGCCATGGTCCAGGTGCCTGTTCGAGACCGCTTCCAGGCCTACTTTGGAGAGGGCAACCGGGTCGATATCGTGGGGAACCACACCATTGTCTCGGTCGATTCCGTGTCCCTGAGCGCGGGCACGTCTGCGCAGAGGGCCGAGCACGATCTATCGGCCATCTATGGCCCAGTTCACGAGTTCCTAGACGGCGTCCAATCCACAAAGCGAAAGATGGCGCAGAACGAGCTCAGCTTCTGGCACGGCATTGAGCGCGGACCCAAGTTGAAGCACAACGTCGAGGACCTTGATAAAGCGGACTTGACCCGGTGGCCGAGAGACCCAGGGCCGGGGGCCGCCGACTTTCCCACGCTTCTCCTCACCCACGTTCCTCTATACCGCGAGCCTGCAACGCCCTGCGGCCCGCAGCGTGAGCACTGGCCGCAGAAGAAGGGATCCAACGAGAAGGATCCCGCCAATGCGATATCGGTAGTGGCCGGATACCAGTACCAGAACGTGCTCTCGGAAGAAGATTCCGTCAGGCTCGTCAAGAGCGTCGGCAACGTGGTCCACGTCTTCTCGGGCGACGACCACGACTACTGCGAGCTCGTGCACTCCGACTCGAAAGAAAACGTGCGCGAGATCACCGTCAAGACCATGAGCATGACGCAGGGAGTGCCGACGCCCGGCTTCCTCATGGTCAGCCTCTGGAACCCAATCGACAAGGACGGCAAGCCCCTGCCCGGCGCGCCCGAGCAGACGGTGCAGACGCATCTTTGCCTGCTCCCGAACCAGCTCTCCAAGTACATGAACTACATCGCCTTCACCATCTTCTCCCTCATCGTCCTCGCCGTCAGGGCCTTCTTCGTCCCCGTCCTCCGCCTCACGCCGTTTGCGCTACCGCCCGAACGGGGGAGCGCCTCCTCCTCCCTCCCCATCTACAAAGATAAGATCGAGCCACCCATCACATCCACGTACGGAGCGAGCAACGGCGGCAGCGGCGGCGGCAGCACGCGCTGGGCAGGTAAGAAGGGCAAGCACAGGCATCGCTGGAGCACCGACGGGTCCAGGGGCCCGCGCATCACCATCAACGAGGACTACTACGACGGCGGCAAGGCGTGGAAGACGACGACGGGCCGCGGGGATAGGTTCTCCTTCAAAGTCATGGCCACGGAGATGTGGACCACGACGTGGAGGGTGACGTGGATCGCGGTGCTCATCTGGATTTACCTGATACGGAATGGCTAAAGGTTCCTTTTTTTTTTGCCTCTCTCTCTCTCTTTTGCTCCCGCGGCTGGCAAACTATTAGACTGAACGAATGGTGTCCTTATTCTGTTTTTTTACCATTACTTTTGTGTTTCTGTATATGGATGGGGGGACCGTAGATGCTACGTTATTTATTTTAATCATCGATGGGGGGGAACAAAAACTCTGCATGTGTTGGTACACGGGCGAACGGGGGAAAGATGCATCATACATCAGCATCAGCATCAGGGCTATGGCTAGAACAGGTTGATACCAAGCATTCAATACCAAACTATACCATAATCGCAGCATCAAGCTTCTTGTCTTGCGGGAAACTAGGAGCACAAGCAATCAAAACAAAATGATAAAGCAAAGCAAATGCAAGCATCCCTCCCTTACATCGTCATCTCAAAATCCCACCTGAACCGAGAGAGAAAAAACCACACTCAAAGTTCAAGCCACACAAAGCCCCAACAAGGCTCACCTCGCCCTCCTCCCAACCCCAATCCTATCCTCCCTCGCCCTCCTCGCCCTCCCCTCCCTCTCCTCCTGCACATCCTCCATCGCCTGCCCCTGCCCCAGTCCGAGACCCCCCATCGCCGCCGTAGTCTGCTGCGTCGCTGCCTCTCCTCCTCCTCCTCCTCCCGCTGCTGCTGCTGCTGCTGCGCTTCCGTCCCCAGCAACACCAGCACCGCCCTTGGACGCAGCGGCGGTCGTAGCAGCAGCAGCCCGCGCCGCAACCTCCGCCGCGTGAGCCTGCTGCGCCGCCCGGAGCGCCTCGCTCGCGCGCCGGTCCTCGTACGAGGCGATGTCCTCGGCCGTGATTTGGAGCGTCGTCGGTGGGCGGCGAAGCATCTTCTTCGTCCGTTGAGAAGAGTCTGGTCTTGCTGGTCCTTACTCGACTCCTTATTTGCTTATGACGCGATCCCCCTTCTTTCGAGAGGCCCAAGAAGGGAGAGGTGAATGACTGCCCTTTGCGCGCTGGGTGTGAGAGAGAAGAGAGGAAGTGTGGTTTTTGTTCGAGTAGTAGAACAAGCGTGAAATAAACGCTCTGAGGTTCCTTCTATAGACTGCTCGGATGCTGACGGAAAGCTCGTTTGATATCGGGATGAATATGATAGCTCTTCCTCAGAGAGACGCGGCTCTGCGTGTTTGTTCTTTTGGTTCTCGTAGACTGGAGCCCTTTAGAGAGGAAATAAGACTGAGGACGAAATAGCTCAGATCTTTGTTGATGAGCTCACTTTGCCCGTACAGAGCAAAAGCGTGTATCGGCGGGCTGTTGAGACGCGAATCTGTCCGCTGTTGTGGTGATATCAAAGAGAGGTTGTGTCGAAGGAGGTCCAAGGCATCTGGAGCTAAAAGGGCAAGTTCCGCCAAGAAATGTTCCGCGGCAATCGCAAGCCGGGGTGGGGGCTGGCGCAACTGCCTCTTCTGAATCTGACACTCAAGACACCACAACTCACACGATATACCTACACACACATAAGCCAAATACAGTCTATATCTGATTCTATTACTATTACAATTAGGTACCTATACTGTTACAATATAATGGTCAAGTCGTCGTACTTGCACATCAACGATATTCATACATGTCGGCATAGACAAATCATCGCTCTTCGCGTTGTGGTATCATTCAACGACTGGTATCTGCATCCTTAAAGACCGACTCAGCTCTCATCTTTCCAACTTCCTGCCATGGTATATGGTTGACAAAGGAAATGAAATGCGGCATTTGGCACATGATCCAGTGATATCCCAAGCCATCACATCATGCAAAATCCCAAACAAAAAAGGAAAATCCCAAACGAAAGCCAATCAGTAAATCATACTCGACGCTTCAATAAGCGTCATCAATTTTGAACCCAAGGAAAGCTTCAAGTCCATGTTCCATAACTTGCTTTGAGCCCGCAGGCGCGGGCGCCAATCGGCCGACTTCCTCATGGCCCATCTCGTCATCATCTGCCGGCACCCAGGGGCCGTCTGCGCTGTCGGTTGTGTATATGCTGGCGCTGTACATGCTCTCGCAGCCGTCACGGAGCTGCCGAATGGTATCAAAGATGTGATGCTGTGGCTGAGCAGTCACGGGCGTCTGCAGCTCCGCTTCAGCATCTGTCTGCACCGTTGAAGGTGTTGATGCAGCCGACGTCATGCTGCCCGAAGAATCTCGCTGTGCCGACCGCTCCGATTTCTGCTGCGACGACTTGTCCGAGGCAATGAGCTCGCCATGGGTTTCAAAACCAAACCCTTCGAACCAAGTAGTCACGTCTTCGGCCAGATGGCCCTCCTCTTCGTCCGGTGGTGTGACCTCCTCTGGAAACAGGCCGTCCAAGTCTGCGCTGGCACCACCTAGAATGGCCGTCTGGAATGCCGTCCAATCAACCGGATGCTCGTCTTCCGTCGCCTCCACCGTTGCCATTGAGCTGCGGCTGCCAGCGTCACTCAAGACGATTGGGCCGTGTCGGAAGGGGGGAGTGGTCATCGAGAAAGGGGTGCTGTTGAACTGAACAGTCTCTTCCTTCACATCTAATGCATTGTTCATGCTGCGACTTCGACGGTGGCCAGATATGCCCGAGCTCCTGTTGCTGCCCGTGGCAGAGCGGAAGCCCTCCGGGATGGGAGGCAGGAGTGGCATTGTTGGGGCTCTGGCAGCAAATCTCGCCGGGTTCTTGGGCGGTACTACAGGCAGCACCGATCGAGTGGAAGACGAGTCGTCGTCTTCAACGACAGCCTCTTCCTCCTCCTCGGCTTGGTACAGTACTACCTGGGGCAATGGCAACTTTCCTAGCGGCCTCCTGTCAACCTTGGACGGTGACTTTGGTGAAACGTCGCCGTGTATGATTTCTGGGGAGACGAGGATCGTGGAGGGCGGCGGTGGGACCGTAATTTCGAACGGAAGAGCTCTCTTTTTAATGTCAGCCCTGCTCATTGGGATAGACGCGTTCCCTCTGTCTGGCCATTGGAACGAGTCACGGAACAATGGGCTTTGATGTTCGGAAAGTGGACCTCCGAATTGACGTGGCATGCTTGCTGAGATGTCCGACGCTGCCTTCTTCCGTCTGTCTTTGCTTTTTCGCTTAGGCGACTTCTTGCCGTTGTCTTGGCCATTCCAGATTGCTTCGATCTGGGCTGGGCTCAAAGGCTGCTTTTCAGACTTGACGTGTTGCGACTTGAACATCTCGGCCATGTTGTCCGTCAACGTCCACCGAGAAGACCGTGCGTGCTTGCGTGACTCTATCTCAGCCGTCACTTGACTTGGTCGCCTTTGCACATGGAAGTGGAAAGAGCTGGCAACAGATGCTTTGCGTGCCACGCCGCATTCCGTTCCGTGGCCGTGAATCCAGTAGCCGGAGCGACGTTTGGGAACACTTGGTCCGGTGGCAGGCGACTCATACACAGGTGCATTGGACGAAATTGCATCTGTCCCTGCATCTGCCGGATTGTGCGCCTGATCGGTATCTGGTGAAAGCTGATTGGCTGCAGTGGTGGCGGCGACCGTCACAATGTTTGTCTGCAGTTTGAGTTCAGACTGTTGGCTGGAGCGTCGCACGTCTTTGATGGAAGGGCCAGGGAAAGGCGAGAATGATCGCAAGATGCTACGGCTCCGGCTGTGGCGGTGACTGGGCGGGTTGGCCTTCTCAAGCACCGTGCCCTCAAAGAGATCCTCTTGCGGCCGCTCTGGTCGGTGTGGGGGATAAGGAATCGAAGGCGGGTCTGTTGGAGCAGGTTCCGCCGTCATTCCAGGTCTTGTCGCATCACCGCTGCCAACAGAAGAGAGCTTCCTGTGCTGAAAGGCTGCATCGCTCTCATAGCTGCCTCGTGAAAAGGATGGGGTAGTTGGTGTCGAGAGCGCAGGTTGCGATGAGGCCGAGGATGAGACTGCGGATAGGCGGCGAAGGCTCTTGGTGCTTCGTAGAATCGTTGAGGCGACCGAATCCTTTCTCCTGTGAGGAGAAAACCATGACCGTGACCTCTCCTGCTTCTTGTCCTTGGCTGCGTCCTCGGATTCGGCTGGAGATGCATCGGCCTTGGCTGCATCGCCGGACTTGGCGCGTGAGTGGGAGCGAAGCAGTCCTAATCCGCCCGACTCCTTCTGGAAGTCGAGCCGCTTGGTTAATCTCGTCATTTCCGGGGAGCAAACAACTGTCGACGGATTGGGTCGGTTGAGATGAGCGCTGGTATATATAAATAGTCGCGCAAAAGCCAACTGCGCAGGGTATCAAAGAAGAAGAAAAGAACAAAAGACCGGCGACCAAGACTGGACAATGTAGGAGTGGTGACCGAGCGGGAGTGCGCAAAAGGTTCCAACGTCCTACCAGGCGCAGGCGATAGGAAGGGTGGAGCTGTGGGTAGGCATGGTAGTATCACCAAGAAGTGATCTTTTGTGTTGGCCGGGCGTGCAGAGTGAGGCGGTCGTAAGTTTGCTTCGTTTGCTCTGGTGCGTGCTCGCTTTTTTGCTTGCTTTTTCCGTCGACTTGTTGACTCGTGGAGCTGTTGGGGGTGATGAGCAGCGGGCTAAGTAAGGCTAAAAGATCTGATGGCGTTTGACCTCGTTGGCGGCGGTGGCCGGCCAGAACGAACAAAGAGAAGAAGAAGAAGAGGAAGGGAAAGGAAGGAGAATGGCCTCCGAAGTGGAGGGGAAGGTTTGGGGCGATGGATATAGTAGCAGATAAGGGAATGCATAGGTAGTAGGCAAAGGTGCAGGAGCGAAGCTTCGCGACTTGCGTGGGGATACCGGTTGACTTAAGAGGCAAGTCCATCCAGAAGGTACGAAGAACAGGACAAGCGTACCGGACTAAGGTACCTACAGTATCATGCCATGGCCATGTCCATCATCCTTGGATCCCGGCGTGCATTGGCTTGGAGGCTCCTTCCCTTGCAGACGTTGCAAAAAGGTGCAAAGGTGGCCGGACAAGCGCAAAGTATCCGGTACAAACGAACAGTCCGGCCGACGGGGCTAAACCGGGGCCGCTGGAGCCAATGACTGCGATTGGAGCGATTGATGATGGGATGGCGTCTTGGTTGGGGGAGGCAGGCACAGGGCAGGCAGGAGCCACCTCGGAGCTGCTCACTGCCCTAGCACGCAAGGCCAAGCCTAACCGAGACCTCCGTCCCGCACGACCAGTCCTAGCGAGGAAGTAGTTTCTGCCCAGCGCTCGCAACTCTTTTTCTCGATTTCATTTCTTTTTCTTCCCTTTTGTCTTGCTTTTTTGGCAATTTGGCTAATCAGGGAGATTTGCAGCACAGGCATCTTCGTACATACAGATGACGATGCATCATCTTCAGCTCGGACTCACGATCCACCACTGCGAGAGCCACCAGAGGTTCGTGTTCGTAATGAGCAAGAGCAAGGCAATATATGGGTAGCACCGATAACAGCAGCCAATAGTTTGCTTTTGCTTTCGGGCTGCAAAATCACTGCATTTGGCACTTGCGCCGTTCAGCTCCTGGAGCCTTACTGCGCAGCTGTGGCGGGGTGGCCTCACGGTGGCCAATTCTCTCGGCCACGGCGACGATAGTAGTCCGGACGAGCAATGGAGAAAGAAGACAGACAGCGCCGTTGCACCACAGCCTGATGGAACGGATCGTGGATTCTGGCCTCAATTACAGTGGTGTTTAGTTCATACAGCCTCAAAGTACAGGCTACATCCGGAGTATTAGGCGGCAATGGCGCTGATGATTCGTTAGCGACGGCGGCCATTGCAGAGGTGCCCCTAAGCAGACGGGGCCATGCCTGGCGGGGCCTAGCGCAATGTACGTAACCCGCCCTCGAAAAGCACCTGGAGCAGCTCAGATGCCGCCGGCTCCCCCACAGAGGGCCCCCAAAGTGTCAGCTGCTGCTACGTTGAGTCTCTGTTGTCGCCGAGAATCGTTCATGGGCCGAGTCGATGGAGTTGATGGCTGCATGTCTCTTTGTACGGGGTGCGGAGGGAGTAACTGCTCACGTACAAGTACAGGCACCGTCTGCTGTAGGACAACATGCAAGGTATTATCCAAAGGGCCCCGCATCTGCGTTGCAGGACAGAAGATGCAGAGAACTTGATGCTCGTCGATGCCGAGCGGCGAGTAATGAGCGGCAACGGGATTGAGTCGAAGTCCATCTGCCAGTCAGTGCTTTGCTCGGAGCGAAAGGATGACTGGGGACAGCGTGCAGGAGGAGCAAGGCTCAGCATTGACAGCGAGAATGCTGCTAACATGAACCTTGGCTGTCTTACGGCATATCAGCTGGGACGCTGTTATATCACGATGCCAGTGCTTTTGTTTCAGCTGCCAACTCAGCTACATTTACCATGTATTCTGCCACTTCTAATAATAGGTAGGCCGTTTCAACTCTCAGACGTTTACTCGAAAACGCAACGGCCTTGATCTAGTATGATTTTCGTGAGGTCCAACACATTGCCATGGCCAAATGCATGCATGTATCGTCGAACGCCAAAAGTGCCCAGGGAGGTACAGGCAATGCTAGCACTAGCACCAGCACCCGCGCGCATCTCTTCACCGTAACTCTTCCTTTTCTCCGTCTACCCTTGGCCTTGGTTTACCTTAGTAGGTGAGATATACATACATGAGACCAAGCACACCTCCTCGCATTTGCAACATTGATCTCGACGTGAGTCCCGGTATTTCGCTCGGTACAACATGCGCATCGCTGGACCAGCTGCGCACACGACGAGATGGACGGGCCGATGCCATTGTCACCAGCTCGCAGGTACTATAGGTACCTGCTGCCAAGGTATGAGTACATGGACAGAGCGCTGGTGCTCCGCCAAATTGCCGAACTGCCTCATCGCGGGGTACGTACAGGTTACCCACCGACATGGAGCATTCTGTAACTGCGCTGTGGGTTCTGCCAGGTTCATCACCACGGGCTCCTTTTCTCTCGGCCTCATGTTCATTGAAAGAAGGGCTGAGCATTACCTGATGCTCTGTTGCTGCTGTTTTCATGGCTACTTTGAAACTCAGCAACATAAACAGGTACTGGTACTCGGACGAAAAGAGCAGAACCAAGCCCAGATCTTGGATCCCTTCCCCCTCCCTTACGGACCATCCCGGCTGACTGTGATGGTGGCGCTCCAGCTAAGGGCACTAGCGATTTACGCTCCGTGGATAGTTGATGGCCACCCCGCGAAATCAAATGGAATACAATCCATCAATATCTTTGGGCCTTTTATCCTCGTTCCGGCCTCGGTGAAGTCCGCTGCGACCAACGACTCGGGGGCCCAGAACAGCTGCCACCACGTTATAGTCAACGAGCCTTACGGAACACTATTCTCCTAGCTCCTCAAGTGCGCACAGCCCGATGTTCGGCATTTGCTGGCCAGAAATGACAAGCAAGCGTTGAGGGATTTGATTTGGATTCGCAAAGTGACAAGACGGAGACGAAAGGGGACGAAACGAGACGAGACACCGTCATCATGACTTGTCGGTCTCTGTGTAAAAAAAGGTATCGTATCCTGACCTGACATGCATGAAAGCGCAAGGACCTGCCATACGGGGGCACGGAGCGAGACGCGGTGGATCTGCCTCATCCACATTATGCCCAAGGCGACACAGAAGCAATGATCAAGGACGAGACAAAAAAGCAACGAGATGGGATAAAAATAGCCAACTGCGTGTGCGATGCGACTGATTGTCCTTGTTGGTGAGGACGACAGACAGACAGACAGACATACAGGCAGAGGCTGGGCATCAGCACATCCCGCCAGTGCCGAAGCAACGCATCAACGTGCTGCTACCACCTCGGAGGCCCAGGGAGGGAAATACATCCAGCATTCGATCCTTCGGAAGCCGACAGCATGCGTGCGTACGATCTGGCCATGCACGTATGGATTCTGTACTACCTCCATACCTGGTCGTTTGTACGGAGTCCCGTAAGTACTGCTGCTACCTGATGAGGAACATGGAGCGAGGTTTTTGGATCGGCATCCACCAGGAATCCTTGTCGGACAAAAGAGTTCAAGGTTGTTGGATCCCATGATCCCCAGCGGGCAAATGCTAGATACTACTACTAGGCCGAGTAGATAATACCACCATGCCTGACAATCCAGAGGGCCAACTGCCGCCCGTTATGACCTACTGTCAATAATATCCGACACGGTGCCACCAGCTATTCAGCTATTCAGCCATTTATTACCGTCCATTTACACGGCCGCATCGCCTGGACCACCGTCTGGACCCTTCCGTGCCATTAATCGCAGAACCAATTTCGATTCCCTATTGTGACCAGGGCGGTATCACCACACGCAGGACTCTCTCAACAAGCCATCAGTTTCCATTTGCCATTCCATCTCACCCGCCGCCAGTCAGTACCTAGTGGTGCGTATTACCTCATAGTAAGAGTAGATATAAGTCATCTATATATGGAGGATTAACCAGAGACAGCAGGTGTCATGTCCTGTCCAACTGCTACCCCTCACGTCAAGATCCCACCATACCCTTACCTTGCGGAGCACCTTGTCAATATAGTAACGCTGCCCACATGCTGATAATCCACACATCTTTCTTGGGCACCGTCTGCCGAGAAGAAGAACTACCACGGCTATTTCGTACAGACACTACTCCGTAGACAAGTTCTAGATCCCGAGGCCAGCAGGCAAAAAAAAGCTCAAAGCACGACAGAGACGCCTGCTTTTGATGCCCACGTTGCCACGCTGCTCTTCCCCAGCAAAGCCGATCGGGCCTCGGCGGGGCGTGCGAACATGTTCATGTTGGCTGCAGATGGGGGGGATCAGATCAGGCCAGCTGCAGACAAATGCATGCTGTGAAGCATCTCTTTCCAGGCAGCCAAAATACATACTCGTACATGGACTGACCTCGCCCTGCTTGCTTGACGGATGAAACAGCTGCTCACATGTTGCCATTCACCCGACGATGCCTGGTCAGGTATTTCCAATATTGCGACAAGTATGTAAGGTATTCTGAGCAATGCCTACCTACAGGACACCGATTCAGCAGGTGGCGGCCACGAGGTGGTCCGATAACCGCCTTTGCCATGCCATGCCATGTCGTGCGGAATCGCATCGGAACCACAGCTTTTCACGATGTCAGGTTGCATCTAGAGTGAAGAGAGAACCCAAGCTCGTCATCATTAATCACACATAGAATACCTTGGAATGAATGAACGACTTCGAGGAAACAAATTCAACGATACTGTAACATGGGAACCAGGGAAAAAGAGACAGTGACCGGGATTTCTATTCTTCATAGCGGCTATACAACTATCACCTGCAAGTAGACAAACCGTCCCGGTAGCTTCGGGCCAACTCTCGAGTCATCTGTCATCTTGCATGCTCGCCCTTGTCCAGAGAGGCAGCTACAGTAGCATAGAACCAGTTTTTTCCTTTCCTCTGCTTCTTCTCTCACTTTAGCCAGAAACGTAGCGCCCGCTTGTTTCGCCGACGGAAGCCATTCGTTTCAAGCACGAGACGGTTTTCTCGCTTCTCTTTCCTGCCATGAGATGTAGACGATGTCTGTTGAAGTTGGCTTGCCGGCGGGCTCTGATTTTTTGCTGAAACGTCACAGGCATCTCTGGAGACTTCTTTGCCCACCTTGGCCATAGCCATGCTTGAATCCCGGGATGTGATGCAGTGCAGAAGTATGTACGTAATCCAATCTATTCACCGACATAATCCAGACGACGTTACACGCGAACTCTTCTTTGCGGGGGAGTTCATATCTATACTGATGCCGGGGCTCACGATGGAAAACATGTCTTGCTTGGGAAATGGAGTGAATTGTCGATGAAGTTGACTCGTCTGCTCAGAGTGATTTTCAATTCTTGCTGCTCCTGCTGCTGTTAGACTCATGCTGTATGTATCCTTTTCCCATGCCATCACGATAGAAACCCAGCTCTTGCTGTTCCCAAACGGAAACCAAAACCTTCAAGTACCATGACCCATATTCCATATTGAACCAAATCACAATGCCTTCTGATGAGTAGTTATGTTGTCCCAATGCCGAATCGTAGTTGTAAGCTGTGTATCTATATTAGCAAATTCTGCTATCACCAAGCCCACGAAAACCCATACAAGATAAACCCAACGCAGAATCCCTCTCCGATCACCCCAACAACAGCCTACCTACTTACGTCTTCCTCACTTCCCCTTACCTTAAGATAGAAAAAAAAGGAGGGAAACCCTCACAACACCCAATTCGCCTCCCTCATCCCCCTCGACGTCCCCGTCTTCAAAAACGACGCAGCCGCGTGCCTCGGAAACGTCACCCTCAACACCTCCAGCTTCTTCTGCTCTTTCCTTTCCTCTCCCACGCCGCCTTCAATCAGCGGCTCGCAATCCTCCTCAATCTTGTTCTTTCCCTCCTCCAGTATCCTGACTGCCGCGTCGCTCGTCTTGTAGGCCGTTCGGCTGCCGCCGCAGCACATGGTGATGAAGAGTCTCCTGATGGACTGCAGGACGTCCGAGTGCCATGAGCTGGGCGGCTTGGGGGTGTAGAAGAGGGGAGGTGGCAGAGGAGAGGGCTGGGAGCTGATTCGGAAGCCCTTTGAATGGAACATTGTGTGGAAACTGATGGGAGTATGTGTTGGATAAGAATAGTATCAGTAAAGGGAAGGAGAAACAGTTGACTTTTTTTCAGAGCCTTGCAAAGTAGAGAAAGAGAAGATCAACGATCTCTTTATAGATTGTGACAGGCTTCTAAACCGATAAGAATAAAGGAGAAGAGGGAGAAGTAGAAGTCTCATATCTCACGGAGGCGAAGCTCTATATAACAATCAAGACCGCCATCTCAATTTGAGCCAAACCCCCTATCCGCCGCTCAGCAACAATAGATGGGATGCATTCCATTGACCTCCTAGGCGACCGCCTCATTTCGCTTTGAAGGTCTCACATGGGGGTGGAGCTTTGCTCGTTATCCGAACGCAAGGGAGGCATTCTCAACGTACGCGAGAAACAGCGGCCTTTTGGTCTCTAATTGATGTCTCACACCTGTGATAATGGCCTTTATGCCGTGGCATGACGAGCCCGGCCGCCGCACCGTACCTCCAAGTCAAGTCCGGGAAGGGAGGCATATGACGACGCATTGTCTGCATCTTGGATGAATCCATGCCCTGGCGGTGAAACTACCATGGGAGGAAATCAGGTGGAACTTGATATTGTGTATGTGCACTTCGATTCTTCCATCGGTCTGCGCTAGATGCAACTGTCTGCCTTAATCATATGCTTCCGAATCAACCTCGTCATCTTCATCTCCATCGTCATGCGTGGCAAACGGAACGAAACGAAAGTCCAAAAAGCTCCTCTTCCCTCCTTCCACGTCCACCATGAACTGTAGACTCAAGACGCCCTGGCTGTCGCCTCGAAGACTGACTTTGCTCGCAATCCGCATCGCCTCGCTGGCGTGTCGAATAAAGTCAAACTTGTATGCCTGCGACCAGCGGTCGTTGATGGTGAAGGTTTCGAGGAGGTCTTTGCCTCGTGCAAAGTCCACACTGGAGCTGCCTATATCTCCGGCGCAAGATAGGGTCAAGTACGGCGAGATCTTGGTGGCTGCGATGGTCAACTTGACGGGCCCCGCGGGTATGATCTCGGCAATGCAGTCAAACAGGGTGCGAGACGACATGATGATTTTGAACGTCAGATCGTTACGGTCAAAGGGTATGTCTTCTGGCATCTCGGGTAGGTAGGTCGCCAGTCCCGCGGTCGTCTTGATGCCGGATTCTTCGAGGGTGACTTTGAAGGCATCGCCTTCTTCCGCGTATAACATGGTGCAGGTTCCAGCTATGCCAAGAGTCTGGTTGCTAAACGCACTTGGCCTGTAGTTGCGTATGTTACTTCGGTATGGGTCTTGGTCGGCCTTCTGAGCTCGAGCAGCCACATCCACAGATCCAAAGATCTGCAGCACCTCAAGGAATGTCGACAGTGGGATTTGGAAGTTTGGGTATTCGGGCTCGCCATCTTCTGATAGAGGAAAGTTCACGGTGTACGCAGAAAACAGAGTCTTGTCCAGGAATGCAACCCCTGCGACCACCGTTAGCTCAGTATTCTACGATCCTCAAAGAGTCGTGCACTCGCACCTTGCATTACTCGAGAATTGTCGGCCGCAAAGCGGATGCCATCCTCCGTAATCTGGACGTGCACCCTCTGTGCGAAGTCTATGCATCGAAGAAGTTGGTATAGCGGTCTCGGAGACGTTGAGACCGCTCGAAAGATGGGCTTCGCTTCCGTAGCCATGGCTTTTTGTCCCCTTGATATGACGAGTGGTGTTCAAGTGTTGGGGAGATTGGAACAGGTGTGTGAGAACGGATCTTATGGGCCGTATGATGCAAGCTTGAATCGGCAGAACAACAAAACAACTCGCTCTGGAAGCCTTCTTTTTGCTTTTCCTCTCGGCAACTAGTATACAATGGGTATCTTAGACATAAACTCCGACCGCACAGAACATGTACACGGTTCCAAAGCTGTGACGAGTCAGCACATACTCTACAGTCAGTCGAATCACGCATCACCGGGGGTTCGCCATACGCAATTGCTAGAGAGGCCGGAACGCCGAGCGCAACAACGCTGACCAGAGAGCGGTCTATAAGAGCAGGTAATCAGTCGTATGTCCCAATTTGAACGCATTTGGAACACAGGAAGACTCACTCAGCGCAAAGACACCGGTAATGGCGATGCCCAGAGAGAGAAGCACGAACGCAACGGTGAATTGGCTCTCCTTAGCAATAGCAGGGACGAACGGACTGCCAGCAGCAGCTTGCCAGACTTGGTGCAACGAGGAATCCATGTGCTGCGCCGTGTGCAAACGAGGGATTGATGGATGGCTCCGGGGGTGCTTTTCACGAGCGATGGCAGGCCGGGAACTGGAGGCGATCGACTTCTCGTGGGTCAGTCAATCAATCGCGCCGTGATTGCGAGATTGTTGGAGCTTGAGAGAAGCTGGTCCAATGCCACCAGCTGTCCACGTTTGATATCTGGCCGATTAGGCCGATCGGGTTTAGCGCGATTCGCGGCTGGGATGATGTAAGCACCACTCCACCCAAATCCAGCCTAGTTGGTCCCTGCGGCTCTGAGCTCCTCCCCCACAGCAGCTTACCTAAGCCAACGCAGGAACGCTTGGACCATGAACTTTCTCGAACCCGCGTCAAACGTCACGCCTGTGACTTCGTACCGACTCCGTCTCTCTTAGTACTTACCTTAACACCACACATGACAGCCTCAACACTGCACAACCCCAAAGGCATCTCGCATCGATTTGCGTCTCGAGGCCCAACAGCCGAACCGTCGCATTCCGATATCATGGCCGAAGTCAAGGAAGAGAGTAAGGCGACTGCCCCTCCAGTTACTTCTTACGCCCGCCAACACACCAACTGACGCATCGTCGCAGATGGCAAGCGCAAAGCCGAGGACGATCCCGTCTCGCCCGCCGCATCTAAGCGGGTTAAGCACGACGAAGATGCTGCCGAGGCAACAGAGCAGAAGCCCGTCGAGATGAAGCCGATTCCATTTCCAGAAAAGGTACGCCAACCATCCACAGCATTGGCCTATAAACACCCTTGAGCCACCCCCCTTCTTACACTGACCTTCCTTCTCCTTAGCCCGCCGTCATCGAAGAGCGCAATGGCGAAATCGAATTTCGCGTGGTCAACAACGACAACGAGCGCGAGTCCCTCATCATCCTCACCGGCCTCAAATGCATCTTCCAGAAGCAGCTCCCCAAGATGCCCAAGGACTACATCGCGCGACTCGTCTACGACCGAACCCACCTCTCCATCGCCATCGTCAAGAAGCCGCTCGAGGTCGTCGGCGGCATCACATACCGGCCCTTCAAGGGGCGCCAGTTCGCCGAAATCGTCTTCTGTGCCATTAGTTCTGACCAGCAAGTCAAGGGTTACGGCGCGCACCTCATGTCGCATCTGAAGGACTACGTCAAGGCCACCAGCGACGTCATGCACTTCTTGACGTACGCCGACAACTACGCCATTGGTTATTTCAAGAAGCAGGGCTTCACCAAAGAGATCACCCTGCCCAAGCACGTCTGGATGGGGTACATCAAAGACTACGAGGGCGGCACCATCATGCAATGCTCCATGCTGCCGCGCATTCGATATCTGGAAATGGGCCGCATGCTCCTTAAGCAGAAGGAATGCGTCCAGGCCAAGATTCGAGCGTACTCCAAGTCGCACAACATCCACCCGCCGCCCAAGGAGTGGAAGAATGGCATCCGCCCCATCAACCCCCTCGACATCCCCGCCATCCGCGCGTCCGGCTGGTCCCCCGACATGGACGAGCTCGCGCGCCAGCCGCGCCACGGACCCAACTACAACCAGCTCCTCCACCTGCTCAACGACCTTCAGAACCACAATTCCGCCTGGCCGTTCCTCGTCCCCGTCAATAGAGACGACGTGGCCGACTACTACGACGTCATCAAGGAGCCCATGGACCTCAGCACCATGGAGAGCAAGCTCGAGGCCGACCAGTACGCCACGCCCGAGGACTTCATCAAGGACGCCAAGCTCATCTTCGACAACTGCCGCAAGTACAACAACGAGAGCACGCCCTACGCCAAGTCGGCCAACAAGCTCGAGCGCTTCATGTGGCAGCAGATCAAGGCCGTGCCCGAATGGTCGCATCTTGAGCCGGAGAAATAAGACCAAACCGCCATCGTCTTCACGTACCCACCCGACGATCTGAGTCTGAAGCATGGCTTCTACGACGACATGATGGGGAGGGCTCCAGTGGCCTCTCTGCTCCTTTTCTCTTTTTTTCCCTTCTAATTCTTTGTTCCCGCTCTGCTTATCTTATGACTCGTCGTTTTTTCTGTTGAAGTTTTAAAAGAGCCACGGCGTCCCGGCACGGATATGAGGCGTTATGGACAGGTCTGTTTGTCGTTTACAATATGAGCTTCAGACTCGTCTGGAAAGTCGGAATGGATGCGTTGCTGGGGAGCCTGCCCAGCGAATGCGGCAGGCTGCGTTATACCAAGGCTTTGAATTGAACAGTGTGTTTACAAATTCGTCACGGGGCTTCACAAGCGCTATAGGACGCGCATCGTAGTCCAGGTAGTTGAAAGAGAGAACAAGAAAGACATGCCAGATGTGCCCGTGGACCTCAACTTGTATTTGTAGCATCCGTCTATGGCCACGTCAACAAACGATTGCTCTTGAACATACTCCATCTCAAATCGAACACTGCTGATAAAGCATCATCGCTTCCAAGACATAAGCATGTTTGCCGCTTCTCCAGACTTTTTTTAGCAAAGCAACCACACCCAAAGAATGTTGGGATAACGGCCCCTGCTCCCTCCCCATCTACCTACCTGGCTCTACCACAGATGTTGCACTTCGGTCCCAAGGTCGGAACCAGGCAAACAGTAGAAAAGAATAAGAACCTCACAAAAACAAAAAAAGCACACAAGAAGCTATGGGACAACAAAGAAAGCAGTGAAACATCAAACGCGCTTGACCGCCGAGACTCCGAGCGAGGGGAAGAGAAAGGAAAGTGAGGAACACAAGAAGAGAGCGGTGGAATAAAAAGACAAAGCTACCTTCACTCCTTGAAAACTGCGACTAAAGCGCTAAGAACGGAAAGTTTTGGGGGGCTGAGGAAACAAGGGGGAAACATCTATAAATCGCGCTTTTTGAGAGGTCTAATAACCGCCAAAGAAAAGAAAGGAGAACCCCTTTGAGTTGTTCTATCAGCTCGCAGGTACCACCGTGTCTCGAGAAGTAGCCTTTACGCGCCTCGAGCCCGAGCTCCCGGCTGACTAGTCGAAGGCTCGCCTGCTGGTAGTCGAAGGTTTGAATAATTTCGTCGAGTCACGGGTGAAAGAAGACTGGAACGAGGCTGCAGTGTCGATCGCGTCGCCGAAATCAGGATCTGCCCACTGCGGATGGAGTTCTCGTTGTCGATGGTGCGGCGGAGAAGGGGCTGGAGAATCTCAGGGATCTCTGACCATTGGCCAGCGCGGGCTCTGTGCAGCATGCCGTCGGAAAGGGGGTTGGAGGTCACAGAGCTAGACGGATGGGACTGGCCGAGCATTTCGGCCGTCATTCTGTCTGTCAGGACTGCCAGCTCGCCGCTATCAATCGCATTCTTGAGCCACTGCTCCCACTCTTCGTCCAACACGACCGACGTGTCACCGGCCTCGCGCCTGGCCGCCTGTGCGCGCAGGCGCTCGTTGAGCGGCACGCCCACGCTCGCCAGCTCCTCATCGCTCTCTTCCACGTCCATATTGTCGTCGTCGTCCAGGCTCGGCATAGCGAGGGTGTTTATCCTAACGGTTCGCGCTGGTTGTTGGGTGGATGGCCGGGCAACGGGCTCCCTCCAGTCGGGGAGGTCATCGGCTGCCGTATCTCGAATCACAATGCCTTGCTCGGCCTCGAACTTTTCCTTGGCCCACTTGGTCCCCTCCCACTTGGTGAGCGAGGAGATTTCGGCGTGCGTGAGGCCCAGGGCGTCAAAGGCTCGGAAAAGGCGACGGTGCCACTGCCACCGGCTGAGTCGGATGCGGTGAGTCGGATGAGTGTAGTCCAACCCCGGATACTTTGCTTCTTGCGTGTCGAGATGGCCGTAGAAGGCGTGCGTCTCCTGGCGGACTTCGGGGATGAGGCTGCGCTGAAGCAGCGCTGAGAAATCCTGGGGATCGAACGTCTTGGGCTTGGGAAACATGTGCTCGAACACGAGCTGGTCAATAGGCGGGCCCCTCATGGCTGCGGTGTCTGGTCCGGCAAAGTGGCCGCTTCGCGATGTCAGAGGTCTGAGGGCGTATTGCGCCGAATTATCAGGAGCGTCGCGAGTCGTCTGATGGAAGCGGCCGAAAGCGGGCGCGGGCGAGAGAAGGTTTGCCAGGCGGTTGTGGAAGGCTTTCGGCCGATCACGGGCAGATGTGACGATGGAGTGAAGGAGGCCAGCAGAGTTGTTGAAGGAGAGGAGGACAAGTCGGACGAGGTTGTCGTGTGTCTGCACAGGCAAGGTGAGAAAATTCCGGTCGTCACGGAAAATAGGCGGGCGGGCTCGGGTTGGGAGTCGGCCAAGGAATGAAGACAATGCCTGTCGAGATTATTTTGGGGGTCGATCCGAAAGTGCGGCCGCGCACGGAACAAAGAGAATCTTGCAAGGGGCAGGCAGGGAAGACGCTCGGGCGAGAGAATGAGGTGGGAAATGCGCAACAGTCGTTCCACGGCTGGAAAGATCACGTTATCCGGCCGGCGTGGAGGACAGTGAATTCGAGCAGGATTTGGAAAAGAAGAACAGATAAGGTACAATGATGGTGTGAGCGAGCGAGTGCCGGTGCCTGTGACAGGTGAATGAGCGAGTGAGTGAGCGAGTGGATAATTAACAAACTGCACGATGCTTCTGTGGGTATTCAGGTATGGATAGTCTGCAGCGCTCCGTACAGGGGAAGGGAGGAGAAGGTTGGGGAAAAAAGGAAGCAAAAGCAGGGCGCCGGTGCCAATCAAAGAGGTGGTCTGCTCAGGGTCTGGTCTGTCCGCCTGTTCCTGCGCCGAGGGACGGGAGACTGCCTGTGCCTGTGCCTGTGCCTGTGCCTGTACCTGTACCTGTACCTCTATCGCATCCAATGCAGAACGTGCCGTCTTGCTCTCGTCATCGGAGGGTTTTTCTTGCAAGTGAAAAGAGTTGCAGGAGGCATCAGTCCGATAATTAAATGCAGCTCGAATACTTGCCCTTTTAGATAACAGTCTTTTGCCGGGTATCTCCTGTGTTTACAATTACTTATACAGTCCCTCACTGCAAGCAGAGACGACCAACCCAGACGTGCGGAACATCGCATCCGGTGGCTTTTCCTCATGTTCCGTGCCAACATCACCTTATTCTACCGAAGCCGACATGGATGTTAACATCACACGCCATCAGCCGTAAGCGTTAGGCACAGAAAAACCGGTGCCTGAAGGCCTTTGTTACGGATCCGGCCACGAAGGACAGAACAGTTCAGTCCGTACAAGTGAGATTGTAGCTCGCTTGTGAATTATCTGGGTAGGCTTCCGTTGTGATGAGTTTCAAACGATGGACAGAAAAAGTAGGTAGTCGACATGACATTGTGCAGTTGCTACAGTAAAGCATGGAGCGCTATAATTCCGCCATGTGGACAAATGGCCGATTGAAGGACAAGGTCTCATGGTGTGCTCACTAGCAGTCGTTGACTCATAATGGGAGAATAATGGTGGACAAGCTCATCCTGGCATCTAGACGGCAGCATCAACATCTGCATTGTCCAAGTTCCAAAGTGTCTCAAACCACCGGCGAGCAACTCACGCAAGAATGGAGCATCAAAGACGAGTCAAAGTCAGGACAACGCTCCCCATCCTCCCGCCCTTCGAGTCTCGCGATGAAATCCACACTCCCCGGCTCATCCTCCGAGCACCGCACATCTCCGACGTGCCTGCTCTGCACACACTCCGCATCCAGCACGAAGTCATGAAGTATTCTGCAAAGGGCGCAGACAAGACCCTCGAGGACACGCGCAGGAGCCTAGATGTCTTGCTGCCTCCCAACGACAGCAAGACATACTACTTCCTCATATTCCAGAGAGACACGGGGGATTTGATCGGCAAGGGCGGCTTACACAGCATCCCAGGACGGAATTTGGGGTGGCCAGAGATTGGTTATTCCTTCAGACAGGAGACGTGGGGAAAAGGATATGGAACAGAATTTCTGACTGCCTTTGTCGAGAAATGGTGGAGTTTGCCTCGCAGAGAGGCCGAGATTGAGGTCGATACGGCAGGGCTGGATGCCCAATCGTTGGAGAGTGAGGAGCCATCCGCTGCAGTGGAGAGGCTCGTTGCCGTGATAGACGTAAACAATGTTGGAAGCAGGAGAATTCTGGAAAAGGCAGGTTTCAAGGCGTTCAAGGAGTGGACAGGTCCAGATCCCCGCGAGGCTTACAAGGGCCAGCAAGCCACCATGGCTGCGTTTGCAATCTTGGCGCCAGAGCAGGCGACGAGGAACTGAGCTTCGAACAATAACCACAACCTGAATATTGTTACTCCATACCTTATCTGGACAGAACTGTCGGATATCATTTCTTGTCGTGTTCACCCCATTTCTGGCAGAAAAGGCAAATGTTGGTGATGTTTGAGAAGGAAAGACATGTACGGAGTACTTTGTACTGTAGAGACGGTACTACTAAGTAAGGTAGCGCGCAATCACCTTGATGGGCAGATGCGCGAGATCACGTGCAGCTCTTCCGCCTTAATTGATTGAGCGCGTCCCAGCGCGATTGCCTCACAGAATTGTGTCACATCAGCTTCCACTGCCTCTCCGTCTGTCTTTCCCCTCTGCAACAGAGAGCCTCCCTCACCTCTGTGCACTCATCGCTTCCTCTAACCGTCTCCCCTGTTTCCATCTCCAGCAGCAAACCATGGGATCTACGTCACAGCACGAAGAGTACCAGTACCTCAACCTGGTCCGCGAGATCCTGGACCAGGGTGAGCGAAGACCCGATCGGTAAGGCACCGGTGACATGCATGCATAAATCAAGATCCCCCCCCCAAAAGAAAGCCTGCGGCTGACAACCGTCCCCCCGACCAGAACAGGAACAGGGACCCTGTCCGTCTTCGCCCCCCGGAGCTTCAAGTTCAAGCTCAACGACAACGGCCGCCCGATCCTCCCCCTGCTCACCACGAAGCGCGTCTTCCTCCGCGCCGTCATCGCCGAGCTCCTCTGGTTCATCGAGGGCAACACCTCGTCCAAGGCCCTCAGCGACGTCGGCGTCAAGATCTGGGACGGCAACGGCTCCCGCGAGTTCCTCGACAGCGTCGGCCTGACGCACCGCGACGTCGGCGACCTGGGCCCCGTCTACGGCTTCCAGTGGCGGCACTTTGGCGCCGAGTACGTCGACGCCGGCGCTGACTACACGGGCAAGGGCGTCGACCAGCTGGCCGAGATCGTCCACAAGCTGCGCACGAACCCGTATGACAGGCGCATGATCCTCAGCGCCTGGAACCCGCGCGACTTCAAGAGCATGGCCCTCCCGCCCTGCCACATGTTCGCCCAGTTCTACGTCTCGTACCCGGGCCGCGGCCGGGGCGTCAACGCCCCCGAGCCCTCGGAGGAGAACAAGCCAAAGGGCCACCTCCACTGCCAGCTGTACCAGCGGTCCTGCGACATGGGCCTCGGCATCCCCTTCAACATTGCGAGCTACGCGCTGCTCACGCACATGCTCGCCCACGTGTGCGATCTGGTGCCGGGGAGCCTCACCCACGTCATGGGAGACGCGCACGTCTACATCGACCACATCGATGCCCTTCAGACACAGCTCGAGCGCGAGCCGCGGCCGTTCCCCGAGCTGGAGATTACGCGGGAAAAGGGCGGCAGCATCGACGGCTGGAAGGTCGAGGACTTTGTCGTCAAGGGATATGATCCCCACAAATCTATTCCCATGAACATGTCCGTTTAGTCGGGCCGTCAAGAGAGAAACCATTTATAAGAGGGAGCATTCAAACAAAAACTGGCTTGTTCAGAAAGACGAAGTAAAAGCCGTAGGCCCCCCGTCGCGCCATGGCAGTTTCACATGTCGCAGCGTTCTTGCGAATCTCCCGTCTGTCTGTGGCAGATGCAGGCTAATCAGTGCTGTTCTTCTTAGAAACTGCTGTTCTTTCTTCTCATGTCTGCTACGCTTTCGCAATTTGGCTCCAGGACGAGCCTCCCATGGTTCGGGGGGCAGTAGGACCAGATGGCGGCGGCAAGCAACAGAAAGAGAGTAGGGGAGAATGGCAGACCCTAATGCAAAGAGCATTGATGAGTCTGCATCTGCCACATAACAGGTGGGACGCAACCATCTGCGCTTACCATGTGGCACTCAATGTACATCATCATGAAAGGGAAAAGAGAGGGAAAATCGGGCATCGGGATATACAAAATGAATGTCATGAAACGGACATCATGGGACTGCATGAAAAGACAATCATGACTTATGAGGAAGAAAAAAATCGTATACAAATGGTCGTTAAAAATCCAGGCGCTCGAGCCATATTGATTGCTGCTGTTATCTGTGTACGCGCAACATTGTATCTATGAGCTGCTGCTATACGTTGTGTAACTATCAGAGGGCAAAGAAAAAAAATAAAAGATGAGAAAGAGGCAGAGTTCCACCCGCTAAACTCCGTAAGAATGGTCGTTTTCTTTTCGTAACGTCATGACAATAAGAGAAGCGCCCTTCTCTTCGTATAAACACCTTTTTTCAAGTATAGGCAGATTCCTGGTATCGCCGACTGGGCATAGCTCCAGAGCCTCCCAGGTCGTCTTCCACGGATCGCCTGTCCCACTTCTTCCTCTCCTCCCGTAGGCGATCTCGGTCTCGCACATCCCATCCCGGCGCCTGTCGCCTCTCGGCATCGGCGTGACTGCTGGTTCGCCGCTGCGATTCAGGCCGGCGTGGATGCTGTTGTCGCTCCCTGCGCCCGCCCGAGTCTGCGTCGTCGGCGCGGTAGCGGTCTCGTTCTTCACGCAATCGGTGGCGGCGGCGGCGCTCTTCCTCGCTCGATCCTTCAGATAGACCGTCTGAGGCAAGATCTGAGTGATTCTGATTGAGCCGTGAAGGGGGGATGTGTTCGCGACTCCTCCGCACACGGATCGGGTCGTTGGCGGAGCTGTGTCCCCTTGAGCTGTTACGGCTGCCTGGGATAATGTTGGAAACCGTCTCCGAGAGCTTCTCTCTAAAGCCGCCAAACGGGCTGCCTCTCCTCCTTGCTTCTTCGGCCCGACTGTCGCTGCGATGGGTTCGGAAAGAAGGAACGCTGGAGCCCGCCGACGGCGGTGGAGGGCCCGATGATGACGGCGGAACGACGCGACGGACGCCAGGAGTAGTCGGCGAGCCAGTGCGATGTCGCCGCCTGGCTCTTGTATGCGCGGACTCGTCCACAGATTCATCGCCAGACGAATCGGACGAGTATCGCTGGAAGTGGCTGTGTCGACGGTTTTGGCTGGGTCGGCTGGGCGTTGTTCTGTTCGACTCAGGGTTGAGATAGGTACCGGAATAGCTATGGCGGATGCCATCTCTGTGTGGCTGGCGTGTGGAAGCGTAGTCGGAAAAGCTTCGACGTCTCGCAGAGTCGTCGACGGGTCTCTGGCGGCGAGACCGTTCGGGCGAACGCATCGAAGGCCTTTGGCCGAAATTAGCCCCATGGCTTTCGCCTACACGGACATAGGTGAACCTTTCGTACTGGTTTGGATCAGCAGCCCTCGACCGCGGGGACGTCGAGCGGAAGGGATCCGCGGTATGGACGTAGGCAAACCGAGGCGCGGCGGCAGGTTCAGCAAACGGCGGGGGCCGAGGCGCAGAGCCGGAGGTGGGCATGCTTGCTCCCTCTTCTTCCTTGTTGGCTTCATCGCGCATTTTCTCGGCGCATTGCTTGTGCCAGCGATCGACCTGCGGATCTGGCTCTGAGGGGAAGACACTGGCGGGCAGATCGGGCGGGAAAGCCTGGCCCGTCTCGGGATGCCTGAGGGACCAATGTTTGACGGCGTGCTGGATGAAGGGGACGTGCATTTCGGGCTCGAGGAGGACTTCTATGGACTCCCATCGCGAGAAGCCTCTGGGCGTCAAGGTTGGGATAGAAGGCGGTGCGAAGTCGTTATCGGTGGGCTGTAGACTGTGCTGGCAGCCCGTTACTTGCCATATGTAGGAGATGGCCGAGTGCGGCGTCTCCAGGAACAGTGCTGTTGCGGCGAGTTAATACATGCTTGCGCGGTTCCGTCTTTGCCCGCATGCCACTTGACGTACAATCGTAATCACCGCCCACGGCTTTGTAGAAGGCAGCGAGCTTCTTGGGGTTGAGATGGGCATCAGTCCTATCGCCGAGCTCAGTAACCTGTCGTCAAGTTGATTCTGATCAGCCATGTTGTCTCTCGTCCATGTCGGGCCAGTTTGGAGAGGCGTACGATAAAGCGCGCCATGGCTCTCAGCAGCGCATCGAACTGCATTGTCGGGCTCTTGTCAGCTTCGAACATGTAGGCGTAGCTGATGTCCCCCGGTGGCGATGCGCCATTCGATCGCGGAACGGCCATACTGGACGGCGACTGGTGGCGTGAGGGGATCGCATTCAAGACGGCTCCGTGGGCGCTATTCTTCCCCTTTTTTTCTGCGGTCCAGGAACAAAAACAGAAGTTGAGAGACAAAGAGAGAAGAAGGTGGGTGGGCAAAGGTGGTTGATGTCACTAGTAGTAGCTGCGGCAGGGCCCGGGCCTGGGGAGCAAAATAGCTAAATAGGCTATGGCCGTGGCCGAGATTCTAGAGGCGGTCCAACAGCCTAGCAGAGCAAGCTGTGCGCCACACCACAACGGTCGAGTTCAGGGAAATATGATCAAGCAAGCGAGAAGGAAATGAAGACGCAGAATCGAGGGAGACAAATAGGCTCAACTGTGTCAGGGCACGTATTCTAACGAAGGAAAAGAAGGCTGGCGTATCAGAGGTTGGTCAGATCGAGGCAGATGCTGACAGCCATTGGATTCCGCGCAGATGGAATTCGGAGCCTTGGGCCTTGGCTATGGTATCGTACAAGTAATAAACGGTACAGTACATGTTAGGGTATGACCATGACTGGCAGGCCCGTGATGAGGATACCGGTGACCAGACGAGACCAGACACGCATGGCGAAAACGGCCCCTCACGGACCCTCACGGGCTGACACGTGCGTCGTGGCTGCAGGTGGTGCGAGCCTGGATGCGTGGCTGGACGACGGAGACGGGCGAGGCATGTCGACTACGATACTAAGGTAGTAGCTGGTGGTCTAGCCTGTGCGGTGGTTGGGGAGAGGCGGTTGATCGCTCGGAGCTGCTAGTATTAGCTGGCAGACTGGGTGCAGCAGATGGATTCAAAGTTGGTGCATGCGTTTTCGCCGTACGTACGTACTTTGTGATACATGCAAATGATGTCACCGAGCGAATGAGGGTAGCAATCATTAAGCAGGGGGGAGGAAAAGGAGAGGGACGATACAGTGATGGTGATGCTCTTGGAAAGACAGCATTGCATAAAGGTAGAAGGAGATGGAAAGCTTCAGAGAAGTGCAAGTCGATATCCGCATGTTCTGGCACCTGCTCGCACGACTGCACCTGCAGCATCTCGCAGTGGAGTGGAGGGGCCTCCAGCTGGCCGCCTCCGACTGCCTCAAGCTCCAACTGCCCCCCCGTCCCGCCCGCTACGCCCGCTGTTCTTTTGGCGGCTGATCGCCTCTCCAGCTGCCTCGAGACCCACTGCCAGCGCCATGAGATCGACAAAGTCCACTGAACTGAAGCGAGACTCGGGCAGCAAGACGAGGAAGAAGTGGCAGCGGTGAGCCGTACCTTAGCTGTGCATGTATCTTGTGAAATCAGGGTTCAGCTGGATGTTCATTCATACCATGCACGACACGACATGTGAAGATTTTTCTTCTCATATCTCCGGATATTATTTCCTTACGCCTACTGCCACCAAATCCAAGATTGTCTGCCCTGGATGGTGAACCATGTCAACATGTCCAGGCAAGCAAGCACCAGCCTCACGCTGAGCCACACCAAGACCCCAGAACGTTCCGCCCCGCCCTGCCTGATGTCATCCAGGCACAGGCGCAATGGCAATCTGGCCTGAGGCCGACCCGCCCGGGGATCGGGCAAGAAGCGTCGCATTCCGCATCGGCGAGTTTGAGGACGACGCGGAAGACAAAGAAAGGAAGAAAGAGCATCATAGCTTTGGGCTTCGGGCTGCGACCATCTTGCGATTGCTGGCATTGCAACAGACACGACCTCGAGAGAGAGGGCTTCGACACTCTTTAAGCTCCACTCGGAACTACCTTAGGCGGAAGAGGCGCATATCGCCGGTCCAACATCTTTTTTTTCTTTATCTTCTTCTTCTTCTTCCACCATTTTTGGCTTCTTTTCCTTCCTCTGACACGGGCTCCCTCTCTGTCGCGACAACCAACGACCAACCCCCAGCGCTTCGTCCCGCCTCGGTCCAAGCTCAGCCTCGCACTCGTACACCATGGACGCCGTTCGGTCTCTCGTCCAGCCCGTCACGCAGAACCTGCCGGCCCCCATCCGGGACCTGGGCGTGTCCATCCTGGGCGACACCTGCTACAAGGCGCTGCTGCTCGACGTGGACGTCGAGAACGTGGAATGCCTCAAGCTGGCCGTCAGCAAGGGCCTGGGCATCGGCATCGTCGGCGCCTCGCTCGTCGTCAAGGTGCCGCAGATCCTCAAGCTGCTGCGGTCCAAGTCCGCCGAGGGCGTGTCCTTTTTGTCGTACGCGCTGGAGACGAGCGCGTACCTCATCTCGCTGGCCTACAACGTGCGCAACGGCTTCCCCTTTAGCACCTATGGCGAGACGGCCTTCATCCTGGGCCAGAACATCGTCATCAGCATGCTCGTGCTCAACTACTCGGGCCAGCCCGGCCCCGCGGCCATCTTTGTCGCCCTGCTGGCCGTCTGCGCCTACAACCTGTTTGCGGACAGCCTCATTGATATGCAGACCTTGGGCTATCTGCAAGCGGGCGCCGGCGTCCTCGGTGTCGCCAGCAAGGTTCCTCAGATCCTGGCCATCTGGAAGGAGGGCACCACCGGCCAGCTCAGCGCCTTCGCGGTTGGTCTCCAGCTATTATGTCCTTCGTCTAATGGTCATACCGCTAACAGCTGTTCGATGTTTAGGTCTTCAACTACTTGGCCGGCTCGCTGACGCGCATCTTCACCACGATCCAGGAAGTTGACGACAAGCTCATTCTGTACGGCTTCGTCGCCGGCTTTGCCCTCAACGCCATTCTCGCTCTGCAGATGATTTACTACTGGAACGCTCCGTCGGCCAAGGCCAGGGGCAAGCGGAGAGAGGTCATCCCCGTTGATGCCCATGACGCCGCCCACTCGAGCTCAAGCTCAAGCTCCGTTGCGAAGAAGGGTCCCACCACTCGGCGCCGTGGCTAGACGAGCATTTCCTACACATCATGTCTCCTTTTCTGGTGTATTGGTCGGGATTAGGGTACTGGCGAAGAAATAAATCTAATGAAATAGGGGTGGAAGACGGCGGAAATGCTTGGCCTATATCTAGTATTTAATGAAAGCTACAGCTACTTAATCGCTTGGCTATTCTTGCTCTTGGTGGGGCTTCGGATGCAAAGTTCTGAGCATGAGTGAGCTTGATACATCGAGGTGAAGCTATCGACTCCATGGTACCAACACGACGTCGATTCAAGAGGCAAAACAAGTTCAAATTCCGCATATTCGAGAACTCTATGGCCCGCTATACGATGCCGACTATGCAGCCAACTCTGGCATGATTCATGTTCATATTACTGCCGTGTAGACATGACAAACCACATACAAAACCCTGATAAACGCCAGCTAACCCAAAATAAAAGAAGAAGAGAAACAAAAGTCTCCTCAAAAGCTCGCCTAGAACATAACAACACATCACACCTAATGCTGAAATGCTTCCTGACCCTTAGCAAACCGGCACGCCGGCATTCGTCCAGCCAATGCCGCCGATCCAGACCCTCCGGCCGGCGCACTGCAGGCAGCGCTTCTCCTCGCCGAGGTTGCTCACAGAGCAGCTGAAGCAGACGTGCTTCCCGCAGGCGCCGCACGCCGTGTCCTGCGCCGCGCCGCCGTCCAGGTCCATGCCCATGTCGTCGCCGCCGCCAACACCACCGTCGGATCCGGCCAGCGGAGCGCCGCAGTCGTCGCAGGCGGTGGGCGTCGCCAGGGCGCGCGAGGGATCGGCGAGGCCGGGCGACGACGTGCCGGAGCTGGGCTGGGAGCCAATGTTCCAGAAGCGGTGCAGCGACTGCTGCTGGCCGTCGTGCTGATGTGCCGACGCGGACGCGGACGACGTCGGCGTCGGGAGGGGACTCGGGTCGGAGGAGCTCGAGCCTTCGGGAAGCAGCATCTGGTCCGCGGGGACGGCGGCGACACCGTGCTGGTGATGATGCTGGTGGTCCTGCTGCTGCCTCTGCTGTGCCGAGTACAGGAGGCCCAGGGTGTGCTCTGCGGGAGGCGGGCATGAGTGTGGGCTCATCAGACGGTGGTGGGCGCGCCATTCGTAGAACTTACGATGGACCTCCTCGTCCGACGGCCTGTTGTCGCGGTAGCGCTTGAGGGTGCGGCTGTGCAGCAGGGCCGGCGCGTCGAGGGCCATCATGGAGCTGCTGCAGTCGGGGCCGGATGAGAGCGCTGCGGCGGAGCGTTTGCGCTTGAGGAGAGCCATGATTCTTTCTGCACCTTTTTGGTGGTGTTTTATGTGATTGATTGGGGGGGGAGAGAAGAGATGCTGGAATTGAATAACGGCGATGAAGAAGAGGAGAATCGATGTTACAACTTGCAGGCACGCAAACGCTGCTCAATGCTTTATGTTAGAAAGATGACGATGATTGAAGCAAGAAATTGTCGTAACGGATATCTGAGAGCGAAGCTGAGAAGCAGAGACAGAAAACGAGGATGAAGGATCAGGATGAATTGGGAATGTGAGAGAGTGAGACGATGGTCGTTGAGGTAACGAATGAAGAGGCGGGTCCCCTCGGCAGGTATTTGTATGTAATAGCAGCTGAGAGGCGCGACAAAAAATACGCTGACGGGATGGCGCGAAGCTTCGCGATTTTTTTTATATCTGTTTTTTTTTCTCCGGTAAATTTCGTGCAACGCGTAGAGTGGCATTTTTGTGCTGATCGCGACGAGGCTAAAGATCGATCGGGGTTCGGCGATGGCGGTGCATGGGTAGGTAGCAACAACAGCAATTCGAGGGAGTTCAACTGGAGTTTTCTGCATCTATGCTTGCACCATTTGCACGGAATCCAATCCATCAAGGTACGGTATCTACTTATCGTGAAGCAAGTTGACATCGAACAGATGGTACTACCTGTCAATACCACACATGACCAATCGAGTGATACATATCCGTCAGCAAAGCTCAACCCAATCCGCTCCAACCAATCCCTCTTACACAACCCTCACCACCAGCTTCCCAATCCCTCCCTTGCCCGAGACAACCTCCTCGCACCCCTTCCGCACCGCCTCCAGGTCCCCCAGGGCCACCACCCTCATCACCGCCTTCACCTTGCCCAGCGCCACAATCTCGCCCGCCCTCTCCAGGTCCTCGCGGATCTCGAGGCTGCCCGACACCATCTCGTACCGGATGCTCGTGCCCCGGAGCTTCCACCAGTACACCAGCTGCGACAGGTCCAGCAGCAGGCCGACCCACCACCGCCACCGCTCCTCGCCGATGATCTTCTTCGCCGTCGCCCGGGCCGGCGTGCTCGAGATGGACACGAGCACGCCCGTCGCGGGGTTGAGCAGCGGGATGCCGTCGTCCATGCTGTCCCACTGCGTGTTGTACATGATGTCCACGCTGCCCGGGCTCACCACGTCCCTCGGCCGCTGCGTCTGGTAGTCAATCACGCGGTCGTACACGCCCGGCAGGTACTCGTCCACCAGCGGCAGCTTCCTGGTCGACACCGTCGTGATGATGTGCGTCGCGCCAAACACGTTGCGCGCCGTCTGCGCCGCCATGGCCCCCGTCCCGCTCAGCCCGGCCGGGATGAAGACCGTCTTGCCCGCGAGGCTCTCCGCGCCCAGCAGCTGCAGGCCCCGCCGCCACGTCTGGTACGACGTCGTGACCAGCGTCGCCATGCCCGCCGCCTCCTCAAACGACAGGTGCGCCGGCTTGCGCAGCAGGAAGCGCTCCTCGGCCAGCGCGTAGTCGGACAGGAACCCCGGCGGCGGGAGCAGGAACATGGGCTTGTCGATGTAGGCCCCGTACACCTCGTCGCCGACCTTGAGCTCCTTGACGGCGCTTCCTACGGCCACGACGACGCCGGCGCCCTCCATGCCGAGCTGCGTTGGATAACTAAACACTCTCCAGTCAGACAGTGCTTCTTCGTTGTCCATGTGAACAAGCTCAAACGGGGGGCTTGGAAAGGGGGAAAGCATCGTGCTGGGTTTCTTCCTTACGTTGGCTTGTAAAACAGTCCCAGCTCCCCGTTGGCAGCCTTGAGCTCCCCCGTGTTCACGCCTGCCGCGTGGATCCTCAGGAGCACATGCGTCGGCATCGTGATGCTCGGCACCGGCAGCTCTCGCAGCTCATAGGTCTCGGGTCCGCCCTTTCGCGTCGCCACGAGCGAGCGCATCGTCGCCGGGATGTCCATGTTGACGATGCTGTATACGCCCCTTGAAAGATAGTGCCTAGAACTTATAAGTGAAGCCCCGAAAGCAGGGTGTAAAAGACGTCCCGTATATCACAACTCCCGCCCAGCTGAATCTACGACGAAGCACACACAAGAACCACAAGCAATAGAATGAGGGGGATAACCAACACGGCAGCATCACGCAATCATCATCATGCAGCTGAACATACATATCTATATATACTACCTACTTAACCTTGCATACAACAAGAAGGACCATATTTGTATGTATGTACACTGAAAATACCGCCCGATGTGACAATGGGATCCCACTTCGGCGGCGGACTTGATCCTTTCGGCGTTCGGTGGGTCTCGTTCCGATCCGGCGGGCCGCCGAAAATCAATCAAAGGCTCCAGTCCTCCCCAATCCCCTTGGTGGATCGTCGACTTGGTGTCCTCCGATGTCAAATGTCATTTTCCGCATCGGCGGAGTTTCAGCTTCATCCTTTCGGTGTTGTTCTACTATTGCCCTTATCTCCTTCAAAAGGATCATGATTGTTAAGCAGATCATAGCATATGCACACTTCCTGCATCCTCCACGATTAAAGGAACCACTCCCCCGTCGAGACACCCCATACATCTATTCGAGGAGGACGTATAGCAATACCAAGCGTTTACCATACTCCCGTTGCAATGAAGAAGCACAAGGACAAGCCTTTCTGATTTATAAACGTGTATTGCAAATGTGTAGTACAGATGCTACCACTAAACAGACGCATGCCTCTGCTGCGCTACGCTACCATCAATAGCTACATCAAACATGGTATACATCCACACAAGTCTACCTTGCTCCCGACAAGAAAACGAAACAGCGCCTGCAAACACTTTTTGCCCATCTCTTCATCCCTGAATCCCTCTCGTCCTTGTAGAATGCTATCCCAAAACAGCCGTACGCCCCATGGGGTTTCGGGTATAACCCCATCTCAGTTCCCAGAAAATCAAGAAAATATCAAGGGCTCACGCCCGTGTGCAATTTCATCCCGGTCCTCCCACCAGGTACGCCCAAAGTTCTCCCTTCCAAATAACAAAGAAGACTATATATAGGAAAATTCGAGATATAAGTGATAGACACAAGTCGACTCTTCCTAGCAAGGGCAAGAGTATGTTGTTTTCTCTTCGGTTTGTAGATAAAGAAACGCCAAGTCTATGCAGAGAATGGTGAAATTATATGAGAGGAAGGTATGGCTGGAGCAAAAAGAAGGCGCGTCGGCCTTCAGTAGTTGTGTTGATAAGGAATCGGATAGTGGCCATGTCCTCGACAAGACATGGTTGGTTGTCATTGGTAGTCGTTGGGTATCATCGACGTGACGGAATCTCTCGTGTGTTACGTGGTGAGGCCACCAGCTGGCTGTAGTCGGATCGGCCGACATGAGATGAAAATAGGTGAAGAAAGAGTGCATGATCCCGGGATGCGACAACATCTGCCCTCTTTTACTTCAAGGCAGATGCCGTCTGTGACTGGGATCACGGGGTTGGCACTGCCGGTCGTGTTGCCGCTGCTGGGCCGCCAGCCATTCGGTAGATCCAGCCTGGCGGGAGGGGTTCTCGGCTGGTAACTTTGTGTCCTGTCCGGTACCGCTGCCGCTGCCGCCACGGTTGCCCGCAGAGCTGGAAGCTCCGGGAATGATATCCGTAACCGCTTGAGCGATAGTTGCCACGACGTAGCCCCGGAGCTCCTGATCCTCTTGCTGGTCTTCCTTTTCAAGGCGAAAACGCTCTTCCTTGGACTTGTTCGCTCGGCGGAGATGCTTGATCTCCTGCATAATGTAGAGCATGACTTCCTCAGGACATCGGTTGCGCTCGTTGGCGGCCTCGTTTGTGCGCACATATCGCCGAGTCACATCGGTGGCACCATCAGTTGAAAAGGCGATGCAGTACGACATCTTCTTGCCCCACCCCTCGGTGTAAAGGCGCGGGTTGTCCCAGGCTTCCTCGCAGGCGTCGACGTGGATCCATCTCTTCTGATGGTCAGAGTAGACTTCTGTCCAGACGTGGTCTTCGGCGTTCCAAACCCATCGGACACGGCCCCCTACCGCGCGGCAGAGCATGCTGAAGCAGTTGGCCCACTCTCCGACGCGGCCTCTCCTGGTCTGCAACAGACGCCACACATCACCGTACCGCGGAAAACGCTCATAGGCACCGCAGCTCTCAGCAGAGCAGCGATAGAGCTCGACTCGTAGCGCGGCGCAGGCTCTCTCCTCGGGAGTTGGTGCAGTCATGCCTTGGGCGATTGTGGGTGACAAGCACACTGGGCATGGGGGGTTGTTGACCCATGTGAAGAATGATCGCCGGAACCACCTATTGCGAGAGGGGACAAGGTTAGAACTCTGTATCAAAGTATAAGGGATAGGGACATGGTTCCATATCATCAAGACCTACCGAAGAAGAGCTCGGATGACACAGTCTTGGTATCCCCATTCCGGCCTCCGACCATCGCCCATACTCTCTGCCTGAGCTTGCAGAACCTGGCACTCCTCCTCGGCCTCTCCATAGATGCGATCAAGGGGGATGGTCTGGAGGGCCTCATCCAGCAGACCGGGGTTCTCGTATTTCGTGGGTGTGAGTGACAGGCTGAGTAGGAGGTTTCGAAACTTTTGTGAGTCTCGGTCGGTAGCGGCGGGCGGCGTTGGGATCTTGGGGAGGTGGCGCAAGGCTGAGTATGAGGGCGGCGTCGTCGATGAGTGGGATGAGCGCAAGCGATCGCTGCTTGGTGAGGCCTCGCGATAGACGTTCGAGGGCCGGTCGTGCAAGCTCAGAGAGCGAAGGTCGTTCATGCGCTTGTCGCGCATCATGCCCTCGAAGCGGACCGACAGGCCGTGAGCCCATTCCTGCCCATAGCTGTCGCCTTGTGACGGGTGCCCTGAGCGGGCAGGAGAGTCGCGGCCGTGCATTGCGGATGAGGACGGGTAGAGAGGAGATTGAAGTCAATTAACGGGCGAAGCGGGTCGATAGCGAGGTGCGTGGAAAGAAGCCGATGCAGACGAATCTAATCGTTTGGCTGAGCTGAGATCGTTCCTGTCTTCAACCCCAATGCAGATCGAGGGCGCTGCAAGATGCAGAGTAAATAGACAAGTGCTGGGGAGGAGATTGCGTCGTCGTCGATGGAGATCTTGGGTCGTAGGCGACAGCGTCGTCAGCTGCGGATGCGTAGGCCACTGAAATTGCCACAGTGACTGTCCCAGCACCCCTCAGCGTGCGCCGAAACTAACTGGCCTGGCCGCGTGTTCTGGGGTATGTTTTCCCGGTTGCTTGTGCGCTGGTAAGTCGTCGCCTTGTCCCTGGAATCGACTGCCGTCGACGCTGGGAGAGTTCAAGCCGTCACCAGAGAGAAGCGCTGGGTATAGTACTGGGTAGGAGGAAGAAGTCGGGTCTGAGCATGAGCATGAGAAGGACAGTGGAAAAAAAGAAGGTGGACGGGGGCTTAGCGGAGGTTGCAGACGATGGCGTGGAAATGGGCCTCTTTTGGGGGGTCAAGAGGCCTGGAGACCGCTGGACTGCTGGCGCACCACCTCCACTGCGTGTACGAGTACGTACTTGCGTACCTCCTGCAGGGCAGCCCGGGCGAATTCATAAATTGGAAGGGACCACCAGGCCGTGAGAGCGTCGTGGTGGCTGCTCTGCGCTGGGGTGCCGCTTCCTCTTTGGAAAGCCACTTGCTGGCGGTTTACGCGTCAGCTGGTTGGTGCAGCCAATCACAGCCGCCGCCTGGCCCATCCCAGGGCTAGCTGCTCGGTGAGAACGACCCGGCGCGGGTACCGTTACAAGGCGACGAGGTCAGGGTACCTTGCACTGTGCTCTTACCGTACAAGCGGCAGAATGCAGATGCTGCTGCGGCATCAGAGAATGAAGATTCAAGGTGAAGTGGTCGGTATGCTCTAGAATGGAAGGCATAGTAAGGTCAGCAATGCTGTAGATTTACGAAGCACTTCTCACTCAAGTAAGTTGTAGTTACGTCTGAAAGTCGGTTGACAGTCTCATTGCGTTACCACGAGGCCTTCCAACTCAATCCGTACCACTTGTAAGTGGTCCTATTGGAAGCTTTCTTACAATGTGCCCATGCAAGCTGGCATCTCGGCTCGCCACAGACCTGTCTTTACTCTATGCTTAATGTATTTCTTCTTTCCATCTTCCTAATTTCTTTCTGATTTTCACAATCGGCAACGGACCAGCGAAAGGGCTGAGATCCAGGGAGGCTCTGCTTCCGGTTTCAGCTCCTTGTACCAACATGCGTCAGTGCTATCCACAGCTTATCGTTGGACACGCGCGGCTGCGATTACACGCACGCAGATTAACCCGCCACGAGACGAAACGACTTCAACAAAAGGGGAACCGCCCTGATCAAGCGCCTCTAGCCCGCCCAGCAAAGTCACTCTCAGAGGCTGCATTTGCAGAGCAACGGCTCGCAAAAGACGCCCTATTAACAAATTGCACGCTTCACTACCTGCAGTTCTTCGTACGTGCAGAGGTACCGCGGCTCTCCTGCTGAGCGGCCCGCAAGTACCGAGACTTCGGCCCCTCCAGCACGCGGCGATGACGAGGCACGTAGCGCATGATGCGCCTTCCCCGTTTCTGCTTGTGGCACAGCCGATGCCAAGATGCTAGCGCCATGGCTGCGCATTGCGGCATCGCGCACTGTGCCTCTGGGCCCGTCAGGCACGTTTTCCGCGCGGCTTGTCAGTGTCTTTACGGGCCGGCACTGGGTGAGGGATACTGTGCCCAGCTAACGGAGGCGATGCAAGCGCCTCAACTCCGTTTCTGCTGTATCGTGCCTTTGTTGGGCTGTAACTCGTGGTTGACGTCTGGTTCTTTTCTCGTCTCCTCCCGAGCTGTGGCACAAGCCCCTCTACCCAGGGACTCTTCTTGCGCTTCCTCGAGTCTTTCAGTCCGTTCTCGCGGCTACGAACGAGTCACCAGCTGATTTTGACCCCTGCTGTGCCCAGGATTGCTAACCGCAATAGGTACCAATTTGTCCATATGGCTCATGCAACCGCTGCCGATACAACCCAACTGCGTTGACTAAACGATCTGCATCCAGATGGAGGCTCTCCGTTTCACACGTTCGGTTTGCAGACTTCATCGCTTTCGCATTCCGCATTTTGTCTTTCCCCTCTCTTGTCTCTTCGCCCCAACATCTTGCCTGTCAAAGTTCTGTGATCTCCAGGTCGAGGATCGCTGGGATCAGCAAGTGGCCACAACAAACACACCCTCACATCCACTCACACCTCTTGAGGTCTCATGAATAACATCTCAAGAGCAGGAGTGTCCGGTACTCGCTCACTTTAAACAAGGCTCGAGAAACTGATTGATCCAACACTGCGGGAAAACGCGGCAGCGTGTGATTTGAAAGTGAGAGGAAAGGAACCAGCAGAAAATGGCCCATCCACACAGACAGTATGTGATGCGCCCATCAACACCGTACGGCCGGTACTGCGAACTCCGCGGCCACGGGATTTTTACCGCAGGCGTCCAAAGAGGGCTTCGCTGATCAGCCTTGCGAGTCCGTTCCTGGCCTTGCCGCGGCCAAGGACTCAAAATTGCCGCCCTCCAACATGGCGGTCACAAAGGCAGAAGGGAGACCATCATGATCCACGGCAGTGGCTTACTATGACCAGAGTCATTCTGCCACTGAAATCGAATTCATCAAGAGTTGCTGCTCAAATTTCAGACCAGACCACCAGCTAGTCGATGCCCTCATCAAGACCCTTCAAATGCTAGTAGTCCTGCCTGCAAGCATATCACGCTCCCGTTCTTCCAGGCGCCCAAACTATCCTGAATATGGCACCCATCTATCCGCTCCTTCTATTCAGTGTACTCGTATTGCCATGATGTTGAGAAAATCAGAAAAGCCGCGGGACCGTGCCTTACTGTACGTTGCTGACTCCTCTTATTCAGTCAGCAGATATCCCATCACCGTCCCAACTCAGCTTCGAGACAGAGCAAGGGCATTTCCGATCCCTTGCTGTACGGAGTACGAAAGTACATCAAGACAGAACGATTAGGGCCTCCAGCATCTGTCCAATCACAAGCTCGCGAAATAATTTCTCTGTTCTACATACGCTCACAGCTGGGGCGTGGTGCTAGGGGGCGCGAGGCCGCGTCATCCGCTCCTCTGGGTTCTGCTTGTACTTCGTACGCAGAACGAGGGGTCCTGCGTGCTACGTCCAATCGCCACTGCACGCTTGTTAGGCAAATGAGACATTCCCTACCTTTGCCTACTATCGAGAATTACTTTGCTTATTACAGTTAGCAGGGCGTGGCGTTGGGGCCCGAGGAGACAGCCTGGCTGTTGCAATACTCGAAGAGCAGCGGAGCAAATCACCACGCAATTCCCACGTTCCAAAAGAGGCAGAACGTTCGAACCTATGCCGACTCCCTGTTTGTGGTGAATATGGACCACTTCTACACTCATGGATCCCGGTATAAACTGGCTGCTGTACATACATCGAGGAGCCCGGCAGCCAGTTCGCCGGGAAGAAGGCCAAGAAGATATCACAGCGTTACGGGGTATATCGCTTGGCATTGTCGGTGTGAACTTCATCCACTGAGGTTTTACAATCGAAGCTTGACTTGTACTACACAGTACAGCCAGCTGGAATCACAAAGTCGTTAACCACAGCCCAAGGGCGGATTTCGGTCCACTACTTCTGTCGCCTGGCCGGTCGTCCTACAGTCCTTGTGGGATACTAAGGCAAGAGTATATTAGCTACTGACATATTGAATGCCAACACGACATTCAGCCCAGGCTTGCCCTGCATTCCCTGTCATCCAACAACACCGCAAGAACTTTTGCGTTCCACACTTTCTGCAGAATTATCAGACAGTGGATGGATGAACTACGTCGAAGGCCCATACAGTATGCCTCGATATGCCTGCCCTTACTGGCCGTCTCGCATCTTATATTGGAGACATGACCATCCCAAGCAAGGGCCGTGATATCATGGCCCTCGTCCAGTTCGGTACATACACAGAGCCACATGGGAGATCGAGAATTCTACTTTCTCGATGTGCCTGATCCGTGCTCATTAAGTTGACCCAATTCTCAGTCGTCATCCACGGCCTGACTCGCTCCACAAGTCTCATTCTTATCTGACGGTCAATGTCCGCATCCTATGTACAAGGCACCAAGACGTACACAGCCGTTGGATTTAACGAATACCTCATACAGCACATACGTCGTACCATGTAAGAGTCTACGAAACGGCTAGGGCACCCGGCTGTCCTGGTCCAGGCGCGGCTTTTTCCATAGGGGACGCGCGTTAATCGGACCTCACCCCTGCTTTGCCCAGACGTTGTCGTCGATGTCGTCGTCCTTGCTAGGGTCGGTGTCTTGTTTCTCCGATAAAAAGTTGAAGTCAAGAGACGTAGACTGCTTGTGATATAAGTTCATGTTTTTGTGACCAAGAGTTTGCTCATGCCCATAAGACATATGCTGGCACTGGTTATGCCTCCGTAGTTCACTACGTGTATATCAAAACACAGCTTCCCTCACAAGATGAGCCTCATAACGATAGGACACACTTCATCCTATGCTTTACAGACGAAGCACAAATGGTGATGCCAAGAAGTGGTAGTATCTTTGTGGAGTGTCAAGTACGCATGAGCTCCGGGCATCCAGGGCAAAGCATTACGTAGCAACCCCGAATGACACACGACGATTCCGTCTGAATCAGTCAAGGGTATGTACGCTTGGACATAATCCTAGGCACGACACCTTAGCTTAATCAAACTCTTGACCGTATCCCAGGGCCTCAGAGCAGTCTCTATAGACGCAAAATAACAGTTCAACTCCATTTTATATGCTACGAGCCTCAACCGGCCTTCTTAATAGAACATAAACAAGGAATACTAGGTAGCCCAAATCTCCAATACATGACTCTTAACATATGTACTCTTGTGATCCTGATGGGAAAAAAGTCTCGATCCATCCGCGTTGGTCGGCCATGCCTTTCTGTTCCCGTCTCCCATTTTTACTTTTTCCTGAACACGCACAACAGCCACCTGCCATTAAACAAAGGAAAAGAAAAGAAACAGCTTTATTTCTTCTCCCACTCCTCCCCGGCGTAATACTTCTCAGGCATCTCCACATCCCACGTCGGCCTTTCCACTAGCGCAACCTCGAGGGGCTGGTCACGAGCGTTGAGGGCCACGATGCCAAGGATCGGGCGGTATTTGTAGGTTATCCACCAGCTCTTGCGGTCAGTTCCCGAGCTGCTGGCACTGCCGTTGGCGTTTCCGTTGGTGCTGCGGAGCTGGGCCAGGTCGCCCTCGGGAGCATCAGCCATGTCATCGTCGTCGCTGTCGCTTCCGTCCTCGTGGGGAGAGGCGGCATCCACGTCGACGTTCACCCACTGCCCGTCGACGTACTTGCCGACACGGTGCGGTGCGAGGTTCTCAGCCATCTTGCCTCCGGCACCGCTAGTATGGCCGGTCCTCTTGCGCTTGGTACCCGGCTGAGCTCCCTTGCTGACGACAGCGTCGCTCTCGGACGCGGGCTTGGGAAGGTCTTGGGCAGTGTCGAGCATGAGCAGGAATGACACGCCGTAGACCCAGAGGCGGGATCCCTGCCACAGGGCGCCCTTGGCCAAGTCCAGCAGGTCCTGTACGGGGGCCGGGAGAGCTTTCCGAGGGTTTCTGCGTGACCATGGCGTGAGCGAGCCTTGCAGAGGGTGGAAGGTCAAGACGTTCCACGAGGTCGTAATGGCGGCGAGGGTGTAGTCCTGAATAGCCTCCACCCCGTCGTCGCCCGCAGCTTTTGAGGGTACGGCATCCGAGAATGACAAGACGACGGGAGGTGAGGGCAGCTTGGGCAGCAGGTTTGCGCTCGGGTTGCGAATCCAGCGGCTACTGACGCTGCTAGCCGGGCCTTCCTCGTCATCCGACGAGCTGTCGCTGTCGCTAGCACTATCAGATGACGATGCCGCGTCATTTTCTCCATCTCCTTGACCATCTTCCTGCAGCTTCTCGTCTGGGCCGCGTAAGATCCAGGTGTCGATGTAACCGGCAATGTCAGCAACCGCAACCATCTTGGAGTCGGCAGTGAATGCGATGTGAGTGATGTTTCTCTCGTAGCTCCTCAAGCCTCCATTCTTGATGTATCGCGGGATATGGCGTCGGAGACGGGGAAGCCGCTGCAAACGAGAAGCGAATCGTGGTGGTTGGTCCGGCTCGCTGACCTCCTCGAGACTGGCCATGACAACGCGAGAGCCCTCCCTGATGGCGCAGAGCCATTTTCCATCTGCAGAAAGCTCCACCTTTGAGGCGCCATAGTTCTTCAGCTTGTCTGGGAGTTCAAGCGCGGACAGCTTGACATCCGAAGGCTTGACCGGGTCTTGGTGCTCCAGTCGGAAGGCTTTCACGTCTATTGAGGTCGACACAACCAAGAGAGTTCCCTCTGGGTTGATTGTAGCAGAACTGATGTTGGAGTCGCCCTTGATGACAATCGTCTTGAGGAGTTTGCGGTTTTGATTCAGATCAAACTCCTCTCCAGTCGTGTTGAAGATCTCTGTAGCAGGCTTTCGCAGAGTCCAGATATGAACCTCTCTGTCCCACCAGCTGGTGATAAACCTTGCCTTGTGTGCGCTCGCAAGGGGCGGCTGCTGTGGAAGGTTGCTGATTGTTCGGTGGTTTTCGCGACCCATTTCCTTCAGGGGAACAAGCATGAGGTTTGAATCGGGACCTGTGCGGGAAAAGTTAGCCATCGATAGCCTTTGACTTGTTGGATCAGCATTGACTCACCTCCGGTTACAACAACGCTCATGCGGCCGTTCTCAAACGATGCCATAGTCTTGACGTCGTGGTCATGGTATCTTCTTCCCCAAACCTTGGTCCAGCGATTGCCCGCTCCCACATTCTGCTTGTATAGAACAGTGCGGCGATCCATTCCTCCGCTCGTGATGGTCGATCCATCGGCGCTGATGGCGAGACTGAGGACATCTTGTTTGTGGCTCTGCAGCCTCTGAGACTGTGTGTAGGTCCTGCCGTCCCAGATGCAGACTTGGCCCGTAGAGTCGGCCGAGACGATATTACCGTCAGGCAGGCACTTGACCGACCATACGATGATATCTTTCGAGCCTCCAGCCAGATCGGCGCCCAGCGTCATGTGGCGGAGCATATGGCCCTTTGTAACGTCGTAGATTCGAATGGTGCTGTCTGAGCAGCCAACGACTGCGATTTTGCGTGACTGGAACGTGATGCTGACCATCTGCGCCTTCTTCGTGGGGGATCGCACAACGACTCGTTGGAAGCGCAGATCGTCATCTTCGATCGAGTACATGGCCAGCTCGCCGTGGATGGTGCCAGCAATCAGCTTGTTGGTGTGCAGTTCGTCTGAGGCTCCGGTCAGAGCGGGAGGCTGAGCGGCCAGACACCAGATGTCGCCATGCTGTCCGCTGGCGTGCCTCTTGGGCTTGCCCTTTTCGAGATCCCACTCGGTCACCGTGGAAGTGTATCCGATGCTAAAGAGACGCGACTTGCCCACGGCGATCCTGCCATCGCCCAGGTCCTGGTTGGGCTCGTTGACCCAGACAAGGCCGTCAACGCTGCGATCTCTGCCGCCGCGAATGACCAGCTCCTGGTGCCATTTGCCATTGGAAGGGTTCCAGATCTCAATGTCACCGTTGGCTCGGCCGACCGCCAATCGCGCAACGGCGCCCTGCTTGGCAGACTTGGTCTTGGGGTGGGAGAAGGCTACGGCGTTGATGGCCGAGGGCTTGTAGGGCACGAACCGGCAGCGATGGATATCCATGGCGGCGATGGATCCAAATTGCCGTCGACTGTCGAAGCTGATTTGAACCAATGCCAATGCTCGGCGCGTTTCCAGACAAACAGGTACGCCAAAGCTATGAAGGATGAAGCGCAACGCCGTCGGTCGTGATGCTACAAAAGAAAAAAAAAAAAGTTCCAGCCTTGCCTAGAATTTTTCTTAAGCCCGACGAATTAAGCAGCGGCCCATGCACGGCTGCCCCTCCACCCCACCAATAATCGGCCTTTGGCAGCGCCTCGTCCGCTGCAGGGCGTTTTGGTCCCCTATAAATCTGCTGTAGCGGCGTCTGTGTGAATTTGATGCATCAATTGCAAACACTGAACGTGAAAACATGACACTGCCCTATCCATGATTCATTATGGTGGACTCGTCCTGATATGTAATATCATAATCAATTATATGCTGAAGAGCTCACTTTTCTCCCCTTCTGGAGTCTCGTCGTACTATATCGACTTATATCTCGTCCGTCATGCAGCAGGGAAGCGCAGCCTTGTTCCACCAAGACGTTACCTGCAGGGACTGGACAAGATGAGGGCACATATCAGGTAGTATTTTCTATCAAGCAATCGCAACGCTGCAGACTCGCAGACCATCTCAACACGTCACGTCAATATGTCTCTTTATAAATCTAAGGCTGCAGCTGGCGATGTCCACGAGCTCGATGAAGTTGAAAATCGGCGTGTCAGTTCGAGGCTATTTTACTTCCATCTCGCAACTGCTTCTTTCACCTTACCTCTTTCCTTCTCGGCAGACCACTTTGGCAAGAAACATCTGAAAAATGAACATATACAAGAGACCAGACATCGTGAGAAGGAGCTACCTACCTATGTTACCTGTCTCAAGCGAGACGTAAGCGATGCCTCCATCACTTTGCCAACAAACCTGAGTCTTCCTCCTCTCTTCTTTCTCGTCTTGTCTCCTCAAACATTCTGCTTCATACTCCAACAGCTCAGCAACTTTTTGGGTGCTTCTTTTTGGAATCCAGTTTTGGCTGCTCTTTTGGAAGCATCTTAACCAGATACTTCTCTGACGACTTACCTCCCCATCACCTCCAAAACGCACAACATCATGACGAATCAGCCTTCCGAGAGCATCGGCCCCAATTGGCCACCTCATAGGCTCTCTGCCGTCCGTCGGCGAGCGTTGCTCCTCGCTGGTTTGTTTGTGCTGTCCCTCACGGCAACTCTGTTTGTCAGACTTGTTGCGATCGAGGCAGCAACACTTGAACAACAGACTCTTGTTAAGCGACAATTCCAGCTCGGTGGGTTTCTAGGAAGCGTGTTTCGAGAGGTATTGACTCATTCCCTCTTATCTTGCATCTCACCCTTATTAACAATCAAAAGGTCATTGGGGCCAGGCCTATGGAAAGACCAACGGTAGCTCAGCCTGTGAAGCAAGATGCCACCGCCTCGACATCAAGCGTCATCGTTAAAACGTCTACAGCGGCAACAATCCTCATTGAAACCACGAAACCAAGCATGCAGGACACTCCCAAGTCAAATTTTTCTGGTAGCGGTCCCGATCAATTACTGGAAACCTTAGCAGCGGCAGTCAAGGAGGCAATCATGGAATCGGCACAGCTCCCATCGAGCATGCCAGACCATCGCCATAAGAGCACTCTCGCCGATATGATTGCAAACCAGCCCAATGCACAGCCAATCTCGGTGAACTCTTCACCATCTTCCCCTCACACACCTCATCCGAGTTCGAAGGGAAATCTTCCAACTCCCTCAGTTGGGATCCTTGGTGGCGTCTCGGGAGGTGGCCCAGAGTTGCGCATTCACAATGCCCGAGCAATCTCAGATAAACCCTCGTCGAAATCTTCTGCTGATGGTCCTACTTTCTTGAGCGATATGTCAAAAATTGTTGCGGAAATATCGGATATCGATCCCATAGCAGCTGCCAAGCTCACGGACACAGTTCTTGATGCTCTTCATGTGGATTCATCCGCTATTGCTTCAGCTATTCCAAAGGTGGCAACCCAAGCTGCTGTTTCGGCCGCTGATTTACTGCCTCTTATTATTCCTGCCGTCGCCCAGGCCATGGACCAACCTCTGCCGCAAGTGCCTTCTGTGAGCTCACTGGACATGGCGGAGACTCTGGACAAAGTTCTCCAGCAAGGAACAACAGTCATCAACGATCTGAGCAGGGCCATGGAAGACATCACGGATCCATCTCTTCTAGGTGTCCTGAACGAGCTTGCTATGATTGTTGGTGCTGTTTCCAATTATCTGGAGAAACCTCTTTGCGCTGTTGATCGGGCCGTAAACGGAACCTCCTTTGAAGCAGTCATACCTTGCGATTCCGCCGAAGCGCAGTCCCTCAATTCAACCGGCCAGCTCACAACATTGGCTGCACCTATGCTGCCTGAGCCAACCCAGCATTCCTCTAGTTCAGGAGCAACCGCTACGATGGCACCGCCTGTCCCATACTCATCCGATAATCAGGCGCCGTCTCCAAATCCAGCTTCTCCATCCCAACCTCCGGCAGAAGGCCCATCGAAAACAAGCAGTCCATCGCCCGCAAATGGAGAGAATGGAAATGGGCCTGTATCAAATGGCGGTGCTCCGGCCGAAACACCGTCACCTGCTTCAGCTTGCCCGGCGTGTCCATCTTGCGAACAGTGCACTACCAAACTCTGTTCTGTACAGAGCACCAACGGACCAAGTGACAGCCAGGCACCTGATGCTTCAATAGGCCCTTGTCCTGGGAGGGGCTACAGGTGTGATGAATGCCTCAACGGATGGTTCTGCCCTCCACAAGAGACACCGGCGCAAGTTGTCCCTTGCGGACTTGGCTGGCCATGCTACCATTGTTCGGAAGGGTGGTTCTGCACCCCAGATGCAACACCCGCACCAACGTCTCCCCCAAGTTCCGCGGCAGGGCCCTCCTCTGAGAACACAGGAAAGCCAGGTACAGATGGCACTACAGCTCCAACGGCGCTTCCCAGTGCCAGTGATGCTGGTGATATTCCAGCCGGTTGGAGCCATCGAGGATGTTTCCAGGATGCTATTTCCAGAGTCTTGCTCAACAGCAAACCCGTGCATTATGTTCAGGGAAACATGTCTTCCATGATATGCGCGGACCACTGCCAGTCTGACAGGTATGAGTTTGCCGGTACGGAGAATGGGAACGAATGCTGGTGTGGAACCTCCATCCGCGATGACGCTGTCAAGCTTCCAGACTCGCAGTGCGGAGAGCCTTGTGGAGGCCAACCAACCGAGAGCTGCGGCGGCAACTGGACTATGAATGTTTTCTCATGCTCTGACGAAGCTGGGGCCCGAGCTTCTGACAAATCGACTGGTGGGTTCATGTATCAGCTCCTGTCAACCTTCAGAGGCAACAACAGAGGCACAATTCACCATCCTTTCTGAGCCATTCTTATTAGCCGCGAGGCATCTTTCCCTTTCTCGAGAAGAAACTTGTGAGTTGCACGAGCTCGAGCATCATATCTATCGTTATGGAGGGTTTGACAACGTCTTAAGGCGAGTTGACTTTTTTGTCTTGGGAAAATTTCATGTTAGGTGCTGGGCATCATTTCGATGAGGGGGGCATAATGTGTATAATATGTGGATTATGGTGAAGACTATCCTCAGAGTTGAGAAGCTAAGACTACGAATGGCATATATCAGATTTACTTTTCCGCTGCGACTTTGAGGCCTGTGATAACCATTGGCATGCCTTCATCACCAGCTGCTTACTGATTTACTGAGAGTTGAGGGCATCTCGAGGATGCCATAGGCCACACACGTCTCGAAAAAGCAGGTCATGGTCTGTTGGGCTGTTCATTGCCACAATGTCAAATTCACCCACTCCACCAAAGAGGTTCAACTGAGTAGCAGAGGCTTGTTTATTTCGGAGAGGCCTGAATGAGGCCACGAAAGTCGAGATGGCACATACAGATTGTGCATCAGATGTGCATCGACGGGCACAGCACGTTTCCGCGGCCAATGCACGAACTCGCAAAATTATCGCTTGGACAACAAAGAGATGCTAATACGCATCTTTTGGAACATTCGACCACGTCCGCTGAACAGAAAAATCCGCGAAGAGTGTGTAAGAGTGAGTGTTTCCCTTCTCTCTGTCCCCCTGATAAGGCGGCTAGCCATCCCATGTGTTTGCCATTCCATGTCGTGGTCCGTTACGAGGGCACCCCCAGCCTTGTGAGCTCTTGTACCACCAGGCATATCCAAGTCCCATGCTTCCTCCCCTCTTCCTTCACCCCTGGCACTGTTCCATCGGCGTCGACCTTCCCAAAGGGCCACGTCACGGTAGTATCCCGAGACATTTTGGCCCAACCTGCTGGGACAGCGAAAGTTTTGCAGTTGCACAGAATGAGGGCCGGCGGGTGTCACCCACATGCTGTGGTTACTTTAGGCGAATACGACATGCAGAAGGATATGTGTGTATCACTGCAGCATTCTTCTCCTTGTGTGTACGACGACGCTACATATGATATATAGTTCGTATTTACCATTGCCAAGGTCCATATGCATAGATGGGACGGTAACATGCAGCCGAGGAAGGATTTTTTGCTTCTTCTCCTACGCTATGTTGTGACACTCGAGTATTCCACCGCTACTACAATCTATTGTCTTTCTCGTCTTGGAAATGCCATCAGCCGTTTCTTTTCATAGGTTGATAGGGTAAGCATGATGGCGCAAACGGGCAAAAGGGCTGGCTGGCTGGCTACCCTGCAGCAAATTACGCAATAGCCGGCGATTTTTCTCACCAAGGCACCGCACCACCAAACCCTTGGCGGACAGGTCACGCCGCAACACCACATGCATGCGGCGGGTATGCCAGGGGGACAAAGACCGGTGAGGAAAAATAAACCCTCCGAAGAGAAATCGATAGTTTACTGTTTCACGACCAATCCATCCGACTGAAGCTTTCGTGCCTGGAGGCTGATGAGCTCATGGGCGTTTTGGTTTACCGAGGTCCAGGGGTCTCGGACTAAAGGAAACGTCAGGCGTATATAACACCAGCAAGCGCCAAAATCCACGATCATGGAAAACTAAAACTAGTCACGCTGCTTGGCATATTTCTCGTCAACATGTCATTTGAGGAAACTAGAAAAGTCTCTGACGCGGTAGGAAGCTCATCACCGCCGATTTACTCCGCATGGAAGTGACAATCGCTGTTGGAGACGCCGGGCGAGAGGCATGTCAGCTGCTGTGGGCAAGGAGGGACACAGCCCGTAAGACCCACGACTGAACGCGCGCGCTCTCGGGAGCACAACTGGTTTCCGACCGGATAACGGCATCTCAGGACAATGAAAGCATGCTCGTTTGCCCGAGTATTTCGTACGTCGTGCAGACGAATTGGATGTAGGTCACGAGAAGCGACGGGAGAAGCTCAATCGCCGTGTAAGTGACGATGGCGTCCGTAGAACTCTATCAAACAGAGATTAAGACGTAGCTCGAGAGCTTGGGACGCCGGGAACTTCCCCAAGGCCGGATAGGGCCTCTTGGAGAAACTCTAGGCGGTCTTGGCTTTTTCTTGCTTTTCAGCTTCGTAGATGTTCGGCCACGGATCGACTCGTACGAGGGCGCCTCAACCCCACGTTTCGCTAGTTCGATGAACAGCCCATTTCGCGCTCATCCGATGACTCCATCGATGCCCATCGCCTTGGGTCTGGAGTAAGAATGGGCCGCAATCAAGATGCGTTTCGTGCGGGGGAGCCGATGCTGGGGAAGCGGGTTGGAGACCCAAATCTCGACAGATCTGAAATCCCGAACACCGAATCTGGGGGAATAAGATGCTTAGTTCATCCACACGCTAGAGTTGACAAACGACTGCCATTTGCGGGGGAGTCGGGACCATGGCAGACTGCTTCGTCTTAGCAAGCAGCTTTATTTCTCTTTCATCCTGTCAACAAGATGCGTTGTGCGACCTGAGCTATGCCATCATGACTAGTTGATCGATCTGGCAGGCTGAAGATCTGCGATGGTGCCCCAAGTGACGATTTTGGTTTTGCGGAGGGTGAGGGGCAAAAGACGTGGACCGGCGACCAAAGCCCACGACACCAAGGCGACTGCCCCTTGACCCGAACATGATGAGCGCCCATCTCTGCTGCGTGATCAAAGTCGGCGTGCCGGTGGCTATCGGTAAGCACGCAGATACAAGGTTGCTTCTTCGAACCGGCTCGCCCACGCCACCCTCAGTCCCGAGCCATCCATCCCGCTGTGCTGAAGTGACGACATGGTCTGATTGAGAAGCCACGGTCAGAAGATTGAACCTCGCACCGAGGGGAAGGCTGACAACGATACCGACTCGGCGCGGCGGTGGCTGTGTTTTTGCTTCCGGTCCGTAATTTCTTGGCTTATAGGTGTACGGTAACCTCGGTATCAAGCCATATGGTTGGGAATTTCATTCGTACTTGGAGAAATGATACGAGCACACGAGCGAAGGTTGGGGACAGGACGTGAGAGGCGCCTATTTTCCGAGGGGCTTGAAACGTACGAGAACGTTCTGAATCTCCAACTTGAGTTTCATGGCCGATTCTCGACTGATGGGCAGACACGGAGCTCTGACGGTCGATCGGGCCACTATGTGGGCTTGACGATATTTTGTAGTATGGAGACAAACTACGGAGTCGTCATGCAGTTAAGATGAAAATAGGTTTGGCGGTATTAACCAGTGATGCACCAATGCATGGACACCGCACGAGCTGCGAACAAGCTCTCCTGAGGAGAAGACGAGGAGGGGCTCAAGGGGGGGCGAGGAGCTTGCTAGAACGATGGTCGTTCAACAGCCGTACACCCGGAGCTCCTCTATTTTCTCCGTCCCAGCAGCCAGCCTCCATGCCACTAGTTCCCCATGGACAATTGCTTTCCTCCGACGATCCGCAAATCATTGACTCGACTCTGAAGATGAAGGGTGCGGAACACCAGGCAGCGTGTTAGATTAGCCGCCTCCTAGCAAAATTTGGACAATCTTGCGAATCCCCCTTCCGTCCCCGGTGGCCATACGAACGCAGCGATTTATCTCCCTGTGAAGGGAAAATGAAGATATGCGCGAGGCACCAGCTTCAGCGGTATCTGCACGGAGTAATATGGCGGGACTCCACCATGTTCGTCGCGACCGAAGACAGATCTTTGCAGGCCCCTTTCCGTCCTCTCCACAGCCCGACAGGTTCATGGGAAAAAAGGCCCGGAAGATGATAAGGTGATCTAAAGCATCGAATCCGCAGTTGACATCTTGTCTGTGATATTGTAGCGATTGTGGCCGGGATTGAAGATACTCGCAAGCCATGATCCCTCAGTGCAAGTGCATGCTCGAACGCCTTCGCCGTCTTCATTAATATTCTTTGCTTTTCCTTCTCGATCGATCGTTCTGTTACCGATTGCACATGAGGAGCAACAACAACAGTAACAGCAGCAAAAGGCTGCGCGCTGGGATCTGACCCTGGCTCGACGATGCAGAAGCGTCATGCAGCATTTGATTAGCGACCCAGACAATGGCCACTGGCCGTGACTCGCGCACGGAGCTCTTGTCCGAATGGAGGCACGGCTCGACTTGGGTTCTCTGGCGATCCCCCAATACCGCTGCCAGAAGCACCAGGCAAGTGGGTGGCAGAAAACACCGCCGCCCATCACCTACAATTTTGTATGGTAGACCGGCGGTGTTTTTTGCAACCCGCATGCCAGGCAAGCCAGGGTCCGTCACCGCATGCAGCTAGCATCCCTTTGCCGGGCGTTCGAGTGGTGGACAGGGGGGGAGGAGTCAATGTTGGTCAGACCGGGTCTCGAGTGCTCGGTGATATTTTTACGTGCCATCGAACCCGTGCCAGCGGGTGCTGCTTGTTATTGCTTCCATTGCGATGTGGCCAACCTGTAACTTGCCATGCGTCAGCTACCATACTGAGGTTGGTGCACCGTGTCGCTACCAACACCGTTTTTGAGCCGCTTCTGCCATGAGAGATATTTGCATTGATTGTCAGGAGAATCGTCAACGACGTGGACCCGCTCGCATTGGACCAACAACAACAGCAATTTCTATTGTACATGTATGTAACCGTTAGCCTTTCGTGCAGGAGACAGGAGACGCCTCAGAAACCAATGATACCTTTTGAGGGGAGTGTTTGTAAAGTATCATGTAGTACGATACTTCAACGGCCGGTCAGCAGCCTTACGGGCGGACTGCCTCTTGATGCCTCTCGCTCCCCTTCCGGCCAGGGCCGTATCTTTGCTCATTCAACGTGCAGGGCCCTTGCCAAGCCTCGACACGTCCATTTTCAACGGCGGCCAATCCCCTCGACTGCTGTTGGTTCTTGTCGTCGGGCTCGGTGACAGGCCTAAATAGCCTAAACTCTGAAAAATTTCCAGAAAAGCCTGGGCAGAAGTGGCTGGCCAGGCTTGGCCCTAATTCGTTGTGGCGGCTTGTACCGGGGGGAAGGAAGGATTTTTCCCTTCTCTCTTTTCTGCCGTTGCTCGCCCTTTCGCCATTTCACCACCAGAGACGACTGAAGGCGGCCTAAAGCATGCATGAGATCAAGCACCAGGCGACGCCTCTTCGGCAACAAGGCCCATCGTCAGCTCAAGGAGGATGTGGGTCAATACTACCCCAATCCTGGACTCATTCGTCGGGCTTGACTCTGGACGGCAAGGATCTGGAACCCCAAGCTCTCCCCACTCCTCTACCCCAATCATTGTGCTCTCGTTTGACCATTGGTTCTTTTTTTGGCCGCAGAGTTTTGGAGACTGTAGTTCCCTTCGTCCATCCATCCTAGCGGGAGGTAGCCTTTCCACAAGCTCAAACCTAGGCTCGAGCAGCGGAGTGTCCCGTAATCCTAGTGGGATAATCCGAACCTGTTATGGGCGGCAGAGAACGCCATGGGCGAGAACCTGCGCTGTTCGCCTAGCTCCAAGCCTGAGCTATGTAGATGGGGCTTGCGGGAACAGTCCTCGGCAAGGAAGTCGACCGTTCTGAACAAGGCCCAGGGGAATTGTAACCCATCCCCATACTAGGTAGGTCGCAACTCGTATGAACTGCGAGTACCTGACTTGTAGTGCTTCGTAGCGAAGTGACGATGGCAATTGACGTGCCTGACAACCGCCTAGGGTTTCTCCGTATCTTGACAAGGTTGATTAGAATTCGAAAGGAGCGGCACGAAGTTGAGGTGGACACAGCAGGCTCGCCACACACCTCTCTTCGACTTGCTGGCAAACGGGACTAAAATCCTTCCTCATGTATGTACCAAGCACGGAGGAGAGGAGAGCCGTACATCACATACTGGATGCAAGAATATCCCAACGACCCCATAACGAAAGCTCCCCCGGGGCCTACGGGACAGGTCCGTCGCCAGCGTGTCACTCGTTGCAACCCTTTTCTTGTTCCCAGACCCCACTTGCTAGATCTGTCGCACGTTGTTGATTGACTCGCGACCGCCGGATTGACCCCCTGTATCCCGCAGTGCGGTGCTAGCTGCAAGCACGGAGTACGAAGCAGCTGCGGTACCAAACCGCGACCTTGGGGGACATTGGGTATCCGCCGACGAAAGTCTCAGCCATCGGTCTCGTTTTGTCCGACCCTGCGTACGGCAGCAAGGCATAGCGTGCTCAATGTAGCAATACGCCGTGTATATAAGAGCTTCTTTGCTCCCCACCCTCTCTTCTTGCGGCCTTCTCCTCTTGCTTCGATCATTCCCGATTTATATCGTATTAGTAGTAGCTTCTTTGTCGTGAAGCTCTGCTCTCTTCAATTCGCAATACCCCGGTAACAGCTGGTTCATCAAGCAAGCTCCCCATCCAGCCTCATCTTCGCGCTTTCAACTCAATCGATCGATTCCCAAGCGGACAACAATCACAATGGCCGACGAGGTTCACGTCGCTCCCAATGAGAAGGAGACCAACGGTGTCGAGCAGACGACGACTCCCCGCCACGGCCACGGATTCAGACACAGCCACCATGGCGACTTCAGCGAGATGACCCTCGGCCAGTATGCTCAGGCTTTTGGTGGTGCTCTTCAGCCCGGTGCTTGGAGGCCATACGAACACCGCAAGCTCGCCAACCCTGCCCCTCTGGGTCTTTCTGCCTTCGCCTTGACCACGTTTGTCCTGTCCGCCATTAACATGCACACTCGGGGCGTCTCCGAGCCCAACGTCGTTGTCTCCCTCGCCTTTGGCTATGGCGGTCTTGTCCAATTGCTTGCTGGCATGTGGTAAGTTTTCGACCTTTTGGACCACCTGCTGTCGCACAAGTGGAGCCGAGTACTGATGACATGTCTTCGTTCAGGGAGATTGCTGCCGGTAACACCTTTGGTGCCACCGCCCTGAGCTCTTACGGCGGCTTCTGGATCTCGTACGGTATCCTCTTGACCCCCGAATGGGGCATCACGGCTCCCGATGGCCCTTACAAGGGCGATGTTGCCAGCGTGCTGGGCTTCTTCCTGACTGGCTGGTTCATCTTCACCACCGTCCTTCTTCTCTGCACTCTGCGATCCACCCTTGCCTTCTTCCTCCTCTTCTTCTTCCTCGACCTGGCCTTCCTCATGCTCTCTTGCTCCGAGTACGCCGCCGATCTGGGCAACGCCGACGCTTCCCTCGGCCTGCAGAAGGCCGGTGGTCTGTTCGGTTTCTTGGCCGCCTTCTTGGCCTGGTACAACGCCCTGGCCGGTATCCAGGACAGCAGGTTCGTATCCCGACATGTTGGCGCGTTTGTATGTTGCTCGCATGCTAACCAATCAATAGCAACTCCTTCTTCCAGGTCCCCGTCATCCACTTCCCCTGGTCTGAGCAGGCTCGTCAGCGCCGTGCCAGCAAGTCTGAGCGCGCTCAGGCGTAAATTGCCGTCAAGGACAAGTGATGCGTTGTGCTTGCTTGGTTGCGTATGAGCGACGTTGGAGCGTGGAATGATACCTGAGTGAAGCGAAGTCGTGGTTCCCGGCCGGCTGGGCTGCGAGCAGGAACCAACAACCAATAACCAATAACTGGGCGTGTCTTTTATCTGTTTCTCCTTTTTTGATTCCCAAACGTACTGCGATGTAATACAGGAAGCGGCTACCCAGCTGCTGATATACCTATTAATGAAAAATGACGTTTACGTCTGCCCAGCCATTGGAAACTGCCATTGAGCAATTGATTGTGCCACCTGCCTTACTACGTGATATCTGGCAATACCTTCTCAATGTCATATGGTTCGAGCCTGACGGCACCTTCCTCACGGCTCTAGGAACCCTTTCGGGGCAGGACCGATCTGCAGCTATCGACGACCGGCAGATCATGTATTCACCCCTTGGTCGCAACTGCCGTCTTCTGGTGCGATATGATGTCTTAGATTTCCGTTTTTAGTACAGATGCCCGTCTGCACGTGTAGTTCATCACTGTCTTGTACGGCACCGCCTCATTAGACAGCAATGTTTTGCGGCACACGATGTTTCACCGCCAGAGTCATGAAGATCGTCCGAACTTCACTTTGCTGCAATCTATGGTCCAAGCGCTCTTTTATTGTGCTCTGCTAATGAGGTGCTTGAGACATTGTCCCCGAGGGTACTACTACGTGCATGCGTCGTCAATGAAGAGTCCAACCGCGTCAACGTGTCCGTCTCCGTCTAATTCTGCTTTGACCATCTATTCACGTCACCAACACCAGAGATCGAGTCCGATATCTGATAGACGGCAAACAATCGAACAAGCGCCAACGTTTCGCTTCTCTTACACCTAATGCAAGGTACGGAGAAATGTTCCATCGGTTGGCGCAATCGAGGGACATCGCTTGGCAGCCCTACCGACGGGTTTCAAAGTGCCGGTCTCAGAGCAATCTCATGAGAGCGGGAGACGCCCCTGCTAGCATGTTTCAAGTAAGGTGAGTTTCATGCTTTGAACAGAAGATCTCCATTTCCATCGGAGGCGCAGCAGAGCAGCAAGAGTTCTCTGATCCTGGCCAGCCTCAAGGAAGGGTCAGTTGATGGTAACGTTGCCGAAAGGAGACTTGGTATGAGGTTTTCCTGGCCCCGTCCCGGAGCCGATAAGTCACCATGCTCACGGCTCATCATTGGATACGAAAGCTAAACCAATATGGCAGTTTTTATGAAGATATCCAGGGATGCGGAACGGAATTGTCCTCCGGCTTCCGCCCCGGTGCCGAATCTGCCATCCGGGTCTTTCTGAGTCGCAGGGCAACGACCGGCGCCGGGCGACTTACCGGCTGGCAGATCTCATCCGGCTGAACTTCAGCTGCTTTGCCTCTTCTCCTCCGCGCGTTGCCTCCAGTGAAAAACTCGGGCCTCCATCGACTGGACCTGGCCATTGAACTGGTTCTTGGGCTCGATTCCCTGAAGTGCATGTGTTGCCATTCGCATTCTGTTACTAATAAATCAGACATCTCCGGTGGAACCTTCACCGACAGTGATAAGACTTCAGTCGTACATCGTGGGTGCAGAACTGCCTGCCTATTGGAACTACTAGTCGGAGGAAAGGCCAGCAGTTGGCATGAGTACTCCGTAGCTGAGTTGGCAACCCCCATTCACATTGATTAATCCCGATGAGATATTCCCGGCCCAGAGCGAAGAGATTGTTGACCGCGCCCTTTGCATTTAGATTCCAAGCCAAGCTTCGGCGTGGCCCAAAACAGCAAAATTTGGAAGTGTTTTTAAGTAATTAGTTGCCTCTTCAGATCTTTACGGCTGATGGGGCCGATTTTGGCCCCCCGATGACCCATCCAACACCACATACAAAATGCTGCCCATTCAGCCTGTTGCCAGCGGACTTTTTTTTGTTCCTCCTGTATCGGCTTTTTCTTGCTCTTGGTTTTCCTTTCAAGCATTTGAAGCAGACAATTGGTTTCCTCTCACTGGCAGGCCATTTGACTTGCTCGTCACCCTGTGCCGTCCCTGGAAGGCGTTGAAAAGGTTTAGACGGGAAAGATGAGTCAAGGCCAGACGCTGAGCGACAAGTATGACAAAGAGAACGCTATCTCGTCGGCCCCAGAGCCTCACCCGGACAGCAATGACCAAGGAGCCATGAGTGATGAGACGGAAAAGGGAAATCTGCAACTGATGGTTGAGTCGCAAGATCAGCAGCCCGGAAACAATGCGCCGCCTCCGCCCCCAAACGGGGGCTATGGCTGGGTTGTCACCATCGCCATCTGCATCATCAACGCTCACACATGGGGCATGAACTCGAGTTACGGCGTCTTCTTGGCTTATTACATCAAAAACAACACTTTCCCGGAGGCAACAACTCTACAGTATGCTTTTGTGGGATCCCTCAGCATCAGCTGCGCCATGGGCATCTCTCCGTTTGCGACGTGGGCCGTTAAGAAGTTCGGCACCAGACAAGTGATGCTGCTTGGCGTTTTCGTGGAAGCGGCCAGTTGGATCGCGGCAAGCTTTGCCCACAAGATATGGCATCTCTTCCTCACCCAGGGCGTCTGCTTTGGCCTGGGCATGGGATGTCTCTTCACGGCCACAGTTGGCATCATTCCTCAGTGGTTCACGACTCATCGTTCCCTGGCGAATGGCATAGCCGCTGCCGGATCAGGTTTGGGAGGACTTGTGTACTCTTTCGCCGCCGGCGCCATGATCCAGAACCTGGGGCTTGCATGGGCTTTCCGAATACTCGGCATCATCGCATTTGTCGTCAACTTCATCTGCAGTCTCTTGGTCAAGGACCGCAACAAGATTGTAGGATCGACGCATATAGCTTTCAAGAGTACTCTCTTGACGAGGCCCGAATTCCTACTGTTTATCCTGTTTGGCTGGTTCAGCATCCTGGGTTATTCGGTGGTGATTTTCAGTCTTGCCAACTATGCCAACGAGATCGGCCTTGACTCGTCCCAAGCAGCGCTCATCAATGCATTCTTCAACTTGGGTCAGAGCATTGGCCGGCCGATTATGGGATACTCCAGTGACCGAACCGGACGGATGAACATGGCTGCCATCTGCAGCTTCTTGGCCGGCATCTTTTCGCTAGCCGTCTGGATCAATGCCAAAGTATATGGCGTATTGATCTTCTATGCTATCATCTGCGGAAGCGTTGCCGGCACTTTCTGGACGGTTGTCGGCCCTGTTGCGGCCGAAATTGTCGGGCTACAAGATGTGCCCTCAGCGCTCAATCTTCTGTGGCTGATGATTCTGCCCCCTTGCACCTTCAGTGAGCCGATTGCTCTGCAGATTGTGACTGGAACGGGAAGCTATCTCGGCACCCAGCTATGGACGGGACTGATGTTTATTGCTGCTACAATCTGCATGGTCATTCTTCGTGGATGGAAAATTGGTGAAATCGAGGAGCTTGCGAGAGCGAACAACGAACGGCCGGAAGACCTCGATCCTTACAAGACAAACAACGGGGAGGAACTGATTGAGCAAGGCAGAAAGGCTGGTCGACGACGAATGCTGGTTGACTTTTACAGGAAAAGGGTTGTCTGAGGATTGATGTGGTCTTCGGATTCACGTCAGGACAGGGAATCAACGAAGGCTTCTGGAGAGAGGTGCCTTACTCAAGACTGATAGGAGGATGGGAAAATGTGAGCTGCATCCCCTGACAAGCCGTGATGTTTATGCATTGAGCGAGGCAACTGGATAATTGGCAGCAGGATATAGAATGCCTTTGGTATATATCGGCGTGTATCTTTGTATATATAACATGTACGCTTTTCATGATGTATCTACGAGCATAGAAAAGTCACCTACCTTATTGATGGCTTTTAATGGCAATAGCTTTTTCTCTGAGGAAGTCAATGTCTCTGGTCGTGGGCGTCTCGTACTGAAGGTGTCACAATTCCAAGGTTAATCGTTGATCGTCACATTCGAATGAAAAAGTTAGATACATGTATGACGCCTCCAGTGCCTCTGGTGTTGACCGTGGTCGTTAGAATGCGATAGGGGGGGAAGTTGTTGTATGTAAGCCCCTGCAGGAAGATGCAGTCAGTTTAAGAGGCACGTGAATTGGCGTCGAGGACGAGCCCAAGGTTGACGCGCCGCCCCGCAACAGATTCACGACAAACCCCGTGCAAAGCGTCATCACTGCATGCGCCTCCAAGAAATGGCCTGTGGCATAGCATGAATCACAGCCCGTGGCGATGTGGCTGCTGCAAAATGAAGGGGCCTTCCAAGGTGAGCAAGGAGATGCGCGTCTCTGCGGCAGATGCCTGAGCTGACCTGATCTCTGTCGTGCAGGGCTTCGACTTTGGCTGCGGCCGGGCAAAACGTATCTCTTTGGGAGGACGGCATCGGAGCGTGAGTGACGGGATTGCGAGTCGCCTTTAGTGCAGCTTCTTATGGACAGATGCTGATTGAGACGAATATAGCTGGCCAGCTGATACTCTCGCACCATACCATCTCGCGCAAACACCTGACAATCACGGTCGACCACGTTCCCGAAGGACATGCGCACAATCTCTCGAGCCGATCCAAGATCAAGATTGAAGACCTCGCAACTAAGATTGGCACGGTGATCAATGGACAGAAAATCAAAGGGGAAGTCTACGATGTCCAGGTCGAGGAATACGAGATCATGCTGGGCAAATGCCCCGACACGTTCAGGTATTTGCGCCCAACTTATGGATGCGGATGCTGGTACAAGTGCGCTCTGCTGACAAGATATCCAGGCTGAAGTGGCATCCAGTGGTCTTCACCTTTTCTTTTACGACTAAAGAGCTACAAAAGGAGCCACTGACCTCTCTCAAAGAGCGATTCGAGCAGCTAGACATTAAGCTGCTGACAGACTACAGCGTGAAGCACACGACACACGTCATATCGAAGAAGCGCAATACGGCCAAGGGCTTGCAGGCCTTAATCAATGGCAAATACATTGTCACGGAATCCTTCCTCGATGCAATATCCGCTGCCACAGAACTCTCCGGTGGCGAGGACAGCCAAGAGCTGAGCTCTCTGGAGGCGGACTTTGACAGATTCTGGCCAGAACCCATGGAACATCTGCCGCCGCGCGGCTCAGAACCAGTGCAACACCCAGATGACATGTATGCGCCCGATAGCCGGCGGAAAGATGTCTTTGAAGGATATACCTTTATCTTCTACAGCCAGATCCAGTACGATAACCTCATGGCGCCCATCGCGAACGGCGGCGGCAAGGCCATGCTGCATCCCATCCAGCCGGAAGAGACACGGCCCGATGATTTTGTCCGATATGTAAAAGGAGTTGCAGGTGAAAAGGGAACGGGATCTTTTAATGATGGAAGCGAAGGCAAAGGAGTTGTTCTGGTGAGGTTTTTGCCGGCCAAAGGAGAGCTTGTTGGCTGGTACACCGAGTTCATCACCGCGGTCTCACTGCTGTTAGATCACAGGCCTATTGAGCAAAACGAATTTTTAGAAGCGATCCTGATCAACGATGCAAGTAAATTGCGACGGCCATTGGAGGTGGAATCCTCCCTCAGATCCGAGGATGCTCGGCCTGATGTACAACAGCCGGAGCGAATCACTCAGCCAAGCTCGGAGAGTCCAATGACAACAGGGATGCCTGAGCCTTCTCAAGAAAACAACTCTCAGTCGCTTCCGCGGCGCAGCAAGATGCGGAGACCCGTCAAGAGGAGGTTTGCGGGCTTTGACGACGACGATGACGAGATAGGTACAGAGGAGACTCCACCTCCTGCCTATGGCGCAGCGAGACCCCAATCACCAGCGCGGGAGGACGAGGGAGGGCTGTTTGTGTCACAAGAAGATGACGCTCCATTGGCGCCAGACACCCAGGCTGGCACCTTTCGGTCGCAGAGAAAGAGAGCGCCTTCTCCTGTACCTGAAGCTGATCTGATGGAAGGCATGGCGCCGGCTGTGGCAAAGTTCAAACGGCAACGTCTTGAAAGGGGAGGGCGCTTTGCTGAGCCGTCACCCGAACCTGCCCCGGAAGAGCCTGAACAAGCAAAGTCCACGAGCGAAACGAAGAAGAAGGTCAAGGAGGAGATAGACGTCCTGGCACTGGCTGCAAAGAACCGCGAAGAGGCGGAAGCCAGGGCCCGAGCCGAGGCCGAGGACCTGGCCAGACTACCAGAGGGCATCGACTTGGCCGAAATACGTCGGCTGCAAATCGTGGAGGAGATTCCCCTTCGCCCTACAGACAGGGCATCAGAAAGGACGAGAGAACAGGAGATTGCGGATGGACGATGGAATCCCAAGTGGAACGGGATGAAGAACTTTAAAAAGTTCCGCAAAAGGGGCGAGGTAACGGGAAGGCAGCCCGCCCGAACCATCATCGCCCTCACCGAAGTCAAGGCCAAGGAATTTGGAGTCGGTGACAATTATTGGCTGGAAGATGTCAGTAGCGACCGCAGAAGGGGGACAACGAGCCAGCGATCTGCCGTCGGCGCCAGCGAGGCGAGGAATTCCCCCTTCGTGGAGCCGGAGCGGCCGACGACGACAACGCGTGGTGCCTCTTCGGCGCGGATTATTGCCTCTGATAGCGACGAAGACGAAGTAGCAGAAGCTACGCCAGAAGTATCATCTGCCAGAGCTGCGGCATCGAGAAGAGGTGGAAGCAGGGAGGAGTCGCAGAGGGCTACGCGGAGCCAGCTCACCGGCGGGCAGTCTCGGGCGACGAGTCAAGCGAAGAGAGCGGCCACGGAGCCGGCGGCAGCTCGGGACGCGCCGCCGCCGAAGAGATCGAGAGTGGCGCCGAAGCTCTTGGAGGTGGAGGATAGCGATGATAGCGACGACGAGCTCAAGTTTAGATTTGGCAAGCGACGGTAATCGTCGTTTGCGTGCGTAAGCGTGTCGTATAGCAGCAGTATGCTACCTCTCTATTAATGTTACATGTAATTCTATCCGGCGGTCAACCTGGGGGTATCTCTCTAACTGTAGCATCTATGGTCTAGTTGGGTAGTTCTTTGCTCTTTGCGTTGCACATAGATAGAACCTCGTCTCGGCGTATAGCCCTGATCCATCTAGTCCATTCTGTCCATCTCACTCTCCTGGCCCTCCGGCTCGTCAACCAGCAGTCCCACAAGACACGCAGCCAACATGGTCTCATAGTTGACCCAAGGATGAATCTCGCCAAACAGCTTGGTAGCGTCCCTCCCCGCGCCCCTCATCAGCTCCGGCACGCCTCCGGGATGGAACTTTGCGTACGGCGAGACGTTGTACACTTTCCCGTTGATGGCCATCCACGCATCCTTGCCCTTGCGGCCCGTCTGCACCTTGAGCATTGAGGGTGTCACGCGCAGGTAGGGCGTCGAGGCGGGCACGCCGCGGAGGTCGGAGTTGGGGCCGGAGATCCGAGCCCAGTCCAGCGGGGAGTGGCCCGGCGTGAGGACGACCTGGCGGCTGGGCTTGGTGGGCTTGGAGGAGTGCGTTGGAGGAGGTGCGAGGCCGGAGGAGAGGGAGGAGGACGCGGCAGGAGGGCCTCTATTGGGAGTCGGACCGCGGGCTCGCTGGGCCGAGTTGGCAGCTGGGAACTGGCTGAGGGCGGGAATGCGGCCGTTGGGGCGGGACGAAGGGAGGGGCGGAGGGGGCATCATGAGGGAGGCTGAATCGGCGATGGAGAGACTGGGGACGGGTTGTGGCAGGCTCGTGGCCTGGGCCTTGGGCGTGGTTGGGCTTTCGGGCTCTTGAATGGTTGGAGATGCAATCGTGGGGGGGATAATCGTAGGCGGTTGGATGGTCGGAAGTGTCGAGGGAACGGCGTCGTCGGGTTTGCGCTGTCTCAAGGTCGAAGAGGTCTGTCCGGCTGAAGAAGCTGATGACGACCCCCTCGAGGCCAGCTCTGTGTCGTCGTCGATCGATGGCTGGACGGCGATTGTTGGTGTAGCGCCATGTCCGGCGTCATGCTTGCTCTGCTGCGCCCTATTCCTCCGCTCTTGACTTGATAACGTCTGGTTCTCTTTGCCGTCCGTGATGGCGCCGACTCCTCCCCCGAAACTCTGCCACGGCCATCGCAGCCACTGCGGCTGCCTCAACGCCACGAAGACAAAGGACGCGACAATCAGCGAGATGCCGAGCAGGGCCATGGCGGCAGCTGGCTGAGACACGCAAAAGAAATGGGAAACGAGATGAAGGGAGAATTCCTGATGAGGCGCAAGAACCGCCCAAGTTGATAAAATCGCAAAAGATGACGGTACGAGTACAGTAAAAGGGCATGCAGTTGATCTGGGGGCTCTAAATTTGGAAGGCATGGCGTTCGCGCCCTAAACCGTAAATAGGGGATCCCTTGGTTTTGCGCAGCCAATGGGAGGCTGAGCTGCGATCTGGCCGGGAATATGCTAGCGTGAGGCCTGGGTGCCACGGGGCTAGGCCTGATGGGGTAAGAGAAGAGATGAAGAAGAAATCGGCTGTTGCTGTTGTTTTGTTTCACTCAGGGGAGCTTGTTCGTCTAAATGCCGTTTACTGTTAGCGATGGCTGTGCGGTGCCTGATTTATTTTTATCGTGTTTCGGGTCAAGGTACTGCTGACTAGGTAGGTACGGAGTACACAATAAACAAACAAAGTGGGCGATCCAACGGGCTACCGGTTGACGCCATCGCTGATGCTCGCTCGTGGCCCTGCAGAGCACCTACATAAGGGTAGTTCAGGTTGTGGACTACAAGGTATACGAGGTAATAACAAGAAGAGTGCACTATCCTGTACGGAGTATTCTTCTGGTAGCTCAATCTGTGCCGTGGGCGCACACAGATCTCATCACTCTGCCTCTGCCGGAGCCAGGGGGCATGATTCGAGGGCATTTCCATGCACGAGGCGCGGTTGTCGACGTATGTGGCATTGGAAACCAGTCAGTCAGCTGTAGCCTCGTAGCATCGCATCTTGCATCTGCTCGATATCCACTACCTGTGCTAAAACTTGTCACGAATGACCATCTCCTGTCGAATGGGCAAATGGGCTCCATGCTCGTACATACAAGCTTGGACGAATTTCCTTGGTAGGCGCGCGATGCTAACGCACTCTTACTCGTACCGAGCCACTGCCGACCCCCATCCTGCTGCCCTTTTTCAACATGCATGCCGTCTCCCTCTGCTTCGCTCTCACTGGACATTCTGCACCAGACGACTCCTTACCGCCTTTCTGGATACAGACTTGCGGGGGGGCATAAACCCTTGCGCTTGGATGGATTGGGCCATTCTGTGCTTCTCCTCAAGTCGTCAGACGATGCGATGCCGTCCGCCTGCATGTATCGTCGCCGCCTCGTTTGCGCGCAACGTAAAAGGGTCCAGCGCTGTGCATATCAGCATCGTCACCCGTCTCTCTCTCCGTGACTGTCCACCCGTCTATCTTGTCTATTCTGTCTCTCCGTCCGTTGCCGTGCCTGTTTCTGTTAATATCACCTCATCACTTACTCGTACTACTGCCACCTGCGACATCCCTCCATACCTCAACCTAGCTTGCGCCAGTGGACCTCTGGTCAGGCTGTCCCGGCTCCTTTTATCCCTCCACACGCCCCCTAATTTCTGGCCCGGGCTAGTCACCACAGCGGCCTTAATTACCTGCCAGCGCTGCCCGAGGCCCTGCAGTGGCGCTGGTCAGCGCGACTTGGACCGCCCGGAGGATGCGCTCAGGCTCAGGCAACGCATGCTCGGACGCTGTCGTCGACAATCCCCGAGCCACGTCCAGGCCCAAGCCCAAGCCTCATCTCCAACCTCGACCTCACTCTCAACCTCAACCGCAACCTCAGCTTCGGCCCCAGCCCTGCCATCACCGCCAGCAGCAGCAGCAGCCTCACCACCCCCCCAAGCCGCAACCCTCCGCCTCGCGACTGTCCGCCGGCAAGCCCGCGCCTCCGCGACCAGCGACCAACAAAGCCTCGACGACAACGACGCCTGCACCTCGATTGGGCTCGACTCCGCCCAATCCCCAGGGACCGCCCCTCACCCGCCCGACAGCTGCTCGACAGCCGAATCAACATGTGCTTTCTGTGAGGGCTGCCGCTGCTCCGACTACGCGTTCTTCCACCAAGAGGGACGCCGCCGCCACGATGCCTCTCGGCGACAAGCCTCGCCAGCCTCAGCTGAGCGCTGGAGCCGCCCGAGGCATGACCCGAACGCCCCTGACCCCCAAGGTCGCCGTCAAGGGGCCGCCAGCAACCACGCCGCTGGCTCGCAAGTCCTCGTCTGTTCTCAGCGCGCAGTCGTCGCCGCGTGGCGAGAGCGCCGGGGCTCCTCCGGCTTCCTATCTCAGCCATACCAGCACCCCGCGGTCCGGCGCCAGGCAGACCCGTGCCGAGAGCACTGTTTCGACCAGCTCGACGAACCTCGACAAGATGAGCGACGGCGGGTGGGACACGAGGAGCAACCGCGGCCTGGGCGTGTCGCCTCTGGCTCGTAGCGATAGCCTGAGCTCCAGGAGGAGCGTCAACGGCCCATCGTCCAACTCGCCCGGCGATGACTCCAAGTTCTTCTACGCGAGCAGCGTAAAGCCCGCGGCTCAAGCACCGCCGCCTCGACCAGCCTCGGTCGTCCATACTAAAAGTACGCCGACCTTCTTCTATGCGAGCGATGCTGCCAGCAAGCGAGTGACGAGCCCTCCAGCATACCCCAGCTCAAGCACTCACTCGCTGGCCTCGGCGCAAGAGGGCGTTGCTACCAAGTTCTTCTACGCAAACGGCGCGCCAGATGTGGAAGCGAGATTGTCAGCGCGCAGCTCCGGCTCGGGTTCGACAATCTCCAGCAGCTCCAGGGCGACGCGCGCCAACACCAGCAACTCCTCGGCCGTGGGATCCAGCACGACTCAGATATACTCGCGGCCAGCATCGCCCTCAAAGAACCTTACACACCCTACACTACCACAGCAGCAGCATGCACAACCGACGCTCCGAGCCAGTGCCATGTCACCTACCTCCCCGATCAGGGCCTCGGCTCACCAGGCTCCGAAGCTGGCGGCCACCACCGCGCAAGCCAACAAACGACGAGTGAGTATCGAGCAGCCTCTGCGGCTGAAACAGGGGCACGGTCGCGCCGGCAGCGTCGTTTCTGTAGAAGGAGGAGCCGCCGTCCCGAAGATTGCCTCACCCACAAGCGTACCGCCCACGATCCATGCGCCTGACATGACACCGCCGCTTTTGAGTCCCGGACTGGCGCAATTAGCACAGCCAATGACGATGGCGTCGATTCTACAAATGGCCGACGAGATGGATGATGAGGATGAAGACGACGAAGGGGACGGGAGCGAAGGCGAGGGAGAAGACGGAGAAGATGGGAACAGCGACGATTCAGAAACCGACTCCATCAGTCGTAAGAGAAATTCCCAGAATTCCGAGCCTCTTGATCACCTTGTCCTGAGCGCCCGGCGCGAGCGCAAAGTTCAGGACCTGGAAATCACAAACGCTTCTCTCGAGGCCATCAACAGAACTCTTGAGAGGCAGCTGCGGAAACAATCTGCAGAATTGCGCCGCTTCCGACGCTTATCCAGAGCCGGGCGCCTCGGCTCTGCAGCTTCGGGCCAAGGCGGTGCGTCCCTAACTGTACCGGACGCCGCAGGAAGCCTCACCGACGTCAGTGAGAGGGAGGAAGATGCCGCAAAGCAGGATGGGGAACTAGAAGAGGACGAAGACGACGAAGATGAGGAGGACGAGGAGGACGAAGACTCGCTAGTCGATTCCGAGTTATCCCACGGAAACACAGCTGCCGACCCCAACTCTACCACCTCTCAGTCCAAGGCGGAATCGCCTGGCGACAAACGGCGGAAACGGGACGAGCGCCGTCTCCAGCTCGACCTCACAAGGCATCAAGAGCTTTTGCTCGACAGCCAGAAGATGAACCAGAGTCTCAAGAAGTGTCTGGACTGGACAGAGGTGCTCATCAAGGAAGGCCAGAAGGCATTGGCCTACCAGGTCAGAATCTCCGACGTGGACGCCATGCCCGGCCGCGTCCTGGCAGCTTCATATTACGACTACCGTGACGACACATCCCAAGTCGAAGACGATACGATCTCCACCGTTTCCGCCTCGCGTTTCGACGACGATACCGTGTCAGGCTTGGAATCCGAAGGGGAGGCATGGCCGAAAGAATCACAGGATCGTGATAGTGGCATAGCACTGCGCGCTGCGGGCCATTAGCTAACCGACTCTTCGCAAACACCATGGAGAGGAGGGCTAATAGCCAATTTATTCTTCTTCGCATATCGACGACCCGATATGCCCATTTCTACGGTGCATTTACTGCTTGCTCTCGTTCACATCACCACTCATGGATATCTAGTCTTTTACTTCCTTTCTCACTCCTCCTTTTGCCCCCGGCTGCTGCAATATTTCCTCGTCTTTGTTTCTTTCTATCCTTCCCTTTTCTTTGTCTCTTTCGTATTTGCGACAGCATATACTTTTATGCACGTATAGTTGCATCTCGGGATATTCGGGGATACAAGGCGCTCATTCGGATTTTGCATGGCGTTCTCCTTTATACTTTTTTCTTATATTTTCTCTACTCTTCCTCTTCTCTTCTTTAGCTGATATCATCCGTTGGCTTCTTCTACTCTCATTGCGTTTATGAAGGCCATGATTACTGCATTCTTCCTCTACTACTTGTCGTTTCCATTCCTTTTCCCTCGAGAAGCTTCCCTCATATCTCGCCTTCCAAAATACCCTTCTTACAACAAACCTGAGTGAGAACTACCACTCTTGTTCTGCACTTTAGGGATTTAAATAGGCACGGCTTCTCTATTGCCTCCCTGCCCTGCACGTTCCCTTATTTCTATGATATCCCTTGTCATAATTTGACTACTACTCTATTGTTTTTTGAAGTGTTTGTTTTGTCGTTTCTCTTTCCAATATGTGTAAGATCAGATACCCGCAGAGGCAAAGCAAAAAGACGAAAGAGAGAAGAGGGACAAAGCTATCTGTCTATGGAACACCGACGAAGAAAACGCCTCCCCAAGACAAAGAGCGGACTTTCCGTTCCCCCCTCTTTCCTTCCAAAAGACAGGAGAGAAAGGGGAGAACCGAAACCTTTTATTCATCATTAGCCCCATACAACGAATATGGCTTACTTTCCAAGAGATCAAAACGTTTTAACCAGCTTCGACAATGTTTCTTTTGGATATATATATGAAGAAGAAAGGGAGGGGAAAAAAAAACAAAACCAACCTTTTTGCATTATTTTTTTTTCTTCACTTTTTTTATGTATGTGCGCAAGATATAGAAATCATGCGCGCTGCTGCCTTTTCGGTGAATGATGGAAAACGGAATAGAGGAAGAACAAGCGTTTTATGCCTTCCAATCTTCTTGCCTAAGATACTATGTTATGTGATCTGATGCCAATTCCATTCTCCAATGAGCTTCTCCACGGGCTTGGTGCTTGTCGGATGAGATATCAAAATATATGATGTAAATGCGCTGGAGAAAATATCCAAAAGAGGAGAGAGTGTGAGAAAAGAGAAACAAGAAGAAAAAAAGCTGTGTACTCTATATAATAAGATTATGCCCGATCGCTCTCTATCCGGCAATCTCGACAGTATTTCTCTAAACAAACAAGGGTCCTCATATCCCATTTTGTGCTCCCTCGACTCTCATCCCCATCCTCCTTCTTCCTCTTGCCTCTCCTCCCTTCTCCTCCTCCCTTTCCATGTCCATTAACGCCGTTCCCCCCTGGATCGCCCCCATCTTACGCCGCCGGCTGCTCTGGTTTAGGCACGTTAGGCGCATCCTGCGCAACCTCTTCCGCGGTCATATCCCTGGACTTCTTATCCTTCTTGTGCTTGTGGTCTTCGTGCTTGTCCTTCTTCATGGCGGCCTCGGCAACCAGCTGCTCGAAGAGCAGGTAATCACCCTCTTCTTCGGGGGACCGCTCAGCCTATAAAAGCAAGAGCAGTTAGACACTAAACCTCCAATATAGCTTTCGTCAACTGAGAGAACGAAAAATGGCAACATACCTTGATGAAAATCTCGCCAATCAGCATGAGCGCCTGCGCTCGCTCTAACCGCTTCGACAGCGGAACCTTCTTGTCCTTCAAGACCGCATCGCACACCTCGCGCAGCACGCCCTGAATCTCGAACCTGCTGCCTCTCCACGCAGCCGTCAGGATCTTGCCCGTGACGCGGCGCTCGTATTCAACACGCTTTTCGTCCGTCCAGTCTTCGCCACCCCGCTCTTCCATCTTGGCCATGTCCTCCACCGTCTGCTGAGCGTCGATGGCGCTGCTGATGGTGTTCCAGGTGTCCTTGACCAGCGTCCCCTTGTCCTTCAGCTTGCTGAAGAAGCCACCGATGCCGAGGAACTTTTGGCTGTTGAGGAGGACCGAGGCCTTGGACATGTAAGTCTGGCCGATGGCGTGAAGAATGTCGATGCCAAATGACTCCATCTTGAGATTCTCCACCTCGAGCCGCATCTTCTCCTGGAAGGCCCGAGTGACGTCGGGGCCCTTGTCCGTCTCCGTCCACACACTGACCCGGTCCAGAAGCTTCTTTGTAAGTGCCTCCACGCGCTCCTGTCGAATGCGCGCGCGCTCCTTCTCGTAAGCCAGCAGCTTCTCCCGCTGCTCCTTGCTCATGCCGCCCTTCTTCTTTCCTTTGCCCTTGAGGTCGTCCTCTGTCTGTTCGATTTCCTTCTCCGTGTCGTCGTGGGCCTTTTCGGTAAGGGCCGGTCGGATGGGGATCTGCCGGCTCCGGGAGCCATATGAAGGCGCCGGAGATGTAGCTTCGGATCGAGGCGGCGGTGTCGCAGTCGCAGGCTGTACAGGTGTCTTTGCCTTTTCGTCCTCTACCACCACCGTGGGAGGTACCGTGGGGGGCGGCGCGGACGCGGAGCCTGCGAATGTCTCCTGGTTCTCCTTCTCCTTCTCCTTCATGCTCTCTTTCATTGCCTCGGCAGTTCCCGGGAACTCTTCATCTCCCTGCGTCTGCGGCGCACCCTCCCCTTCTTCTCCCTCCTCCATGGCAATGTCCATTGTGGCGGCCAGATCCTTCATCAAGCTGATCTCGCCAATCCAGTCGACAAAGGCCTCGCCGCCGAAGATGGCAGAGAAGAACTCGGCCGGGTCGACGAAGCCCTCTTGCGGCTTCGCGTGGTCCTTTCCATACTTGTCGTAGGCCTTTCGCAGATCCGGGTCTGAGAGCACCTGGTAGGCCTCGCCGATGGCCTGGAATTTTTCGTGTGCTGTCGGGTCGTTGGGATTCTTATCTGGTGTCAGGGGGAGCCCGTCAGTCGGTGTAGAAGATGCGAGACGCAAGGCGCAAATGTCAAACAAGCTGAAAACGCCAGAGGCGAGATGGACGGCAGTTTACCTGGATGGTGGACAATGGCCAGCTTGCGATAGGCCTTTTTGATCTCTAGCTCCGTGGCCTGCGGCTTGACGCCGAGGGTGTCGTAATAGGCCGTATCGACGACCATTTTCGGCGAGCGAATGAGAGAGCGTTACTCTGGTGAATGTGAGCGTCGCAGATGTGGGTTGTTCGAGTGAATGAAGAGCAAAGCGTGGATGGCTGGCGGCGCCGTGGGATGCGTATCGTATAGATAGAGAGATGTAAGACGATGATATTCGCGGCCGTTAGTCGAGGGAGTGCATATTCGCTCGCCGCAGCCGAAATTTTGCCCAAGGCTGAGTGCGCTCTGTTTCGTCGGCGCTACGTAATGGCGGGGCAGTGCTGCTGAATCGTCATGTACCGACACATGCCATTTTCGTAGGTACAGTACTTCTTCTTATCTTCGGTCAGCAATCTAGAGTGAACCGGATCGTCAGGGTTCATTGACATGCACTTCAATCTGCATCCCTACTATTTGTGCGCAGATGGCAAACCACCGCCCTTTTTCACATGAATGTTTTCCAGCACGATGCCAATCAGTGGGACCAAGATGTCATTTGACGATGCTTGCACGCTACAATCTGCACAACACACGTGGCCAGCCAAGATCAACGGCGCACGACGTGCTCTCTTGTCGAGACTACCTATCTAGATCGCCATCAAATTGCTCAGACGATATCTTACTCGCCATTAAGTGCCCACTCCAGCGAGATGATTGAACAACGAAGTGCGAAATCCACGCAACCGACCACATTGACAACTTGACATCAGAGCAAACCCAGCATCGGATTATTTGATTCCTGCAGACTTCATGCGCTCGAAGCACTTCTCGTACGCTTCGTGGACTTCAGGAATCTCGTACTGATACTCCTTGAGCTTCTTCACCAGCTTTGTCGTGTCCAGCGCGCAGTTACTCCGGTCCGCCTTGATGACCTTGGCTTGTTCTTCTAGGGTGAAGTTTTCCCAGCTCAGGTCCGGCCTTACGATCTCCTTGAAAAGCGTGAGCACCTCGTTGTGAGAGATGGCGCCTGGGTTGGTAAAGTTGTAGACGCCAGTCTCACCATGTTCTGCAAGAATGATGGAGGCGGGCAGGAGATCACGAAGCATGGTGTTGCTGTTGGGAACGTTGACCACCTTCTCATAGCTGAGGAGCTTTGTCACAAAGTTGCGCTGGTGAAGGTCATCGCTAACAGGCATGCGTAGACGGAGGATGAGGCAGTTGGGGTAACTGCTCAAAACCTAAAAGACATGTCAGTCTCGCTATTCACTACAGCAGCATACTTGGGATTTGGGCGTACCGGCTCAACATGGCCCTTGGTCAAGGAGTAGAAGCTCCCCTCAAAGTTTGGGCGGTCTTCCTCTGTATAGCCACGCCCACCAACCGGATGGGTCTTGTCGTACTGATATACACACCCAGTAGCAAAAATGGTGCAATGGATATTGGCTTGAAAGCAGGCATCTGCCAAGTTTAAGGTGCCAACGACATTGGATCGCACCGTCTGGGGCTTGTTGTCCTCGCACCAGTCGACATTGGGCCTCCCAGTGCATCCAGCAGCGTTAAGAACGTGAGTTGGCTTGGTGAGGAGGAGCTCGGACAGCACAGCCTCCCGGTTTTCCATGCGGATGGTCGTGGTGTGAACTTCCTTGCCCTGGTCCTCCAAGAGGCGTTTCAGCTGGCCGGCAATCCAGCCATTGCCTCCCCATATGAGAAAGCGTGGCTGTTGTTGATGGCCGTTGGAGAGCTTGCTGACCATTTCGATGAATCTGTTACTGCTGTAGATCAATGGCCGTCGTAATGTCGATGGTTAGACTTCTCTTTTCCTGCCAATCAGTTTGGCAAAATGAAGAGGAAGATGTTCAGAATTGAGCAGAGACGAGCTATGAATGCAACGTCTTGGAGCGGCGTTGAGGAAGGCGCCATGTTTGCTCTTTCTCGCTACATCACTGATTGGCTCCCTGTACAGTTGTTGCTATTTGATGGCAGGTGCAACCTGTCAACGTTTCAACAATGAAGAAGGCCAAACTCTAATTGCTTGTCCTGAGTGCTTGCTGCCTCATTCTGTTTGCTTGTCATGTGTTTCAACAGAGCTACTATAGGTACCTTATGTTTGGAAGGATCTCGAGTATCTTCTTCTACCTTCATGGCTCACATCCTGAGAGCAAGACTGAGCTCTCCCACAAGTTTCTCGGTCAGCTCAGGAGGTTTACGGTTGATGTTGCTCAAGCTGGCTGTGACGATGCTCACACGGAAACCATATCAGTCACTAAGATATCAATGCCTCCTGCCCATCTTCACTGCATCGAGTCTAGTGTTGCTATTCGCAATAGGGGCAACTGCTTGATGCTGTACGAACAGGCTTCTACAAACTCCTCGTTTCAATCCCATTTGAAATTGTATCTGTACTTTGAAAGGGTTGAGGCTAAAAGGGACTTTCTACCAGTCAACTCCACCAGCATTATCATCGGAATGTCTCAGCTTACATGCAGCTCTCACCGCCCAGAATCCGTTCACGATAGTGCAGCTGGTGGACGTTTTCGCGGCTGAGTCATCAAGCCAGGGGCGGCTGCAGGTAAAATTGGTGGCGCTTTTGGAGCGAGTTTCACGGCTCGCGTGAGAAGCTTGCCGTTGCCGTGCCGCACTATGACACTTGTGCCTTGGATTTGAGGTGGATGTGGTTATGGTTGTTGTTTTGACATCTCTATCTGTGACATATAGGTAGAGTTTGTATGAACCCGGTAAAACAAACACTTAGGTATCTTGACACATAGCCGAGTGTATGACGGAGCTGTTCAGCCATCGTCATCATAGAAGTACCTACTAGATCACGGTGTTCATGACAGCCATTCTCCCCAATGCCTTGCCTTTAGACTGCTGTCTCTGTTGATTACCCCTTACTATAACGAGCTTTTTTCTCCGTACCTTAGCGTATTCGCAACAGCTGGCGGAATTGGGCGTCTGCAATCCCGTTCCACACCACGTCTAGCGCTGCGAGTGATGGAATCGGCTCAACGGCCCCAGCGAATGGCTTTGCAGTCGCTTCAGTGCTAACCCTACACTCCGGAGTCCGTACCTCGTCAGCCGTTCCGAGCAGAGTTTTGGTGTGGGGTTCGCGTGCCTGTTCCGCCCAGTCAAGCCGCTCCTGGGCCGTATTCGTATCCACCAGCTCCCACTTCTTGGCTGCCTTTTAGCACTCGTTCAATTTAACCACAGCTTGCTATAATTCCTTCTTCCCCCCATCATCCATCTTGTTTTTCCCCTCGCGTTGTTTTCAGCCATTGCTCTCTATCTTCTTACCAGTAATTCTTGTTTTTACTATATACCCCGGATTTTCTCTTCTTCTTCTCCGTCGTCATCTTCGTCTTTGTCTGTTTCTTCGCGTTCATTTTGCGGCATCCCGACCCCAGTCGTGCGAACACGGTAGCCAGACGGCTTCATATTAGCTCTTCTTCACTTCACGCCTAGTAGCAGCTAGCAACAGCTCTGCAAATTTTTGCCAATTCACTCTTCGCACATTCTACCACCGCCTTTTACGTGTGCACCAAAAGAACCACCACAATGGGCGCTCTCTACTACGCAATGCACCCGGGCCAACTGCGCTCCATTGTCCAATGGTACGTTCAACTACGGGGACGCTCGAGAGAGGGGGAGACACGTTGCTTACTCTAATCTACAGGAAGCTGTGGCATGAGCCCGTCAACCGCCGCAACCCTCAGACCGAGAGTGCGACATTACAAGAATGTTTCCGCTACTTGAACATGACAAGCCGCAGTTTCTCAGCCGTCATTCAGGAACTCAACCATGAGCTTCTGGTCCCAATCACACTCTTCTACCTAGTGCTACGTGGTCTCGACACGATTGAGGATGATATGACCATTCCCCTCTCCACCAAGGTCCCCATGCTGCGAGAGTTCCACGTAACAATGGAACAGGACGGTTGGCAATACCACGATAGCAAGGAGAAGGACAGAGAACTCCTTGAGCACTTTGACTGCGTCATTACCGAGCTCAAGAAGCTCAAGAAGCCTTACTATGACATCATTAAGGATATGACTATCAAGATGGGTAACGGTATGGCCGACTACGCGCAAAACACCGAGATGATCGAGAACGGCGTCCAGACAATCGAGGAATACGAGCTGTACTGCCACTACGTTGCAGGGTTGGTTGGTGAGGGCCTGACGCGACTGTTGGTCGCTTCAAACCTCGCCAACCCTAAGCTTGCTGAGAGACCCGAATTGACCGAGTCCATGGGTCAGTTCTTGCAGAAGACGAACATCATCCGAGATATTCATGAGGACTGGGTAGACGGCCGGCGATGGTACCCCAAGGAGATTTGGAGCAAGCACGTTGAGCGATGGGAGGACCTGTTCGACCCCAAATACAAAACACAGGCAGTCGAGTGCATTTCAGCCATGGTCCTCGACGCCCTGAAGCACGTCGAGGACTGCCTCTTCTACATGGCGGGCATGAGGGATCAGAGCGCCTTCAACTTCGTTGCCATCCCACAGGCCATGGCCATTGCCACCTTGGAGCTGTGCTTTAGGAACCCGGCTGTGCTGGAGAGGAACGTCAAGATCACCAAGGGAGACGCTTGCCAGATCATGCTGGAAAGCACGCAGAACCTCCAAGTCCTCTGCGAGGTCTTCAGAAGATATGCCAGGCGCATCCAGAAGAAGAACGATCCTCGCGACCCCAACTTCTTAGCAATCAGCGCGCGGTGCGCAAAGGTATGCATACATCACTCCGTAAGACGTGCTGTGTGACAGGGAGACTAATAATCGGTTCCAGATTGAGCAATTCATCGAGACCTTGTTCCCTAGGCAGGACCCCAAGAAACTGGCCCAGGAAGCCAGGGCGAAGCAGACGCAAGAGCCTACCATGTCCGCTGGTGAGACTGCCATCATGGTCGGCGTCGTCCTCGCTGTCCTGTTGACCATGACGGGTCTGATGGTAAGTCGCACTTGACCTGCAGGAGCCATGAGTGCGCGGTAAATCTAATCATGCAACAGGTCGGCATTGCTTGGTTCATGGGCGCCAAATTCGACAACACATTTTCCGACACCGCCAAGCTGTTCTCCAGCAGCACCGGCGGCAGCCCTACCTCAATAACGGGCCACGAGGAATTGTAACAACAACTATTTTAGGGATTCTTTTACTGAAGCATTTCGTCAATGACGATGCACTTGATGCCGTTCATGTACTACAGGATTCTTGGCTCATGATATCTGCCAAGCGATACACTTACTTAATGTCTTTAATATCTAGAAATCGACGGACAATGAAACTATCGGAAAGGGGGTACACTATTGATGAGCTGTGACGTTCCCTCTCCTCTTTCTTCGCTCTCTCCTAGCACGGATGTCAAATTGCAATCCAGTCCTTTCATGACTGTGGTTGTGCCGAAGAAGTGCTGATATCAACCTTTGCCATTGCTTTTGGTCCGCTCTGACGAGTTGGACGCAGCGCGGAACTTTCTACCTTGATCTTTTAAGAGGCTAGATTCGCGCTGGCGAGCAAACAGATTATGAGTTATTCGTTGTGCCTTCTGGCTTAGTGACGCAACGGTCAGAGTGAAGACGCTTTTGACTGGTTTGGTTTCTCAAGAATGTTCTACAGGCCATTGTTCTTGTTAGGCAATGCCAGTACTCAAGATAATCATCGGAGGTCAATTCCCCATTTTGCTTCTGCATTATCTCTATGGTAGATTCCCGTAATCATCACGATTGTTCTTGCCAATTACCACAGTTCTCCCTTCCCTATCTCTCCCAGGTCGTATCCAGGCAGGTGTGCTCTATCAATATGTACATGCATGTCGAGTAGCAACTGCCACAATCCAACTACAGTTCCATTCCGGGCAGATGGCCCCCAATTATTAGCAATGCATCTCTCGCTCTTCCAGATTAAGTCTATGAAATGACAAGTTTAGGAAGATGGTATGCAGAGTGCGCGCGGCGTGTATTAGTCTGGTTTTCTTCTTCTAAAATAGGCCTAAAGACGAGTCGACATGAGCATGGGGAGTACATGCTTAAAAGTTGCCGTTGTTGGCAATGAGGCTGGTGGTACCAGCAACGTTCTGCTTCACAGTAGCACCCGTCTTGGCAGCCAAGTTCTTGATGAGGTTGCTGACATCCGTGACATTAGCGACACCCTCAAGAGCCATCAGGTAGGCAGCAAGACCAGCAACGTGGGGAGAGGCTATACGAGTTGCACAAGTCAGTCGTTGATTCAGCGTTATGAGGGGCTCAGATGCTTACCCATGCTGGTGCCGCTGAGGACTGCGGTGTCAATATCGGACTTGATGCCGACGCTGAGAACATCGACACCAGGAGCATAGATGTCAACGCCAGCGCCGAAGTTGGAGAAGCTAGCTCGGATATCGGGGGTGGCATCGATGGCACCCACGGTGATTGCCTGAGGGGCGGAGCCGGGAGAGGTGTTGGCAGTATCTTGCTGCAACGACTGTTAGAAGAGTGCCTGGGTGAGAAGAGAGAAGGGATACAACATACGTTCTCGTTACCGGCAGCGACAACGGGGACAATACCAGCGTTGGTCAGAGCCGTGATGGCGTTGTTGACAGCAGTAGAGAATGAGCCTCCCAGAGACATGTTCATCACAGCCTTGCCGGAGAGCTTCTTGGCCTGGACGTCGTTAACAACGAACTGCATGCCATTCAGAACGCCGGAGTTGCTGCCAGCGCCATTAGCGTCGAGAACCTTGACGGCAACGAGCTGAACGTTCTTGGCCACTCCGAAGGTGGCACCGCCAATAGTGCCAGCAACATGGCTGCCGTGGCCGTTTTCATCGGTGTCCTGAGCACATCATTGTCAGACATTGTTCATCAAGCGGAAGCTGCTTAGATACGGAAACCGGCCTCAAAACATATACTTACGACAGAGTTCACAAAGTTGGCTCCAAAGGTGGCACGGCCCTCAAACTCGGTATGGGTAGTACGGATGCCAGTGTCGACAACGTAGGCAGTGATGCCCTCGCCAGCAGAGTTGTCGAAGATGTAGTTTTGTCCACCAACGGACTTGTTGGAAAGGCGGATCAGGCCAGGGGTGGCATTCGTCTGAGCAACGAGAGCGGCGTGCTGAACCTTGGTGTCGGCCTCGATGTAGGCAACCTCTTCGGCGTCAAAGATGTCCTTGATCATGACATCATCGGCATCGAGAGCCATGGCACGCCAGGTGTGCATGCTGAAGGAGTGGATGGCGGTGGACAGCTCGTTGCCGAAGAGACCACGCTTACCGAGGTTGCGCTTCGCGATCTTAGCAGCAAACTGGGCCTGCTTGGCAGAGATGGCCTCTTCGCCAAAGGAGTTGTTGTAGACGACAATGTAGCGGTTGGGAATGATGTTCTTGGCGAAGGGATTGGTGACGAGGCCCATAAGATGCGTCAAATTGACATTGTTGATGATGTCCCCAAGATCCCGAGACTGACGGTGGTCGTGAATCGGGACAGCAGCCGCCAGAGGGGCGACCACCATGAGGAGATATGCGAGCATGGTGCTGAAGGGCGCCATTTCGAAGAAGATGCCGAGTAGTTACAAGCGCACACGCAATGAGGAACAAGTAAGTCGAATATTATACTGGTAAAGCTGTTTGTCGTGAGGAAAGGCCCAGCCCGTTCACTCCGTTCGAATGAATGAATACTGATAACGATGTTCCAAAAGGAGAGGATGAAGAGAGGATGGACGATCAACGGTCCTCTGCAGCCAGCTTGCTCAGTTCAGCGGTTGAGACGTGAAAGGAAGGACGGCGAAGAAAGAGAATATGAATGATCCAAGTGCGGAGGACCGGGCCGGGGACTGCTGGCTGGGCTGGGAGAGGGGGGGGAGAAGCGACAAAAAATACTGAGCGAGAGAGAGGAAGAAATAAGTACGAAAAGGACGTTGAAAGTCCAAAACAAGAGAGGAGGGAATGAAGCGTAAGTAAAGCAGATGACGGGGAAGAAAGGAAGAAAACAATGACCAGGGGGGCCGCAGAAAAGAGGAGAGGCCCAGCAGGGGAATACTTGTAGAAAGTGAAGAAACAATCAAGCTCGGAAGTGGCCTCCCACTCAGAACTGGCTCGCACCTGCAGCTGCATCTGCCCTGTACCTGTACCTGTACCTGCACCTGCACCCTCTCCCCCAAGCTGCAAGGCAAGTGCAAGGCAAGGGTCTCCGGCTGGGCTCCGTGCTCCGTAAAAGCAGGTGCAGTGGACGAGAGCGCCGAGAGGGACATGAGGCACGAGAGGGCACGTCGCTGGGGATTGGCCTGGTTTGGTTGGTGCTGCAACAGCAGCCGGCGGCACCCCTGCTAGCGGGCAGCTTGTGCCTGACTTGGCGGTCCAAGGTTCTGACGGGCCTTGTCTAGTGGCCTGCAGCTTCTGTAGCGCCGGGCGCGAGATGCTGAGACTGGGGCCGAATCCTGTCTCAGAGCGGGCAGGCAGGGGTCGCTGCCAAGCGAGTAGCAAAACGTCGGGAGCGGTTTGGAAGAGCGCTCAAACGCCAAGCTGGTTATTGCTGCTATGCATCTTGTTCCAGTATTACTGTTGCGTTTACTGTTGCTTTTCACTCTAGACCGCAAGATCTCAAATCTAGACTTTTGAGTTTGTGGCTTACGCATATTCCGTGCTTCAGCCAGTCCTTGGCAGGCCAGGTACGAAACTTGGGCATGCCGAATCAATGCCGTTTAGCGGGGTGTTTCGTCTATGCTCACCAAAGACATTGATTGAATGAGGCAGGTACTGGGTACATGCTCCTTACGAGCAGATCTCAAAGAATGGTTCCTGCTAATGTGACGAGAGCGTCACAGGAGGAACTGAACGACGATAAGGCATTGTGAGTGATGCAGCAGCTGCTGGTTGCCCGTGTGGGCACTCGAGATTCTATAGAGCGAAAGGCACTCAGCAGTCTTGGCGAGCATCTCGGCAGACACAGGCCGATGCAATCTCCAAAGCAGTGGCACATGGCCAACTCATACCCGCGTATCGAGTGCTACATACGAGCAGATGGACGGCATCAAGGCTGGATCCGCCTATGAAACCTGAGAAGCCAGAAGCAAGAACAACTGCATTTATGCTTGTTTTATTAGTGTCAATGTTTGGAGGGAGTTTGTTGGACACCAATTACGCTGGGAAAATGCGACTTGCCGTTGTGCCGTTGGCTGTGTCGATCAGCTGCGGCTTTGATTGATTGCCGCATGGCATGCAACGATCCCAACTTCCCAGCTGCAAACGGACCACGCTTCCCCAGCAGCAGATTGTCGGGTGTTAGATCATGATAAGAAGCCCGCAGATCCTTGACTGCTTCTGCTAATCATGTAAGTATCTGTTATTTCTCATCGGAGCAAATACTCACTGCGTCAGTCGAGGTTCTGATTCCGCTTTTTGCTCTCCCTTTTTCGCTCCCGTCTTCTATTGTTCAGCATCTTGGTTCGAACCTCACGTCTATCTTGAGCACCTCGAAAGGTACCCAGTACTTGATGTCCTGGCGCGCCTCCCGCATCTTCAGCACCTCGGCAGCCCTGGAAATTGGCGACATAAGCTTCCGGTGGCGTCAGGGGCCGAGAACCAGTGCCCCACCGCTGAAACGCACCGCTAGTGAATGCGGTTTTGATTGATGTGGAAGTCGGCGGCTGTTCCATCCCGCTGGGTCTGCAGCTGCCATTGGCCTGGCGGAGAGGCAGTCTGAAACGCGCGCTACGGAGCCGAGTCAAGCCGGCGTCTTTGTTCGTTGTGCGATTGTGAGACGCCGCGGAGGTGGGCATCGTGAGTGGGCGTTTGTGTTGATTTTGGTGTCTTTCGTTGTGTTGCAGTCACTGCTCGATGATCCAAGCTTTTTTTCACTTCATCGTCTTTGACTCTATTTTGGTGCACACTGAACCACCAGGATGCGGCTGCTCCCTCCGCTTGGCGTCTTGTTTTTTTATTCGTCCAGTCATGACTTCTCGCAATGCTGGCGCTTGCCAAGTACATGTATTTGTCAATGAGCATCCAGGTTTGCTCGAGTCATCCTATCATCTTGATGGGCGTAAACACCCAACCTGAGCCAAGACTCCTTAGAGGGCATCTACATCCCATTGCGTGGCGCAGTCAACGTACCAGGACGGAGGCTATTGCTACAGCCTGCATGAGGTATGTAGAATAAGGTCGCCAGTAGTGGTGAAGCGATGTAACTCTCGAGGAGACCCCGATATCAAGTAGATTACTACTACTACCACCTTACTACATACCTTACGTCAACGTGCAAATCACCGAGCCACTTGAACGAACAATAGGTGCCGTAAAAACAAGCTCAATCTGTCACGTTCATCCATGGACGACCTAAACTTCTGTCACCCATGGAATCCCACTCTCTTCTTCCCCACATCATCTCACTCTCATCCACCCCGGCAGCACCAGGCACCGCCCTGACAGGCTGCAGGCCATCTGCGTGGTGCTCCGTGGTGTATGGGATTAAGTGTGCAATTTCCCTGCGCCAACGCATACGAACTCCTTCATTAGTACATAGTTCGTACGCCCGAGTGCATGCAGTCCTTCTCCAGTTGCTTCGCCCCAATCACGGGGTCACGATGTTAAGCTCCGTCAAGCTCATTGGAGGCTTCAAGCAACCTCGGCGATAATCAGACATGCACCAGACACTTCACCTCGGATGTTAGAGATACCACATGTACCCAACTGCCATTTACTTTTCACTCGATTCAAAACGGATTGAAAATTAATTATAATATTACCACCCAAACTACCTCCTTATGTATACAACCCCAACTCGGCCCAGGTGCCCGATATATTTCATGTCCAGTGGCAACCATGCGGACTTGTTGGACGTTCCTTCAATTCTGGGGGTGGGGAGGGGGAATGCCCTACTAGTACCCCTCATAAATGTCACGATGCTTTACCTTAAATTTTCCTCCTTCATCACCTGGCAACAACAGCACGTAGCTGACGCAGACTGCCTAGTAGGCACTCAGGTTACACCAGTAACTCAAAGATACGTGTCTTGCTTGCCGTATGGCGGATAGAGTAGCACCAATACTGTGCATGTATGATGCGATGCATGATTCAGCGTTATCAACTCGAGCTCAACTCAGCCTCTCCTTGTGTTACAGCCTCTGGACGTCGTCCACTCTGTATGGACAGCCGGCATCAAGTGCGATAAGCATTTCAAGCCACAGCAACTCATTCAAAATACAAGCAACAATAAGCGATGCCCGCCTCCAACGTCTCGCGTCTCGGAAAGCGCTCTTAAGCTCATTGGAACGAATTAAGCATAACAAGAAGCTCCATGCCGGCGCGGACTCGATTTACAGTGGTTCCCCTTCTTTCCGAGCTCTTGGATGGTCTAGTCAAACACGGAGTTGCTTCTTCGTTCAAGCATGGGTCGTGCCGCTCTCTTTCTCTTTCTATCACGCCGTCGTCCCGCATGTGTTCTTAGCTGCAGAATGCAACTTTGAAATCGGCCATGATGTTTGTGGAAAGGCCCCGTCTCATATTTTCGTTCTAGAACTGCAGTACTTCAAGGATAAGGGGTGCCTACGCGCATAACGTGCGATCGTTTGTTTCACTCGGGTTTTATGGGAGTTTGTAGCAGGGCTTTTCGGTCGATCACTTCTGGGAGCCGGGATCCTAGTCTAGTAGCAGTGCAGGAGGATTGCGGAAGACAAGCTGCCGCCTTCTACTCTATATGGTGGAGGAGTTCACTTCTCCATATATGGGTAAGTATCTTTACACGTTCTAATCGTGAAAATGACAGCAATGTTGAGAGTCCTGTTTGCATGCTTACCTAGCTACTGTGGGCTGAGCGTTGCTTTCTTCACGCTGATGGCTTCACAACCTCATTCAAATGGTCACATACCATGCTTTTCATACACCGTATATGGGCTATGGATTCTATTGCATGTGGAGATCATTGTCTACCACATGCCCTATCCTGTAGTTATTTCTCGTTTGTCGAGCCCGTGGGTGTAAGTTGCAATGCACGGATTCCTCTACCCTGTATCTGTGGAACGCGGTACCGGTGAGCCAGGGCTCCCGATTTTCGCCGGGAATACCACTGTGATGCCATTGCAAAATGCTTTGTTGCTGAGGAACTTTCTGCTTTGTTTCGTTGTGAGAAAATAGTACAAGTTGAGAGCTTTCTGTTGTAGGTACATGTAATAAACGATGGCGGCGAAGACGGTGACGACACAGCTGAAGGGATACTGCTGCACTCACGATCCCGCTGTTTTCTCTCCCGATAACGTGCTGGGTACCTACCTATACAAAGGATTGACTCGACTTCTCCACGGAGAATCCGCAAAGGCGGAGGGAACGAGACATGGGCTGCAGCGTATCTGGCTAACAACAATGTCGCAAGCTTGCGAGGTTGATGATGAGATCGGTACCAACCGACTGCCATCCGTAGCGATGCTGTGTCTACTGTGTCTACCTAACGTACTGGGTAAGGTAGGTTGGGTACCTAGGTAATGGGAGAGGATGTTTGTCACGCAACTAGGAAGAAATGATGATCCGTCTCGTCTTGCTTCCCTCTCAATCCTGCAAAGATACTGGGACCCAGCTGTTTTGTCTTGGAAGAGGATGATTTCTGTCTTGGGCGGGCATAAGATTGAGGTGGGGTAATTTCACTTGTGCAAATGAGTTGTCTTTGATGGGCGGCTCGAAAGGCTCACAGGCCAATCAATCCATCAAGACGACGAGATTGGTACGGAGCACAAAAGCACAGAGGAAGGGAAGGGGGAAAAAAAAAAGAAAGGAAAGAAATTCTCTGCGTTTGAGGGGGAGGTTAGATGAGGAATATGTACATGTAAACACCGGCATCGTGCTCTGTATGTAAGGTATTACCTTAGTCTATCGGTGTCTGCTGCCTTGAGATACACATCCATGGTCACTTTCTGGTCTATACGATACTACCGTAACTTACGTGCAGCAGTGGGCGTCATTTGAATCAATATTTCTGCTTTAGCGGCTTTGACGCCTAATAAATCGTCACTCCAACACGCTTGGACAAGGTACCTACTCAACTGTAAGCCGCCCTCCGCTGCGCTGCACTGCACGCAATTTACATTGGATGCGCCTTTGGGACAGCCGCTACGGAGCGCCATTCGTCGTCTGACAGCCCTTTGATGCCCATTAAGTTTCCGCCTCATTTCGTTTTTTTCTTCCCTTTGCCGAGCACGTCGTAACATCTCTCTGCCTCCCTCCCTCTCCTCGCGCTCTCGTCTTCTGCCGTGTCATCTGTCCTGGTCTTCTTTTCGCCCTTGTCGAGACATTTCGCTGCCCAACTTCGATTCTCCCCAGCTCGTGGCCGTCTCGCTGCATTCATACATTCCTGCGCGGGCGAGACAGATACGACGACGACTACCACTATTATTACTATTACTAGGAACCAACCAACGATTCTCCAATTTCCATCATCTGATCGGCCTGGCCCTTCAGCTTCCCTTCCTACACCGCCCCCCTCTGTCGCTTGCAATCTCCGTATCGGCACGCGAGCACGAGACCCGAAGGCACCGCGTAAAGTGCCAGCGAAATTCCATCTCGCCGGCGCCCAAACTGACCTGACCTGACTTGACCTACATTCTGCCTTCATCGACACCCTCGCCTTGCCCGTGCGTACTGTGCGGTGCCATCATTTTGCCCGTCTGTTTCCACCCTCGCCGAGAAACCGCGAGCCTTGAAGACGGTTCGTTGGCTTCGCTCCGGCCACCGTTTGGGGGCGTACAGCTGCCCACAGATCAGAGTTGGAATCGACCTCCGATCTAAGGACGGCTGACGACGCCACGATATCGAGCACATCGAGCCGTGAGATGCATCGATCGCTGTCCCTACAGAACCCACAATCAAGAATCTGAAATAGACCACGGTCTATTCAAGATGAGAGAACTCATGGATGGCGTAAGCCATGACGACGCAAAGAGCACCCGCAGCCTGAGGATGGATCTGGACGAGAGGGCGACTGAATGCCCAGAGGATCTCGAGATGCAGCAGGACGATGCAGGCGACGGGACCATATCATCTCCCATGACCACATCCATGGTAGCCTCGTTTCTCAACACCACCTCGAGTCCCGTCTCTCCCGGCCCGTCAAGCCCATCGTTCCAGATGGCCAAGAGCACGTCCTTTATACCGCCCGCGCGGCCCAGCAGTACGCCGTTCCCGCATCCCGAAACCCGAAACCCCCAAATCTGCTGCCTGGACGATTCAGAGTCCAGCTCCGATGGCAGTGGCTGGGACAAGTCCTCGACCGAGCCCGTTGACGCTGCGTCCGGAAGACCGCTCGCGCGGCATTTCGACGAACTTCCCACTGAAGTTCATGAGGCGATCCTCGACCACATATTTGGATACTGTGTGTCTGCTACGTCAAGAAGTACAATGCGAATATCGAGTCTGACGAGGGGCTGGAGCACGGCTCTTCGCCATTCGCGGAGGCGAGAGCTCACTGCATTGGCTCTGGTCAACCGCGTGTGGAGGGTCTTGGTCCAGCAGAGGCTATTCCGGCACATCAAGCTCAAGGCGACGCTTGATTCCATCAACAACGCAATGGACTTTTTGGTCGAGCGGCCCCATCTCGCCGAGTACGTCAAGCACATTGAGACTTGGTTCCCCGTCTTCCAGCCAACATACGGGCCGTTGGCCTTGTCGAATACTCTCACGCTTCCTACCGTGACCACAGATGGCCTTACCAATGCCACATACACGCTCCCGGGAAACAACTGCACTCTCGACCAGGTATTCATGTTCGTTGCCGCCGCGCTTCCAGAGACTAAAGTGCTTACGCTGGAAGGCGGAGAGCGGCGCAAGGCACCTGGAGTGGTCCATTTCGACATGAGCACGGGCCCGCCCATCGAGGAACGACGGCTGGAGCCTCTCGTCTCGGTGCGCACTCTGGTGACTAAGGGACAGTGGAATCTCATGAGGGACGACGAGGACTTTAAATTTCTCATGAGGGCATTGCCCAACCTGGAGGAGTGGCAGGGATCCTATAGCAAGCCCAAGTCCAAGACCTACATCACAGCATCCGAGTTCATCCCGCTCTTGCCTAAGCACGTTACGAATCTGAATCTCTGCATGGAAAGCGACTACCGGCGAGAAGGAGTCATGCCGGCATTCTACTACAAGGTGGTGCAAAAAGCTCATCTCTGTTCCAGTCTGGCTTTCATCTTACCATCACTGGAGCACTTTGTATACACCGGCCGTATCTGCCACCATTTCTTTTATGATGCAGCGCGCTATGCAGAACACCAGACGACGAGCCTTAGATCCGTCGACATCACCGTCAAGAACTGTTGCCGCCAGTCCTTTAGCTTTCACGATTCCGGCTCTGGTATCCAGGACATGGCATTCATCGAGGCGTTCGAGAAGCTTGTCCTCTCCGCGGTCCGCTCGATGGAGAGATTCAAGAAGCTGGAATACCTCAGAATTCGATTTGTCGACTTAGGTTTGTTTCTCTTTGCTTTGACAATTCTCTCACTCTTGAATGACTGCCGGTTGCTGACACGGTTGCCAACAGATTCCGTCTTGCCGCCTCTGAACCCATATTTCTTGGTGCAGGGCGGGAAGTGCACTGGAGTATGGAGCGACGTTATTCTCGCCGAAATGAACAGGGTCCGGCCTGACGTCACATTTCCGGGGTTGAGCGATAGCTTCGGCAACATCGTCTACAGTAAGGATGGTCGGATGGTCATTGCCCCTGAGCCGTGCAAGACGCGCATCACCTCTCTCAAGCTGGCCAACTATCGATCGCTTGCCACTCGGATTACGATTCAGTAACTACCGCGTCATTCACGAGGGATGACCAGGTACGCAGGAGATGTCGCATAGATATTCTCTCATCTTGTTCATCTTGGAAGAGAAGAAAAGCAAACAAAAGCATCAGCCCATGTCCCTCTTATGGCATTCAGAAATTGGACGAAAGGTCAACCAAACTGTCGTCTTTTTCTATCTTTTTTTCTTTCCTTTTTTTTCTTTCTTTACAGGCGTTTTTGTGGCAATTCAGAACAGCACAATGCGAGGCACGTGAAATTTGGGTTCTGGTGTTGTTCCACAGCTCTTTTTCTTCTTCTTTTTCTTCCAGTCGGAGTTTTCATACCCGGGAACAGTTGGAGTTGGGTTGTTACTCACATATAGGATTCTGGGCCACGATTTGGGTTGGAGGGCATTGAATGCTGTGAACGCCTTGACAGGGTAATCTATTTGGGTTTGGCATCGCAGAGAAGGGGGGAGAAGTCATTTGCAATGAGATTGAGAGATATTGGCTGAAATTAGGTTGATACCCGTAATGTGACCTCTGGTATTCATGCCTTTCAATATGTACAATGCACATTCACATGCTTTAAGTCTTGGACATGCAGCGATACTGGTCATGGAGTAGGACTGTGCTTCGGAGAGTGAGAGACTCCGGAACATGCTATTATTCTTTGAGAGGATGCGGTCCTCTTTCATTGCTGGCGAGCTAATCTACATTGTATGCACCTTTGGCTGAATGCTCCTCTCCGCCCCGTCGCTGATGATTATGCCCAATATCCAGCAATTGATGAGGAAAAAGGCCAACGAGGCGAGCCACAGCCCAGGAAAGAAGGTGCTGACACCCAGGAACTCCAGCTCGTATCCTTGCTGCAACCAAGCGGCCTGGCCCAAGACCCAAAGCAGCAGCGCGGTGATGCCGCGCCTGGGGACGCGAAGCATGGATGAACCAGGAAGGTAGACGGGCAGAAATATCATGTACCAGAGAAAGTACTGCAAGCAAAAAGAAGAATGTGAGTTACTACCGAGGCATTGAATAGGGACAGACAAAGTATATATATATCCGGGTCAGCTTACCTGTGAAGTGCAGACCTTGTTAAATGTGACAAAGGCAAAGGTCTGTGCCATCATGGACGTGGCGAGATCCTTCTTGGCGAGGACAAAGGGGATGAGGAGGCACGAGAGGAGGAGCTGGGGGAGGAAGGCGTGGAGGGAGCTGGAGGACGGGTTGGCGGAGGCGAGGTAGAGGTAGATGTTGTACGGGGAGAAGTTGTGGCGGTGGTCGATGCGGGTGACGTGGTGGAGGTAGGAGTGGGTGAGAAAGGGGGTGCCGTAGCTGTGAGATGTATGTTAGCTGGTTTGCTTCTGTAGACTGATGATGGGGCCTGGGGAAAGGGGGGAATAAGGAGGGAAAGGGAGAAGAGGCGGACGTACATGTAGTACATGAGGGCGTTGAGTCCCATAAAGGTCGATAGGCTGATGAGCGTAAGCTTGATCCTCTCAGGAGAGACGAAGCGGAGCACGGCCTCCGCAAACGACGACGCTGGAGGCTTCGACGCCTTTTTGCCCAGATGCTCATCGTCCATCCACCAGATGATCGCCGGCGCGTAAATGAAGGGGTAAATCTTGAAATGCACACTCAATCCCAAGACGACTCCCGCCACCCCGATCCTCCTCCCCTCCACAGCCCACAGCAGCGCCATCGTCAAGACGCCCAGCAAGCCCTCGGAGCTGCCCCTGGTGCTGATGGTAGCCACCATCGGATTCCACAGCCAGATGGCGGCGAAGGCCCCGGCCCGCTCGGCGCTCATCCCGCGCTGTTTGCGGAGGACCCTGACGATGAGCCATCCGGCGAGCAGGTCGGCCAGCGCGAAGACGATCTTGCCGAAGGAGAAGAAGAAGAAGAAGAAGGGGTGTTGCGGCGCGGCGGCGGCGGTGGGGACGAGGAGCCAGGCGAGGAGGGGCGTGTAGCGGTACGTTTCCCGGGCGTAGGGGCTGAGGCCGCGGGAGACGGCGCGGGCGGCGTCGGTGAAGACGAGGTAGTCGATGTCGGTGTACTTGACGGCGGAGTGGGCGTCTTGCCAGGTGCCGTAGAGGAGGAGGACGAGGCGGAGGAGGGCGGCGAGGGAGAAGAGGGGGGCTGGGCGGAAGAGGGGGGTGAGGAGTGAGGAGGAGGGCATCTTGATTGTGGTGTTGTTGAGAGAGTTGAGGATTGATATCAGGAGTGAGATGAGATGAGATGAGATGAGATGAGATGGGAGGTGAGAGGCTCTAATAAGGACAGCGTGTTGCGATGGTGGAGGAAGTGCCCAGGATCATGGTTCCTGGTTGAGGCGGTTAGAATGGAGCAAATGGATGCTGTATAATATCAGAGTAGAATATGATTGAGAGGCAATAAGAAAAGAATGTGTCTTCCTGAAGACTTGGCCTCAGTCAATCGCAGTTGGCGCTGACGGATACGACGATGGCTAAGCTGCTTTTGCTGCTATTTGAGCTCTTGACCCCCAAGCTTGTAGGGTTAGTGGGGCTGGTGCAGGCCATCTGGAGCTTCTGAGTGGCTGCTTTCGACCGCCCGCGTCTCCACTCTCAACCACCAGGCACCTTGAACCAAACTTTTGGGGCCAAGCTGAAGCTTTGAGCTGAAGCCGTGAATCCATCAACTACATACTCAAAAACCAGTACCCATTGGCAAGACGACGACAAAACTTCCACGACAGAGTTTTTTTTCACGACATTCTCACGCAACATCTTTGAACTCAGAGGGGCAGGAACCATGGCCGGAGGCACTAAGAGAGACTACGATGGCAATGCTCGCTCAAAGACGTCGCAGCAGCTGCCGCGGGGCCGCTTTCACTCCATGTTTGAGAATATCCGGGATGAGTTGGATGAGCATTACGACCGCAGAGAACGCATCATTAAGGCGTCCAGGGACGTGACGGCCCAGAGCAAGAAGATGTCAGTCCATGATTACGACCAATTCAATCTCTTGTGATTGACGAACACAGCAACCATGCTCATACTTTTCTCTAGCATTTTCACGTTACAAAGGTATACAAACTCATGATTGAAAGGCTTTGGGCTCTCGACTAGTCCTCGTTGACTTGACTTACTCTCCGCAGGGTCAAAGAACTCAACAAGGACTTCCCGGAAGACATCCAGAAAGACGTCGACACGCGCCTCAAAGAAATCGCAAAGCTCCTCTCCCCCATCGCCGCAGACGTCCAGTTCATCAACCGCTACCGCTACGGCACCTCCCTGAAATGCCTGGAGGAGCTCGTCGAGGCGCTCTCCTTTGCGCACTACCTGCGGCACCAGACAGTCATCACCCCGGAAGAGACGCAGGCGGCCACGCCGGCCGACGTCCTGCTCACGCCGCACGACTACATGTTTGGCCTGTTTGACCTCTTTGGCGAGCTGATGCGCTTCGCGACGGTCACGACGGCGCAGTCGGGCAAGCTGGTGGGCGACTACGAGAGGAACATCCTGGGCGACATGCAGGAGCTCGGGTGCGCGTTCGAGATGCTGCCGCAGATTCCGACCAAGGACTTTAGGGGCAAGATGGAGGTCATGCGGCAGAGCATCAACAAGGTCGAGAAGCTGGGCTACGGGCTCGTCGTCAGGGGGAGCGAGCGGCCGAAGGGGTGGGTGCCTGATATGAAGGATGAGATTCCTCGGCCAGCGTCGCCCGTGTGAGGATGTAAGAGGTGGCTTTGTTTTGCCTTTTTGCGTTCAGTCTTGTTGACACATCGCCTTTGTCTGTTCCTTGTCGAAATAATCTGTCATTTGGCAAGGACCTGCAAGTGTCGTTTTAGGGCGATTATCCCTTGTCTTCCCGATTGCCGCGCTTTATCCTAGTCATTATTGATTATTCCGATGGAGGCCATCTATTGGGGTTCGGAGAATGGTACCCTCTCTATGCGCGGTATATCGGAATGGTCAAGTTTTCTCTTCACCTTCTCAAATTCGTATTTCGTAAGGTAGAAGGAAGGTCGTTGAATAGATTCGAGGGTCAAATGCATTCTCATACATCTCTACATCCTCATAAACACGCACACAAACTCTAGGACACAAGGCACCATACTGACCAGAAGCCCCTCGAGGCAGAATCCCGTTCTGACACTGCTCACCGACTTGCCAGCTGCAAGAATCTGAGCACATGACTTCTCACATCACTAGAAATCTTTTGGAGTGCGCACACACATAATTAAGCATCATCTTCGGGGGGATTCAATTATCTCTCCGAATTCTCTCCTCCTCCTCCTCCTCCTCCTCCTCCTCCTCTTCTTCTTCTCCTCCTCCTCCTCCTTCCTCTTGCTTCTTCCCTCCTCCCACTCCCTCGCAAGGTCAACCCACAAACCGTTGAGCCCACGATACTTTTTGGGTTGGCGGCTCCCTTAGGTCAAACTCCATCAAAAGCGACAAAGAAAAGCCTCTTGGTACGGGTTCGGGGACTTCCTCGTCAACTGCTGGCTTTGACGAAACTTTGATTCCCTTGGCCTGCAGCAGAAACGAGCGGGGTGGCTTGATCAGAGTTCATTCGCAACTCTCTCGTTGCCCAAAAACTCCTACCGACAATCTCGCCACATCTTGCTCTCCCACATATTTGGTTGCAAGTTGGCTGCATGCAACAAGCAGCCGCTTCAGCAGCTGTCTCTGTCACCTGTTTCCTTGCATTCATACAAGGGCTACTCGAAGCGGTTTCCTGCCCTCATAGGTATGTATCTATTATCACCATTGAGCGCCTCCCTTACTTGCGCCCGTCTTGTTTGGACTCGTATGTAACTGACAAAAGGCCCAGATTGGCTTACATAGCTTGGCAGATATTCCTGGCCACTGCACCAGAATGGCATCCAAGGCCTCTGGTCCTCATCTGGATGCGCCAGTAGCCATGAGTTATTCTGATGTGGCATCTGGTAAAGAGCAGATTCCTGCCGGCATCGTTGGAGCAGACTGCAGCCAGTCGTATTTCTTTGTGCCAGCTGAATGGCCTGGCAGGAAGGACGCAGTGGTTGCTGAGATGTATGTTGAGCATCTCGCGCCCGGAACTGTCGAGCATGAGGAGCCCATCGTCTTAATTCACGGCGATTTCCACAGTGGCGACGTAAGTCTCGAGGAGCACAAGGACACCCTGGAGGACGAGATACTGACATGTCTCAATAGATATGGCTCGCAAAGCCCGATTTTGGGACGGGCTGGGCCGCGTATTTTGTCAACAGAGGCTATCGCGTATACGTTGTCCACTTGCCCGGCAGTGGCTTATCTAAATTGCCTATTGCCGCTGTCATGCCTGGCCAACTGTTGCCAACGGCGCAGTATATGAGCCAGAGGAGTGTTGAGAATCAGCTTACTGCTCCCGAGAGAAACGTGATCCGAGGCACGACCGCATGGCCGACGGCGGGTTTGCACGACAAGTGGCCAGGGGTAAGATTGTCTCCATTCGGGTAGTTGGAGTAAAGTCTACTAACATGACATTGATAGACCGGTCAACCTGGTGACCCGTTCTTCCACAGATATCATTGTTCACTGCAGGCCCTTCTCGTGCAAAAGCCCTTGCGAGAAAGGTTGGCTCAAAATGGCCTCCGCAACCTCCTCAGTATGACTGGAAAGGCAATCTTGATCGGGCAAGGAGCCGGAGGCACCGCGGCCTGGCTCGCTGCCGATGCTGTTCCACACCTGGTAGCCAAGGTCGTGGCTATCGAGCCAGCCGGTCCGCCAGCCGCGAGAGCTCACAAAGATACTCGTGACGGCCGGGTATACAGCCCCTGGCTGAGGAGGGATGCCAACGTACGAAAGTTTGGACTTGCTGATATCCCTCTGACTTTTGAGCCTCAGATAACAGGACCAGCACTGGAATTCGAAGCCCGCCAACTTCCAGATAACAACGGCTGCTACATGGTGCAGAGGTGGAGGCCAGGAGGTGTGGCTCTGCCCAAGCCGCTCAAGGCAGGACAGGACTCTGTCCCACAGCTGGTTCACTTGAAGCAGATGCGCCACGCAGTCATCACTGCCGAGGCGAGCTCTCATTCCATGTTCGACTGGGCCACTGTACTGTTCATGCGACAAGCAGGCGTGACAGTGGACCACATCGACCTGGCCAAGTTTGGTATCAGGGGAAACGGACACTTGATGTTTCTTGAGACCAACAGTGATGAGATTGCTGAGATTGTGGCAAACTGGATCAAAGATTTTGACGAAGAGCCATGTGCTCACTCGCAGACAGCTTCATTCGATCAAGGCCAGGCAACCACCCGGGTTGTAGATTCTCTCGATGGTAAGCAGGGCCAGGATACTCTGCTTGGTAATGGCAGGATGCGGAAACGCCAAGACTCGAATAGTGACGATGCTCTGCCTTGTCCAAAGCGGCAAAACATTGGTCTTCGAACACCCGTGGCCGAGCATTCCCCCGCTTTGAACATTGAGCTTCAATCGCCCCTAACCGAAATGTTGCAGACTTATCAGCTGGCTGAGCTTGGTTATACTGGTCTTCAATCACCCGTGGCTGAATGTTCTCAAGTTACCGGCACTGGCTCACAAAGCCTCATGGCCCAATCCTCCCAGAGTCAGAAATCAAGCGATTTGGGCCAGACCGATTGCCAGCATCATGTGCTCGAATCGTCCTTGACTATAAACACTGGGCTTCAGTCGCCAATGGCGGAGCCTCTCCAGGTCGGAAGCCAGAATCTGGATACGACAGCTTCTACCAGCGAAGTGCAAGGCAGCCAAGCACAGGTGGTGCCAGCCCAACCAGATGCAGTCTATCCAAGCCCCAAAATGGACGTAATTGAGGAGTTGGCCCCCTTGACTAAGACTGCTCTCGTTGTCGACCCTGCTCCCGTTGTCGAGCCTGCTCCCGTTGTCGAGCCTGCTCCCGTTGTCGAGCCTGCTCCCGTTGTCGAGCCTGCTCCCGTTGTCGAGCCTGCTCCCGCCGTTGAGTCTGCTCCTGTCGTCGAGCCTGCTAACGAATTCGAGTATGATCCTCTCACCGAATATGATTCTTTTGCCGAGTTCACGATGAACCTGGCACCAGGCGAGGAAGCCTTCTTCCCCCTCATGGGTCAATTGAGCGATCAAATTACCATGGAACAAAATCATTTTCCTCTTGACCTTCTTTCTGTTGAAGACGCTTGGAAGGATCTGGACGACTCGGAGTTTCTGACTATTTTTCAATAGCAATGGTCATACAAACCAGATTGGGGATACAACGTGGGCGCAACTTCTTTTCCGGATTTCGCTTGATTTGCTTATATTCGACTTTTTTGGGACTTGTGTTATGGATGGTTCAGCCGTCTGGATTCGGCTGCGTTTCGTTTCGGCGCCTTCTGCTTCTTTACTTCACAGACATTGCCGGGGATACCAATTTCGTTTTCAGGTGCGCATGGGTCGTATTATCAGGGGCTTTTAACTGAGGAGTACTTCGTATTAGTATGGACAAATTCCAAGTTTTGCTGGGAATTCATAGAATTGCCCTATCATGAGACCTTCTCTAGCTGTGAGTATCGGGATAGCCGTAATCTGAGTGTAAGTCGTACCCGAGCTGTTAAGATGACGGGCGAAGCGAGAGCAGCACGGCGGCAGACGGTCAACCTAAGATGACGTCTGGCTGATGGAACAACGCACATACTGATCTGAAAACTTATCGAGTTTTGTCGGAGAAAGTTGCAAAGGGATATGGAATCATGATGCTTCACTCCCCACTAATCTCAGCCTTGTCCGCCATCTCTTCGGCAGTTGGGAACCTAAAGTGAAGACATGTATTGCAGTTCCACGGAGTTGTTCGTTCTTGCCTTCAAGGTTGGCTCGTCAGGCTAGTCAATTGCCTAGTGTTGCCTGTCGGGCAGGTGCGGCCTGATTGGTCACTTTAAGAGCAAGTACCCGCTTTTTCGATCTTGATCACGGACGAGCTCGCAACTGCCGCAACTCTTGACAACTCCTCACAACGTCAAAAGTACTTAACACTGGAAGATGCCCCGGCTTGGCATCGCCAGAATGTCCGATCTTCTACGCTTTATCACAATCACCACTTGAGAAGCAGGCATCTACTGCAAGAGAGCAACCCATATCCTCGCAAGGTCTTGCGCTGCACCCTTCGCTGTAGGCACAGTCACAAATACAGTTACAAGTTACAGATACAGCTGCCGTCATCAGCCACGCCACTATGCACATGTACGCAGGCATGGACATGTCGCATATTCCACTCTTCCTCGACGACGACTCCAAATGGCAGGCCGTCCAGTCGCGCGATGCCGCAGCCGACGGCTTCTTTGTCTACGGCGTTCGCACCACCAAAGTCTTTTGCCGTCCAACTTGCAAGGCTAGGCTAGCTCGCCGCGCAAATGTACGCTTCTACGCCTCGGGGGACGAGGCCAAAGAGAACGGCTTCAGAGCATGCAAACGATGCAAGCCCGAAGTGCTGGGCCTGATGCCGGAGGAGGACGCAGTGCAGAAGATCCGGGCGTTTGTGCGGCATCACCAGGCTGCCAGCGGCCGAGACCAAGATATGAGCGAGTTGAGGATGAGCCTTAGCCAGATGGCCAAGAAGACGGGTCTCTCCAAGTGGCATTTCCATCGCGTCTTCAAGAAGTGCGTTGGCGTCACTCCCGTGGAGTACCTGAAGATGTTGCGAGACAATGCCGCCGGCCTCAGCCCTGGAGCCGAGAGCGAGGGATCATTGAGCTGGACCGATCAGCTGGATATGGTCAACTTTGATATAGATTTCGACTTTGGATTCCTCAACGATCCGGCAGCCCTATGCGCGGTCCCGAGCGCCGACGGGTCAGCAACAGCAACGTCACAGAGCGACTGCTCGCTATTTGCATTTGACGATCTCCTAGATTGGCCCGAGAGCAACGCAAATGAGTAATCCCGCTCGTGGCGAGCCGCTCAACGTCAACTAACAACATTCGGCACGGATCCTTATCCGAAAACCACTGAGAGCGAATGAGTCCGCGAAACTCGGAGTTCGGTGAATTCGACGCCAACGGGGTGGCGATTTTGCTGACGGCAACTTACGCCGCAGTGCATATGACGAATGTGCTCGCTCGGTCTACGAAGGATTTAACAGAACGCCATATTCCATACGGGCGCCTGCTTCTTAACCCCGTGTATAAAAGAACGAACAAAAGGGCGAGAAGAAGAGGGTTTGGAGACACGGGACCGCATGAATCTCACCGCATCGCCAGAAGACCAAATATTCCGTACAGCTTCGAAGTACTTCCGTCTAGGATCCCGCCTTGGCAGCGCCTTCACTTCCCGATCGGGTAATTGGTTACTCACCGCTGACTAAACCCGAATTGCTGATTGGCTTGCGCTCCTGGCTGAGGTTCCCGCCTCTCTCATATCGAAGAAGCTTGGATCGATTCAACAGCAATAAGACGTCAGAAGCCGACTGCTGCACCCTTGAAAAATTATCTCCGACGTGGGTGTTCCGAATTACCAGGCCGTCGATTGGCTCGGTCTGTTGCGAAGAGTGCGAGAGGGTTCCATACATCTGCGTCCAGTGATCTCCCTTATAAGGGCTGGCTGTTGATGCATCGATCTGACGAACAAGATCTCATGACAATATAAATTATCTCCTGCTTGATTCCTCATCAACCTCCTCACATTCTTGGGCTGATTTACATCGTCCTACTTTGCTCATCATTCTTGACTGTTGTTGCCTGATTCACATTGGCAATCATTTATACCACCCAATCCACTTTGATATACAGCGGCCTTCTCCGCTACAACATACAACACAACAACGGAAGAGGAAAAGAGGAAAACAAACACCATGTCACAGCGACCGACAGAATCATCTCCCCTACTACCAGCAGAGCCTGCCATTGAGCGGCCCTGGGACAACAAATCCATTATCCAGCCCGACTCTTCCTCAATAACCTCCACCGCGTCCTCAAGCACAGACCTCACAGACGTCCTCCGCGATGTCATTATCGGATTTTCAGACGGCCTTACAGTGCCATTCGCCCTCACAGCGGGCCTATCCAGCCTCGGCAGCACAAAACTCGTCATCATGGGCGGCATGGCCGAGCTCTTCTCCGGCATGATCAGCATGGGCCTGGGCGCGTACCTCGCCGCCGTCACTGAGCGGGATCACTACAACTCCGAGGAACAGCGCGAGCTCAGCCTGGTCGACTGCAGCCTCCCTCAGGAGCAGAGAGACGACATCTTTTGCATCTTGGAAAAGTACAACGTCTCACGGCAGGCCGCCGCCCCCCTGGTAGACGAGCTCTGCAAGAACCGCGAGCAGTGGATTCGCTTCCGCATGGACTTTTCGCTGCGCCTCGAGAAGCCAAACGTCCACCGTGCCTGGATCTCCGGCCTCACCATGGGGCTGAGCTACTTCGTCGGCGGTCTGATTCCCATGATTCCTTACTTCGTCATGAACAAGGTCGGCGACGCGCTCTTCGTCTCCATCGCCGTCACGGTCGTCATCCTCCTGGGCTTTGGATACGTCAAGAATTACGTCGCCATTAGGAATCACAGGGCTGGTCTATGGGGCGCTATCCAGACGCTGATCATAGGCGTTTTGGCCGCTGGGACGAGTTACGTTCTTGTCAAAGCACTCGACAGGACAGATGTCTGAAGGGGTTGTTGTTGCGAGATTCTCTTGTACTATTACATTGTTTAAGGGAGGGGGCATATACTCACACAACCTGGCGTTTGGGATAGGGAGCGGTTGGGAAGGCAAAAAGCGGAAACAGCACGCCGGCGTTCAATGGTTATACTAGCATCAAACTTCTTAGCGATGAGTTGACTGCATGAGAAATGATATACTCCTTTCTGACCATTTCTTTTTAAATCATGATGCTACTCAGTGCTGTTTCTCTTTCTCCATGTCCATGTCCCTCCACCTTACGCAAATGACTTTTGCGCTTGACAAAATGACGAACTGCTAACATTTTTGTTTATTATTTACCTAGAAACAACCTTTATACTTCTTTTTGATCCGCTGGAGCCTTTGTACTTCGTTTTAACCGCTGAAACCTGCAACTAGGCGTCGCTGGAAAGTTTTACTATACACTTCGCGAGAGAAATAGCCAATTTGCCCCATCTGCATCCCTACCGCTGGCATCGACAACACCCTCCCCCAAAAGAATGAGAGCAGATGCAGATACACGCTTAGAATCTGCCGGCCTAAGGAATGCAGAAATCTATCCAGCTGCCGAGGTAGTCCAGCCTGTTACCCTGGTGCTCCTGATTCTTGTAAATCTCCTCAAACTCGGCAAAGTTGAGCCTGCCCCAACCGCCTCGCTCGGCCGCCTGCTGCTCGGCCAGGTTCAGCTTCTTCCATCTCCGTAGCGTCTTGGCTGATGGTTCACTGGATATCTTCTTGGGCGCCGGTGGCTTTTCCGAGTCCGTCTTGGCCCCATCCTTAGAGGGCTCTTTCTCCTTGCGTTTGGACGAGGACGATGATGGTACCGTTGGGGGAGCCGCGGGGACGCTGTTGGGACGGAACTGTGGCAGGGTAGGATCGCGATGTTCATCTTCGGCTTCGTCCACAGACTCAGACTCGGATTCGGTCGTCTCGCCCTCGGCCGGATTCGATGAGTGTTCGCCGGCTTCGAGAGCATGCTCTTCCCGTATGATTTCCTCCACAATGCTAATCTCAACTGCATTTCGGGGCTCCTGATGGCTCGAGTCAAGCATGTATCCGGATTCCTCCAGGAGCTCCTCGAGTGTCTTATGTCGAGGCGACTTCTCAGCATAGATCGATACGTCTTCTTGCGGGTCGCCGTTGCCGTTTTCCGTCTTGTCATCCGTGAGGCTCACAGCGTCGATTGCGGCTTTGTACTTGATACGTTGCTCCTTAGTTGCGGCTGCCTGGACCGCAAGATCTTCGGCCTGCTTGAAGATGATATCAAGAAGCTCGTTGAACGCCTGCTGCGTAACCTGATAGAGAATCTCCTTGCCAGCGTCCTTTTCGGCGACGGGGATTCCCAGCCCCGCCCAGCGCTCGGGTTGGCTTGTGAAGGACGCCGAGCTGTCGGACTGGGTCTCCAGATCGCTCGTGTCTTCTGCCAGTCGGGCCTTGGAGCTGGAGCGCGAGTGCGTCGATGCGAGGTGCGGGCTAGCTCTTTTGGAGCTCTCCCCCATGATGCCTGATGTTTCCAAGATGTCTTCCTCTTCTTCCCATTGTGAGGGTGGCTCTCCGCCTTCTTCCTCGTCTAGGTAGAAGTGCCTCCTCTTCCACCTCTCGTGGAGCTGGCGCCGAGCCAGGTCCTGACGTCGGCGGGTCATTCGGGGGCCGTGTTGACGATAATGATTCACATAGCTTGCTCTGATTTCGCTTTCTGTAGGGATTCTGTCGGTTGTCCGGAAAACGTTTGTGAAGGATTCGTGGCGTTGGGATGACGAATAACCAGCATTGTCATGATCCTCGTCTGCTTCCTTGTCCTCAGTTGCTTCGTCCTCCGATGTCTCGTCCGTAGCGTTATCATCGAGCCCGTTGTTGCCCGCTATCGCTCCAGGCAGTTCGTCGAGACTCGCAGGCGGGTGCATCAAGGCCAGGAAGTATGCTCGGTCAACGTCGTTGGCAGTCAGGGTACGAACGGTACGCCAATTGGTGTCTACATCATCCGTGGGCGGCATCCGTCGACGAGAGTACGGGTCGGTGTCGTAAGCAAAGAGGTTGGTCAGGATTTCATCTCGATCGGCCGTGTCGCTGGAATCAGGTACGACTGCATCCTCCATCCCAACGTCGATCTCAACATGTCCGTCGGGATAAAGAGTCTTGCCGCTGAATGCCAGGGGCCCGTCTGCTGTCGGGACTCTACCCTCTCGCCCAAAGAGGCTGCTCAGGGGTTGGCGGCTGGCGACGAGCTGCTGAGCTTCGGAGCTGGCGAGCAGCTGGTCTTCGAGACCATCGAGGATATCTTTGTGCATCTGCTTGTAGAGGACGTAATAGGCTCTGAACATGCGAAGGAAGTCACGTCTGTCGACGTAGCCGTCACCATCGAGGTCGTATCCGTCAAAGACTTTCCGAAGCTTATCTTTCCGCTTACGATATGACAGGCCTCGCAGGAATTCGGAAAACCCTATCAGATCATCTTTGTTGTCGTCGTAAAAGGCAAACATCCGGTCGTGAATGAGGTTGGGAGAAGCATGGCGCGAACCACCCGTCGGGACAAGGCATCGCTCAAAGGTCTTACGGTCCATGGCAATGCCGAGCTCGCTGGGGTCGTCCCTCCACTCGGTGTTTGCCATGAAAGTCCATTGTTCCCAAAAGGCCTCGAGCTCCGGCCGTTCGAAACCCGTTTCCCGCGTCAGTTTCGTGATCAGAGCTCGGGGCAAGTTCCGCCGGCAGCTGTCGGGATCTCCTGTGTACCACACGGGTTGCATCTGCCTAGGGCCAAACGGGGGTGCAGGTATCCGAATCTTGTAGAAGATGTGCGTCTTGATGTGCACGCCCTGGGACTCGCACGTCTCGCAGAGGTCAAAGTCGGCGCAGTTGGCACAGCGGTAGCGAACCCCACGGATGGGGACCATGCCGCACGAGTTACACTGGCATCCGCGGTGGACGCAGCCGTTGCGCTTGGCATTGTCCTCTGACACCCGGAAGAGAAGGCTGACGATGTTATGGCCGGCTCGCTGCTGGGGAGGATAATTGCTCGGATCGTTCCACCATTCTTCGTTGGCGGCTTCTACGACGGTCTCGCCATCGCCCACGGGCTGTGCGGCCGGGACGTCTTGGCCCTCGGCGTGGTCGGCATTCTCAGCGTTCTCGTCGGCAGGCAGCTCGGAGGAAGAAGAGCTGTCACTGTGTCTGTGTCCGCGGGATCGGCGCCTGCTTCGGCGGACGGCGTTGCTTCTGTGAAGGCCGCTGCCAGGCAGGGCAGCCTCCGGCGCGGTGCTGAGCCGGTTCTGATAGGCGTAGTATCCGATCGAGGCTGCGGCGACGGCCGAGACAAGAGCAACAGCGATTCGCGGCCGAGTGAGAGACTCGGCCGATGGAGTGGTGAGCCACATGGCTATTGTTGTCGCATCGTGGCCGCCAGGTCGTGAAGGCGGTTATTCCGCCGGTCGATCAACGGCGAGAGTTGATGCTAAAAAGCGGCACGATCCCAATGAGTCGACGAGATGATGCCGATCGGAGCTCTGTGGATGCTGCTATCCGTAAGCCACAGTCGATTCGCAGCTGGTGTATGTCGTTTGTGTCGAGTTCTAGCACAGTTGATTGGATCTTGGTTAGACTTTGGTGGTGGAAGATGGAGGAAAGGCTGAGGCGTCGTGTTAGAAATCAGATGGCAAGCACCACATGCGTAACAAGTGCGTCTGGTGCTTCAGGTTGCCACCCAACAAAGCTGGAGAACATCAACGGGGCTGCTGCTCCCGCTGGAGATTAGCGGTTCCAGCAGCCAGACGCAAGGCGCAGATGCGCTGAAAGCCACTGAAAGTCTAGAGCCGAGAAAGCTGGAGCACTGGAAGCTGTTGAGCACCAATAGAGCACAAGCGGGCTTAGCGCTGGGGCCGACCATCCCACCTATCAAAGCGCCATCCGAAAGCGTGCAGCTCTGATGCGGGTGGAGGGGCCGAATGGTGCGGTTTTCAAGGTTGTCGTGCGGTCATGGACAAGAAGCTGGAACGTTTATATACCAGACACCACAGTCCGACCATACTATCAGAGCAACTGTCTCTGGCGATTGCGTCCTAACTAAACACAACACACTGGATTGATACTATCAAAGCTCGCCATCGCAAAGAACAGGACTCCGACATCATGGCAAACCGGCCGCCGGAATACACCGGGCAGATGCCCTCGTCCTTTGACGACCAGTGCGGTTTGCCCTCGTCACTCTATAGACAGCATACACGTACGCAGCACAGCTGACATGCCATTCGCAGGGAGCTCTACAATGAGCGGCCAATGCAAAAAGTCAAGCGCAAGCTCAAGGAAGAGCCCCTCGTCCCTCTCGGTAAGCTTCGCCACCTCCCCCCTCCGTTCACGGGCCGCAAACCAACAACGACAAAGACAAAAACTGACCAAAGCGCGCGCGCGCGCATGCAGGAATCGGTCTGACCGTCCTCGCCTTCGTCAACGCCTACCGAGCCCTCCGCAAGGGCGACTCCAGGCAGGCGAACCGAATGTTCCGCGCGCGAGTCGCCGCCCAGGGCTTCACCGTCATCGCCATGGTCGCCGGCAGCATGTACTACAGCAAGGACCGCGAGAAGACCAAGGAGCTGCGCAAGCTCAAGGAGGAGCGCGACGCCGAGGAGAAGCGCCAGCGGTGGATCCACGAGCTCGAGATCCGCGACCTAGAGGAGAAGCAGATGAAGGCGGCCATCATGCAGAGACAATCGGGGTCTGCGGCCCCGTCAGATCCCGCCGCTGCTGTGGAGGGGACTGGGGGCGTGCTGGGGAAGATGGGACTGTGGTCGAGGGGGGAGAAGGCTGCGGCGGAGGCCGATGCGGTGGCTGCTGCAGAGGTTGCGCTGGAAAAGAAGGCGAAGAAGGAGAATCCGAAGAGCTCTCTTGGTGCGCTGGGAGAACTGTACGGCTCCAAGAAGGACGATGGCTCCAAGAAATGATTCAGACTTCTTCTGAAAAGGCCTAATATGGAATGGAAACGGTATGTATGAATTTGTACGATAGTTGAAGAAAAGGGGCAAGACAAATCACCCCAACTCTCTGGTTATAACTCCAACAGGAAGAACGCATTGGTATCATTCTCGGCCTCTATGTGCTGCCATTGAAGTCTATTCCATCCAGTACCCAAAACGCATCAAGAATCAGAATGGAATCGAACGCCGCGACTGAGAAAAACAAAAAATCGGCATCGTACCGTTACTTGACTTTCCATCAACCCATTGAACCGCCGCTGCGATTCCCTCCTACAAGCCCGGCCATCTCCAGCAATGCCCTGTCCGCCTCAATGTCCCCCGTCCCCAGGTTGATCCTGCGACGGGCTTCCGCTTCGCGTTCTTCCCAGGCCCATCTCTCGGCTTGCGCCTTGGCCTCCTCGTCACCACCGCATCCCCAAACTTCCAGGTTATCGATCCGAAATCGGTCCTGAAAGTCATATTTTCTCACGATGCTGGTGTGGAAAGCACCGCCTCTCGACTTGTAGTCATGGTTGAACACTCCGAACTCGAAAGACTCGTCGAACAGCAGAGACACAGCTCCTAAAGCATGCATGCCCTCCTTGCGATGCGACTGAGTCGGCTTGGGATGAGGGCAACCAAAGGCGAGACACGGTCGATTGCCAGGTGGTTTCGTGAAAGTGATGTAGTCTGTATTGATTGTGGAGGCAGGAAAGACATCGTGGATAGGTTCCAGTTGGAACAGGACCGTTTCCGAATCGCCAAAGCACTCTTTGTGAGTGTGCTTCCATGGCTCTCGGACGTAGACGCCGAACGTCACGCGTTCGGATTTACTGCCGTGAGGGAACCGTTTCGTCGGAAGCGAAGAGGCGAATGATGCTTCTTGGCCTCCCTCGGGGACGTCTGCTAACCTCGTCCCGCTGACCAGAAGGATAGTTGGTGCTCTCCAGTTGAAAATTTTAGAATGGAGGCTGCCCATTGAAAATCCGGCTTCGTTTCCCGAATATAGCAATCTCACCCGTCGAAATAACGAAGAACCAGGTAGAAACAGTGAGAGTTGCGACAGGGTATGCTCGGTCAAGATGTCGCCAGGTGTTGGTAGTAGAGGTTGCGCAATCTTGCCAATGATAAGCTGCTCATCACCAGGCTTTTCAACCTTGTGCTTTGAGAAATCGAGATCCTTGGAGAAGAGGAAGTGCTCAAAGAGGCCATTAAAGCCTGCGAATAGGTTGGGAAATAGGACCGGAATGACAGTCTTGAATCGGGTATATCCAATGCCTGGAGATGTCTCAACGTTGACAAAGGACGCCAGTACACACTCTGCTGTGGCTCGCAGCGATTCAAGTTCCTGGCCCGCGACCCGGCTTGAATATTGCGATAGACTCTCCTGAGGATCCAGTGGCGCAATCAGCAGCAGCAGCATGATCAGTTTGCGAAAGTTGTCCGTCGGAATAATCGCCTCGTGAATACCAGCGGCCTCCCCGTGCTTGGCGGCCTCGTTAATGTCGAGCAGCTCAAATGCCGTAATGACAAGATCATCATCGTCATCCTCCTCGTCCTCGTCCATCGGCTGGTCAATTGCGAAGCCCCTAGACTGGGCACTTGGCTTCGCGGCATCGTCCTTAAAAGCGGAATCCCGCGGGGTAGAATCGGCCTCCATCACTTTCCGGTCATACACGGCCAGGCTCTTGAAGAAGAGTTTCGTTCTGTCTGTTGAACCCTTTGCAAGCACGCGCTTATACCGCTCCGTCATGATGACAACGACCATGATCAATTGCGGCAGCTCGAGCACCACCGGGGCCTCCTGCAGGAAGGGGAAGGCACCCAGATATGAAATCATGTGGAAGATGACCGGCGAGGCCCCGAGGATGTCTGGAATCTCGAGGAAGCGAGCTATGGTGTCCTCCTTGAGGTACCGTATGTCGCCCTGCTGGTCGGCCAGGTTCTTGAATACATCTTTCAGTGAGTAGTACTCCAGCGATGTAAAGCACTTTTCCTTGAATCTGTATGCCTGTTCACACATAATTAGCAATGCCCACTGGATATACTGGGGTGCAATGCCGCTCACAAGCTCCTGTGTCAGTTCCTCGTGCGTCCGCCTCCGCCGCGTCTGAGAAGGGGCTTGGCCCATGATGACAAAGGGTATCAAGGTAGAATCAAATCAGTCAATCAATTGTTCCATCAATAGGGCTGCAAGGAAAGCAATCGGGGTATCACAAGAAGCACGTCAATTGAAGGGAAGAACAGGATGGTTGCATGGGTGAAGAGTTGTTGCAAGTTACATTAGGTAGTTTAGTAGGTGAAATAGCTGGTTGGCTGCCTGGCTCTTTGTTCTGTTCTGAGTTTGGGAAGATGCAGCCATGAAACCATAACGCAGCCAAAAGGGATCGGTGTCGTCACCCGTATCCTGCTGAGTCAGCACATCATGCTTCTCTTCTGCTGAGTTGCGCCTCTGTTTCTTTGTATGTCTCATTGGGCATTGTGGTTGATGATGATAATATTGCAAGTAATGATATAAGGTCTCACCTACCGGTTATTTGGCAGATGCGATGCATCAGAAGCATTCAGCGTTATTACAACTGGCAGCAGTTTCTTGCAGCAGCTGTGGAACTGGATCTGAGCAGCTTGGTGCGAACCCTACCAGACTTCATGCTTTGAGGGCTGGACCTCTATAAGATAAATAGACGGCGCCACCCAGCAAGAGCCAAGCCACCTACAACAGACGCCACAACGTCTGAGATCTTCCGTAGTATAGTGGTCAGTATGCAAGCTTGTCACGCTTGAGACCCGGGTTCAATTCCCGGCGGGAGAGATCCGCCACACCTCTTCAGAGGTGGTTCATTTTTTTTCTTCTTTTTTTGCTCTGTTTTCATTCTTCTTGTTCTTCTGCGTCCAAATATCTCCTTTCAGTACCATAAAGAAAAAGAAGGGACAATTCAAGTTTTGAGATCAGTTCGCCTCGTTTGCTTGCATCTCCGATAAAATATGACAGGCCCAGCGGTCTTGATACGACATATAAAAAAAACGATCCATGTCCTCCGTGCCAATCCAATACTCCAGACCCCTTTCTCCCGCTCCCGCGAAATGCATGTTCTTTGAAGCATCTAAAAAATAACAAATAACAGCTCTAGCCACACACAGCACTGCCAAACACTCTATGCCATCGCGGAGAGTCAAACGCTAATCTCTTACTTCTTTCGCAGTGACAGACTGAATGAGGCGCTTATACTTGGCTTCGTTCTCTTCCTCAGGATCTGGAGGCTTCAAAAACTCAAGCTGCTTAGTCGAGTTGGTCGACTTGGTCCAGAGAACAGACGGTTTCACTTCCACGGTCTGCTCAGAGTCCGTCTCGACCTTGGGCGTTGATCCATTCGTCTTGGGTTCCTCGAGCACGCCGTTTGCTTTTTCCTCCTTTGACGCCCTTGGCAAATGCATTGCCAGTAACACATACTCGGCACGCGTCATGTTGTCCATAACGTCGTCCATGTACCGTCGTACCTCGTCTTGGGGGGCCACCACGCGCATCAGGTTTTCCAAAATGCGTCCAGTCTGCGTAGAGATGCGTATCGTGACGGGTTGGTAGTAGTCAAGTTTGGGGTCCCCTCCATACTCGGACGTGCTTCCTTTGCGGACAATGAGGAACGATGCAACCACTTCTTGGCCAGACGAGCTGGGCAGGTACTCCAGGATGCTAAACTTGGGGAACAGATAGCGATCTCCGGTTCCGAAATCGAATACTACGGCGGAAATGTCAGGCTTCGGCGCTGGTGGTGGTCCCTTGGACCGTAGTGCCTGCGGGTTCGCCTGCTGTGGGGTTGGAGGATTTGAAACTCGCATGTGGCCGTTGGGAGCATCGCTTGGCGGCTGCTTCGCTGGTGGAGGTGCAGGCGACGCCTGAGGAGGGGGCTTCGCGTCTCTGTGAAGCCGGTCGAGGATTTCCTTAAGATCTGTTGCATCCGTAAAGCCGGGACGGCCCTCAGCAATGCGTCGAATCATATCGCTGGTCTTTTGATCTTCCAGAGCGGCCTTTACAAGCAGTACGACCAAGGGATCGCTCCTTGGCGGCGGTCTTAGCTCGCTTGATCTCTGGCGTGGGTTGGAGGCCAAAACAATGTCGAGAATGGTCCGCACTTCATCTGCAAAGTACTTGACCGTCCTTCCATCTACGAGCAGCCTGTCGGCGGAAGGACCCTGCTGCCCGCCGCTTCGCCGATATTCCGCATTCAACTGATCAATAATCTTCTGGAAGCGGTCGAGTTCCCCTTGTTTGGCCTGGCCAACGGCAACTCTCTTCATGAGATCTCGCAGCTCTGGATCCCCTGAGGCCTTCTGCGCGAGCAGGGCAATCACCGGATCGTTGGGAACAGGCTTCGCCGGAGGTCGTCCTGCAACTGGCGCTGCTGGCTTCACCCCAGCTGGAGACTGAGCTGGCCCAGCATTGGCCGGTCGATTATGCGGTGCTGTGGTTGTGGACGGCGGCGGCGGTGGTGGGGGCCTCGCTAACGGCGTGCCGGTATAGGCTGGCTGCTGTCCCGGGAGGGGATTCGTGGGCGGTCGAATTGGAGGCGGGGGAGCTGCTGCTGCCGGAAGAGAGGGTGTAGGCGCAGGGGGCAGGGCAGCAGGCTGCGCAGAGGGTGCCGGGCTGGGCGATGGTGATGTAGCTACGTTGATGGTCGTGAGCGGCGAAGGTGTAGGCTGAATCCCCGAGACGCTCGTCGAGGACGTCGATGGCCGCTGAGAAGGGCTCGGGGCAGCGAGGGGCTTGGGGGTGGTGGCTGCGGTTGGAATTGGCGTCGATGCCGCCGATCCAGGCGTAGGCGGAGGGGGCATTGAGCCATTCGGAGGGCCGTATTGAAGCACCGGTCGAGCGAGCGGCTGAGGTTGTGACTGCGGTTGCGGCGGCTGCGCCTGGACTTGCGGCTGAGACACTGCCGGTGACTTTGGCACCTGCTGCGGTGTCCGGGGCGGGGGAGGACGCTGCTTGGATTCCTTGACCACGTACATGGTGGCCTCGATAATATGCGGCTCGATGGTGATGGTGACGTTACCGACTCGGGTCATGCTGTCTTTGGGCGGGTTCTTTGGGTCCTCGTTCAGCACGCCCTTGCGCTTGTGAGGCTTGGTCCAAAACTTTTCAAAGAGCCCATCGTTGATCCATCGATATCGAGACCGCGAGAGGGATTCCGCGAGAACGCCGCTGTGGAGGGTGAACTAGGTTAGCGAGCGCGGGCTTTATGACCGACAATGGTATGACATGCCTTTCTGAAATGGATTGATATTCTTTGATAGGCAGGTCGCCGGGCTGCGGAGTCTCGATCGTGGGCAACGGCTGACCGGGCTGGAGCGAGGTTGGCAGCGGCGGCGGCGGCGTTGGTGACGGCTCCTTGACGACGGGTTCGGGCGGCGGAGGAGGCGTGACGGAGCGGTCGGCTCGCGGAGTCACATTGCGGCGTTTGTTGGCATTCTCAACGCGGGCCGACCTCGCGGGGAGCTTCCGCTTCTTCTCCATCGCGTCTCGAGGCGGGTTTACACGGCTGCGGCAGGCGACGGGCGATGGGTCAGCATCATAAGAGCGCCATGCGAGGGCAGCGAGCGGCCTGGGGGCGTGAGGCCGAGCTGCTGGCAGAAGCAGTTGGGGAGGACGGGCGGCGATGCTGCACAGAGGCCAGCGAGAGAAGCGACGAGAGCCAAAGCAGAGGCGTGCGAAGCGGAAGTAGGACGAAGTTGCTGGGCGGTGCAAGTCGGCTCCAAGGCTCTTTTGGCCGGTGTTGGTACAAGTACTCGTACGAAATCCTGGAAGCTGCCCAGCCAAGGTTAGTCATTCGCTGATTGGCTCTGCGCGGCTGCAGTCCGATGTGGGGCCGTCGAGCTTCTGCAGCAGGGGCCTGATTGGTTCGCTAGGGGACCGGGCTGGCTGGCGGCGCCGCGGGATTGGCGGGCTGCTACAGCGCCATCCCACTAAACCCCCCTCTGGGACGGCCAGGGCCACAGTGCTGAAGGCAACAGGTACAGGGCCCTGGCGAGCGCGCTAGAGTGCGGAACTTGCATTGGGTCCATTATCATTTGAGTTCGGTTGGTTCATTGAAGTCGCTCAGCAGCAACATGACATGGACCTTCATGTTGGGGGTTGGACAGAGCACATCCGGGCCTTTGGCAGTGAGAGCGCTGAGGACTCAAGCGGGCGATTTGCGGCGCCTGATTATCACAGAGGCTGACGTTGAAGGCCGTGACTGTCATGGCTCGGGAATGCAAAAGGTGAGACTTACCTGCATCATACGGCACAGTACAAGTATCGTCATCAGCCCGAGCACATGCAGTTCACTGAGTAAGTACTCGTGTATTACCTGCTGGACTCGTACATGAGCTGATGAGGCACATCTTCTTCACTCGGAGAACGACGGAGGGCTTGTCGATCCTCCCGAGCCTCAACGGGCTGCAGCCACCAGTGCCCAACGTCTGCCGTGGGTGCGCCAATGTAGGCCTCGGGAGGTACTCCGAAGGCGCCTCGTACTGTCCGCGATGTCTCATGCAGAGCGGCAGATGAGCGGAGTACCCGGTATGTACACAGCTTAGTTGATTGCGGCTGGATTACGAATTGCCTCCTTGGCTGTGGTGTGGCAGGGCGAAGCTGAAGCATCGTCGTCACTCATCGCAGTACTGTATGAGCACCTATCTGCCAGCCACGCACATTGAAGGCAGACGCAGACGGGTAGATCCGGTGGCGATTGATGACTCGGGCTCAATAACAGAAAATTGCATTCCTAGATAAGATATTCATGGAATTTTCTCCGTGTGTATATTGCACACATGCCCAAGCACGGAATACATGCGGGCGAGGAAAGAGAGGGTGTCGAACCTGCAGATGACCAGTTGTGAATGTGATAGCGCCAGCCAATCGAACTCAACGCATGTAAGCAAAGGCATCAATCAACCCCCAGGATGAGAGGGCAGAGGCAGGTTTCAGGCATTGAAGGAAGTGTTGGAATAAAAAGGAAATTCAAGGCTCTGTGTAAATACCTAGGTAGTGTGGGATTTAATGGAGCATCTTGTCTGCAGTCAACATTGAAGATCCGCTTACGAGAAATCTCTCCCCCGCCATGCGCTGGTTGACTGACTCCATCACCCGCAAACAACCTGCGTCTCTGCAGCCTCCCGACACCAAAGAATCGATCCCAGACGCAAGGGGGGGCCAACCGCTTCGCCCCATGCTTGTAAGATGGCGGCTTCCTTGCATCCTGCCCTTTGGGCCTCCATCTGGCTGGCCGCCGTGCCATTTGTCTTCTACATCGCCCTCATAGGGCTGGGCGTGATTCCCTTCTTCCAGCGGCAGTGAGTTGCCTCTCATACATTTACAATGATCTCAATGTGTCCATTTGCTCATACATGCTCAACTCTGTATGATACAGCTTCCTATATGCGCATACCATCAACTCGCTGTTGTGGTCAGATCTCAATTCCCCCATGGGTTGGGGCTTTGCCAGTCCGTCCAGTGTCACCATTCTTCCGCTCGTAACGCCACTAACAAGCAGCTTTGCTGTTCCAATAGAAAATCAAGTCACCCCTTTCGGACTGCAAACCTCAGATGGCGAGACAATCTACGCGTGGCACATTATGCCACTGCCTCTCTATCTGCAACATGAGACCACAGTGGCAACGCAGGACGTGGGCTTCTGCAGTGACTTTACACAGACCGAGTCATTTCGATTACTTTCCAGCGATCCAGAGGCCAGACTCATCATCTCATGCAAGTAAATCTCGTAGCTCAGGTTCTGTCAGAGAAAACCAAGTACTGACTGGAGTGGCACAGTTCACGGTGTAAGCTTGTTTCAGCACCGTCATGATGCTTCATTCGGTATCTGTCGCCTGGGGATATCAACTCACTTTTCACATATAGAACGCAGGTCACATCGCCCAAAACACTCGGCCGGCTAGCTATCATGCCTTGACTGATACGTCATCGTACCACGTTATAGCCATTGACTACCGCGGCTTCGGCCATTCCACCGGCAAGCCCAACGAAAAGGGTCTGATCCTAGATGCCGCCGCCGTGGTCGACTGGGCAATCAATGTGGCCGGAGTCCCCTCAAATCGAATTGTGCTACTCGGCCACAGCCTTGGAACCGCCGTTGCCAGCGGCGTCGCCGAGCGTTACACCCTCCAGGGGATTGAGTTCGCAGGCATCGTGCTCGTCGCCGGATTCAGTGACTTGGCCACAATGCTCAGCGGCTATCGTTTTGGAGGAATCGTGCCCGCCCTTGGGCCGTTTGCCTTCTGGCCCTCCTTCCACCGTGTTCTCGACAGAGTCCTCGTGGACAAGTGGCACTCGGCTAACAGACTCGCCAATATTGTCCGCCATTCGAGGAAGAGGCTGCGAATAAGCTTGGTGCACGCGAAGAATGACAAGGACATTCCCTGGGTAGAGGATAACAAGCTATTTCGGGCTGCCGCAGAGGAAGCCGTTGGAATTCTGAATGATGATGAGTTCATTTCTTGGAAAGAGACGCGGACGGTCCGGACGAGTAATGATTCGTTTGTCACTACGTGGAAAACAGGCGAGGACACTATCATTCGCCAAGAGCTGTTTCCCTACGGCGGTATGTCTACGAATACAATCATTGGCCTACCCAGCTGACTATATAACCAGGACACAATGACATTTTGGGCTTTGCGCCAGTCAGCTTGGCCATTATGAGGTCGTTTGAGCTTGAGGGCACAGCCTACAACTAACGGCATGCACATATGGAAAGCATAGGATGCAGGCACCCCAAAACACAAGTTGTAGGCCGCCTACAGTCACATTCTGGCATTGTCTAGGCGGATAGATGCTTGTAGAGGACGTCTCTAGAGAAGATCGTTGGCCATGAGTAAGCAGCAGCTATCCACGACAGATTGTCGAGAGCATAGATGTGGCGGAGTGCGGTGCTTCAGGCTTTTCTCGTGGCTCCAGTTCCGATCCTCGAGTATCTCGAGGCCAATGGGACTTTGAGGCTGAAAACCCATCTTTCGGTATAAAGAGCAAAAAAAGAAATGCTCGACGGAGACAGGATTCGAACCTGCGAGGCCGAAGCCATATGATTTCTAGTCATACCCATTAACCACTCTGGCACTCCGCCAATCAGATGATTGATGAAAAGAGTGGCATAATTCTACACTATACGGCTATTCACTAGAATTACACTCAGCATCAGATGTTCCCTTCAATTCAGGGTAAGGACATGGTGCGGCGTAAGAACTTCAAGTTAGTTGTTCAGAAAAGTCAGATGCATTCTGGTGCATGACTGGGCTAATTGGTAGACGTAGATGGGCACAGGAGCGACATTTTCGCTCACGTTGACTATGGACTCAATGGCGTCAAGCGGCCTGGCAGTATCTGTTGTGAAGTTCAACCGTGACAGGTAAGGTAGTAAAAGGTACGACGAAGCTGAATACACGTATTACACTAGGTGGTACCTTGTGTGGCTTGATCCATGACGTACGCTTGTTGAGCCAAGCATCTGCCACAATAGATTCAGTAGGTAGGCAGATAAATAAAAAACAGAGGAGGTGAGTTTATTCCCATGCCCCTGAAAAGCGTCTGAAAAAAAAAAAAAAAAAAAAAGGACTGGAAACAAGACAATTGACATAAAGTGGCAGCCTTTGGCAGCCAGGCATCTTCAGCTGAAACAGCCTGCCATCAGCCTCTCACAACCCCACCAAGCTCGGCTCAGTGCTGCTTCACCCCACCACCGCCCGCCTCGTCTCGTGTCCTGAACCTGCGCCAAAAGCCAGCCTCGAGGCCTTCCCCACTGAAAGCTTCAACCACACACATACAACACACACGATGCCAGTCGAGGAATCCAAGCCGGTCGACGAAAAGGTCAGCGCGGTCGACGCCGAGCTCAAGGCCAAGCAGGCCGCGGCCGAGTCCGAGGGCGAGTCCGAGGATGACGAGCCGACAACAGCGGGTGACGATGCCGCCGCAGCGAGCGGCTCCGGCGCCGCGGCGGCGGGCAAGAAAAAGAAGAAGTCGAAGCGCAAGAAGGCCAAGGAGCTGCTGACGGGCAAGTCGGGCTCGGGCTCGAGCGACCGCGACGACACCGAGGCGGACCTCAAGAGGGCCATCGGCGGGCTGACGCCGCAGCAGCTGCAGGAGCTCATGGCGCTGAATCCCGCGCTGGCGGGCGAGCTGGCGGCGGCGTCGGGCAGCGCGAACCCGTCGCCGGACCAGATGGCGGAGATGCTCAAGAAGATGAACCTGCAGGACATCATGACGGGGCTGGCGGCGGCGGGCAAGAACGCCAAGGATATGGCCTCGTACAAGTTCTGGCAGACGCAGCCGGTGCCGCGCTTCGGCGAGGACGACAAGACGGTCGAGGAGGGCCCGCTCAAGATCCAGACGGTCGACGAGATCCCCAAGGAGCCGGCGCCGCTGGTGGCCGGCTTCGAGTGGGTGGAGATGGACCTGACCAACGACGACGAGATCAAGGAGATTTACGAGCTGCTCAACGGCCACTACGTCGAGGACGACGAGGCCATGTTCCGCTTCAACTACGGGCCCGGCATCCTGAAATGGGCCATGATGCCTCCCGGCTGGGCCAAGCACTACCACGTCGGCGTCCGCGCCACCCAGTCCCGCAAGCTCGTCGCCTTCATCTCCGCCATCCCCGTGCGCGTGCGCGTCCGCAACAAGGTCATCACCTGCTCCGAGGTCAACTTCCTCTGCGTCCACAAGAAGCTCCGCGGCAAGCGCCTGGCGCCCGTCCTCATCAAGGAGATCACCCGCATCAGCAACCTGCACGAGATCTGGCAGGGCCTGTACACGGCCGGCATCGTCTTGCCCAGGCCCATCAGCACCTGCCGCTACTACCACCGCTCACTCAACTGGCAGAAGCTGTACGAGTGCAACTTTGTCCACCTGCCCAACGGCAGCAAGCCCCAGTACCAGATCCGCAAGTATGCCGTGCCGGACCGCACCTCCACCAAGGGCCTGCGCGAGATGAAGCCGGCCGACATGGAGGCCGTTGTCAAGCTGATGGACAAGTACATGAAGCGCTTCGACATTGCCCCTGAGATGACAGTCGAGGAAGCAACCCACTGGTTCTGCCCCACCGTCGAGGCAGGTCAGGACCAATACATTTGGTCTTACGTCGTCGAGGTAAGGGGAGCCAAATCCCTCAGAATATCTGTGTCTGTCCACCCTACTGACTTATTTCCCCCCTTTGCCAGGACGATGAGAAAAACATCACCGACTTCTTCTCCTTCTACTGCATCGAGTCCTCCGCCATCAACAACCCCAAGCACGACGTCATCCGCGTCGCCTACCTCTTCTACTACGCCACCGACGTCGCCTTCAAGGAGCCATTTGACAAGGCCGCCCTCAAGGCCCGCCTCAACGACCTCGTCCACGACGCCCTCATCCTCGCCAAGCTCGCCCGCTTCGACGTCTTCAACGCCCTGTCCCTCATGGACAACGCGCTCTTCCTCGAGCAGCAGAAGTTTGGCGCCGGAGACGGCCAGCTGCACTACTACCTCTTCAATTACAGGGCGAACCCTATAGCGGGAGGCGTGGATAAGAAGAACCAGCTTGATGAGAAGAACCTCAGCGGTGTTGGATTGGTGTTGCCTTAGAAGAAGCACGTTTCCAGGGAGAGAAAGAGCAAGTTGTTTTTCTCCTCTTATGCAAAGTATTTGTATGCTGAGATACCATGTGCGGTATGAGGAGAAATACGAAGAAGAGGATCAAAGAAAGAAGATAGATCTGCATAGCAGCTAGCCTCTTGACGCAAATATAATCTAAACAAAGAACTGATTTCACGACCCCTCAATCCATGACAGACTCGCTTTGGCTTACAGTATGCCTCTCCCGTATACAACAAAACGTCTCTGCCTCCCCATATATACGCACACTATGACTCTACAATTATCTATCCTAATTTCGCCCACGCCGTAAACCGCTCCTCCAGCACGCTATTGAACCACGCCGGCCGATCCATAAGCGGCGCATGTCCCATGCCCTCCACGATCAATCCCACGCCCGGCTCAACATACTTGATCAGCTTCTCCCCGTTGGCAACCGTAATCATGTTGTCCGCCGTGCCGTGCATAATCATGATACTCTCCCTCCCCACGCGATCCGCCATGGCACGCAGCTGCGCAGCCGTCTTGCGGTGCCCCGCCGCGGCAATCAACTGGCACAGGAACCCCTGGCGCGTGAACCACCCCTTCTGGCGCTTCTTGTAGAGCTCCTGCGCCTGGAAGCGCTGGAAGTTGGTGTCGAAGGCGAGGTACTCCCCGTCGGGCGTGCCGGGCGCGGGGCCGCACCGGGGCGTCGTCTTGGGCGAGGGCAGGTCCGCCGCGTCGTCGGGCGCGGCGAGCCACTCGTTGGTGAAGAGCTGGCGGCTCGTGTCCGCGATGCCCTGCTCCTCGGACTTGGGCACGACGAAGCCCACGCGCGCCCAGATGGCGTCGCCCCACGACTTGGCCGGCCCGCTCTCGAACTGCGGCGTCGTCGCCACCAGCGTCAGGGAGCGCAGGCGCTGCGGGATGGCGCAGGCGACCTCCTGGGCGATCATGCCGCCGAGCGAGATGCCCACGACGTGGACCTCGCGCTCGGCGGTCCAGCCCACGTGGTCCAGCACGTCGACGACGTCGGCCGCCATGGCGCTCGTGGTGTACCGCGCCAGGGGCTTGTCGCTGTCGCCCATGCCGCGGTTGTCGAGGATGAGGACCGAGTACTTGTCCCCGTGGTCGTGGCCAAAGTACTTTGTTTGGCGCTGCCACGAGGTCTTGACGCCGGCCAGGCCCATTATGAGCTGTAAACGCCCCATCACATCGTCAGCATATTCCAAGCGAGAAGAGTACACCATTGGCTTTTGGTACAAGGAAAGACGATCAAAACTCGCAGTGCAGAGAGCATGGGTAAAAAATGCACAAGAACATACCACAAGTTTAGTCGGTCCATCGCCGTGAATCTCCCAAGAGATCTTCACCGGCCCGCCTCGCCCGTTGGCAGCCTCAACGACGCCTCTCTGATGAGGTTCCAGGGCCCATATCACCGAAGGATACGCCGGATGCTTGATTGTCTCCTCCGCAGTCGGTCTTATAAACGCCCTGCAATCATCCGGCATTAGTCTCCACGAACCATGTCTCATCAACGACAATGACGACAAAAGCTGCAAAGATTAAGTTGAGAAACAAGAGTGTTGTAGAGTAAGATGTTTGATGTAAGCGACACAACGAAGCTATCAGTGAGACACACGACAAACGGCGTGTCACCAACAAAAACACTCCGTTACACTCGCTCACACTGGGTAAACAATGCGTGAAGGGCTTGTATTTTGAAAGAGACAGAGGGAACTTGCATTGTGTTCGTAAGATGTCTTAAGGCGCTCCGGCGAACTGATTATCAAAGAGATTGGAATCTTTGAAGACAGTTGGAGGAACGACTTCTCCAACTGAGTACTTGTGGCAAAGGTGGCGCTCTATATCCACCTGAGGTATGTAGGCACGAGGTCAGAACGACAAAATTAATTAATCATGCAAAGGGAAATCGCCCGAATGTAAAGCTTCTCAGAAAGACTGTACGATTAGCCCAAGAACAGATGGAATTGGCAGTTGACGACGAAAAGGGCCGGCATCCCGTGAGGTTGGAGGTCAAAGCTGCTGACATCATCACCCATACGTAACGTCATTCGCGGTTGGGCCTCGGCATGCTGGAAATGTCCGAGAGCATCTGATCAGTCATTCTTCATGATGCAACTCATTTTTGTTACGCGATGCCTGCTCGTCTATGCTAGAATACATTCAGTCTTACATCATCGTGACAACTGTCTTCGTAGGTTGTCAAATTCCATGTCGTCGAAAGACGCAATTCGCGTGTCGCCAGATGCCAATAGCCCTTTTCAGCCAGGCGAGGCTGCTAGATATTCTAGTCCAGTTGCTTTAACAGACCGAGGCAATAGCCTTCGCCATCATCCTCCAACTCCGTTTTTTTTTTCGTTGCCCGCCATGCTCTTCATGATCCTCACCTCTCACCAGCCAATCGCCGGCGCTGAACCTCTCCCAAAGCCTTGGTTCCGCTCAAGAAGGCGGCAACTCCCACAGCGCCAATCGCCGGCAGAGTCTGGAACAAGTTCCACTTGGTGTAGTAGAGGAAGAAGACACCCTCCATCGCAATGATCGATCCGAAGAAAACAGCGTGCGAGATGGGAGCGCTGCTCAGAGCCTTTTGCGCATGGGCAAAGTTGCCTCCAATGGCGAACCACTGATGATCAGTTAGCATATCCATTCTTCTCATTGGTCATGTTCCCATTGAGGAGCCAGAGAAAAACGTACGCCGATGAACAGGGCCGGGATAGAAGCTAGCACGGCAAGGGAGAATGCAAGCGAGACGATCTTGGGAGGGTTCTTAGGATCGGCCCGAAAGATGTGATGAATCTCAGCGAGCTTGCCATATCGCAGCGGCTTCTCGTATTTCGGCGCAGCGGTGGCCGGGTCCAGCTTGACGGCAAAGTCGAAAACAGGTGTAACCGAGCCCTTGGTCGAGCCAAAAGATCCCAGGACGAGACTGGCTTCGAGGGGCTCCTGGGATAGGAGCAATTGGACGGGAAGGTCTTTCTGAGTCTATATCCTCGGTATTAGTTGTTTCGTTTGTCAAGCCGATTGTTTCGTCTCTTCGTGGGGGGCTCCCGCGTACAATTTCAACTGTTCCCTTTCCAGACTCCTTCACGGTCAGCGGGAAGGGCGCTTCCAGACCAGACGCCTCCTTCACGACCAGGAACGCTTGGTGCGGCCGCTTCGCCTTGGAGCCCTCCTTTGTCGTGAGCGTCACCTTGAGCTTGTCCTGGTGGCCCAGGGTAAGCGTATTCTGTACTCGATCAACGCCGGAAAATCTAGATTTCCAATTGTATCAGTACAACTGTTCAAAGTCCCAAGCTAATCTGCAAAAAGAAAGAGGACAAAAGTGCCGTAGGGCTAGGAAACGCAACCAAAGCAGAAGCTCTCCGTCCCGGCATCAAGGGAAAGCTCACTTGGCTACCGCATCGTTGCCGGCTTTCGAGGTCACCTGGACGGTCCCGTCTGAGAAAGTCCACGAGGACGCAGCGGAGGCGATGCTGGCGAGCGCCAAAACGGTCGAGGCCACGGAGAATCGCATGGTGGGCAAGGCGGGCGGTTGGTGCGAAGGTTGGGAAGATGCGATGCTCCAGTTCCCCAAAGATGACAGACAGCTTAGATGGAGCTTTTGGTGCTAAAGGTTACGTGTTGAGTCGCCGGGTGGGGTCTGCAATTGGCTGGCTGCAGGTAATCTGCACTGTGCATGCGACGATAGGTACTGTAAGATCCGCACTGTATATCTTGTGGGAGTTGGAGAAGACGATGCCTTGTTGCATTGATGAATTGCGTTGAAGAATGCTTCATAATAATGTTACTTTTAGCAACGATATATACCTATAGATATATGTACATGGCAACGTTCTATGCAATGCTGGCTTCGCCGTAGTCACAGGTTCTGCCTCAACAAAGTCGTATTCTCCGGCTTTCGATCGCTCGGGAGTCTCATTTCAATCATAACATTCTCCCCCAACGGAGTCATAATTCTGTCCGCAGGCTCGGCTCCAGCGTCGTCTCGCTCCTCTTGTCCTTCGTAGCCGCCGCCTTGGGGAAATGGCCCGACAAATCCATCCACTCCGCCGTAAAGGCCAGAACAAGCTTCGTCCAGTCCATCACAGTCGGCATGTCGAGGTGCTCGCCGTCATCCGCCATCGTGTGCCACACGTCAGGAAACGGCGTGGGGATCAGGTGGAGGATGTCGACGCCTCGCCGGAGGAAGGGGATATGGTCGTCTTCGATGCCTCCGTAGCCGAACTGGTTGGGTCGCTTGTGGGCGTCCGGCAGGAATGGGCGGGTGACGTTGGACTCGAGCAGTCCCAGGTCTCGCATGCGCTTCTCCAGCGCCGCCATGTTCCTGTACGCCCAGTGGGTGGTCAAGAAGTAGGACGGCACATGGGGATTGGCCGATCCGAGAAGATCCAAGAGGACGAAGAGGCTGATGGAGTGCAGCGGCGTCTTGTATGTCGACATGGATTCATGAAACTCCGATTCCCACGTCTCAGCCAATGATCTAGAGAGAAGCTGTCAGTGCTGCGATCCCCCTCAATGCAGATAGTTAAAACAGCAAATGCAATGCCCTTACCTTGCCCCATACAGCGAGTCCGTCTGCGTCCAGTGCACAAACGCCTCCTCCCCATCCAGCAAGAGAATCTGCACCCCAACCCCGGGCTCCAAGCCGGCATCCAGCTCGCCGCTGGCCTTCATGGCAGCCCACTTGGCCTTGAGCGCCCCGTCGATGCTCCTCGCGACGTGCATCAGCATCGCGCACGGCGCCGCGCTGTCCGTCGCCCCGATGAAGTCCTTGGGCTCGACCTTGCTGTCGTAATGCGCCACCAGCGTCAGCCGCCCGACCTCGCCCTTGGCGTACCCCGGCGGGTCGCGGCGCAGGATGAGGTTCGCAAACGGAATCTCCTTGTCGCCCGTCGCCGGCGTCTTGGAGGTCGAGTTCTGCCATAGCACCTCCCAGTCGGGCAGGTTGGTCTGGAAGAAGTCGACAAAGTGCCGCTGCGTCTTGGCCTGGCCTTCGGTCCCGGGCACGCGCGGGATCAGGATGGGCGCCAGGAGCTTGCCGGTGCGAATGTCGAAGTCCTGGCCGGGAGACGGAAGGCTGCGCAGGTCGTCGTCGGTCAGTGTCCCGATGCCGAGAGCGGCGCCCACCAGGCTCAGGAGCGGGACCACGACGGATGCCCGCAAGACGTTGAGATGCATCTTCCTTTGCTAACACGGGACCGCTGGCAATAAGTGATCTGAGAGGCTCCAACCTGCAGGGCCAATCTGCGCGATCTCCCCAATGCGAGAAGCAGCCGAAAGCAAGTGGCAAACAAACAAACAAAGACAGAAAGAAAGAAAGGACTAGACTAGAACCGGCGACGCTAGGCAAAGAAACACGTTGAGCGTCAATACGAGGCTGTCATCGTCTCGGCAGCAACGACATCAGTTCTCACGGGCCTTGTCATGTATAATGGAAGTTGTCCCGTCCCAAGTGTTATCGCCAAATACATACATACTAGCTGGCCCGTTATCTTAGCCCCCAGCCAAAGCACATGCAAGACCCGTGCGAGGAACGGGGTGTCGTGGCCACTGCGGGATCAACCCCCCCGCTAAACCGCATTACGGAGGCCCCTGGAACGTTGACCCTTGTTCCTGGGCTTTTGTTGAGCCGCTATTTCGAACCTCCCTTCATCAACGTGTTTAGCCGGTATGTGGCTTAAGGGGGCTTGATGAGAGGTCTCGAATAGTTGGTATGGACTTTTGAATTCTTCAAGTCGATGGATGCCTTGCTCTCAACCCGACTGCGAATTCATGTTCAGACATAAGACACCCCAGTTCTCTTGAAAACATCCCATACATGTCGAAAGTGTTGATTGATCAAACAATGACGCCTAATCGTGCTGCGGAATCTATATATAGCCCCGTATTAATAGGAATACCGAGTAGGAATATTACACATCGCCCATCATGGCCCGGAACACAAGAACGGCCAGAGCAATCTCATGATACAAAAGCGTAAAGCACCATCCAAACGCCAAGTCAGCCGTGCGCGTCGTGCACCGAGCGGGCTCCAAACAGACTCATCTTTCCATCTCTATGTGCATGTGTCCCATATCTTCTAGTCGAAATCTTGCCGAGTCACCCGGCTTTCTCTTGCTTCTCCCTGTTGAAGCCTACCCTGCCACCGGGGTGTTGAAATCCTCGTCCCAAATCAAAAGTCTCTAACTTTGGTTCATGAGGGCATTATTTGTGTTGAGGAGCAAGAATGAAAAGTACACAAACTGAAAGTGAAACGGAAAGGGCGTAAAGTATCAAGTCTCCTCTTGATGTTCGAGATGGTGATCCAATAATACGCAGTTAATGCAGCTTGGTGGCGGCTCGGGCAGCCATCTTGTTGGCCATCTGCTTCTCCTTGGGAATGGTGAGAGCGTTGATGCCCAGAAAGTTGCAGATGCTGGTGATCACCAGGTAGGCCCAGCGGAAGTAGACCACCACTGAGAAGACAAAATAGGCCCACAGGTAGAACAGCTCGAGTTCGGGGCTGATCTGGGGTAGGCCGATGCGCGGAAGGTTCCCGAGGACGGCACCGCCAACCAGCGGGGTCAGCATGACAGTCCAGTACGGGAATGGCTGGCGGGTCAAGTGCGCCAGGATCATCTTGGTCGTCAAGCGTCCGAACACAAAGGACATGGTGAAGCAGAAGAGGACAAGGTGGTTGTCTCTCATGAGCGCGCTGTAGGGCGAAAAGACCCAGGCGCCAATGCAGATGGTGAAGACGGCCATCGGAATCCACTCGAAGAAGACGGGGAGAACGGGGAGGTTCTTTGCTCGGCGCGCACGGGCAACGTTGAGGACGCAGAAGGGGATGTGGCAAGTAACCAGCAGCAGGATCAACATGCCAACCCAGATATCCCGGAAAGACACATCTCCAATAAGATGAGCCACTCCCTCCAAATGGTCGCCCCAGATGTGTGCCAAAGGTTTCGTGAAAACATCAGGTCCGTAGATTCCAGAGACGATCATGATACCGCAGGCAATGAGGAGGCCTTCGGTAGGGCCGTTGAAGAAACCGAGGTATAGGGTGTGGGTGTGGTACGTCTCCCACGTCGAAAAGAACATGGGGAGGCATGGGACAAGTGCCGTGAAGACACCTGAGGGCGAGGTGCCCAGTCCCATGGCGGCCGTCTCGAGCAAACTGGCGAGCGTGCAGTTGAGCGAATCGATGCCGTGGTCGAAGAGCTCGCCCAAACCGCTCGAGGTCCCGGTCCTTCTCGCCTGTTTCCCGTCGACATTGTCCATCGTCTGGTACATGAAGAGGCCGAACGCAAAGCTAAAGTATAGCCATGACGGTGCCTGCACAGTGTTCCTCTGTCAGCAATAGTGAGACGCACGCGGCTGAGTCTCGGTGACGTACGGGTCCCACCAAGTCGGGCACATAGATGACCATCAACGCGACGTTGAAGAGGATGAAGAAGAAGCCCAAAAGGGTGACCATGTTGGGCGCGAGCCATAGCGGCAACACTTCGACGAAGGCATTCCACTGCAGAGCGAATTCCGTTAGCTACCAATTTGATTCTATCGTATCTTGCATTGCTGTGCCGTCGTCGTGAGGAGGGGCAGAACAGCGTCGACGGGCAACGTCATGCGGAAGCGAGGGGGTGGTTCGATCGGTGAGGCCATACCCAAGGACCCAAGATGTATTTCGATACTGGTGATTTATCGACGCTCGAGTACTTGTACGTCTTGAGATGGATCAGGGCATCGTCCGAAATGCACTCGGCCACAGCCTGCTCTAAGTCCACCGATTCCGGGTTAGCCACCGCCAGAGTATAGGGATGGGAAGGGAGAAAGAGGCGATGCCCTCTAGCTGTCATTTCGATAGCGCCGCCACTCGGCCACGACCCCATCGAAACGAAGCAGGACACCCTTTTTCCCACCCCCCAGCTTCAGAAGAGAATCTCGGCTTACTTGTGTTAGGAGCCATACTGCCACCACCTCGTGTGGAGGTAATGTCGCCTTGGTGCAATGGCAGCGTGTTGCTGGACATCGTAGAGGGGGGGCAAGGCCGGGGGCCCAGAGGGGAGGTAGGAGCTTTCTTTTTAAAAGAGGACACAAGGAACCGGCGCCAAGGGGGGAGCCTCTGCGGTTGCTCCCAGGTTTGTCTCTGCGGGAAGAACTAGTACGAGCAGGTTACTTCCTTGCTCCCGTGCGTCCTAGACTTGCGCAAACCTCAGACAAGAATTTTTTTTTTTCCTGGTCGTCCAAGTGACCAAGAGTCTGGTTTCGTTGGGAGGCGTGCATGAGGAGGGACGGTTTGTGGTCCTCGGACCCCTGCTAAAGAGCCTCGGAAAATCTGCCCGTGGGCCTCTGGACCGCTAAACCCGTCCCAGTCCCCTGAGCTGGAGGCGCTACAAGGCCCGAGAAGCCCCCAAAGAGCTGCTGGAGAGCTTCCACGGCTCGCCTAATTGGGGGAATCGTTCGGGCGGGCCCCGCTCTGCGCAATCTGCCAGTGGATGGTTGTCGTCAGCACGTGAAAGCCAGCCATTGAAGTGCAGTGCATGTACGGAGTAGCTTTGGTCCAATCTCCCGACTTCTGGCGCTCGGCTGTCCTACTTAGTAGCGGTACTTTGTGAGACGCTGTGAGTTGTTGGGAACTGCAAGGCACGTCTACTTCACTCACTTGATGGAGACGCGATGTCATTGAGTCATTTTGGTATCACAGGTGCTAACGGGTAGTGTGATGTTGGCCACGCCGGATCGATGAGCCGGCAGGAAGCGCTATGTCATGTCAGTACCGGAGTAGGAGGTACCTTAGTAGTAGACATATTAATGCTGGCGACGTAATGAGAGTTTGCGGGTGATGTTGCACCGAAATCCCGTGACACCATACTGGACCACGAAGGGTGATAAGCGATCATCTACGCAAGACAAGTTACAATAGGGCAAAGGGTAAGAGTAAATACCTACCTAGGAAGAGCAGAAGACGTCATGTTACACAATCGTCCTCATTACGATCCCTCGGGCGAGTAGACTAGAATGTCGGCTGAATACACCCCAATCTGTCTGTAGCCGCATCTGTTCTTTCATCGGTGAATCGGCAAGCTTCCTCCCTGTAGCTACAGCTACGGCTACCTTATCCCGCCAATATGCACGTAAACCCTGCAAAAGGTCCCCTCGAGACAGACAGCGCACATCGATATTGCAGCTGCATCGAGCCTCTCCCTCGCCATGATGTCAAACAGTATCTGAAAACGATCGCGTGATCCCGGAAGCATCATGTGCCAAATCTCAACAAAAAGCTCACATGTGCGAGATAGAACTCGCACCATGCATTCAATCCAATGCAAGATAAACCGCGTAGGCTAAATCGCAACGGTTTCCCGCCCCCAATCCACCCTGCTAAGGTAACTTGGAAGGTATGGCAGCAAATCATGTGGGGGATCAACGTCCAAAGATCAGGGTAGACACCAGAGGACTGAGTAAGGCAGCAAGCTATTATAAACGTATCAATTGTATCGTATCAAAACCGGCATGCAAAAGTATTAATAAGTAATTGATCCCATAGCCCAACTTGATCCCGTACGTATAATGAGAACGTCAAGGTGCTCAAATGTAAAATGCGCGCTCCGATGAATAACCAAACCAACCAACCACCATGAGCGATCGTCCCGAGCACTCTAGCGGTTTGCTCAATCGCACGACTCCAGTCTCCTTCAGACACCCCCGCCTTACAGCATAGCAAATCCAACAAACATGCTGCCGAAGAGAACAGCCAGTCCGTAGGCTCGTCCAACCTCAACCACGGGGGCTGCCATCGACTTGCCCTTGCCGCTGCTGCTGCTGCTTCCTCCGCCGGGGGTACCGGTGAAGATGGTGTCGGGGCCTGCCGTGGTAGAGGTGGCCTCGGCGGATGTCGTCGTAGCAGTGGACGTCGCGTTGTACCGCTTGGGATCAGTGGCACCGCAAGGGTTCTCCTCGGCACAGTTAGAAGCACACGTGTTGTCTGATCCGCAGTTGGTTCGGCACTGGACGACGTATTCTTGGCAGATGAAGAAGGGCAGCGTCAGGGTGTATTCGGACACATTAGGCTGCTTGTTGTCACCGCAGAGACAGCCATAGCTCAACGTTTTCTGGCAGAGATATCGTCAGCATGAGCGCAGTACACGCGCAGTCAGAAGTTCAGTTGACGTACAGGATTGCACTCGTTGACCAGGGTCGGTTTGCTGGTAGTCTGCTGGCAGATGAGGGGGCACGTCGACGTCTCCGAGTTGCACCAGTTCTCTGCATCCCTCCATGTTAGCATTCCAGAGCTGCCTCGGCGGACGAGTCTATATCTCACGTCTTGTTGACAAAGGAACACTATCGGGGTCGATGTAGTAGTCCTTAGCTATCGAGACAGCAGCCAAGGTGGCGGTGACGAGAAGTGACTTGAAGGACACCATCTTGACTATTGTATGTGGTATTATTGATGTCGAGGAGGAGACGCGCTTCGTGATGGTGTAGACCAAACGATGCTGGGAGAGACTGTCGCGGAGCGGTGTTAGTGATGCAGTCTGCAGCGACACAATTGTATGCTTGTCCACGGGGTTATGAAGACAGGAGAGGAGGAGAGAGGAGAGAACCATCAAGGACAGAGGAAGCAGCTCAGGCAGGACTCACAGATTAGGTAAACGACCGGCAGCCGCAGAAGAATGAATTGCGGATCCAGAAGCGAGAGACTGGGATTGACGGAGAAGGAGCTCGAACGAACGACTCGTGAACGACAGAGATGGCAGCGGCGGCGAGAGAAGAAAGCAGAAGCAGGACAGGATCAAGAAGGAGGCAGGCGGCGAGAAAAAGCACCTGGCACTTTTATGAGCTGGCCGGCGGAGGCGACGGAGGTCCGGGTCAGAATGTCTCCAGAAGGACCAGAGTTGACCAGGGCGGGTGGGAAGCGAGACCAGGAGGCTGTCCACGGGCCCCAGCTCGAAAGCTGTTCCCTATCAAGCCGGATGGATGCACAAACGGCCAGCTTCAGTATCAGGCTAGCTCCGGTTCGTGTTGCCTGCCCTCCACAGGCCACCGTCTGGACAGCGCAAACGGGGCCCCTGGGTCTCACATTGTGTGTATACTTGACCGTTGCAATGGAGGTGTATGTAAAAGAGGGATGGATGGAAGAGACGAAGCGATGCCGCGAGTCGTGATAGTGCCGTACTAACAAGCAGCGGTACCTCGTCAGGTTGCATCTGGAGCTCGATCTAGCGGCGCTGCTACTGCACCCTCGCACTCAATTGCTGGTAAGCTTTGCACCAAGTGGTGACCGAAGAGCAGCCATTTACGAAGTATCATCGTTTAACGTTTACTCCGTACACAGAGCAAAACAACGTTCGACAGGGTACAGGACCTTTGGCGGTACGGGGGGCTCAAAAAGCTACAAGAAACAACAATTCGCCCATCCCGTCGTCAAATTGCCCGCTAGTGCGCAGCAGTAGCGCGTCTTCGCTAGTGGAAAGATCCGAGCTTATTACATGTAGCTTCTTCTCCCCCCCTTTTATGAGCTTCCAGGCGCGCTGGGAAATGAACCAAGCGTCTTACTCTCGCTCTTGGGAGGTGGGAAAAAAGGGCACGAAACGGTTTGGCTCTGCCAATGGCGTTGAGCGCAGTCAGCCAGTGCTCTCCCTTTGCGAATTCCCATTAAAAGAAGTGTTGACTCTGCTGTCCTGCTGTCCGACGCTGGCGACTCTCATTCAGTCCATCCCATAACCCGATGGTAATATCGTGCAGCTCCTCGGGCGGACTCATCCATCCGCTGGCAAAAGTCGACGGGGATCCAATATTACGAGCCCACTAGCCAACGTTGGTAGGCAGTTGAGTTGAGCCTGCGCTTGAGCTTGTCGTTCCATCGAGCCAGGATTCTCCGCTTGCTCGTTGACGAGGGAGTCGAGAGAGAGAGCCACCCATCCATTCTGCGCCGTATCAGTGGCCCCCCTTCGTATTCTGTTATGCATGCAAACGGAGACGGGAGCTACAGAATCGCCCTTATGCAGACACTTGCGGCCAGTAGGCACATTCGATACAAAAGGCAGGCGAAAATGCTCCGCGTTCTCCGCACACTAACAAAGCAGCCTGGGAGGAGGCAGTCTCGAAGCCGTTGATATCGTAGACAGATGCGCGAGGAATGCCGCCGTCTCTTCGGGCCTGAACGGTCACATTCGTGGGGAGATCCACCGACAAATCCAGGCCGCGATCATCATACTACCTGTAACATTGCAAAAGAGTCCTGGCGATGCGAAGGGGGGCTTGTATGTATATCATGCGGATTGATGTACCAAGCACGAGTTTATGCTTCATTACCGTACGAGAACGATACGTATCTGAATCTCGAATGAGGCTTCATCTTCCCCGGCCCTGTTAGGGGTCCGAGTGCAATTATTGCTTCGGTGCAGTGGTACTCATGTGTATTGTTGAGGCTCGAAAGTACCGGAAGGCCGCCTTCGGAGTCGACGAGCTACAAGGGCTGTACATGACCTGTCAGACAGGCATCCCGGCCAGGGCTCCATTCCTCCTCCCTGCCCAAGAGGGCAGTTGGTTGCTCGGTGTCATTCCTGCGCAAATATGGCTTCGGTTTCGTTGCATGGGGGCCTGACGGAGCACAGACGGCCCCGTTCGAGTGCTTCCATGAGCATCCACCCAGCGTCCCCGGCATCGTGAGATGGAGGCAAGGCTCGGGGTACAAAACTGAGCGCTCCTGCTCAAGGCAGCACCGGCTCGTACACGCACGCATACATAGTCCCTGTATACCTCCCTGTACAGACGACGGCATGAGAGAGCAGAGAGAGAGAGAGAGAGATCAATGCCCACCGCCGGCATGCAAAAGCTTGGCCTTGCAGATCTGAGAATCTGGGGCAAAAGCCAAATTGGAGGGACGAGGTTGGAACCAGCACGACGATTCGCGAATGAGCGTTATAAAGAGGGTCCCCCGTTTAGAACCGTTGTGTGGGGAATGAAATTGGAACGCTGATTTTCCATCACATCAGGCGACGATCATCTCCGAGCTTCCAAGCAACGAATAGCCGGACTGTTGATGCACGTTACTGACTCTGTCGGTTCTACCGACTTCTGCGGGTTCCGTTGTGTGCCAAGGCAAGCCTCACACCGTATCGGAGTCGAGACGGCAGGATTTTACGAGTAGTATGGCATGGATACGGATTACGAGGTGCAGATGATTTACATTTTCAATGCTTCTACAGGTACTATTAGATGCCTCTCTTGAACGGTCAACAGACGGTGAGAGCATCGGCATCTGCCCGATGGCCTCTGCTGTGGATGGAACGGAGCGTACTCCCTTTGTCCAAAGTTCGATACGGTCGTGTCTCGGCCGCGCAGCGAGCAGTTGTCGACCAACGCTGCACGGCTACTGTTGGCTGTTCAGCACAGATCACCAGAATACTCGTATGATTGCGATTGGGTCATCTGCTCTGGCTGCCTCGTACGCGTACCTGTACGAGTACTATAGAGAGATAGTGGCGACAGGCATCAGCATGCAGAATCGACTGCTGCTGTACATCCAGACGGATCATTATTCCATGGGGAGACAGCAATGACTACATGTAGGTGACAGCCAGCGTGGAACACCAGTCGAACAGCTGTCAACCTTGGCAGACCGTCCATATCGTACCAAGCAGTATCTCGCTCTTCAACGGTGTGTTACGGCTCTGAAGCGATAAGGCATGCGATGCTTCCTCGGATTGACCATCGGAAGAGCCTTCAGTTTGCCACGGCAGTCGAGCCAACCAGCCATTGTCCATCTGATAGTACCGGAGATGGAGTGAAGAGAGCTGGCTCATCGGCACCGCCATAGAGATGGCTGATTCACTCGGACTCTGTAGGTCTCTTTGAAGATACTGTTCGTGCCCATCGCCTTTTCATGCACGGGCAGATCGAGCAGAAACGATTGGCGTGGTAAAATGCCAATACGAGTGTCTGCAACGTCAGGCTCCGATTCACCGATCTGATCGAGGTTGAGCGCTCCTTTTGCCATGAGACGACGGCATTGGACACCGGCCCGGCAACCTACATACATGGCAAGCGGCGCGATCATCGTTGGCTGCGAACAAAAGTGCATACTCGTACTTGTGCACGTAGCCTATTCTTCTCTGGGGGGTTGAGATCACGGCTCAATCCCGAGGAAGCCGTGACCTCAACCCCTCCCACCCATGGTACACTTTCCGATGGGCAGCATCATCATCAGGATGGCCCTCGATAGCCAGTGCAGGGAGAAATCTCCGCTTCCACAGAACGGAGTGAGATAGTATCATCCTGCGCCAGCACTTGAAGCAACAATAATTCATGTATACTCCTGCCTGACAGGGGCAACTCATAGACCTTGACCAGATGATGCGTACGTACATGTAGCCGATAAAAAAGGCACCGTCTCAACTAGACCTGAAGCATCGGCACCAAGTCATGCACCAGTGGTACGTGCAAACGGCCAGATTACGATAGAACCGCACATCTGGTTCCAACTAACTCTACGATTTACCCAGAAAAGAAACCGTGCAAAAGGCATGTCGCTCCACAGGCCCCTGAGGCTGTCGATAGCCGCTCCTTGGCTGCGAATCTGGAATCTGCCACATGGGCTCCTGGCCATGGATTCCACAGCATGGAGATTGATGCTGTGGAGCTCCCAAGGCATGTCTTGCAGTTGTGATGAAGCCAAAGCCTTCCGCATGCACAATTGCCCGTTACCGTGTTGTGATTAGTATGATGAACATACAAAAAGGTTGCCGTCACTCCAGTACCGGGCACTCTATGTAGGCCATGTTCTAAGATGCCTACCTGAGGTACCTAAGTAGTTAGACCGATCTCACTACGTCACAGCGTAACGGCCTTTGGTGTTTTGTTCCCGACCAAACATGACCCCACGTCGTGGCAGGTTTTAGCTGCCGTGTGGGATTCCTAGTCATTACGCCACTCTGCCGGACTACCGGGCCATTCATGTTTGCTCGCCAGCTGGAGGCCGTGTAAGATACAGTAGCGAGCGGTAGGCCACCAATTCCAGAAGACGTCGTCCCTTCTAGACCTTCCCGGTGATTGACCTCTTCCATCTGCAGCCGCCAGCTTCTCTCACTTCCATCCAGTCCATCCACGGCATCGAACTCGGACAGCCCGGCCCTCCCGCTGCTACGAGCCTCATTTCCTTTCGCATCTCCCGAACCCGGCCCTTGACAAGTCCCGCGCGCAAACCCATTTCCTGCCAAGGGATCCCGAGAACTTTTCCAGAGCACGACAGGGCTGCTAGCTCCGATTCAGTATCAAAGACGGCAAACCTCGATCGATAGCCACGCGAGCAATTTGCGATTGCCTTCCCCTACACATGGCTGAATGGCGCCGGCTGTAGACGAGGACCATGCGCCAAGCGAGTTGACGACGAGCGAGACAGGGCCACAGCCGGCGGCGGCCGCCGAGTCTGGCGCAACGGCAGCAGCAGCGCCGAGTCGCGCCTTGAGCAGGCTGGATACGCAGCTTAACAGTTCCAGAGACGACGACAGCCTCTCGCGAGAACAAGCAGCCAGCCAAGCCAACAACGCCGTCGACGGCGGCGAGGAAGCGCTGCGCACCGCGACGACTTCGCCGAGCTCCATCGCCTCGCCGCCACCGTACTGGCCTCACGCCTTTGCGCACCAGCGCACCGCCTCCAACTTGTCCGCCGAGTCCATCCTGCCGATAACGTTGCGCGACAACGACACGAGCGACGACGACAGGAACAGCGCGTGCTGGGCCAAGAGCGTGGAGATTACCGACTACATTGTCGTCAACGGGAGCAACACCAACATTGGCGCATTCGTCGTCTGGAACGTCCGGGTCGAGACGTTGAGTGTAAGTTTTTTTTCTTCTCCTTCCTTTTTGCCGCTCTTTGCACGAAACGCCTTTGGCGCATCAAACTGTGCGCGCCTTCGTATAAGGGTTCATTGCCTAACAGAAGTCATCTCTTTGGTACGATGCGTTATAGGGAAGCTACATGAATATCAGAAAGCGCTACTCCGAGTTCGACGACTTCCGGCAAAAGCTCACATCGTCGTTTCCAAACTTCAAGGCCGCCGTGCCGGAGCTCCCGCCGAAGAGCGCAATCTTCAAGTTCCGCCCCAAGTTTCTAGAGAAGCGCCGCGCCGGCCTGCAATACTTTTTAAAGTATGACATTCCATTGCGTTTCTGCTTTTCCCCCCAGTAATGTGCTCTCAACTTGCTGTTCCACGAATGAGATTACCCGGCCTAACATGGACTAACATGGCTCTTGGCTTCCAAAACCAGCTGTATCATGTTGAACCCAGAGTTCTCCGGGTCGCCTGTTCTCAAGGACTTTCTCTTTGCGTAAATCACGCGACGCATTGCTCTTTTGCATCATGCCTCTTATCCGGGGTCTCATCTGAGAGGGAAAAGGGATCAAACGAAGTGCGCATGGGTTGACGGAAACACCAGAGGAACGCCCGCGTGTAGCGGCACGATGTGACTGCGATGACCACGTTGAGGGTTTTCCTCTTTTGGTATCCGTTCTATTCTGGGCACCTGTTCTATTATACTCTGTACATAGCTGTGTTTATTAGCATCGTCAAGGCTGATCCAGTAGGTAACGTTGGCATGATAATGTCACTGTATGATATTCAGCCAGTTGTATTATATAGTAATGTTAATGAGGAATCTTGAACCAGAATACAGATACAGCAGTGGTTCTTACAACCCCTGGGACGACAACTGCATGCATTCACCCCTTGAGCGATACGCGCTGCACCATGTCCATTGATTCCATGCCCATCATACCACAGCCCTGTTCCCTCAAACCGCTTCCAGAACATACAAGTGCAACGTACATGTACTATAAACAGGTCTGCATGCGGCTCCTCATATTCCATGTCCATCCCCATACCATTCAGTCATTGGGGGAAAACAAAAAGCCCCGACCTCCCCCATGTCATGTCATCGGCATGCCCAGCACTGCTCCGCTCCGCCTTGCACCGCCCCAAACATGTTTCTTCGCTAATACCACTAAGTATTACTGTACATACTGCTACTACTGGACCCAACCGCAGCCTTTTTTTTTTTTTTTGTTTGGCCCAGAGCGTGCCATTTCCGAGACACAGAGACAAGAGAAACATGAGGCGCCATGATTGGAATCCTGCCCTAATCCCTTCTCGGCTGGGCGCAGCGGACTTTTAGGGACAAACATGGACTCGTGGAAGATCGATGGTTCCCAAGAGATTTTCTCGGAGGATTCCGCATGCACGGGGCTGGGCTGGGCTGATGGCTCGTCGCGTCACTGTTCTGCTGGACTGTGTGTACATCTTCATGTAGTATTTTCCCTCTTATTTCTCGACCCTCTCCTACGTGTCAAGATGATCTCCTTTCCTCTCTTTCCCTTGAACGAAAGACTCAGAAACAAGAGAATAAGGGTACGCGTACCGTCTCTTCTCACAGAAACGACAACGGCGCCGGGATTCGTTTACGTTGTTACTTAATTCCATGCTCTCAGGGACCTTGGAAGATAAAGATAGACCCACGTCACGTCATCTTACTGCATCACTGAGTAATAGCTCGTGGTAGCTGTTGATCCGTAAGTTCTCAAAGGAAAATAATACAGTACCTTGTCATAATGCCACAGTACTCCCGTGCCAGGCCTCAGCTCCCTTCAGCCCTCCTCCAGTGCGCATCCGGCCCTCGTAGCACTTTGTAGTTCCCGCCTTTATGGCTCCAGATCTCAGACGAGAGGCGGAGCGTCTCTCGCCTTGCCATGGACGTTTGATGGAGGCCCGACGCTTTCGGGTCCTTGCGTCACCCCGTCATCAACAACCAGCACAGAATCCCCAGTTCAGGGGCCCGTCTGATAGGTGGTCAGCGTCCGATCAAACATGTTGCCTGGGCCCGTAGGGCCGGCCGCAGTCTCTTTTTTTAGTTCTTATCAGTGTCTTAAAGGGCCGTCTTCCCGCTCCTGTAGTGTCGCCCGTGATCTCAGCCAAGCTGCCAAGCCAGATATATAGCCTGCCACCAACATCAACGTCAGCTCTTAGATTCGGAGCATCTGCCGGACAATCCGAAGCTCTAGACCGACCTCCAGCTTTCTTTTCAGCTTTATTTTCAGCTCGACATACTCTAGCAAATCGAATATTGACACCATCAACCAACCTTGGGTAGCTTTTTGACTGCTTCGTTTTCGGCGCCGGCCACACATGCGACCTCGCAGAAGTAGTCGTCTCCCATGGGAGGTCTCAGGCGCTGTATGAACGTGAAAGACGACGACCAGAAGCTATGCATTCCAGAAACACAAGCTCCAGCTTCAACTCGAGCTACTCCACCCTCACCTCGTCTTCGGCCAAATCGCAGCAGTACCTGGACTCGCTGATACCGCCCTCCCGCGAACAGTTTGAGCGCATCGCCCATGTGCAGGAGGAAAAGGAGGAGCAGATCAGGCAAAGAACCAAGGAACAGAAGCGCAGATCACACCAGGAGAGCAGGCGAAGCTTGCAGTCCAACAGGAGCGATGAGAGGAGCGAGGCTGCGCGCGTAATTCAGAAGACGTTCCGGGGGTATCGAGCAAGGCGAGCGATGGATGGCTTCACACTGGATCCGAGCACGAGATGGATAACGGCCATTCGCGAGGCCCAGTTCCGCGAAACCATGCGACCTCGAGGCAGGTCATTCACCGGTCAAAGTCAAGATACGCTGTCGTCTGCGGATATGAACGATGTCCACGCCATCGCACGGTCAAACTGGAAGAAGTTGGGCATGATTGCGCTGCGGGCCGGCCACGATGACGAGGAGGAAGAGTCTGACTCGGACAGCTCATGTGAATCGATTCAACTGTCGCCTCAGGAAAAGGAAGAACTGAGAAGACTTCGAGAGGAGGCCAATGCTCAGCGGCGGTCAACTGCTCTCACACTGGGACTGCAGTACTGGTTAGAAATCGTGGACCAGAAGCACCGATACGGCACCAACTTGCGCATGTACCACGAGGAGTGGAGGAAAGCCGACACCAACGAAAACTTCTTCTACTGGCTCGACTATGGCGAGGGACGATATATCTCGCTCGACACATGTCCGCGAGACAGACTGGAGAGAGACCAAGTCCGGTACTTGTCGCGAGAGGAACGCAAGTACTATCTGGCCACAGTCGACGACCAGGGCCGGCTCTGCTGGGCGAAGAACGGCGAGCCCATCGACACGAGCGAAAAGTACAGGGACAGCATATACGGCATCGTCCCTGTGGACGATCCGGCACCGCCGTGGCGGCCGGTGATGGAACCGAGTCCCTACGCCGAGTCGTCCAGCGGGCTGACTTCGAGCTCATCAGCATCATACTCCGATCCGAACCACGAGCAGCATCGCGCAGAGAAAAAGGCCAACCCGCCGTCCGATTCGCGCGATGTCAAGAAGGTGAAGCAGTTTTCCGCCACGTCCACCCTGAACAAGCTGCTGCGCAAGACCGTCAAGGACGGCACGTGGATCTTTGTCGCGGACACGTCGTTTAGGCTCTACATCGGCATCAAGCAGGCCGGCGCATTTCAGCACTCGTCGTTTCTCCAAGGCGCCCGCATCTCCGCCGGAGGACTCATCGGCATCAAGGAGGGCAGGCTGACCTTCCTGTCGCCCCTGAGCGGGCACTACCGACCGCCGACGTCCAACTTCCGCGCCTTCGTGCGGAGCCTCAAAGCTGAAGGCGTCGACGTGGGCCATGTGCCGATTTCAAAAGCATACGCCGTCCTGCTGGGCCTGGAGACATATACCAAGACCCGCCGAGTGGGCAAAGACCTGATGCACAAGGCGATTCATAGGAAGGACAAGACGATCCATCCCAAGGAGATGAAGAAGAAAGAGGAGGAGGAGAAGGACACCAGCAAGAGCGCGCAGAAAGAGCGGCAAGTGGTGGAGATGGAGAAGCGGCAGACCGAGCTTGAGAAGCAGGCGCACGTGGAAGAGACGGCCATCAAGGCGCTGAAGAAGCTTCATCTTGTGCCCACGGCCGGACAGGCGTCCGAGAAGAGGAAGGTAACATATCGATAGGGCAAAAGCAGTGCTTTTATATCTGGCTGGTTGGATTGGATTGTTACGGAACATGATAAATACCCCTGAGTTTATATAGATGATCTCATTCTTGCTGTATGATGCATAGAAGAGCGAATTGATATTTGATTTTGGTTCCTTGGAGCTCTGCCTCATGTTCCTGCCTTACAAGTACCGGGTAGTTTCTAGCAGCCTACGACATGTCCAGGGCAGCAAAGAAGCGATGGGAGAGGAATAAACGCTTCATCTAGACTAGGTGTAGTCCAAGACTTGTAATGACGGTTCGACCGTCTTCAAGATAAAGACTCCCAGAATCCATCAACGATTGGATTAACCCCGTGTCGCGTCAATGCATTGGAGAGCTCCAGCTCCCAGCGCCAGAGCTCCAAATGCCCTGTAAGCTCTCCAGCTAGGTCCAGCTGGAGCTCTAAAGGGGGCGGTGCGCCGGAGATTAGTGAGCAAGTCCGCTGTAGCGGCGCCACCTTCCAGGCGGTTCGGGGGTCAGAGCCACTGGAGCCACTCGCTAGAACCGCCAACTTCCATGGCGCGCAGGCGCTAGAGCCCCCTTCTGCCGCAAGGGAGGGAGGAGGAGGAGCTGGAGGAGAAAAAAAAAAGCGACAGAGCGTCCGTCCGTAGGTAGAAGCGGGAATTGCACAGTTGGAGAATCAACGTCACGTCGCACGAAAATTACAAAGCGGCCATCCGGTGCATCGAGCAAAAGACTTCGAGGCAACGCGTGTCCCGCCAGCGACAGCGCCCTCCGCAGCAGCCCTGAAGAAACATGACAGGCGTGCTCCGGCTTGCCAATGGCCTCCATCACCCGCTCCAACCGGCGAGCTGAGGGCCTTCACCTCTATGATCGTAACGTGAACGCCAGCCCCCTCACGCGCCCGGCGCCTGGGCCAAACTCCTTCCACCACGGCGCGGCGGCGGGCGGTCGCACAAAGCGAGCCCTCGACGGGGCCGAGCGCGACCTGGACGCCCTGCGGCACAAGAAGACGAGGATCGCAGTCGAGATACTCGCAAAGCCCCAGCTGCCTCGCGAGCCCGTGAATGTACAGCCGCCGATACCGCGACGAGCCGCTGTGGCGAGCAGCGCAAGTACGAGTAGGCCGCCAGCTGCTGCCCCTGTGCCGCCCACCAGGCCAGCGTCCACGGCCACCACGTCCACGTCCACGTCCACGTTTACGCCCGCGCCCACCTCCGCAGCCGCAGACCCGGAGCCGCCCAACGCCAGCCTGACGAAGCACCAGGCCAAAGTAATCAATGGCATACGGCACGAGCTGGATCGCCTGCAGCCGCGCCCCGACGACACCAGGGACTCCAAGGAGCAGGGCCGCAAGCTGCGGTCGCAGGAGGCCACCCGCTTCAAGAGCGAGCTGTCTGCCTATTTCCCGGACTACGACGAGGTGATAGGCAACGACCCCAAGGAACAACGTGAGCAGTCCTACTACCTCCCCCTTTCAGCGCGCATGGTCTACGCTCCAAGTCTCTCGACAGCGTCTCTTATACGCTGCACTCTTTGCTTCAAACGGCCGTCTGACCAGTCTACCGCAGATTTGCTCAACCCCGACACGCCGATTATTATTGTCGATACCAGCTTGTCGCGCGCAATTCCCGACGCTCAACGCACTGGGCCTCGACCCCACGTGCACTATACCCCGAGTGGCGCCGACTTTCCCATCAGAGGATACGGCGATGCGCTGTTCACTGACGTGTTCGACTCGCAACGGATCGACTTTGGCTTTTTAGAAGCTCAACATAAGAACAAGAACATTGAAGACCCCTTGCCCGATAGCTTGTACGAGCCGATTCATAAAAAGGCAGAGAGGGTCGAACGGTCTATTCGCAACACCGAAAAGGGTCGTGCGCAACATGAAAAAGACCAGATTATTCGACTTCTGGAGGGCCTGCAGGGCCACGACTGGCTGAGAGTCATGGGTGTCAGCGGCGTTACGGAGTCGAAGAAGAAGAAGTTTGAACCGGCCAGGATGCACTTCATCAAAGGTTGCCAAGCGATATTGGCCAAGTTCCGTAACTGGAGCCTTGAAGAAAAGCGGCGGAAGCTTGAGAAGGAGAAGGCTCTTGCAGAAAAGGCAGAGCAAGAAGGTGAAAGCGATACTAGTGACGCAGAATCCCAGCAAAGGGAGGATAGCCGCTCCAAAGAGAGCGATGACAGTGAGGACGAAGAAGACGAGGCCGAGGATGATGCCGAAGAGGATGAACCATCGCAAGACGATGCCAGCGAGACATCATCGCCGGCCAAGCAGCTGCGACGAGAGGCGAGGGCGAGATCCAAACTGGCGGCAGCAAACTCCAAGCGGTCACGGCCTGCTAACAAACCTGCACCACCAACGAAGCCTCCAGAACCCCCAAAAGAGTTCAAGTCTTTCTTTGCCAAGAGGTATGAGCGCGAGAGCGCCCTCAACAGGCAGAGACGAGCTGGCAGAAAGATTCTTGCCTGGGGTCACCCTATTCCCGACATATCTGAAGCCGACTTTGTCCTGCCGGAAGAGTACCGGGATGAGGAAACACTCAAGGCACGTGAGAGGAAGAAGCGCAGGGACAGGCGAGAGCTGCGTACCTTGAAGTAGGTAACTATTGAATCATTGCTAGGGGCGTCACGCGGGGAGGCTGGAAGGGCTAAAATACAGATTGGCGTCTTGGGGTTTGCTTTACAGGGCGTTTGGCGGTTAAGGTGATATCATACTTCGTTCTCGTTCATACCTACTCGTAGGAGGAGAACGATGGCTCAGCAACATGAAAGTGCTCAAGGCAGCAGCAAGCATTGATGTAAGATACGGTAGTCGTAGTGGTAGTAGTAGTTTAGCAAACAGGGTCGTCGTACCAAGTGAGTGCGCAAGTTTGTATAAGAATCAACAGACTGCAAAGTCCAGCATCGAATCACAACGCATAATTTGATAATGAGCATGACCTTGGAATCACCAAACATGTGAATCTGAGAACAAACCGAGATGCAGGCAAAAGGGCGTCACCAATGCGTCGCTGGGCGGCCAATGGCGGGACAATGTGCTCTGCTGGGGTACAGCAAGGTTGGGCCAGTCGGAAGCCACAATGGGCTGCAAGCTGGTCCGTGCTCCTTCGAGCTTCTTTCGAGAGACGCGCGCCCGCCTCTGGCAACGTCGATTTGTTAAGCAGGCCTTTTGCTCCAACTCCAAGCTGTCGCCTCCTCCAGCGCTTCGCAGTCTTTGTTTATTCCTCTCTGGGCGTATCCAGCTGGTGCCAGACCGCGTTCTCCGTCCGCGGCGCCCTTCTCTGCCGCCGCCGCCGTCTTGCGACTCGCCCCGGCCTCGGGCTCTGAGTAGCGACTGACAGACTCACCTCCAGATGCGATGCAGCTGACGCTGATCTGATCGCCCTCACCTTCGTCTCAGATGCGCTCGCGACGATTTCATCGACCTCGATGCAGTGACTGTGCCATATAAAGCTCGCTGGAGCCCCGCCTCTCTTCCTTCTCTTCCCACCTGACTTTCCCAACCACCGCGACCGCCACCATGGCTGCAACGCTTCCCAACGGCACCAGCGGCACCAACTCGACGCCCGACATGGAGGAAGCGCTGTCGCCTCACCCCCTGCTGGATGGAGAAGATGGCCTCCCGCCCATCGAGGACCGGACCGTGCTCGGATACTTCGTTTTCAAGCAGGAAGTAAACCTCGAGGTCAACTTTCGAGAGCGACGCATCGACGGCACGACGAATATTTTCATTGTAACCTTTGCCGACAAGGCGGTCGACGAGGTCCTGCTAGACGCTGCCCAGTGCGAGATCGACACGAACAATATCACGGTCACGGAGATGCGAGAGGTCGACGGCGAGCCCGTGGAAGGTCAGAAGCGTAAGGTGGCTGCTGAATACCACGATCCCTACCAGAAGCTCGTGCAGCCCAAGGGCTGGAACCTGAGGGCCGACCACCACGACATTCGCCGCATCCGCGCTCGCTCCATTTTTCACAGCCGCAAATCCGACGTGCCCGCCGAAAATAGAGGCTTCGAGGGCTTCACGCCGGCCTACGGCTCGCTCAAAGTGAACTTCCGACCCAGGGGGGAACAGGAACGACCAAGGTTGATCATAAGGAAGTCAATGTCGAGTCTGGATCCCGTGGAAAAGTCTCACAAGCAGTACAAGATCAGCATACCCTTTGTGACCAAGAACCCCAGAGACGGCCTGCACTTTGTTGGCGTTGATCCGCTCGACAACCGATTCACGCACATGTACACTCGCCACTCGATCCAACCGGGAACTGCGTGCTGCATCTTCCCCTGCGTCGACGATCACGGCGCTCGCTGCGACTGGAGGATATCCATCAAGTATCCGCGGACCCTGGGTGATGCCCTCCAACAGGCTCTTGCGACGAAGAAGGATGGCCCATCTCACAACGGCGCGGACAAGTCGCAGGCCGACGGCCATGACCTTCACTTCAAGCTCGCCGAGGAGGACAAGTTGCGAGAAATGTCCGTTGTCTGTTCTGGCTTCCTTATGGAGGAGACGGTTGATCCCGAGGATGACCACAAGAAAATCATGATATTCGAACCGGAGAAGCAGGTTTCCGTGCAAAAGCTTGGTTTTGCCATCGGCCCGTTCGAGCACATCAATCTCTCGTCAGAGTCCCGAACCGAAGAGGACGAAGTGAAGCTTGGCATGAGCGCACTGAAAATCCACGCCTATTGTTTACCTGGCCGAGCCGACTGGGTTCGCAACACTGCTGCCGCTTTGACTATGGCTGCCGACTTCTTCACCTATACCTTTGCCAAATACCCCTTTGGCAACTTCAAGCTCTTGTTTCTGGATGACATGGTGGAGGACACGGTAGTATTGCACTCTCTGGCCTTTGTCAGCAACCGGCTTTTGTATCCCGAGGACATCATTGACCCGGAGATCGAGACGACGAGGAAAGTCGTCCACACTCTTACGTCTCAATGGATTGGCATCAACATGATTCCCAATACGCGCAAGGACATGTGGCTTGTGGTTGGCATGGCGCACTTCATGACGGATCTATTTATGAAGAAGCTCTGTGGTAACAATGACTACCGGTTTCGATACAAAATGATGTCGGACAAGCTTGTCGAGTTGGATGTCGACCGACCCTCACTGTCAGACCTGGGGCAGAACCTTCACTTGGGCGACTTTGAGATGGAGTTCATGGAACTCAAGGCACCAGTCGTCTTCTTTATTCTCGACAAGCGGCTCAGCAAAGCATCTGGCGGCCACGGATTGACTCGCATTTTGCAGAAGCAGTTGACCAGGGCCCAGATTGAGGGCAGCGACAAATTCCTCATTCTCGACACTGAAAAATTCAGGGCTACGTGCGAAAAGGCTGCCAAATACCGCCTCGAGAGCTTCTGGAACCAGTGGGTGTATGGCTCTGGCTGTCCGCGGTTCGATGTCAAAGCGAAATTCAACAAGAAGCGCCTTTGTGTCGAACTTATGTTGATACAGGTACAGCATCAGACTATCAAGAAGGTTGAGCTCAGCAAGGACCAGTTTTTGCGAGCGATCAGGGAACGAAGGGCACACCTCAAGACCGGCGAAATCCAACCGCTGTTTACTGGACCGATGACTGTCCGGATACACGAGGCCGACGGAACGCCGTATGAGCACATTCTGGAGATTCGGGAAGATGCCACACGGTCCACCAAGTTCGAGATTCCTTACAACACCAAGTACAAACGCCTCAAGAGAACGCGCCGTATGAAGGAGAAGCACAATGCAGGTGCCAGCATGGAGATACCGGAAAACACCGACGACGCCCTTCTCTACTGCCTCGGGGATGTTCTTCAAAGCCCAGAGGATCTACGTGACTGGGAGCTGATTGAGTGGGACCCAGAAACCGAGCGTAAGATGGACCAGGAGTCCTACGAATGGATTCGAGTTGATGCCGATTTCGAGTGGGCATGCAGCATGAACAGGACTCTGGAGCCGTACATGTACGTGTCCCAGCTGCAGCAAGACAGAGACGTTGTCGCCCAGCAAGATGCGATGCTCTACCTGTCCACTGGCCCGCTTCATCCGATCGCCTCTGGATTCCTCGTGCGGACGCTTGTTGATCGCCGCTACTTCCACGGTATTCGAACCATGGCGGCGAAAGCCCTCACCAGACAAGCCAACATCAAAGACATCCCGATGCTGGGTCTGCGCCAACTCATGCGCGCTTATCGCGAGATGTTCTGTTACGATCAAACAAACCAGCCCAAGCCAAACGACTTCTCCGATAAGAGACAGTATAATGTCCGATGTTCGATCATCAGGGCCATCGCTGATGTCAGAGATACCGCGGGCTACTGTCCTGTCGAGGCTCGACAGTTCATTCTGGACCAATTACTCTTCAATAACAACGAAAACAATCCGTTCTCCGATCATCACTACATTGCTGTCCTTGTGGAAGCGTTGGCCACGTCTCTCATTCCGACGCAGGCGGATGAGTGGTTCAAACGCCAAGTCAAGATACCTTCTGATGAAGAACGTCACTTCCTTGAGCAGGCATTGGAGCAGATAGAACGAGTCCTTAGACGTGACGAGTGGACAAGCTCCTATCAGAATATCTGGACCATCGCAGGGTTGGATGCGAAGCAGCGCCTCATGAAGGCAGAGGTGATACCAATGGACTACGCCGACTTCGGACAATATTTGCTGGACGGAACGCAGGACCTTATCCGCATCAAGTGCTTCGAGGCTCTCATCGACCTTGGAGCCCTGATGGATCCGACCTTCTTCACCTTCCTGTTCTACTCACTCATGACGGATCGATCGCCCTTTGTCCGCGATAAACTCATCCAAGCGGTGGCTCGGGGCCTTGCTGCCATTGCATTCGGGGAACACTCAAAGGCCGTTAAGAACGAGCCTGCCTCGGATGAAGCAGATGCTTTGTTGCTTATCCAGGATAGCGCTGAAGAAGTGGCTGCCAGGAAGGAGAAGTTTGCTCGAAAGGAGAACCTGGATGCGGCACTGAAGGCTCTCAGGAAGGAAATGGATGAGACGTATGCTGCCGATGAGAGGCACTACAGCACTGCCATGCGCAAGGCGTTGGACCATCCCGCTCTCGGACGGGCCGAAGTGGAATCGCTCCTTGACCTGGCCGCCATGATGTTTGAAGAAGCGAGAAGCTGGGTACTCACCCTTAACTTGCCCAAGGGATGGACGGTGGAGCGGCCCGCGCAGCAACTCTCGGATCGGGTAAGTTTCTGCAAATACTTCTCCCCCTCTCTTCCTCTACCGATGATGAATAGATCGCTGACAGTCTGTAGTTGATCGTCAAGTTCAAGTCTTACTATAAGACGAAGCCCAAGAGTGCAGCGCCTCCACCACGGCCCTCAATCCCTGAGGCCAGGGTGCCTCTTCCAGCACCAAAGCCATCGTCGATTAAGATCAGCACGAAGGCCGTACATCAACCTTCACCGGCCCGGCCTGCCCCTTCTCCGATTCCGACGTCTGCCAGTGACACTATCGTTGCCGTGGGTCGTCCAACAAATGGCACTGGTCCCGCTCCCAAACCAACCGTCAAGCCCGAGTCTCAATCCGGTGTACTGGCCAAGCGGCCTCGACCAGAAAAGGCTGATAATATCCCGTCATCAAAGAGGCCCAAGGTTGAAGCAGAGCCATCGAGTCTCGACAAGATACCAACAGCTTCCCCGAGGAAGCGGCGCATGGTCACTCTCAAGACCTCCAACCCGAAACGACTGGCGGTTATCCTGGGCCAAACACCAACGCCGACACCCAAGAGTGCTTCAGCCACTCCTACCTCTTCCGGTATCCTGGGTAGGACCGCGCTACCTTCGGGGGCACCAAAGGAGCAGAATCCCTCGGGATCAGTTAAGGACGCGAATGGCCCAAAGCCCCCACGCAAGCCGCTTCCCTCTGGTGAGGTGAGAAAGCCTCTGCCATCGGGCGGCTCGTCCTCGGGCTTTCCGCTCTCTCAGTCGACCAGCAAGATATTCGCAAAGCATCGCCCCCCGATGCCTGGGGCAAAACCGCCCGGCATGTCTCCGCTCAAGTCACCCACCAAATCACCCATCAAGTCTCCTGTCAAGTCCCCCATCAAATCTCCTATCAAATCGACTGCTCCTCTACCGGAGCCGATTCAAGCGGCGGCACCGGCGTCTGCTCCTGCTCCTACTTCTGCTCCGGCATCCGCTCAGGCGTCTGCTGCAGCACCTGCTCCAAGTGCACGCCCAAAAATCAAAATCATTCGAAAGCCTCAACCGGCACAGCTTCCCCCTCCCTCTTGAAGCGCTGCTGAGTGCACGAGCGAGGAGCAATGGAAGCGCTGGTTTGGATAGACGATTGTTCCTCTGAATTCGATTCGATGGTTTCGGCAACTAAACTTTTACGAGTTGGACGAACGCAATGACGGTTGATCGTCCAGTATCACTAATAAATCCAATGACTACCCAAAACAGGGGGTGAGGGGGGGGAAAGGGAGGGATTGTCCTGACTATGCTCATGGAGGACGGTGGAGTCAAACTACACTTGATACCTTTGTTTTCTTTCCTCAAAAAAGCAGACTCTAGATCCTATCCTATTTCGACTGTTTTGACTTTTTTTTCTGGTATCTTTCTGGCGTTCAGGGAAAGGGGGTGGAAAGGGATGGAGGTCTGACAACGGCAACGCTTCTTTTGTTGCCTCGGGAGTTGGGCTGGTCACAATCAAAGATGAAAGTACCCTACATCGCAAATGGATGGAACGAAGGGGGAGGAGGGTGGTAATATGTCTATGATATAGAAAACAGAGTTGGCAGCCCTCATGATATGACTTCAATGCATGTGTATGAGCTTGATCAATGGTGCAATGTCCCTTGTCGTGGTTGCATTTGGCCTCGGCCCGTATCTTTTGTCTATCTTTATAAGGGTATATCATAAACACACAGATGTGGTGGTTGAAAACAGCATAAAGCCTCCGACCATCTTTCCAAGAGAAAAACAAAGCGATTCCTGCCATACGTTTCATCAAGCCAGCTGCTGGGTAAACGCGATGATGCACCTTGGTCCACTCTATGCTTTGACGTCTTCTTCCCTGCCCCATCGTGCAGTCTCGTCGCCGTCTTTCCATTCCTGCTCGACATAGCCAAGCTGCTGCTTGACCTTTGCGACCGTCTCCTTGTCGCCGGTGTTTTTGCCAGCGTTGTCACTGTTTGTATCACGTTCGTCAGCTATCGCATTGCGTGGATGATGGTCGCATTCGAACAAAAAAGCTCACCTAATCTTGACAGCCGGCCGACCAGCAGCTGAGCTGAGCTTAATGACAATGTTAAGCGGCACGGACTTGGTGCCCGTCTTGAGGTGCGTAAAGTCGTTTGTCAAGAAAGTACCAACACCGAAAGTAGGCTGGAAGCCGTACTTTTGCGAAATCTCCAAATACTCCAGGCAGCGGTCAATGTTAAGCGAATCAGAAAACACAATAATCTTCTTCTCCTTGATGCCTTGCTCGTCGTAATAGTCGCGCAGCAGCTTGACGTACTCGGCAGGGTCGCCAGAGTCCTGGCGCACGCCGGCGAACATCTCGGCATATGTCTTGATGCTCCCGTCGGGCTTCTGGAAGGTCTCGGGGCCGAAGTTGCCGCCCTCGACCGGGCGAATCGGCAGGCTAAACGCCTTGAGGAATTCCTTCGTGCCAAAGGTATCTGTCAAGGCAATGGACAGGTTCGTGCCGAAGACGCTGACCCAGTGGCGCAGGGCTTCTTCGGTGGCCTTGCTGTAATCGTTCGTTATCGCGGCGATTCCCATGAACCACTCGTGAGCGACGGTGCCGACGGGAGGGATGCCGAAGCGCATGGCCAGGTGCACATTGCTCGTTCCCGTCAGCTTTCCAGGAAAGCCCTTTGCGGCCGCTTCCTTGGATGCCTTGACTAAGCCACGGAACACCAGCGCCTGCGTGTGATAGTCGCGGCGTCTGCGGGTTCCGAACTCGGACGTGGTGCATCCAGCTTCCAACAGGCGCAGACCCTTCTCAAAGGCCTTTTCCTCCTGTCCCTCGTAGTTCCAATCCGTGTCCATAAAGCGGAAGTAGGCCTCGGAGGTCAGCGCCAGTATGGGAATCTCATAGAGGATTGTTTCGGACCATGTGCCCTTGATTTCCATGTGGACGTCGCCAATATCGGAGTCGGCGCCGGAGTCCTCTCCGACGGGCGTAAAGGTCGGGAACACCTGCTCTCGAGGTCGCAAGCGGAACTCCTTGAGGAATGCGAGGTAGTCAGCAGACAGATACTTGCAGTGCTCCTGCAGGAACCGGTACTCTTCGTCAGAGAGGGAGATGTTGCCGAGCTCTGTTGGAAGATTGCGTCAGCTAGGTGTACAAACAGCGGATGACTCAAGCTCAAGGGAACAAGCGGACAGCACAGAAGAGAAAAGAGCATACTCCTGATTTGTTCCTCTAGCCACTTGAAGGCAGCTCTGGAAAGCTTCTTGTCGGGGGTTCTGTTTGTGAAGGCATAGGTGACGGGCACGTCTTTGAAGAACTTGAAGACGGCGCACTGCATCGTCAGCTTATACAGATCCGTATCCAGGAAGGAGATGACTCCCTCCGGGAAGGGCGACGAGCTGTTGAAGTCCATGGCTGGAGATCAACTGGAACTTGAAGAGTACGTGATGTTCGGTTGCAATGGCAGAAGGAGAGGCGTTGCGAAGACGAGGCGGGTTGGCTGCTGTTGTTGAGCAGTGCAATCGCTGAAAAGGTTGTTTTGGGTTAAGTTTGGTCTAAGTCTGGAGTCGTGGCGGGGGGGGCTGAAGTGTCGAGAGTTTGTCGCTGATAAATTGCCGGGCCGAGTCAGTTGACAGACAAGCGAAGAGTGAAACGAAGCCAGGACGACGAGTAACTGCCAGCAGGCGCAGAGAGGGAATAATTCGCTCTAGAGGGCTGCCGCCTAGGCAGTCGTCTCGTAGGATACGAGAGCAGAGTCCTTCTATAGGTAGGTACTGCACCTTATATTCACTCTATCGTTGTGTGATCTCATTCCGGGTCATCTTGGGTAGGACGAGAGAATTACAAACGGCGTCACATCAAGGCAGCATACGTGTATATAGTAGTATGCAGCTCCATCTAGAAACATACATGTATAGAGAGGAGAGCATCAGGGGATCAAATTCCCTCTTTGACAAGGACCCTGCGTGACGCTACAGTAGAGCTGCGACATTGTCTGGGCAGGGCAACGAATGGCTGGCTATCTGCACTATAAACCAGCACTACTACGTAGGTAGACATCAGCTTTACCTCAGGTAGTGAATATGGTAGCAGTCCGTATGATAGTATCTATCTCTGCGCCTATTCTTTTCCCGAAAATTCCCTGCTGCATAGGTCTTATTTGGTCGACCTCATTCTCGGCTCTGCTAGCTTCATTACCATTTTCTGCTAGCAAATCTGGTGGGCTGCATGATATCATGACGCGCCGCCGTCTCCGAATTCCGCTGTGCCGGCAATCAGATAAGGGACAAACAATGATCCGGCGCCCTCCCGCTTCGGCAGTGAAAGCCAATTCCGCCCCAAAGCGCTTATCAGCACGTGATGCAGAGTCCTCCGCGGCAAGACCAGGCGATGGCCGTCAGATCTCGTCACCCTCTCGGTTCGGAGCTCTCCAGGTTTGCAGAGCGTCCAGATTTGTGTGCCCAGCAGGCTGTTGCGAGACCGACCAGCAGCATCTGCCGCGCCTCTGATCCCCTTGGCCGCAGTCTTGTTTTGGGACGCGGATTCCATGTAGGAGCACACCGGCTCAGCTGTGCCCACAAGCTGTAAGTCGATTTTCCTGTTGGTGCTTCGGCGCGACACAGACAGCCCTCCGAACCATCTCCTGAGCCGGCTGGGAGCGTCCACGGGCAAAGCTCCGGCAACGAAGCTGTCGTCGTTGGCAAAATTCCCATGGCTTCGCAGCGTCGCTCGAAGAAAAAAATAAAAAGAAGAAAAAGTCTCTGGTTATTCTCTTGAACTCTGCTAATTGTACACCCGCCCTCGACAGATCAGCATGAACAGTCAAAATCTCCACGGCCACGGTGGCGGCGCGCCCTACGATCGGGAGCGCGAAATGGACGAGCGGCATCGCGCCATCCAACAGCACGAAGAGATGGCTCGCCGCGACCAAGAACGAGAGAGAGAGCGCGAACGAGAACGAGACAGCGACCGCTACCCTCCGGCACCGCACCAGAGCAGCGCGGGCTCCATACCAATCCACCAGCCGGTGGCCTCGCGGATCTCGGGCGCCATCCACAGCCCCGGAGGTCTGCTCGCGAACCACAACGGCAACGCGCCTCCCATTTCCCTCGGCGCTCCTCCGGGCCCCATGGGCTCCTTTGGCGGACCTCTACAGAGCGAGCACGCGCGGCCGATCCAGCACGGCGGCCCCGGCGGTGCCAACGGCCAACACCAGATGTTTGCCTCGATTTCTCATACACAACCTCCTCCGAACGGTGCGCAAGCTGCGCCCGGCGGCGGAATCTTTGGGGGACCCCTACAGCCTCAGCACCCACAGGAAGGCGGTCGGGGAGGCCAACAAAACGCCACGATGGTTGGCGTAGCTCCTGGCGGGCACCAGATGCCAGGCGGCATCACACAGGGCCAGCAGCCTATTCTGAATGTGAGTTTCGGAAACTTTTCTTTCTGGTTAGCGCGTGCTTTTGCTTTCTTCTGGAAGTCATTTCAAAGTGAGTTCGAGGCTGCAGTCTGCGGGACCGTGTGGGCAACTGGCAGCCAGCCGCCAGTCCTTGGGCGACACAGTCCAGATGTGATTCACCTAAGCCCCAAACCTTACGCCTGTTGACTCTGGTCTCTCTCTCTCTCTCTCTCTCTCGCTCAGTTTCCCTTTCAATGCTTTTCCTTCTCCTTCTCCTCTTCTTCATTGCCTTTCGCATCATACAACATTCCCTTCCCGTATTCACTCTTTTTTCCACCGCATTCATTGCTCTCCAGCAAAGCTGTTCCCATAGACGCTTGGGTTCTCTTCTCCCCTTTCTTTCAGTATACCATCATTCTACGAAACACAAACAAGAGCGCGAACGCAACCCCCCCTGTGGACATGGATGGTTTTCAGCAGTGCCCTGCGGTGGTTATCACACTGCCTTCTGGTCGCCCTTTGACAAGTGTCATTGACCCTGTCGCGCTCCAAACTCGAGCCTTCTTGGATTTTCCAACTGGGGCGCGAGATGTAGTCACGGCGTTTGTCGGTGGCGGTGAACGCTTGATTATGGCCTGCCGCGATGACGCCAGGCTTTGGGGTTTCTACCACTACTTTCATGTGCCGTGAAATCCTATCAATTTTTGTCACATCTGCTGGCTGATTGCTAACGAGCTTGATCTTCTAGGATGCCCTGACCTACCTTGACCAAGTCAAAGTACAATTTCACGACCAGCCTGACGTCTACAACCGCTTCCTGGATATCATGAAAGACTTCAAAAGCCAGGCGTACGTAAACTCTGGGTTTTTCGCAGGTTCCAGACACTAACATATACTTAGCATCGACACGCCGGGAGTTATCAACCGCGTCTCTGAACTCTTCGCAGGACACCCAAACCTGATTCAGGGGTTCAACACCTTCCTACCGCCTGGATATCGGATAGAGTGCGGCGCTGGCAATGATCCGAATACCATCAGAGTCACTACCCCAATGGGAACTACAGTTCAGTCCATCGCTGGGCGAGGGCCTCAGCCTGATGGCCATGGACTGGCCGTGGGTGGCCAGCCTCTTTTCCCCGAGCGAGGAGGCCAATGGCAACAGAGGCCTCAGCACAGTATTGAGAGCCCGGAGGCTGCATTCAGCACTCCCGTTCAAAATGGTGCGAACCTGTTTGTGCAAGCCGCGACCCAAGGCGGCGCGTTTGATGGCCCAGGAGGTCATCAGCAGCGTAACCCCCCTCAGATACCAGGAAGCGGTGGCCCTCCCGGCGGACCAAACTCCCGGAGTGCTCATACTCCCATGCCTGCCTCTGGCCCAGGTGCAGTCAACGGCGGGGCTGCCAATCCCGCCAACATGGAACGCCGTGGCCCAGTTGAATTCAACCACGCTATCAGCTACGTGAACAAGATCAAAGTAAGTTTCTCGCAGCTCATCCGCCTCCTTGTGCGCTGCGCTAATTGGAATCTCCTGTAGAACCGCTTCCAAGACAAGCCAGAAATCTACAAGCAGTTCCTCGAGATTCTCCAGACTTATCAGAGAGAGCAAAAGCCAATTCAGGATGTGTATGCTCAAGTGACTACTCTCTTCAACTCGGCACCTGATCTCCTGGAAGATTTCAAGCAGTTTTTGCCGGAATCTGCCGGTCAGGCCAGGGCGCCTCCTGGCCGTCAGGACGACGGTGCCGCCGCTGGCTCAAGCCACACACCTCAACCCGGGATGAGGGATGGGCAGAAGATGCCCCCCTTGGGAAGCTTTCCACCACCAGTCAGTGCGGCAAAGGACAACAAGAAGCGACCACGCACTGATAAGCAAACTCCTACGCCCGGTGCTCTCCTTGCTGAACCCCCGACGTCGTCGGCACGTCTCCCTCCCCAAAACATCAATGGCAGCAAGCGGCCAAAGCTCAGCCATGTTAGAGGCAGCGGAGATGGCGCTGCCATTGAACCCACCCTCACACCGGTCATGCCTGAACCTTACCCTCCTCGTTCTCCTGCAACGTCAAATCAGGAGGAGATTGCCTTCTTTGAGCGGGTCAAGAAGTACCTCAGCAATCGGTCTTCGATGAACGAGTTCCTCAAGCTTTGCAATCTGTTTAGCCAGAACATCATTGACAAGAACACTCTGTACCACAAAGGTGCCCTCTTCATCGGCGCCAGCCCGGAATTGATGAGCTTTTGGAAGGCCTTTGTTGGTGTCGAATCTCAGGATGTTGTCATCGATAACAGGCCTGCGCCCCCGGTTGAGAAGGTCTCCCTGAGCAACTGCCGCGGATATGGCCCAAGCTATCGCCTTTTGCCAAAGAGAGTAAGCAATACCACTCGAAGCACCACTATCACTTTCTAAATTTCAGTCGGCTAACATATCATAATAGGAGCGTCTCAAGCCTTGCAGTGGCCGCGATGAGCTCTGCAATTCGGTCTTGAACGACGACTGGGCTTCGCACCCTACTTGGGCCAGTGAAGACTCCGGCTTCGTCGCTCACCGAAAGAATCAATTCGAAGAGGGCCTCCATCGCATCGAAGAGGAGCGCCATGACTACGACTTCAACATCGAAGCAAACCTCAAGTGCATCCAGCTTCTTGAGCCCATCGCTCAACAAATGCTTGCGATGTCCCCAGCTGAAAGGGAGGCGTTCCATATGCCTTCGGCTCTTGCTGGCCAGAGCACTTCCATCTTCAAGCGCATTTGCAAGAAGATCTACGGAGAGCGCGGTATTGATGTCGTCAACGACATGTATACTCATCCCTTCGATGTCATCCCCGTCCTTCTGGCTCGTATGAAGCAAAAGGATGAGGAATGGCGTTTCTCGCAGCGAGAGTGGGAAAAGGTGTGGCATGCGCAAACACACAACATGCACCTCAAGAGCTTGGATCACATGGGCATCTTGGTTAAGTCAACCGATAAGAGGAACTTGACGGCGAAGCATCTGATCGATGTCATCAAGACAAAGCATGAGGAGCAACGCCGCGAGCGCATTCTCAAGGGCAAAGCTCCTCGCCACCAGTTTGTCTGGGACTTCAAGGACAAGGAAGTTGTGCTCGACCTTTTGCGTCTGATGATGCTCTATAGCATGCATAACGGGCAGCACAGCGGCCAGGAGAAGGAACGTATTTTGGATTTCTTCGAGACGTTTGTCCCCACCTTCTTCGACCTTCCCGAGGATGTGGTTCAGGAGAGAATCCCAAAGATGCAGCCTGACTCGGGCGAAGAGGAGATTGAAGACCAGACGCCAGCTGAGCTGACTAACGGCCGTAGTCGCCGCAATGGAAAGAAGGGCGATCTCCTTAGAGGGGTCCTCGACCCTGGCCGAAACGGTAGCAAACCACGGAATCAGAAAGAGGACAGCGCTGCTTCTGGAAGCAAGGAGACGACCCCAGAGGTCGGATCGGCCAACGAAGAAGAGATGGCCGATGCCAACGACGACACTGCCGTTCCCGAAGTGTCGAATGAGCGATGGATGCCCACCATTCCCAAGCCTGTTGTCGTCGGAGATAGCGATAACGGCCTCTTGGACGCCGATGGCGAGCTCAAGGCAGATGGCTTCTTCACTCGCCCATGGTACAACTTCTTCTGTAATCAGACCATCTTTGTCTTCTTCAGCATCTTTCAGACGCTATACTCGCGACTCCTGGATATCAAAGACAGCAAGGAGGCCGTTGCGGCTGAGATTGAGCGTCTCAACAAGCCCAAGCCTGCCAGGGACCTTGGCTTCACAGAGAACCACATGACCTTCTTCGACCCCAACGACGAGCCTGCCAAGTTCTGGCCCAAGACTCTTGAGCTCATCGAGGACTACATTACCGGTGACGTTGACGAGAATCGATACCAAGATGTTATGCGGCACTATTATCTGAAGAACGGCTGGAAGCTGTATACTATTCAAGATCTGCTCAAGACCCTCTGCCGCCTGGCGTTGACATGCAAGAGCCTCGATGCGAAGGAGAAGACGCCGGATCTCATCCAGCAGTATCTCCTCAACCGGGAGAGGGAAGAGACGAGCTATCAGACAGAAATCAGTGCCCGAAAATTCGCCGAGAAGTGTGTCAAGGATGGCGACCTGTTTGTCATTTGCTGGGTAAGTTTGCAAAACACCATGTACTGCACTGCTCCCGTTCTCAGTCTGCTGACACTCGATCCTAGTTCCCTCAGAAATCGGAAGCCACAGTTCGATGGCTCCAGCGAGACGAGACAACGTTCTACATGGACGAAATGCAGACGCGTGACAAATGGCAGTACTACATCTCGTCTTATGTTCGAGTGGAGCCTACAGAAGGTGTTCCTCGAGCCAAGCTGCGGAAAGTCGTTCTCACTCGCAACTTGCCCTCCGGAGACTCCGAGTCGGACGAGGACGCCATCCCCAAGCCTGTGTCGTACAAAGAGGACCTCACGGTCAGCATCTGTCTTAAGAGTTCCAAGATGATCTGGGCCCCAGGCACTTCTGAGTATTTTGTCTACGATCAGGCACCAAAGACCAAGGAACAGCGTGAGCATCGCGAGAAGTTCATCAAGGCGCTGAGCAACTACCGCGAGCTCAAGTTTTCTGAGAAGATGATCCACAACCCGGTCTGGGCCAAGGATATGAGCCCCGAGGAGGTTCAAGAACAGAACAAGAATTTCCGCAAGTGGATGGACGAAGGCATCCCTCCGCCGGCTTCGAATGAGGATGTGGATATGGACTAGGGATCAGAGGAAACGGACCTCACTCTTGCTTTGTTTGAATGACGATCTTATTTCTTAACCCGTCCTTTTTGTTTCCATCTTTCTCTCCTCTTTGGAAAAGAAAGATTGCGCGGGCATACTTCGAGCGGAATTGGGTTGCACCTTTTTTTGCCTTTTCATGCTTCGAACGTGTTCACCCTGGTTTGCAAAGTCTCCTCTTCTCCCAGTGAGGACACGAAAAAGAAGCATATCCTGCATCGAACCTCACACAACGCACAAAAAGTACAGCAGGCGGCAAGTTGATGGCAAGGGCACACGAATCCGAGCACGATGAGGGCCTGTTGGAAGTGGAATGTTTGATGAAGACTTGGGCTCTGTGCTGGGTAATTTCATTTTGAAGCGGACTCTTCTCTTGTTGTTTCGTATTTCTCCTCTTTCTTCCTTTTCAGGTTGTTACGTTGGTATTATTTGATTTTTTTTAAGTACAGGTAGCTCCCCTCACATAACCCAAGTACTGAGATAGTAGGTACCTAAGTGAAGGATCAATTGATCAAAATTTGTTTCTGAGATGATGACTTGGCTTCAATACATTGTGAAGACTACTGCCATGAGAAGCCATGTAGGCGTAATTTCGGATATTTGTTTATTCTGTTTCATTATTTTCCTATGTATATATTCCAACTCCAGTCCAGCCAAGCCTTCACATAATGGTTGGCAGTATATGTTGTGGGAGATCTAATTTTCTTCGCTCAATCAAGGCTTTTTTTTTTTCTCTCTCCTACCTCGCTTGCAGATTTCAAGGTACTCATGTATTCGTAAAGGTTTTTATAATTTCGACGCCTCCAGTCCGGAGGCTGGCGCAGATGCAGCAAGTCACTGCAGGTTCTCGATAACCAGGGCGGAGGCACCGCCACCGCCGTTGCAGATACCGGCAACACCAATCTTGCCCTTCTTCTCCGCCAGGACGGAGGTCAGGGTAGACAGGATACGGGCACCGGAAGCACCCAGGGGGTGGCCAATGGCGACTGAGCCACCAAAGACGTTGACCTTCTCGGGGGTGAGGTTGAGGAGCTGCAGGTTGGCGAGGGCCACGACGGAGAAGGCCTCGTTGATCTCGTAGTAGTCGACGTCCTCGGGCGTCAAGCCGGCGTGCTTGATGGCCTTGGGGATGGCCAGAGCGGGAGCAATTGTGAATCGCTCGGGCTCACGCTCGGCATCGCCCCAGCCGAGGATCTTGGCAATGGGCTTGAGGCCGAGCTCCTTGAGCTTAGCCTCAGAGACAAGAACGACGGCAGCGGCACCGTCGTTCAGGGGAGCGGCGTTGGGAGCGGTGATGGAGCCATCAGGCTTGAAGGCGGGGCGCATGGACTTGAGCTTGGCCTCGTTGAGGTTCTTGACCTCCTCATCCTTGTCAATGACGACGTTGGGCTTGCCTCGGCCGCCAGGGACCTCCACGGGCACAATCTCCTTGAAGAGACCGGCCTCGGTGGCAGCCTGAGCCCTCTTGTAGGAGTTGATGGCGTATTCATCCTGAGCCTCACGGCTGATGCTGTGCTCGTCGGCACACAGCTCGCCCTGAAGACCCATGTGCTCCTTCTTGAACGAGTCGGTCAGACCGTCCTTGAGGACGCCGTCGACGAGAGTCTGGTCGCCGTACTTGGCGCCGTTGCGGAGGTTGGGCAGGTAGTGGGGGGTGTTGGACATGGACTCGGCACCGGCAGCGACGACGACGTGGTTGACGCCCAGCATGATGTTTTGGGCACCGAGGATGACGGCCTTCAGGGACGAGGCGCAGACCTTGTTGACGGTGGTGGTGACGACGTTCTTGGGGAGGCCGGCGGCGATGGCGGCCTGGCGGGCGGGAGCCTGGCCCAAGCTAAAGGAAATGGAGTATAAGTATTTGTTTTGACTAATTGATCGATCGCTCTGGGAATCGGCTTCGCGTGTTTTCTTACTTGGCGGAGAGGACATTGCCAAAGAAGACCTCCTCGACGTCTTCGGGCTTGACGCCAGAGCGCTCAACAGCTCCTGGAGCGTTGTTAGCATTCGAGTCTTGGGAGAGCGGTAATGATGGGACGAAGCGTGCCTTTGATAGCGGCGGCACCAAGCTGCGTGGCACTCAGGCCGGAGAGGGAGCTGGATCGAACAAGTTAGCATCAGTTGTAACGTGTTAATAAGAGGCGAGGGCAATGCCATCTCTTACCCCAAGAATGAACCCACGGGGGTTCTGGCGGCTGAGACAATGTAGACGGGAGGAAGACCAGACATCTTGAAGGAGGATTGGAGGAATTGAAGGACGAAAGTGAGGCTGGAATTGGTGTGAATAGGGGGGAAGAAGAAGAAGATGGGAGTGGCTATGGAGAGATGAAGGACAGCAAAAAAGATGGAGAGCGCCACCAATGGGGTTTATATACTAGTGCAGCCCAACAGATGTGGCAGCGATTGAGTGATGACAGCCTTGGGAGGCGTACTCGGACAAAGGAAAGTTACGTATGGGAACAATTATGGACCACAGGAGCAAGGCTGGATGGCTGATGGAGACGGTCGATACTACTATTACTATCAGGGATGTCCAGGGACCGGGACAATTGATCAATGGGTGCAACGCTGGGCTTCGTCTTGACCAGATTGATAACAGTGATGGTCCCTGATCAGTGAAGCCGAGAGGCGGCGTAGAGGGGCAATTCCTTTCCTTAGTGGCCGTGGTTCGGCCTCTGGGGGACCCCTCTATGGGGCCCTTGAGCTCGTACCTGGTACCTCGAGCTTTGCCATGTTGGGCAGAAAGTTTGGTACAGGTTGGACCAGAAGCATTATGATGGGTGATTGGCTTCATTCTACAAGTGACGGCTTGGAATCCACGATCTTGAGCATCCTTGAATTTGCTGATAAATTCAATTGATTGCATCAGTTTTCAAGGCTGTCAATCCATCAAACGGTACGGATACGAGCACACTGATATCCGTCTTGCCATCGGGATGACATTGACTTGAAGTCCCACGCGATTACGCTAGCAGATGCGAGCCTCGGCTCTCGCCGTATCCGTATCCGTAAACACGGCAGTCAGGTCAGAGTGCAAACCAACCTGCAGGCGATTATTCAATCCTTCCGATCCCATTTCATGTTATATCGCCGAGAAAACCAATGGTCGATATGTACTATGTAGGTATTAGAAGACAACCGATGCATGTCATCTCCATTGACCTTGATGCAGCCTGGCTGGAAGCGAAGCGCATGTAATAAACGAACGTTTACAACGGAAACGGAGAAATACGAACAAGTCCCGAGTCGGTTTTTACCAGCTTCGCTCACAGAAGCAAGCAACACCCCACCATCGCTGCTGACAGGTACGCCAGAAAGTAGTAACTGATACTTCGTGCCTGATGGCGAGCAGTTGATGTTTACCTAAGGTAAGATAAGCAACGATAAGCTTCAGCCTTGCATATCTCCACGTGACACCTCCGTCCAAGCAGATGCCTGCAGAGAAAAAAGTTAGCAGGGACCCGTTTTTAGCACGAGGCAGGCGGTCGGGTTAGCCAGAGCTAGGATTACTTCATACACGCGACTTGCGACGATACCCGTGTCTTGAAGCCTCGAGCATCTTGAACTCGTCGCCCGCCATTGACCTTGGCTTTTGGACCAGACCGACGGCAAAATGGATGACCTCTACGATGAGTAAGTCTTGGTGTACACTGCAGAGCATATCTGGCTGTGATCTAGCTGCTGACAAGCTCGCTTTGTTAGGTTCGGAAACTTCATTGGGGAGGAGGTTGAGTCTGAGGCAGCATCCGAGGCTGGAGATCAGGCGGGCGACTATGCCTACGACGACGAGCAGGAGGAGGCGCATAGTGTCGCCGGACAGGAGCTTATGGAGCTCGATGGTAAGCAAGTCCTGGCATATCAGGGTCAGGGACACCACGTCACAGATGGCTGATTGCGCCCACTCTCCGAACAGATGGACCTTCGAACGCCGTCATCCTCCACGAAGACAAGCAGTATTATCCCACGGCCGAGCAGGTGTACGGTGCCGACGTCGAGACGCGAGTAGAAGAGGAAGATGCGCAGCCCTTGTCAGAACCCATCATTGCGCCGGTCGAGCAGAAGAAGTTCAACATCGAGGAGGTTGATCTGCCCCCCGTCTTCTTCGACCGCGAGTTCATGGCCGACTTGATGAACTTCCCCGACCAGACAAGGAACGTTGCGCTGGCAGGCCACCTGCACCATGGAAAGACGGCGTTTATGGACATGCTTGTGATGGAGACCCATGACATCGCCGACAGGCTGGACCGGAGGGTCGGAAAGAAGCGTGATGAGGCCCTGCGATACACCGACGTGCACACGCTAGAGCGGGAGCGAGGAGTCTCTATCAAGGCTGCACCGATGAGTCTTGTCCTTCAGAGCACCAAGGGGAAGTCGCACCTCTTCCACATCATCGACACCCCTGGCCACGTCAACTTCGTCGATGAAGTGGCCGCGGCTTTCCGGCTGGTGGATGGCGTGTGTCTGGTCGTGGATGTGGTTGAGGGTGTCCAGGTCAACACGGAGCAGATCATCAAGCACGCTGTCCTGGAGGACATTCCCCTGACCCTCATCATCAACAAGATGGATCGTCTGATCCTGGAGCTGAAGCTGCCCCCCAAGGACGCCTACTTCAAGCTCAAGCACGTTGTGGAAGAGGTCAACACCGTCATCGCTAACACTGTGCCCACCAAGGCAGCTTCCAAGCGGCTCAGTCCCGAGAAGGGCAACGTTCTGTTTGCCTGCACGGACATGGGATGGTGCTTCACGCTGCCCTCCTTTGCTAAGATGTATACAGATACCTATGGCGACATCAACGCAGACGACTTTGCCAAGCGGCTGTGGGGAGATGTCTACTATAACCCTAAGAAGCGGAATTTCACCCGCAAACCGGCCGAGGACAGATCTGCGAGATCCTTTGTCCATTTCATTCTAGAACCCATCTACAAGATCTTCACACACTCCATCAGCGACAGTCCAGAACAGCTGAAGCTGGTCTTGGCTTC